GAGCTGGGGACCTAGCGGAAAGGCACTCGTCTCGAATGACGTGATTTCTGTCAACATATGCGCCTGATCTTGGGTTGGATGAACTCCAGCAGCGGCTACAATGGTGGAGGTTCCAGAACAAACGCTGACCACATTTCCAGCAGCATAGTAAGTTTTACTGTTTCAGTCTACGGAGTATCTTACGACCCCCGCAGCTTGTAAACTTGTCATAATATGGTATCTATATGCAATTCAATGTTGGTGTAATTCTCCCCCTCAAACCCCTTCGCTTCTTTCTATATTCGTCTCTCCAACTGATATCATTGTAATCGTGCTGGTGGTTAGATGCGGTTGCACAGATCTCAAGAAGCCACTCATAAGAGAACCTCCTGATCCGCTAAGCTGTTACTAATAACAGTCTTGTACTACCTACATACAGTTGGGCTGAAAGCAACAATGCGTTGCGACTATTTGCCAAGTAAAAGCATCTTTCAGATGGTGTCATGACGTGCTCGAGCCAAGAATGTTGACAATGTGACCCAACTACCAGTATTAATAGCCTGTTTTCGTCTCCGGGACACTTGAACACCAAATCCGTGGCCAATGGCGTTACCTTGCTACCCTAACCCATACTAACACAATCATCCGGAGCGAGGATCATGTCCTGGTCTGAGTGTCAAATTGGTAAGAGGTACGCATTATTTTTCATGTATTGCCTAGTGACTGGAAACGTCTTTCTCTCACCTCCCTTTGTGGTGTAATGGAGACATTTCCGATGTGCGGGGCCGGAATCTGGGGAAGGCTTCCTTCCTAGAAGGTAAATTACGAATCTCAGGAATAGATCTCCCGATGCGTAGCTCTAAATATGAGCTATTGGCATAGGGGACTGAGAGCTGAAAGCCACTTCTCGTAGGAAATGCTTATCAATTGGGTAGGGTTCGTCCCGCGGAGTAGCTGCAGCTGAGCAGGATGCTCGAACCCTCAGATAGATTAATACGCAGTACGTGGTGTATGGCCAGTGGTACAATACTTACCCTCCCATCGTTAGTATCTTATTGCGAGGGCCGGGTAAGGTATCCTCCACGTCCGTATTGGTCTTAACCACACGCACTGAGAATACCCCCACAAGGCGCCAAGCCTAGCGATCTAGGTATCCACAAACTTCTGGAACGGTTGATCTTGACCAATGAAACGACAGGAAACGCACCACGCTGATATCACTGATTCACAGGCCTCACAGCCGCGCCCCCAGGTTATGCGGGGCCGTGTTTCCGGAAGTCGGATGGATGCTTTAATTAGTAGATAGTCATCAATTGGTTTATTACTGGGACGCCCCAATTCGGCCATGTGTTCTGATTATTGGTGGGAATGCAATGCCCAGGGCTGTGTTTCCTATCGGCCATCATCTACAGACTTTTCTCTATTTGAAGCGTTCTAGCTGGACCGGAGATAACCATGATATTAGGCAGTTCATCCAAGGGGTTCATTTACAATACTACTCCATAATTTGGTCAGGTTTGATATGGGTAAGCAGAGTCACCCCAAGGTCCCCCCAAATAGGCACTGGCCGGTAGGGCCGGGCCGGGTAGATGATAGTAGGCAGTGATACCTTATGGCTGTTACAACCACTGCTAATGATACCTCGCAGGCAGTCTAGATTATGGTATGGCAACTCTAACATGAAACCACAGAATGGTACTTGGTACCGTCCCAGAGTAATTGCCCCTTCCTCCAGATGGGTTCCTACCTGAACCTCATGCTGTACGATAGATGCCATTATCGTAAGTGTTCTATGCACTGTATAAGTAAGAATAATTTAATTATCTATTTTTAATGTTTATGGCTGGCTGATACTGTAATTTGCCGTACGCAAAAAAAAATTACAGTGTACTTCTGGGGAGAGGGGCTTGGCGCCACGGTCGCTTTTGTGCTGGCCGATGACACGTCGCCCGTAAAGTTAAAAGGCAAAGTTGAAAAAAAAAAAAAAAAAGGGCCACAGAGAAAGGGAAGGTTCAGCGACCCCGCCCCCCATTTTAGCCCTGGCTCAATACTAGTCCGTAGTCCGATGATGCTATCTCTTTAAAGCACCCAGATTTGAGTTCAAGAATCCCTATCAACACGCGGCGGTGTCTGTAGATTAGAAGCCAAGGCATTCCATAGCATGGATGTATAGTGATTTAGTAAGGTACTAGTGTTTGCTAGAAGAGGAAGCTTGCGGAAATAGAAAATGGAGATACGATGGAGAGAGGGGGGGGTTTCCCCCTGACTCCTGAGATATATGGAGCTAAGGAATGATTTGATATCGCACCTACCACAGAGTCACAGACATCCTCAAGGTAGTAAGGGTTAAAAATTAAATTTACCTTCTTCCCCCTCCTTTCCCCTCTTTACCCCTGATTTTTTCATTTTAGCTGGACACTATGAGCACCTAGGGAGCTACTAGCTAGACTCTAGAGCGTAGCTTGTGATAAAAATCCTCACAGGATGGATCCCTTCACATGTCATGGTCACGGCAAATCCAAGCACGGTTAGGATCACCAACCCTATTGGTTTCTTTGGGACCTACTTAGTAGATAGCAAATATCGGGTCTAACCATATGTCTGTCTGTAATACTATGTGATAATATGCTGCGTAAAATTGTATACAGTACCCTCCCCTGACCGCCAGACAGCCGTCGAAAAAAGGGCGGGGCAGAAGCGCCAAGCGGACAAAGGATAAAGAACAAAAAAAAAAAAGGGAAATAAAATTTGCTCCGTAACAACGCTACGGAAGATGCCCGGATTGCGTCATGGTAATGATTTGCAGCTAATCCAGAAGTCGAGACATGGGCCTGCCTTAGTGGCGCACACTGCCGTGTTTCTAGATGACAATCTCCCGCATCCGGAGGTGATTACTTCATTAGTTAGGAATCCTGAGGATAGTGGACATCACAAGTCCAGGGAAAGGAAAATAGCGTGGCATTATAATTGTGTCTCTGTTTACTTTGATGATGGATTTTTTGGCAGCTGATGAGCATTGTCTCTCATTGAGACCAGGGGTAACATAAAAAGTGAAAAGGCCCCAAAAAAATATAATAAGTAAATAAATAGAATAATGGAGTGGTCCAGAACGTAACGAACAAGACCCGGAGACAAACCTCCTGCAGGAATGATACGGTGGTCGGATGATTTCGGGAAATGCTGGCCTTTCTTCCACCCTGGGGCAAAGCTGTGACTAGCGGAGCTGCAGCGTAGTTTATCAGGGCGAATTGCGGAGAGAATTCCTTACCTAACCAGGTCCTTCGAGCTTATTAACTAACTAGTCAGAACCAACGGACTCACAGGTTTGCCCCCTTCCAATCCGTCCCCCAAAGGGTTCCTCGGTGAAGATTTTTTTCCCTCACCATTGGGGGCTAGGGTATTATTTTGGACGGAGTGTCCGTACTGGTCCTCTTTTTTTCTCACACGCCAGTCCGAGAGCCCCGTAATCCGTTCTGGACCAAAAGACCCGTGGACTGAGGTAATTCCCTCGGCATGTTCAACCCGAGCATTTTCCCCTTGCCTTTGCCGAGTGCGTCCCGAATCCCGTGGTGGTCTGAGGACTCTGTGACTGGGCAATTGCACATGCAACGACAGGCGAATGCTTAGCTGTTCTAGGCTATCATGTAACTATATTATGAACACACTCGTGAATTTTCCTGTCCTGTCTTCCTATTCACCTCGGCTCATCAGTAGCCGCCTAAACCTCTTAGAGAGAAATTAAGGTTCCCTGCACGGCCTGCTTTATTGGTTTTCTTTGTCCCTTGCCTTTCTTAAAGGCACTGTTAAACATAGCGGAAATATAGCGGTGAGTAGAGAGTGTCCATTCTGAGTTAGGGAAATTAATAATTACATGCTCTCTAGATGTGTGCCTAATGCCCTAGCCAAATCAGATTTTTCCCTGTATCTACTGCAGCCTCCCCGATGTTGTACTTTGAGCTGTTGTCGTATACCGCCAGGCACCATCCAAGTATATATGTGAAAATTCAATCAGCCACATACCTCATACGTGCATGGGGTTGAGACTGTCATAATCAATCGAAATAATAAATGTTTGACATCAATAGAATGCCCCACACAACCCTATGGAATACGGAGTACCCAGCCCTATGCCCTAAATGTAATAAGTACCCGTTACTCTGTACTTTGTAGTGCTAGTTAGTAAACAGGTTGCAGGTCGGATAGGTATTAGTAAATAACTAACTTAACTACTTATCACTACAATAATAAGTCCACCAGACGCGGTAATTACATGTGAAGTAGGTTTTAGTAGAACAAGTGTGAAAGATCTCGAAGGTCCTTATACATTGTAAATCACAGGAGTATGTCGATACGGCATTGCGTGCAACCCAAGTAAGAGATCTGTTTACTACATTCAATAGCGTACTAAATCTGAGTATATATACTACCTGTTTTTACTACTCTTGTTTAGCATCTACCAATATTTCGGTGTGGGTATATACTTAGCGGCGTAGACTGGATGAGTACAGCATAAATACCACCAACCCATGTAAAGACCTGCATTGCCCCCGTCAGATATATCGTGCTCGCCTATTTGGCCCTGTCTACACTAGCCATCCAACAATATAAAGACAGTAGTTACCGATATCATTTGATGACTGAAACAATCCATCCTTTCTTACTGCACATATTCAAGGCACTTAATATCGTCGCTATAATACGACCCAGCTATACTCAGCTAGAGTACATCAAGGCGACAGGTCCATAACTACTCAGCAATATTACCTAATGTGGCGTCAGATGATGTCGCGCTTCGATGATTCTGCCGCGTCTGCCCGCCCCATGACGGTACTCAAAAGTTCTTCAGGTTGATGCTTTTTCTTACTGTCTACAAGGAAATGTCCGGGTGATATCTGCCCTCCGTTGACAATTGCGCTTGGAATCTGAAATAAACATCTTCCTGCTTTCCTGGGCCTCTAATCAGCCCGAATTATCTTCATATTCCTCCCCCTTTCTCGTCATTTGTTTCGTTATCTCATATTATGGCTCCCCCGCGGCAGCGCACGACAGCTGTTCAGGATGACTCTCGGTCTGAAGGCTCCAGTACGACTAGAGAGCATAAAACGACTACGGCAAAGGGCCGCAAGGGTAATACTTCGCTTGCATCAACCTCTGTTTCAAGTCGAGAGGCCAAACACCTTCCCAATATCACCAGCGCCCCTGCTGGAGATGAGCCGGACACTCAGCCAAAGGTACGTAGTGAGGCAAAAATATGCGTCTCCTTTTACTCCTCTATTCGCCTACTGTGCTTGTCTTTCTCTCTTTCCCTTCTTTTATTTTTAATTCTCCTGTTACTAACTTCCTGTCCCTGTTCTCTAGTTGCATTGGACCGAAATGCCCCTCGAGATGCTCCATTCTTACCGACACGCCTACAAACTGCCTTGCCCCAGTGCTTTTAACAGCGAGTACTCTCGTCTCCTCCTTTCCAAAGGAATTGGCCTCCGATCACCGACATCCATCGCCGCCCAGAGAGCCCATTTGTCTCAATCCGACAAAGACCCCAAACCGAACGGGTCCAATAGTACAAAGAAGACTCTGCACACCAGCACAGACCGCCGAAATGGTACAGCAGCTAAATATTCATCGAGTCAGCAAAATCGCCATGCAATTGATGAAAAGACCGCATTGAACAACATCTGCAGTCAGGATCGCGTGAGCAAAAACCAACTTGCCCTGGCGGTGCGTAAACATTTCAGCAGTGCCGGACTTGCGGAGCAAGAGGCAATCGCTCGATTTTTGTATAAAGTTCGCGAAGAAGGAAGAGGCCGACACTTTCGTCTGAGATTTCAGCCCTAGTTCTTCGTACGCGGAGGGGAAAATAATATGGCCTTCTCCTGATTTTGTTGTGTCTTCACATTTTCGACTTTGAAGAATCCCCCCTTTTTTATCTCTCCCAGAATTATCTGGAAGAGACTGACTGACCTCTGGTTCGGACAAGAGATTTCTGCTTTTGATTTGATTGATCTCTATTCGTTCGACTCTTTCTTTGACCCATCGCTCTCCCCTTTATCATGATACCCATTGGTGTTGGTTTGATTTGAATACATTCTACTCATCATCTCACTATCACTTTTTTTTTTTTTTTTTTTTTTTTTTCTTGGCTCCGATACCGCAATCTACATTGCCTACATTCATGATACCAGCATCATGTTCATTGTCATTGTCTGATTAGATCGGTGCAGCAACTTCAAGAACAGGACGCAGGTATCTTGAGGACGGAGCTATAATTACCTGGCCATTTATGTTGGGATTTCTTTTTCTATTTCTTTCTGCGTTCCTTTTCTGCTTTTCACTGTTTCTGCATGTATCCCGTGTACAGTATATTACTGGGGATAGGAGGGTGTATTCCATATACTAGAGCCATTCATTGCTCTGCATATTTTTTCAACCTTGTACAGTACTCATGGATATTGCTTATGTTAGCGTATTCTGATTTAATATGACTCTCACTCTCTATTCATTTCTTTTCTCCTCGCTTGATATCACTATCCCGAGCTAATTGATTGTCTAGAATAAACAATAGTGGAGAGGCTCCAAATTCATACCTGAGATCAGAATATCTAGAATGTCCAGCTACGAAGCAAGATCCCTGAAATGGAGAACTTCACTGAAATTCAATTCGCTTCGTATAGATACATAAAAGAAGCCAAGCTGGTCAGACGCAAATATTCCAAGCGTGAATATGAATGTGCAAGTGCTCTGTAGAACCAAGAGAGCGGTCAAGCTAAACACGAAGAAGGGACAGGCTAAGCTAAGCCAACAAGCAGGACGAGAAGCCGAAGAATAAAAAATAATGCGATCAAAAACGCCTGGATGCAACCCTTTCCCACCTTCCAAAAGCCGTAATAATAAATCTATCGTACTTTCATGTTTGCAGTCTCCGGGTATACTGGGAAAATTTACCTATTTCCAAGCGTTCAGTCCGGCCCAGGGATCACCAGATGAGGCGGCAGGCTGGCCGTGCGACTGTGAAGACTGTGACTGGGCCTTGTGATGCTGGCTTGAGCCATATGGTCTGCTCTGGGCGTATCCTCCAGGGCCGGAGGGAAATGGCCCCGACGAGGAAGGATACGAGGTTTGCTGGGGACGTGGTGGTGGCGGCGGCGGAACGAATCCCTGGGGCATGAATTGAGATGGGGTGGTTGAAGGAGTAGGACCGGAGAAGGTACCGAACGGGGCTGGTGTGGAGGAATAAAACTGCTGATTCGGTGGGGGTGAAGCCGATGGTGGGAATGGATATGCCATGGGGTTATAGCCTTCAGAGAGAGGCGCGGCCGCTCCCTGCTGGAATGGCTGCCCCGGGACGTATGAGACGCCACTCGCGGGGTTCATATACTGTCCATAGGGCGCTGGAGAATGAGAGAGAGGAACACCGTGCATTCCCCCGGGCGGATAGCGCGGAGACGTCTTCGGAGAAGATACGCCGGGGCCAGGGTACCCGGGGGCCTGCACAGGAGGCGGAGGTGATTTGACCTTGGATGGAGCGGCCGACGGCGCAGAAGGGGTGGATGTTGGCTTCGGCTCGGTCGATAGGCGCTCCATCAGTTGCCTCAACTTCTCCCGCTCGCGGTCTTCCTGCTCCGATGCACCACTCGCTTTGTCCCGCTCTATCTGTCCTAGAAGTTGGGCCCCCTCTGAACGTCGGTTGTTGATGAAGGTCTCGACATTCTTCTTCAGGCTATCCACCGTTTCCGTCATTTCCGCATAAAAGGTCTGGGCCTGGACTATCCCTGACTTGAGACCATTAAAGGCCTCGTATACTTTCTTATACCGTGCCATTACAGTGTTCCGTTGGCGGGTGATGGTTTCATATTTCGACTGCTCGGACCGAACTCGTTTGTCCTGAAGGAGGTCGCCATAGATCTTCGTAAGCTCCTTCATCAAAGAAGACTGCTTATGATTGGCCTGCAGCAGGCGGTTTTGGTGCGGCCGGAACTTTTCCAACTCTGCCTCAAACAGCTGACTCTCCTGCCCGGCAATCGACTTCTTGTTCAATATCAAAACGTTCGAAATGTCGTCATTGTGAACCTAGAAAATGTAATGTTAGCTGTCGCTTATCAAACGCCGTCGCCCAAGGAAATGCATACCTTCTCCTTCAGGTCCTTCAAAACCTGGGACCTTTCCCGCTTGACCAGGTTCAGTTTCTTCAAAATGGATTCGACCCTGGCGATTTGGTCTGCCACCGAGAGACTTCCCTCGTCATAAACGTCGTCTAGTAAGCTCCCCTCTGCGGTTGAAGTGTACGGGCTGACGTGTCCGTTCTTCCCTTTACCGTGCTTGGAGCCAGCCTTGATCATTGCTCGCTGGAAAAGCACCTCAGCCTCATCTGTTTCCCCGGCGGACCGCATTTCATCAAAGTCTGCCTCGTACTGTCGAAATGTGGATAGAAGCTGGGTGTCGCTGGCGCTGGCTTCGTTAACAGTATCTCGATAGGTCCGGATATCCCCACGGAGAGTCGGGTTCAGTCGGACACTGGGCTGCTGGCTCCAGTCCGCCCCATATTTGGAGCGCATCTTCTCACACACACTTTCCTCCAGATCGAGCTGCTTCGAGCATTGGTCCAGCTGCGCGAGGACCTCCGACTTGCGTTCCTGCAGACTGTCAAACGCTTTTGTGAACGACGCATGGCCTGCTAGTTCTTGGCACCACTTCCTGAAGTCGTCATCCACCGTCATATCCTGATCCATCCCCCCCTTGAGAATGTTCAAGCTGCCAGGCAGCTTTAAGTAGTCCAAGCTTGCGGCCATTTCCCCGTTCGCAGTCTCCACCTTTTCCGTCTCTGCTCGGATTATTTTGGCTTTCTCTTCGTCATAGAGACTGGCCGTCTCGGTGACGGACATGGGCACCAGTTTCTGGAAGATGTCCGGCCCAATGATGCGTTGGATATCTTGGCCCTGGTAAAGCTCACTGACTGGAATGGCCTTAGCCGCTGGGAGCTTGGCAACGGCGGAGAGGCCCGCTTCATTCGGAACAGGCTGGTGGTAGATAAAATCATTATCCTTGACGAGGGTGGCGAGCCGGGCCTGCACATTGGCCAGATGGTATTTGATGATCTCCATCAGGTTGGAGCCGGTCTCGGAGCTCAGGTTGGAATTTGGCGGAACAGAGGACGGAAACGACTTGATCCAAGTCAATGCCGTAGTCGAGTTCTTCTCCGCCAGCTGCAGCCTCGCAATAGCCACGCCGTGGGATCCACTCTCACTGTCCGCCAGGGCCTGGTAGTAGGAGGCTACCGAGACCATGTGTGTTGCCTTCGCCTGCACTACGATCAACCAGACCTTCTCAAATACGCCCTTAGCATGCTCCTGAATCCCTTCCGCCGCCTGGGAATAGAGATAGGCTGCCTGGCCCGCTAGTTTGGCCAGAAAACCAGCCTTTTTCAGGTCGGCCACTTGCTTCTCAAGGAAGACTTCCTGGCCCTGAGCGAGGGATATATTGATGAGGGTCTTGACAGTCTCCCGGTTCAGGTCGGTCGACGGGGCATGTAGAAAGTTCTCGTTGATGTAGGTAAACATTCCCGCTGCTGCCTGGAAGGAGTGATAGGCGGTTTTCAGGCCCGTATCCTCCGCGCGGTTCTGGTTGGCGGCATGACAGGAAAGAACGGCGGAGATGTTGAAAATGATCGAGGCTTTCTCAAAGGCCAAGGAGTATTGTGCAGTTGACTTGTGGGTAAAGGCGTCGTACCTGCTTGTTGCATAGCGTCGACACGAGCGTTAGTGCACCCGGTTGCCTTCGGATATGGGAGGTGCTGATGGTAAAAAGAGAAAACAAAAGGACACCCACCAGGTGAAGGAGATTTTTATGTGGTTCTCATCCACGGGGAACCTCAGATCCAGCAGCTCCAGCTGCCCATAATAGCGGTAGAGAAGGTCGCGGCCCGTCGCACTGTCCTTCCCCGCGCCTCGCATATCCTGGCGCAGGCGGTTGAGAGTCGCGCATTCTTGACTGTAGCGTTCGGGGTCTTCACCATAACTCTGGCGAATGTAGTCCTTGAGGGGCTGGATCCAATCGATTTCGTTGGTCTGTTTAAGCGGACACGAGATCATGGGCGATTGAACCATCATGTAGATCGGCAGGAGCTGGGAGCTCCCATCCACAGGGTGAACTGACGAAGATCGATGACAAGAGCCGATACTTGAGGACGAGGATATGCGGCCCGAGGACGAGGGGAGGAGGATTGACACTGTGGGGTATTGGGCGGGTTTAGCTGGTGACAGCGGCGGATATTGGGTTACTTGGGATTTGGTTGGCCAAGTGGGTCAACCGTGAACAAATAATTAATTCATTAATTCATTAATTAATGGATTGTGAAATGAATGAATGTCTGACCGTCAGTTTGTACAGAGGAGATGCGAAGGGGATGAAAGAGGGAGGAAGGAGGAGGAAGAAGATGAGGTGGTGAGAGAGGGCGGTCGATCGTCTTTGGGCGCCAACCACTTACAAGCAATCAACCCGAGGAAGTAATACCGTTGCAGCGCCACGTCGATGGAGAGAAGACGCCTAATTCCAATGATACACACCACATATATATACGGAGTACACATGTACCGGACTCTCTAGACAGCTTGATGTCTTTCCTTTTTTGTTTTAGTGCTCGCCCCTCGCTGCTTTTTATTTACTAATAGGCCTTGAAGTGGTCCGACTCAGGTTCCAACTCTTGAGACCTGGAACCTGAACCTGATTTGCGTAATTTTGCCAAATATTCCTAATCCAGATCCATAAAATAGTGATTTATCCCAAATTATTATTATTATTTACCGCTGTTCTCCCCATAAATGTCGCGATGTGCCTATATCCTTCATCAAATTAGGTAAATTTTGCTGTATATAGAATCCGCAGCATGGAAAACCGTATAGCTCACCAGGTTTAGTGGCCTTAGGGCTCTTGGTGGTTGACCCTGGTGGAAGTAGTAGTATGATATATAATGTAAGAAATATATATGTTGCACTGAGCATTATACTACCAACCTCATCATCATACTAGCCAATTAAGAGCTTTTATAATAGTATAACCTGTATTAGTGTTTTAGTTCCCCTTTTGATCTATTAATCTTATTATTTACTCTTAATATCATGTGTTAATCCCTAGAAAGCGATAAACTATATACTGGGGGTGGACGACAGGCAAAATCAGACAGAAACGAGTCTTTATGTGGGCCATAGGTTCCAGGGGTGGTAATGTCAAGTTCATGCCCTTCGACTGGGCCGCATCAACTAATTAGTTATTGCAAGTATAGATAGATATACTAGTCTATATTATAATAAATGTATCCACCCTTTCATTCAGCTCTCATAGGCAGCCCAGTCTCCTAGATTTGAAATTCCCTTAGTTCTAGCTCACAAGACTTCCTGTAGCTTTTCTAATCTTTATGATTCTGATTTCATTATTCACTATGTCACAGTGTCAAATCTCTCAGTTATCCGACAATTATCACTTATTTTCAAGGATAATCCTTTAGACAATTTTACCTTTCTTCTATCTGATGGTCCACAGGTATTTATCCCTAATACTTTATATAGCCAGCCAATAACTACTTCTAAACCTAATATTAATTTCGCCCGGCCACCGCTGCCGCCATCTATCTCTGATACCCTAGAACGTGTTGGCCCATGACCAGTGTTGATGGCATACGATCGTTCTATATTTTGCGTGTTATTGCTAGCAAGATCCAGCCAATCTTCGCTAAAGGCTCCCACAAACATCTAACATCTTTCCCCTTACAATTTGTCTCCCCAGCGCACTTTAGCCACTCCCAGAACTCCAATAACTTCCGTTGTTTCGAGTCTGTGATGAAAGCATGCGCTCAGCATAGAGGCGATCCCTACTAATACCGTTATTTGTTTCCTTACTCCATGACATGAAATTGCCCGTCTCTGCCCTTAATTAATGGCATAGCTATCTTTGCGGTCTGCATCTCATTCTTCCTCTTCCGTTCCGGGGGCCAAGATAGGGTAATGTGCCTGGTTTCACATACCTCGTCTCTACCTGTGATATATAATTGGAGGCTACCATATAGTCAGATTTTACAAATACTAGACCCAGCCTTCTACCCTTTTTTTTTTTTTTTTTTATTTTTTTTTAAAAAATTATTGCCCATTCTTCACAAGTTACGCGTCATCACGACCAGCACTAGATAAAATGTCAATATTCATATACAGGCAGCCAAGAATTTTCCGCAAGGACTGAACGATCAGACACTCTATTTCATGAAGAATGCGCTGATAGCGTCCAGTAAGACGCTCCGGGAGTTGCAATAGTTGCCCTGCTGGAAATTTTTCATCTGGTCAAGTCCAAGTAGACTAGTCAAGAAATCAAGAGCTTGTCAGCTGTGGCCAATAGAGCTCATTGGTCGTACAATGGTCCCAACGAATATAAGCAAGACTTAGCAGGATCTCGAGCAGGTGCTGAGATGTGGTTGCGTCGGGGAATGCAACAAGACTTCAACAGCATTCCCGGTCTCATCATCCGCATGCGTCCAATAAGAAATAGCCCTGGAGTATCAAGACTGACAAAGGCTTGCAAAGCTTGTGTACAATGGCATGATTGGAAGATATGCTTATATTTATATTTCCTACCAGGGCAGCAGAGGGGTATTGGGAGCGCCCTGACATTTGAGAGTTGGTTAATCTGCGTCTAAAAATGACCAGCAATTTGCAAAATAATAAGGCGTACAGGCAAAAAATATCTAGAACAAGAAGTTGGAAGAATGCTTGCCTCCTTTGCCTTGCTTCCATAAATATATCTTAAAGAACTCGGCTGTTCTTGACTCTGGAACTACTATTTATACATTTAACTATATATCCTAATTCGATAACTACTGGACAGTCCCGGGAGACTTTATATAGGCAGGAAATTTAAAATTCCTATCCAGGGATACGGTAATGCCAACATAGTTATTTTTATTTTTATTTTTTTTTTTAAATAAAAAGGTTCTCCTACAGCCTAATAATGTTGCTCGCTACCTAAAGACGGCATGCAACCTAGTCTCACAAAGATAATTGCACTGAAAATCTATGGTGGGATGATTACCTTGGCCCGAAAATTATTGGTACAAAGGATGGCTTCCTGGTTGCCTACCTAGAGGGACCAACATGATTAACTTGTCATTGAATATATTCCAACACATGGAAGCTTTGCCACTAGACTTTTATACCAAATTTGGAACTCACAAGTCGATACTTAAAAAATAGCATCTCCATCTTGTGCATCCAGGACTGCACGCAGTAGAACACCTAATTGATACTTTAAAAGGTGCAAGAATCCAGGGTCCTACAACGGCGGAATGTGATGCCTGCGGAGTAACCAAAATAAGGCGCCAAGTCAGAAGAAATCCAAGAGATATAGTACCTGGATTGCAACTGGTAGTTAACATTCTTAAGCTTAATCAAGAATACGAAAGCTTTAAAAGCCTTATGTTGGTAACAGATAGGTAGTCTGGCATTATCTGGAATTATTAATTTTGAAATCGCACCGCGGAGGCTATTATCAAGGTATTAAAGGACTTATTTAAGACTCTAAAACATCAGTACAACATCATGCCAAACGTAATTAAGTTTGATAACAAGATAGTTACCAGAAAACTTCAAGTCTATCACTACATACTTTTGAAAAGCCTCAAGGTTGAGCTTGCTGCACTGAATAAACCGTTACAAAATGGAGGTGCAGAATACTTAAAAGCCAAGAAAAATAGGAGAGTAGGCTGTAGATATTCAAGCCAAATATATAGATAGGATATGTGTCGGATCTGGCTGCCTCGGCTGAATAAAGTTATTCGGACAAGAGATGTGATATTTAATAACAAGGAGCAATTCTCTAGAGACATGGCAGCAACTCTTGCAGTTATGTAGGATAAATTTTAACAGGTTTTCCTGGAGGAATTTGATTGAATAATAGAAAATATAGAAATGCAGAGACTGCGTCCACCGGAGACAGATATTCAAGATACCCCTGCAGAACAGACAGATGATATTCTATATATTATTTTAATTTAGTTTATTATCTTGCAGATGTTGTAGAGGATCAAGGGAAGGAGCAGGATACTTATCCGATACCTCCAAAAACATCAAAAGCATCATTCAGTCCAGCTTTATTATTTGCATCAGCAATAGGTATAGATTCTAGCAATTAAATATATTAAAGCATCTCCGTCATGGAAGGCATTATTCCTATCTGGAAGGCTTTTACAACCCACTCAGAAGCTCGAAGATCAAATCATTAGCAAAGCAACTCTGGAACGCCCAGTAAAGTAATTAAAAAAAATTCCTAGGAGTCCTGTTTAAGCGGGTAGAAAAGGATTATTTTTGGAGTTATAAAGAGATGCAGCCCTGGGAAGAGATATAGAGATCCACCTGCCTATACAAACAAGTCCTAGATTGTAAATAGGTGTACGTGTATAAATTTGACAAGCACAGCAGATTCCAGAAGTGCAGGGCATGACTAGTTATTCATAGAGATTAGAAAAAAGACCATACGGATAATCTATATACAGTAATATTAGTGGTTAGATTATTAAAATTTTAATATTAATCACAGCTAGATTTACCCTGGAAGTTAATTAATATAATATTACTTATACTTTTGTCAATGCAGACATGGATAAGCATGTTTTCATGTGAATGCCCCAGGATATTGAATGCCTGGAAGAGTACTAAAGCTAAAAAAAGCCCTCTTGGGACTAAAACGGTTTTTCACGCCTGCAGCAGAGACTACTTAAGAAAAGCCTTTAAAATATAGGCTTTATACCTATTCCGTAAGAGCCATGTTGCCTAGCGAAAAAGATATCTAATTTCTTCTGTGAATGATATGTTCTTTGCATATAGAAAGAATACCACTGAAATAGCGCAGGAACTGATCCAAAAGCTAAAATGCTAATACAAAATAACCGGTGCAAGCTGCAATGGTTTCTAAGAAGTGAAAGTATTTTGGGACTGAAAATGCACTTAATATGGCTAGGTCAGTCCTCTTATATAGACAAATTGCTAACCTGGTAAATTCAAAGAAACTAAATACTATTCCAATATCTTCAGATAGTATCTACTCCTATGCAGATACAGCAGGCTTACATTTATATATATTAATAAAGGATTAGTTCCTTGATGTACATAGTAGCTATGATTTGGATTCAAGCCCAGACACTATAGAGCAGAATATCAGATGCTTCAGTACCTAAGATGGACTCGAGATCAGGCTCTGCAGCCGTGGGTGGAGATAGTTATATCCTATATAGTAATGCAACCTTCGCAGACAACAAGATAAAAAAAGCTCGCAAGGGTATTATTCAACTATTCAGAGGTACTGTAGGACGGAGAGCAAACAAGCAAGCAACTGTAATAATACCTACATCCAAACTGAGCTGTTAGCACCATCCCAAGCAGCTAGGGAAGGAATGTTTATGGAAAGACTAAGGATGTGTAACTTCACCTGGATAATCATCAAGTTCGCATCCTATGTGATAATATGCAGACAATTCGATTAGTAAATAAAAATATAAATCAATTGCAAACACGGCTTCGTCATGTGGACATTTATACTAGCCAAGGCACGAGGCAGAGAGGAAGGATCCAAATTAAATATTACCCCACCAACAAGATGTTGGAAGATGGCCTCAGCAAGGCGCTTCCTAGGCACAAATTCGAGCTATTTGTGAACCAACTAGGCCTAAACATCTCTTCATATCTAGGTTAAAGAGCTCTTTCCTTCTTAGCATTTTCTGATATGGGTAATTCCCACTCTGATTTCTCGGTTATACGGCATGCAGGATCTTGGATGTGCCCCCCAGCGCCATGAAACCTGGCCATGTGCGAGGGAAAAAAAAAAAAAAAAAAAAAAATGGCCTGTCGGTCAAGGGCGAAGAAGAGAAAGTGCGAGAAGACGAGCACTGTTGGAACCAGTGATTACCGGCCACTGGAAGGCGCAGATTCAATTGCTATTACGCCAAAGCAGTCAGTTGCTGGAACAAACCATACTAATCCTGCTATCAAATTAATTACCGTTGGAAGGGTTCTACAAGGATATCCAAAATTGGAGCGCCGGTTTTACGAGTTGCTTGTTCTTCTGAGTGTTATAGACCCAGAGCTAGTAATCCTAACACTCCCATCAATGATACCTTGGATGAACTGCGAAAGTCGTTTATTAATGGTATCGCAATGATATGTGACTCGCGCAAGGGCGGTAATACTGCCACAGCTGTAGCACTACAGGCCACGCCTCAGTAAACTTTTATCTGGCTTGTTGCCAATGAGAGACCGAGCGGCAAAATGACGGATTATTTGCTAGAAGTTTTTGCATCTTCTTGCCAGAAAAAGGAAGAGCAAAAACTTTCAGTGACTGGAATAATCACGGACAAGGTCATTGAGGTTTGTGGCCGACGACTGAATTATACCAAGGCTCTCTCCAAGTGTTAGAACAAGATTGAATCTTCTAAAGGTGACTAGTTCTGCTTGTTTACTACGCCTCACCCCTATCAACCCATTTTCCTCCTACTTTCTACTTGGTAAAGAAGGTATAGGCTTACTGAATTATCATTGGAAGTATCCAATGTACCCAGTAGCGATCCCGAATTACCATAGTAACTGACTGGCTGAAAGATCTGCGGAACCTCACGACAGATCATATGAAACCTCTAAAGGATATTAACAAAGTCTGCATGAATAACCGGAATTTATTTCCGGTCTATGCTTGTCCGGCAACAAAAAGACTGGCAAGCATCAACCAATCACGCAAGCAAAGGACATCTAGCACTCTATCTAAAAAGGCGTTTGGGCATTAGTTGAGGGTTTTATCGCTGTATAGATGAAAAGCCAGTGAAGGTTCGGTCACATTTCGGCTCTCCACCGCTCCACCTCGGTGGATCATTCGAGAGAGACAGAATTGAAGCTGCCTACCAAGCTTGACCTTAGCCTCTAGCAAGTGGAGGGTCGGGACATCTCGAGATATGTATTCCATCTCCAGGAAAGACTTGTGAAGTCTTAATGTATTGGAAGCGATGGCTTCAGTCAAGCGTTTAGATGAAGCGTTAGTAAGGATATACCTGTCGCTGGTCAGGGCGCTCCACAGTCTAATTGAAAACTAATAGCTAATATATTTTAACAAGCATACAAAACCCGGCTTCCTCGTTATACAGATTATCGACTTCTATTTGTAGGTCTTATAAGAAGCTTGACCTTATAAACTATTACTTGTATAATAGAATTCTCGTTTACTACTTCCCCCAAAGCTTACCCGTTGACTTCAGTTGCATAATTCAAAGCTATTCCAGGCCTACAAGCACTATTACCGGGTTCCGAATTATCGGACTAAACGATTGGGCAGTTTAATTACAAGAAAAGTAGATTTTTTCTGCTCTATCCATAATATCTGGATACAGGCCCTTAGGAAATCAACTATCCGGCATGAGTTAAGCATTATGGGTTTTAGCCCTTGGATCTAGAGATTATTTACAAACCACTCTGCCCAGACGACGACGGGCCAGATCTAGTAATCTACGATGGAGGAAAGGAATACGAGCTACTAGGATTTGGTAATTAGCCAGATCAAGAAGCGGAAGGGGAAGATAGAAGGGGTAATTTATTAGAGATATCCCAATAAGAAACTTTGCCAGCCTTCAGTTCTACGGTTAATTCACCGCTAAAGACATTAAAAAAACTCTGGGAAAAAATTACAAACGCAAGGGAGAGATTCCCAGATAATGCAACGCCCGAAATTGTGAAGCTGAAGCGCTGTCTAGAGTTAATTTTTAAGGGTAGTTTTACCCAAGCCGGATTAGCAGCACAGTCATTTACCAACTTACGCGCATATTAATTATAATTAATCAGGAGCAGGCCAATGCCCCTAAGACTTGGTGCCAGGTTTCTAAAGGGAGCATTCTCGATGTTAGTGATTTAAATACTATAAACCGGTCAAGGTATATTGTAGACGCTGAGAAACAACGACGGAAGTGGGCCGCGGAGGCAAAAAAAAGCGGCATGAATGGGCTCGTCAGGACCAAATTAGGGATCACGGAAATCGGAGAAAAGCGAGGAGATTGAATGGAGAAAGCAGATAACGGCCAGCCACTATATTGTATAGATAAAAAAGGGGAGGCGCTGTAAATAGCTTCCATTCTACGTGGGGTGTACGTGGGGTGGGAAATATTTCACTTAGACTGTTCATTAGACTGTGGAGGGCCCGACATTTGGGGGCGGGTACTCTGCGAAGTGATATTCAGTGGAGTTTATTCAGAAGCAGACGAATAGTTAGTATAACCTTGATAACCCTATAGACATGTCAAACTATTTGTCCAGGTTCGCCTTGATTGTTATCATTGACTCACATTGACCTAACGATTATTAAGTTGGGTATTCCCTAGTTATTCATAATCAGTATATCTAGATGGTTACAATATTAATTTCGCCAGAATCGATCCCAGATCCTAGATATCCCAGTACTGATTATTCCTACTTTATTGAGACAGGCACTTGGGTTCTCACACTCATGGAATCTTCTTATCACGATCTGTGCCGAGAATTGTTTATTTTCACCAAAGGATCCCAATAGGTTCACAACCGTAGATAGCCAATGATTCAGAAATTTCCGAACTACGTTCGGCATGGATTCAGCTAGGAGGTTGAACAGATATCCTTGCACAAAACCCCTTTGCTGCCTGTCAATTGCTTCCCCACTTTCCGAGAAAGGGATTGCCAGCGCCTGAGCAAACCTAAGACACAAGTAGGCAAAAAAAAAAAAAAAAAAAGCTTTGGTGATCTCCTTACTTGAAAAACAGTGTTCTGGGCCGCTGATCATAAATCTTTCAGTCTAGTCCAAAGCTAAAGACACAGTAGCGTACTGCGGTTGCATATTATAATATACCTGTTTCGGGGATTTTTGAAAAGGTTAATACCAGCCTTGCTTCCACCTGCCGTACAAGCTAACTTATTTCAGCTCTTAAACGATCGGTGCCGCGTAGAGTGCGACGGCCATTATTCTATGGCCAATCTCTACTAGCACCTGACGTCCCTGTGAGTGACTTAAAACTCCCTAGGGTGTTACTCTAACACACCGCGGGGGCTGCCTACGATTATCATTTACCTAATGAAGAAGAAAATCCCTAATTTAACGAAAAAGTTCCGAACGGTAGGTACTGAACGTGAGATCGTGATCAGGCATACCTTTTAATGTGCGGATAGAGGGCAATCACCGACCTCCCAGTTCAAGACGAAGAGGGTGTTGGTCGTCTGGAATAAGAGAGCAGCAAAGCTGGCAGTGAGTTATCGAGACGACACTTTTGACTGGCTTTATCATTTAGAGAGCTAGTATTCCCTCGTCTGTCCTACTTGTCGACATTTAGCGCCATGTTGCTGGCAGAATAATATAGCGGTAGTTGTTTATTGGCCATTAAAGCCCCGGCTGCCAGCGTTAAAAATCGACAAGTAGGACAGACAAAGGGATATATATGTGCTGCAGGAATATGGAGAGGGTAGTGTTGCGTGATAGTACTGCAGTCCTAAAGAATCCCTCGATCAGTCTATGTTTAATATGACTGGATAATGTAAGCCAGAGATAGCAAGATGCGTTGTAGTAATAAATGCAGTGTAGGAAATGCAGTGCATACCAAGGGATGTGTGATCAACTATTGTATGCAGGGATGGATTAGCGCATACTGAAGGGATTGTCAGGGTTAAAGACACCTCCCATGTCCATCACTGACTGTATAAGTGAATATATAGGGGGCTAAAGCGTTTGAAGGAGCGAAGGGATGTCGTGAAAAAAAGAGACCAGGGTCCAGAATATAGTATTGATCTGAATCAAAACAGCATTCTCCAAGAAAACTTTTCTTTTGATTGGACCACCTGGGTTACATTGCATTTACAGCATCGTGTGACTGTGCGTCTGTTGCTAACAATATTGTTCCATTCGCTCATAGCCGATTGCTTTTTCCCGGACAGAAGCTCTTGATCAACTCCATATCACTTGCCAACAGCTTGTCTCCGCGGACGAAGACACCAAGCCCAGACAGAACCTAACCGAAACCATGCCTACACTTGCACAAGCTGCGAAAGAGCAATTCGACAGTTTACATCGCCGGGAAAAGACCCGGCTTTGCCAGGAGGACTACTCGCTCTGTCTCACCAGCACTTGCAACGCCGATAAGGATAATAAAAATGAGCCTCTTGCCATTGTCGGTATGGGCATGCGTCTCCCAGGAGGAGTTCGCACTGCCAACGCCTTCTGGGACATGATAATCCAGAAGAAAGATGGCCTGTGCGAGGTACCGGGAACTCGTTATAATATCGATGGGTTCTACAGTGCTTCCAAGCCACATTCTGTGAAAACGAGACATGGATACTTTCTCCAGGAAGATCCTACCTTTTTTGACGCCGACTTCTTCTCCATATCCAGCTATGAGGCGGAAAGGATGGATCCTCAGCAAAGGATGCTTCTCGAAGTCGTTTGGGAGTGCTTGGAAAGCGCGGGTGAAACAGACTGGTGGGGAAAGGACATAGGGTGCTATGTTGGAGTGTTTGGAGAGGATTGGCTTGAGAGCGCCCTGAAAGACTCCCAAAATATTGATCGATTTCACGCCGTCGGCACGGGTCCGTTCGCCCTTGCGAATCGTGTATCCTACGAATTCGATTTTCGAGGTCCTAGGTGAGCATGTTTCCGAGCCTTCTCCCGGCATGGCAATATAAGTCAGCTCAAAGAACTAATGGCTGCCCGGAACAGTATAACTCTTCAAACAGGTTGTTCATCGTCGCTTGTTGGATTGCATGAGGCATGCCAGGCTATCCAGGCCGGGGAGTGCAGCGGCGCCATCGTCGCTGGTACCAGCTTGATTTTGACCCCAACAATGACCACAACTATGTCTGATAACATGGTGCTATCGCCTAGTGGTATATGCAAGACATTTGACGAGAGTGCGGATGGGTATGGTCGTGGGGAAGCTATTAATGCTATTTATGTTAAGACATTGAGCCAGGCGATTAAAGACAACGACACTATTCGGGCAGTTATCCGATCCACCTCCACTAATTGTGATGGAAGGACCCCTAGTATCTCTACACCAGGGTCAAGCTCTCAGCTAGAGTTGATAAAGCGCGCATACCAAAAGGCCCGCATTCACGATATGTCCAAAACTGCCTTTTTTGAATGCCATGGGACGGGTACCAGCGTTGGAGATACATCAGAAACATCCGTCGTCGCCAAGCTATTCATGGAAAAAGGAATTCTGATAGGAGCCGTAAGCATTATCTAGCTAGCAGTCTTTTGGAACAATGAACTTACTTGGACTGGCAGGTGAAACCGAATGTTGGCCACAGCGAAGGCGCCTCGGGCATAACCAGCATTATAAAAGCCGCTTTGGCGCTGGAGCATCAGATGATTCCTCCAAATGCGCACTTGACCACGCCAAACCCGAAGATCCCATGGGACGAGGGAAAGTTACATGTCCCCACTGAACCGACAGCCTGGCCGATGGATCGTGCCAAGCGCGTGAGTGTAAATTGCTTTGGTATGGAAACAGTTATAAACCACGGAGCTCTTCTGAATGGCATGAAAACTAACTAACTCTTCTTGGAAAAAGGAATCGGTGGCTCCAACGCTCATGCTATACTTGATTCTGCACAGGAATGCGGTGTACAATATAACGAAGTCTTGAAAAAGCACGATGAAGCCGGGTTGCTTGTTGTTTCGGCAAAGAGCAACGAAGCCTTGAAGAAACGAATCGCCGAGATTACTGAATACAATAATAGTCATCCTTCCTGTTTTCATGACTTGGCGTACACCTTAGGCCTTCGTCGCGAGCATCTTTCGCATCGTGCGTTTGCAGTTGTGAATCCCGGCGTGCCACTTGACGTTTCTGCTTTCCAGAGTCATTCTTCGAAGCCACGAGATATGGTTTTTGTGTTCACCGGACAAGGTGCACAGTGGCAGGGGATGGGAAGCCAGCTAATGGAGGCCTTCAGCAGTTTCCGAAATGACATCCATCTAATGGATGAGATATTGCACGCAGTTGATGGAACACTGGATTGGTCATTAACGGGTAAGTGTTCTCAGCAAGACCCCTATTCTCACCTGTGTTATTCACCGGATGCCTAACCTAACCACCGGCAAAACAAAGATGAGCTTTGTACTCTAGGAGATAAATTACGTGTGGATCGAGCAGATCTGTCGCAACCGCTATGCACTGCGGTGCAGATTGGCCTCGTTAACCTGCTGCATGGCTGGGGGGTCAAGGCCTCAGCTGTTGTGGGCCACTCTAGCGGCGAGATTGCGGCGGCATACGCCGCAGGTGCTCTGACGCTGCGATCAGCCATATTGCTGGCATTCTATCGCGGGCAAGTGGCAAGAAACAAAGATGGCTCAGGAGCGATGGCGGCGGTAGGACTAGGCCGGGAGGACATTGCTCCATATATATCTAGAGTCGATGGAATCGCGATTGCCTGTGAGAACAGCCCTAGTAGCACCACTATCTCGGGGCATCAAGACCAAGTTGCACGCTTCCGTGAGTTAATTCAGAAAGAACAGCCAGAGACCTTCTTTCGCCAACTCCGCGTGAGAATCGCGTACCATTCCCACCATATGCTGGACTTAGGAAACGTATATGAGGACCTTATGAAACCCTACATTGAAACTAATCCGGAGATGGTGCCTCTGTTTTCTAGTGTTACTGGAAATATAATCACCAATCCAACAGAGCTCGGCGCATCCTACTTTCGTCGCAATCTAGAGTCTCCAGTGCTTTTTAACCTGGCTATTCAGAACATCTTTCAACACCAGCCGGGGTCTCAAACCTTCCTAGAGGTGGGCCCGCACTCGGCGCTCGCTGGGCCACTCCAGCAGATTTTTGCGACGTATAAGGGCAAGGATCATCCAGTGTACATTCCCACATTGGTACGCAACAGTGAAAGCAGTGCACGAGATCAGCTTCTCACAATGCTTGGTCGTGTCTATATAAATAACACCACCTCGAACCTGTCACGTATTGTTCATCACGGACGGCTCTTAATAGACTTACCAACCTATCCTTGGCAACATGCTCGCACGTTTAGAAATGAAAGCCATATAGTGAACAAATGGAGAACGAGCCAAGTATCCCATCATGAGCTGCTTGGTTCGAGGGTGTCAGGCACATCGGACCTGGAGCCGATGTGGCGGAATGTGTTCCGTTTAGAAGATGCCCCGTGGGTTGGTGACCATGTCCTCCAGGGAGACATCATCTTCCCTGCTGCTGGCTACATTTCAATGGCAGGGGAAGCAGTTATGCAGCTGCATGATGATGAAGGCTACTCACTGCGCAACGTGACCCTGAAAGAGGCGCTACTTTTAAAGGATATGGAGCATACGGAGATGGTCACGAGTTTAAAGCCGCTTCGGCTAAATGATCTGGCAGACTCAGAATGGTACACATTTACCATTACGTCCCGGTCAAATGACGATTGGGTGAAACATTGCCATGGAGAGGTCCGGCCTGGATTTGACACTACTCTCAAACAAGTGGAAGGGGATATACCGACTTATCCAAGAGCTGTTCAGACTGACAAATGGTACCAGGCTTTAGACCATTGCGGTCTGAGTTATGGAGAATCGTTCCAGGGTCTAGGCGATATTTCAGTGGATCCAAATGATTTCCAGGCTGCAGCGACTGTGAAGGATGACAAGGAGTCATACACTAGTAGATATCCACTACATCCTACAGTGATTGATAATTGTCTACAGTTGTTCAGCGTGGCAGCCACCAACGGGGTTACTCGCCGCCTGGACATGAAGGCCATTCCAACTGCATTTGAGAAGCTCTCTGTTGCTGTAGGCGGCCCGGCCATGAGAGTAATGGCTCGGAGCAGAACGTTGGCGAGCGGTATCTTGAGTGGCGACGCAACACTTATGCAAGGCGACAGGGCAGTTCTATCTATATCGAAGGCGACGCTTTTTTCGGTCAATGCGTTTGATGATGAATCGGCTGTCATAACAGAGGTCCGGTGGAAGCCAGATATTGAACTATTTCCCGCAATTGATATGGTTAAGAAAGACACTGATAATCAGACATACGTTGAAAGTTTGGTCTTAGGCGAAAAGGCAGCCATTCTTAAAATTCTCGATATAGATTCACAAACTCGAGCTGTCGAGACGCAGATTCCTCATCTGAAAAAATGGATAGACTGGGTACACTCGGAAGCCCACAAGATCCGGGAGGGCCAACACAGCATCGTCCCGGAGTCTCAACAGTGGTCTCATATGGACGAAATCAAGAGAAAGGAATTATTTGCCTCCTTGATGGACACTTGTGCTGACAAGCATGGTCAAACTGCAAAGGAAATTGACTCCGTATTATCCAACTACGAGGCATTTTTGTCAGGAGAGATCAATCCCCTAGAGTACATGATGGATAGTGAAAGACTTCCAGTTATTTATTCGTACTCTATTAGACATGTGGATTGGAGTCCCATTTTGTCCCTCCTCTCTCATTCCAATCCCTCGCTGAAAATTCTTGAGGTTGGTGCTGGAACTGGAGCTGCCACAGCATATGCGCTATCACAGCTGGAATCGCAGGGAATCGCAATGTACTCGAGCTACACGTTCACAGACATATCACCAGGATTTCTATCCTCCGCGAAAGAAAAATTCAGTGGCCATGAGAACATGGAATACAAGACATTGGACATCAGTCGGGAACCAATCGAGCAGGGATTCGAGCTAGACAGTTACGATCTAGTCATTGCATCGAATGTGAGTGATCGGTGCTATAAATCCCACCGCATCGCTCCACGTGTTGGCTAATATGATCAGGTTCTGCATGCCACCCCATCCCTCCATGCTACGCTACGAAATGTCAATAGCTTGCTGAAGCCTAATGGCTACTTGATCCTGCATGAACTTTGGACAGGTAGCTAACCATGTTTCTGTCCTTGAAAAGTCTACAACTAACTGCTATTACAGATCTCCTGACTGTTCCTGTCATTATGGTGGGTGTCTCTCTTTCTTGCCTTGTCGGCTGCGCCAAACAACGGCTACGTAGAACAGACTGACCAAAGTGCTTCCAGGGTCTACTTCCTGGTTGGTGGGTCGGTGAGAATGATGGCAGAATAAGTGTTCCATTTGTTTCACCTGCACGCTGGGACCATGAACTGCGGAGTGCCGGATTTACGGGGGCTGAAGTAACACTGTTTGATGGAGATCCACCAGTTACTCAAACTTTCAGCATGATATCGAGGACAATTTCGGCCAATATGGAGCCACAGCCGCTGGCATTAATTACCTTTGATGGTAGGAATCGGTGGGCGACAGATATGGCAAGTCGGTTAGGCGCAGAGGGCTTCCACATAAATTGGGCCTGCTTACAGGACGATCCGCTGGAGGGCCAAGACATCATAGTGATTGACCTGGATATCCCCTTTCTCTACGACATTTCGGAGAGTAACTACAAATTGCTTCATGATTATATGCTGAAGATACAGAATTCCAGGCTTGTTTGGTTTACTCAGTCGGCTCAGCTAGGCTGCAGTGACCCCAGATTTGGACTGAATACAGGGTTCTTTCGAACCCTTCGCCGTGAGTTGCATGTGGATATCTCAGTTGTGGAGATTGACGACAAGCTTGACCCTCGCTCTCTGGAAGCTGCATTATCCGCTTACAAGAAGATTCAATATTCACGTAGCAACCCTACAGCAACAGGAAATGACTATGAGTTTGTGATCCGAGAGGGAATTGTGTACATTGGCCGTTGCCATTGGTATCCTCTCTCAGAGAAGCTCCAGTTGTCGAGTGAGAAGGACTCAGATGCGCCTAAACTATTTGAAATAGGCGGATCCTTATTGGAAAGTGCCAATTGGAAGCAGATCGACCCCCAGGAACCCGGGCCACAGCAGGTTGAAATTAACATACACTATACTGCTTTAAACTTCAGGGTACGTTGTCTCATGATACAGTCCATGTGTGTGTTTTCAATCCGACTAAGAGATAATTTTTTGGATCATAGGATATTATGGTGGCCATGGGATTTGTGGGAAGCAGGGACGAACTTGGCTTTGAAGCAAGCGGTATTGTGCGCCGAGTTGGCGCCGAGGTCGTTGACCTTTCTCCTGGTGACAATGTGGTAGTTGTTGGCACCGGCCTTCTGCGAACTCGAGTGGTGGTCCATCAACAAGAGTGTAAAAAAGTTCCGGATTCTCTCAGCTTGCAGGAAGCCGTTACAATGCCCGTGGTGTATGCGACTGCCATTTATTCCCTGGTCCATATTGGGTCTTTGAAAAAGGGACAGGTATGGCATGGTTTTACTTCTCCTCACTACCTTTCATCATTTTTAATTTGAGATGCTGTTTCTGACAGATTACACAGTCTGTACTCATTCATTCTGCATGTGGCGGTGTCGGGCTAGCATCCATTTATATATGCCAGCTTATTGGTGCTGAAGTAAGTTCCTACACAGTTTTACCGTCTGCAGAATTACTAATATATATGTACATATATAGATCTACTGCACAGTGGGGAACAGAGAAAAGGCCGAGTATTTAACTAATTCCTTTGGAATCCCCCAGGAGCGCATCTTTGACTCTCGAAGTGCTTCGTTTCTACCAGACGTTATGCGCGAAACAAAAGGACGTGGGGTCGACATTGTCCTAAATTCATTGGCAGGAGAGTTGCTCCATGCTTCCTGGGAATGTGTAGCCCCATTTGGAAAAATGATTGAATTAGGAAAGCGTGATCTGCTTACCCATGGAGTTCTACCAATGAACCCATTTGATGGAAATAGAGCGTTTTTTGGAGTGGACTTGGCCAAGATGGGAGACATAGATCCTGAGATCATTTCAAGGTTTGTGACTCTGAACGCGGCGTGTTCGCAAGAGCATACTGATGGAAATACAGACTGTATGACCAAACAATACACTGGTGGCGGGAGGGCAAGATCCCAGCTATTCAACCGGTGACCATGTTTGACGCATTGCATACTGTAGATGCGTTCCGATATTTGCAGAGTGGTAAGCACATGGGCAAGGTGGTGATAGATATATCCGCAAACCAAAATGAACTGCCCAGTCGGAAATTGATCACGGTGAGTTTTTCGCCACAGAAGTCCTATCTTCTTGTGGGTGGTCTTGGTGGCATTGGACGTGCTGTTTCAACGTGGATGGTGGAGAATGGTGCCCGTCATCTAGTCTACTTTTCACGATCAGCGGGACAGTCAGCCGACGACCAAAGCTTCATACAGGAACTACGGACTATGGGTTGCAATATTGTGTGCGTGCAAGGAAATGTTACTAGTTTGATGGATGTGCAAGGAGCCATTGCGATGTGCCCCAGGCCCCTCGCTGGGGTTATTCAACTATCGTTGGCACTCGCTGTAAGTCATGGCTAGTTTGTTGATTGAAACGGAAGGATTTACTAACACCTTCTGGAAAGGACTGCTTGTATAAAAATATGAGCTACGAGGACTGGTCGGCTGCGCTGGCGCCCAAGATCACTGGCACTTGGAATCTCCATGAGGCAACAAAGGAACTAAACCTCGACATATTTGTTCTTTTCAGTTCTAGCAGCGGATTTGGAGGAAATGCTGGCCAGGCCAACTACGCCGCTGCATCCACCTTCCTTGACAGCTTCAATCAATACCGCCACCAGCTCGGGCTGTCTTCCTCAGTGATCGACCTTGGCCCGGTTCTGGACATTGGCTTGATCAGCCGTGATCCGAAACTGATTCAGGTATTACGTAGTTCAATGTTTGCCTGGCTATCCGAAAGAGATGTTGTCGCTGGTGTACAACTAGCCATATCACGCTCAAAAGCAATCGACTCGAATATGCAAATGCCAATATCCCAGGTAGCTTTTGGTTTTGCATTTACCAGGAAGGCCACAGAACAAGTTATCGACCGTTACCTTGAAGGGGATGCACGACTTGCCCTCTACTACAAGTACAATACGAGAGTGGCCGCTGGTCCTAAAGACGACGGGACCAGCGCTCGACTACGACGGCTACTATCTGAAGTAAAAGCGGATCCCACGGTACTTGATGATGAGGAAGCCAAGTCTAGGGCAAAGCAAGAATTGATGGCTGTCATCGCAGTGCACCTTCCTGGGAGCGAAGACAAAGATGAGGATGAACTTCGCCAAATGGCTATAGATTCCCTTATGGCAATTGAACTCCGATCCTGGATCCGTCGGTCTGCAGACTTAGATTTTAGTGTTCTTGAGATCTCCAAGGCAGCCACCCTTGGGACCCTATGTGATCGGATTATTGAGCGCCTCCGAGAGAAGTACTTACCAGAGGAAGCGACTGATAGCCACGGGCAGTCACCAGGTGCAGACAAATAGCATTATGAACAGAGGGCCCGTTTTTGTTCTCAACTATGGCTTTTCCTTTTCTACCCTTTCATGTTCCCCCCCCAAAACTCTCTTTATGCCCGTTAATGTTGGTTCAACGACAGTTTGTACTTTATGAATTAACACGGCATAGGATTCCTCCCATACGAAAGCTAGGACTCGTAGGTTTGACCTTTTTTTTTTTAATTGTCCGTTTCCCAAAAACCAACAATTTCTAAGTTAGCATGTCTCCTCCGCGCCTCTGTTTATCTCTTTTGTACTTTTTCTGGGTGGGCTAATCTTATATTTTAAAAAGTACCCATCCTTATTATATTTAAAAATACTATAATTAAGGTTATGCAATAAAAAGTTCTAAAATAATTAAGCTTGGTAAATATTGGGAAAACTACTGTAACACTATCATAAAAAATTTTCTTTTAGTTTTATTATTTCCCCCCCTTTCCTTGTTTTCCTAAACCTGTCTAAACTACGGGTCAGGGTCTACAGTTAATCTCCACCAGCAAGACTCTTAGCACAAAAATAAGAAGATCAGATAAATGAATTAACCATACTAAATACCAGTTATTACTACCGCCAGACTCTTCTCGTACGAAAGGCAACAAGGCGGCAAAAACCAAGCTGAAGACTAGAAAGGGCAAAAGGGCAAAAGACAAAAGCCATAACCACGCCCCCTGGACTTTAAGAAGTCCAAATAACGACAATTCTTGAAATAGAGACACTTTGCCCGATTAGAATATGTCAACCTGCACGGCTTTCCATCACTGAAACGCAGCCTTAGTTCTGCTGAATTGTGTCGAAACTCTTTCGAGCATAGAGTCAAACATGGTGTTATTATCCTTGGGGAACTTGTTCTTTGCAAGCTGTTGGAAATCTCCCACATAGGAGGCGAATCCATGCACCATGCCTCCAACGAGTGGATGAAATCCGAGGGATTTCACAATTTCGGCCTGGTATAGACCAGTTAGGGTTATCACATTAATATTAAAGGAGGTAGGCTGTTTAGCCTCAAATGGACAGAGCACAACAGAAAGTAATAGGGAGGGGAGTTAGGAGCTTACCTTAGAAGAAGCAGACTCAAGGGCCTTGTGAGCCGAGTCATGGAGACCCTGCCCATGCTCCATGAACTGGGACGCTTCATCCTCCTCGAGGGTGTCGAACTGATTGGCGTGGTCCATCATCGCACGTCGGGCTACCTCGAGCCCGTAGAGTGACCTGGCAATGGGGATAACCTGGGTCATACCACCGTCAAATCCATCAATAGCAGTTCTCGCATCATCGATACGGGCACGCAAGTCCGTTGTCTTGGAGCATAGGGCGTTAAATTTGTTGGCATCACCTAACACTGGCGATGAGAACACGAGGGCAATGAAGCATAAAGTGAGGGACTGGGAAAACATCGAGAACAGCATTGTTCGTCTAGGATGAGGTAAATATTTATTGAAGGTGGAAGTGTAGGGCTATGAAAGGACAGGTTGGCAATGTTACTGTAGTACAGATTACAGACCCTCTTACACTACAAGTGGTGGAATACCTGGGGCCTTTTAACCCCGAAATCATCGTTTGTATGCGTGATCAATCACACATCCCTTGGTATGCACTGTATTCCTTGGTATGTGTTTCGTTCATTGATATGTGCCATTTATTGGTATGTGCTGCATTTGGTGGTATGTGCTTCATTGGTATGTGCTGCATTCCTTGGTACAATGCCTCTTGTTAATACTGGCTCAAATCATCCAGGCATGTTAATCTAGAAATGTCCAGTGATTCTTTAGGTACTAGAGGTTGTCCTTTTGATCCGCCGTTCCTGGTGATTTGCCGGATCACAATAAATGTACTTAACTGACTTTCAAACATCATATTACAATAACAATGTATTTATTCTTTATAAGATTTTGTAACTTAGTTAACTAACAGTAGGCAACCAATTAGGTTTAAAATCCTCAAAATGTTTGGGGCCTTCGTTGGCGCCGAGGCCGTTTGGCCTTGATTTCGCCTCGTACCATTTCCAGCTTAGTTTCAACAACAATAGAAGACTATTTGGGGCTTACGGGTAGTTAACTTTCCTTTCTCGGCCCTTTTAATGGTGTCTGGGGGGTTTAACTGGTTGCGGAGAAGGCCTGCTCCGGTGGTGTGAGCTGCTGGAATGAAGCTGGTTCTATCATCTTTTTCGGCGGGGCTCCCTCATCTTCGACTACCTCCTTTGCAACCACCTGGTGGCTAGTTGTCTTTTATAGCGGCTTGGAACTGTTGCTTATATATATATATATGCTATTTTTTTATTGTGTGATTTCTGAGGCCGGCTTGAAGCTGCCAATTCATATAAACCTGTGGTTTTTTCAGGCCTTTTGTCCTGACTCCTGTTGTTTAGCCATTCGCTCCTCTTGAATTTGCTTCTGATCCTCAGCATTTTTTTTTTTTTTTTTTTTATTTCACGTGCTAGCTAAACCTTCCCGGGGCTGTAGACAACAGACTTTTGGTCCTTTATATTAAAAAAAAAATTGTGTTTTTCCACGCTTCCTCTTTCTCTTTTCCAGTCTTATTGCCTCATAGAGCCCTTGGTTCTCGTCTGCAATTAGTTCTAATTTAGTTTGCATTACTTGAACTGTATCTAAAAGTTCTTATGTATTTTGTTTAGTTTTCCGGGTGCTGTTTATTAGCTACCTCCTCCACTAATATCTAGAGCTGCTCTAAATGGGCTAAAATAGTATAAAAAAGATCGACACACTGGTGCCAGGTTAATTTGGCCCTTGTATAGGTACTAACAGTCTAATTTGGGAAAGCACAACCTCGGAATTCCACGGTAATAATCCTGTCTTCCTCCACCTATTTGCAGTATTTGCTGGAGAGAAGGCGGCCTCAAACGTAGGTCAGAAGATTTTCTAAAAATCCCTTTTTAACAGACTAACTCCTTGAGTTTTGGCTATCCATTTAGATAATTTATGTATGTAAAATATCAACAATAGGCTAAACAATGATACATCTAATAGCCGCAATCTATGGGTTGAGTGAGCTGGGAAAACCGCGATAATAATTTGATGTTGCTTGTACCAGTCCAGAAGCCTATATTAACATGACTAGGGTGCCCATTGGTAATTAAGAGGCGGTAATCACGCCCATTCCGCACTTTTACCATGATATACCGGTCGAATACCCATATAAGCCATTCTTTACGTATACTCTCATTGGCCTACCTAGTCAGCGACGCGTAAAGAATGCAGATTAATGCTCCGGGTTATAGTCTTCTACCCTAATATTTCCTGTTTTCCTTCCTGGTAGATCAGGAACGATGGTAAAGCACTGAGATCCTGACAGATACGAGCAAGGAGAGTCTCTCACTGGCTATCGCAATCTTAGCTTGCCCTAAGCAGCTTTCTACGTCGATACTGGTCTAGATCAAAGAATTTTTTATTGAACGCCCCAAGCTTCCTCGAAGACGCAAAAAATAATTCCAGTCAGATGCAGGCATCAATAGGATTGGACTTTGTGGCGGTACGAGGTGGTGCTAATAAGCCCGCTATTGGTGAGTTCCTGGTCTCCAACAGGGTCACGTTGATCAGTGCCAAGCAAGCAGACATGCCATGATAGTGTAAAACTATGAATGATGGAGTAGTCTGATCCAGCGGTCTTACTCCGAGGGAAATGCTTGAGACTTGTTTGTAGCTTCGCGGTGTCCGGGCAAGGGGGTCTGCCTACGGCAGACTAAACTGAGCATGAATCAAACTAGACCGCGCCAAGCCCATGAATATCAGCAGTTGAGGCCAGAAATTCACGACTTTATATGGCAGAGAAAGCTTATAGATTCACCATGATGATACACGAGATAAAAACCTCTGTTCCTGCCGATCAGGAGATGCGCCGAGGGAGCATAACAAGGAGGGTTTGTAACAGTGCTCCATTTATCCATGATCAACGCTTTTGTTGCCTAAAAATAAATCAGTCATATTTTAGCCGGTTTGGTGTGTAGCGAGAGGCATTTCCTTAATGGGACAAAGCAATCATTTACACCTTACAATGGGTCAACATGCTGCGAAGACAAGTCTTTCCAATGGACAAGGTATCAGAAAAGGAAGACCCGGAAGTATATTCCCGTATGAAACAAGTCTTTCGAGAAGCGCAGGAGGACCCGAAGATTTTCGAGATAGTGTAGTATTTAATATAAATCTACATAGTATCAAGTTTGGGTATAACATCATACCAACCGCATGGCTTCTTGCAGGGTAAGACAATCTTGAATGGTCGCAGCAAGTTAAATCACCTACTTGGTGATTTCACTTGGAGACACACAAGTTCAAAACTTTGTCCAAATTTCTCTACGAAGAATACTGTTCACATGCCTACTCAACTGCCATGTTTCATTTTCCAGTGGACCATTATCCAGGAGACCAGGACGAATAACCGCCTCTGTATATCCTATCACTTTTATCTGGATCTAACATCGTATAATGATGCAATGAATTAAGAACTTATATTAATAAAAATATTATAAAGTACACAGGAACTATGTTTGTTTGCACCTCATTGATTTTGAGATTCAGCTTTGTTATTATTTGGGTGATACACATGGTCTTCATAATGCCATCTGGGATAGTTAAAGGGGACGATTCCGTTAATTACATAAACAACGATTCGGCTCGAGGCGATTTACCTGTTGGTAACACAAGTAAGAGACGATAGTAGTGAGTTAGGCAGCAGAACAAAACAAAGGCGAGTTAGTTATAAAGACATTTATATTGCCCAGTGGGGAGTCTCCAAAGTCTGGTATTAATCCCCAAACTCCGCCGTTGGCTAACTCGACAGTGCTAAATATCAAAATTTAGAGTTACTGTGCTACAAAGGTCCCATGGTATTCTGCAGTGGAGGAATTGGCTCTAGAGTGTATAATGGCTAGAGATGATGGCGGCCCTTAAATAATATTAATTTTTCTTACCAGAATAATTTAAATATTTTTACCTCCTACTCGTCTCCATAATCTGACAGCAAGCTCTGAGTTAGGGTTTTTAACACCCAACACCAGTCTAGATATTTTACTAATTAATCCGGAGCTACTGCAAGGAGATAATATCCCCTTAATTAGACTAGATAAATAAAAATCAGATATTAGTAATGCAAAGGAATCTAGTAAACCTAAAGTCTCTAGGCATTAGAGACTAGAGTCTTACCTGTGCCTAAGATCTTCCATTTCACGGAACATTTCAACAGTCTTCGTGTAGTTTGCACTTCGCATCAGCGAAGTGATTCGTGCGAGGATGCCTCCTCTTTTGCTAATGGTTTACAGGACAGCTGCCGACACCATGATAGATCTCCAACACCATGTTAGTTTGTGTAGAGCCGTAGTGAATGTCTAGAAGGCCGGTGGATTCCCAATATCGTTTAGATTGCACCAATCGTCTGCATCGCGATTCGGTTCTCCTCAGTCCCAGCAGTGTGGACACGAACGCCCATGCAACGACCTGCAGACACTCACAGTTTACATTAGCTGAGCAGGCTCTAAAACGCACGGATTTTAGCCAGCATTGGATCAATCATTTCTCAGAATATTTATGTAATCTCTTCCCTTCGCTTACGCAACTCCTTTTCATCTTTCCAACTGGTAACCTTGATGCCGATATTTTTGTTGTGCTGAGAGGTAATGGGAAAAGTGCTGCGAGAAGAGATCTATTTCACTTAGTTACCGCCTGAGCTCTAGCCATTTGGCTGGCGTGTTGTTTCGAAACTTCTAGCTAGTTAGCGCTGTTTTATAGTTCAGTTCTGTACTATGGTTACAGCGGCAGTGCCCCGAAACGAACATAGTGAGTAGAAAGACTTCTTATTTATGAACTTCTCGTTCGCTTCTGACTTGTATTCTTAAGGTTAGTTGATTGTGCTTTGCGCTTACATTAGGGTTAGAGGGCTTCACCTGCATGCCTCCATTTATCCTTCAAGTGGTGATATGCGCAACGAGTGCGATCTTCTAACTGCCGTAGTATAATATTCCCCTTATTCAAAATATCTAGCTTTGTATTTACGTACCATAGACCACCAGCGAAAACTGAGGATAAGTAGAAGTACTTCCAACAATTCTTTATTTGAAATGTGGCTTTTTTTTAGAGGGCTTTCCTATGGTGTTCCGCTGCTATGCATGGGAGTCTCGTCTATCTCTAGAGAACGAACGATATTTGACTAGTTCGAGAGAAAAGTCCAAAAATACAACCTCGATCCTATCCATCAAATATCTACAACTGTGACGAGAAAGAATTTCTGATTGGTGTCTCTCACTCAACCGCGCGGATCATGTCTGTTGAGGTTCTTGAAATTAGACGGTTGTTGTCAAGGGCTGAGCCCGTACGACTTATAGAATAGGCTACATACAGAAAGGAATCGTTGAAGAAGGAAAGAAAGAGGGAAAGGACGGGTAAACAAATAACTAGGAGGAAATTAAGTGATGTGGATATTCAAAGGACAACGGGCCCTAGCGCTTCACAGTTGTCCTCAGCCTCTCTTCGGCAAGACTCTAATTAGCCGATATAATCTGATAATCGGGCTGCGGCTGGTCAAGCTCTGACCTCTTAGAACTTTTCTTAGCAGACCTGAAAACGATCACAGTATACGGCTTCTGAGACTCTTCCACTGGAGTCGTGATTTCACACGGAGCCTTCCTGTCTTCCATGTAGTCTTTGCATTCGTCCTCAACTTTGGAACCTGATACCGTGTTTTTCGAAAAAGACCGGCAAGGTCGCTTATGGGGCTCTTTTGTTGCACAGAGATCGTGGGTGCCACCGCAGTCGAGCATCGGCTTCGGCTCCGAGCAGACTCCAGTAATTCGGACATGAAAGGTCCAGGTCTCAATAACGCATTCATGGAGAGGTGGACAAGGATATTCAGTACCGACAGTTTTTGTCTCTATCTTTCCGACTGTAATTGTGTCGGTATATTGGGCCGTGATTTTAAGTAAACCAGAGTCCATAATTCCGCCAACGGTCCAGCCTTGGGTCCGGGCTTCGGTGATTGCCGTCGATTTCGTTAAAGTCAGAGTGCTGGAGTTTTCAGGGTTTGAATTGTACGACGTAAGTTCTTCTTCTTTTGTTTGGTAGGCAGATACTTTGTGCACTCTTTCCAACTGCTTGCGCTTGTAGAACTCACCGTCCCAGCAAGGTGCGACGCATCGTTTGGTGGTCTTATCTGAGATGGCGTATGGCGGGTTTGTAGCATCCAGTTTAAAGTTACTTTCAATCTCGGATAATTTTATTTTAGCGTAATCTTCTGTTTTCACGTCGTTGCTAGAAACACACACGGCGAAGAAGATAGAAACAAGAACTCCGGGCCTCATTTTGGTAGAGGTGTAGAAGTTGCACTCTTTTGGTAGGACGAACGATTGACAATTTGTCTCCAGTCTGAAGCCTAAGAGTCTGGAATTTTATCGATGTAAACTAGAAGTTGTGAAGGCTTTATATAGCCCTATATCTAGCATTTAGGGCTGGGCATCGTGACACTCGTGTAGATGTGCTCAATGCCAAGGTAGTCAATAAGATGTAGTGGCACCCTGCTACGTAATGCACTGACGTGTAGCTGGAAAATATGGCAGCAATGGCCATCACACCGAGACAAACGGTATAAATCCGGACTAAGCGAGGTTGTAGTATGTACGCTACCAAGACCACATGTAAAGGGAGAAGAATTTTATTTGTCCTTCATGGCTGATAGGTGACTTAGATTTGAAAGATCAGATGCATCTTATTTCCCAGCATGGAAGTCCAAGGGGGAATCCAAAACTTACTGCCACCGCGGGTGTTTAATATACTTCTCGGTGATATTTTCTGCTTGATTGAGTGTGTGCTGTTCGAGTGCTGGGATGGAAGAATGAGGGATGTAGCCAAGCACTTATTTGCCTATCATATGCATCCCAGCTACCATTTGATGAAGTATTTTAGGCTATACTCGATCCCAAATGCTCAAGGTGACTAACTGCTTTTTCTTGTCAAAACTGGGGGTATTCATTGGCTTGGAGAAGGGTTGAACGCAGACAATCAGAGCGTCCAGAAAATAGAGCGGAGGGAATTGTTACTGTACTAGTCTCTCCTTTGGCTTTTATTTTTTGTAACAAATATTTTATAATATTCGGCTGCTACTGAGTACAACTATCCTCCTGGCTCTGAAGAGCTGCCTTCTATTCCACTCTGGCCTGCTCATATATCAGGGCACCGGAATATAATGCAGTCTAAATATTGCTGACTTCGATACTACTGTATCCTAGGCTGTGGACTTTTGTGATCATTTTACTTAGTAGCTAGAAAGATAAACATAGACCAACCATTCTTGATTAACCCCAGTTCTGTAGAGAAGTGCTTCGCTGAAAGGATTTCGGTAAAGTATTCCTTAGTTAAACATTCCAAAATGTATTAATCCCGGCGCCCAGTTCCACTACGGTATTATGAATATTGATGAACTGCGTATTCACTTCATAATTTGTATGACAGAACGAGTACACGCAATTCGATAAGGACTCAGCATAAAGGAATACCGATATCTTATTGGTCTAAGGATCACTAGATTGGGTCAAACGCGGTTTAAGTGACCTAAAAAAAATCCAGTTAGCTTGTTGAATTGTTGTTTGGCCACAGGTGGTCAACATTGGTCTCACTGGTCTTGGGATCTCATTCGCAATAATCTCCTTTACCCTCAATAAAATAGGCAGTATCGCCTCCCCACCCATTCCCCAAGTGCTTAAACGTTCACCAGTCTTGTGTTCGCCAAGGTTGGCAAGTGTCAAAAAGTCGATGGTCTTTTTGGAGACACCTTCACGTATGGGCCCACACTATAGAGGTAAATCTGTTTCTGGTTTCTGTTTATCGATATAGGGTTTGAGAATATGTTGTTTACCACTTCCAGTCTGTACCAAGAACTTTACTGATATTACAAACTGGTAGGATCCATATGCCACTGATTTTGGGGCCTTCCTTTACAAGATCCAATACAGATAGTAGAGAAGGGTCGTACATGTGAGGGTATTATGACGGCAGCGAAGCGCACTTGTTCAAGAGATATACAGGGCCAATTGAAACATATCAAATACTTTCTAGCTATACCACGCCACTCCTCTTGGCAGCGCAATAATAATCTATCAGTCTAGTTCTTCTGATTCTGTACACAAAAATAACTCAAAGTAAATTTAATTATGGAGTAAATCTTCTCTCCAGTTAGTCTGGGCTTCCACGTCACTACACGGTCTTTAACGTAACCCACCAGAGCATAAATTGCTATGATAGGCTTCATGGTTGTCTAGAACCAAAAAGACGATCCAGAATATTGCTAACTGCTTGCGGAGAAAAAGGAAGACCCTCGTCTTTGACATAATCAACATCCCCCAGCAGTGCTAAAAATGGCGCTGTTGGATCGATGTTGAAAATATTGTACGCAGCCGGCCACTCCAGATGGAAAACTGACAGGATTTGGAGTTTCAAATCCGCCTTCAACGGCTAGGTGTAGGATAATCAGGTTCTTGGGCTTAATCTCGCTTTGGAAGCGATTTCTTGGCCTGAGGAACTTGGTGGTTCGATTGAGCCAATGGTGGATGCAACAGCATCGTAACACGTGAAGATCTACAAGTGCTTTAGTAGCCCATCTCATCATCATAAGTCAGGTCGTTGGAGTGCCCATGGCAAATGTCTCAGCTCTGTGGAGCAGGATGTGCTTGACGCAGGTCAACCGCTGAAATTATTAAAGCATACCACTATAACATGGTGGATTAGATTGTCTCCTAGCGGCTTCGCTCGGTGGGGCAATATGCAACATTCTTTCAACTGCCACGATAGGGATGAAGGAGTCCCACGAGATTCTTTTTTTTTTTTTTTTTTTTTTTTTTTTTTTTTTTTTTTTCAGGAGCAGGCACGGGAGATAGCCTGAGAGGCGTCGCTTTATCATTACGTGTGAAGGACTACAGGGTCCTGGTCACCACGGTCTTGTATCGAGTAACGAGCTTTGGTAGGGATTAGAACCAATAAGATATTATGGTATACTTCTTTCCAAGTGTAGCTAGAGAAGTACATTACATATACCAATCACTTTGTATTGCTCTATTGCAGCTTCTGGGCCGTCATTGACGCAAGTCAGCTGGGAACAAGTATTGGCCGAAGTGCAAATTTGGGATTTGACTTGAGAGGGTGCCTTGAGATTGTTTTATATCTGACCAGCCGTCGCGCACTGTGTGCAACATGCGAAAAAGACAAGGTTCAGATTTACATAAGCAAGCGTATTCTTTGGCACCTGACCCAGCGCCACAGACTCGTCTGAATAGGCACCCATGTCTCGTTTACTTCACATGGGTTTAGATCGGACGTTCAGGTAGAGCTGCTTATTCATGGCAGCCGGAGTGTGATGGTCCTGTACACCTTGGTAAAATAGATAGATTATATCTCAGGTGGCGATCTAACGAAACATCAGACGTAGAGAAGGAAGGAAGGAAAGAAGAATTCTATCGTACAGGTAATGTGGGAATATCTCTATGTTGTGGGATCAACAATGAACAACGTCTTGGTGCCTCAGGCAGGGTTCGGCCCAGGCCCTGACACGGAGTTGTCAGATAGAGATCCATCATGATCTCCCGCAGATGTACACTTACAACTATAGACATGCGAGGAAAGATGTCGGGTGCGGAGAAATATGTTGAGCTTAGGGGTTTTTGGGGGGGGGGGACAAGGCAGCTACTTGGACTAATGCAAAAAAAAATTGCATTTTTGCTTTTCTGACTTGCTATTATGTTACCGCCTTTTCTTTTTCTTTTCTTTTTCTTTTTTTTTTTTTCGGTGCGAAGCCATTCAGCAGTGCGTGATAGGGGATAGTTACATAAATACATTAGCGATATATATAGAAATCCCTATTGTCCTAAGAATAAGACTTAGAGATAAAACACTGGACTTCAGGCTTCGCAGATTTGAGGCTAAGGCTTAAAAATATTTTTTATTGGGTTGTTGTGATGAATCTTCTTGTCAGGGTAGATTTGACTGTCAGCTAGATAAAGTATCACGGTAACTTATAGTAAGATATATTAGAGACTAATCCTTGATCGTCTTATTCGAAGGGAGATCAGGATTATCTATATATAGAGAGTAGGGAAGCCACTCGTATATTGACAAAGGGCCCCAAGGACATCGGTCTGGCTTGCTTTTTGTGCAACGATAGCTGAATGCTTCGTAGGAACTACCTGCGTCGGGAAGCCGTCCAGAATGGGATTGGCATAGGGAAGTTGCTTCAACGCGATTATGCGGATGCGAACGTCCACGGCTATGTCCTGCAGGCGTTCTCGGTTCACATCGAATGCTGGTCTATCCAAGCGGGCTCTAAGGTGCAAGGATTTCAGTCAGCACTGGATCAGTCGTGTCTCAGAATATCGCTATAATCTCTTCCCTTCCTTAACACAAGTCCCTCCGCCTTCCCAACTGGTGACCTTGATGCGGATGTCTTTGTTATGCTGAGGAGTAATGGGGGAAGAGCTGCGAGAAGAAATCTATTTTACTTACCGTTTGAGCTCTTTGAGAGAGTCTCTGCCTTTCTTGATCAAGAAGAGGATGTTATCAACCTTAAAGAGGTCCATTGTTTCGGTCCCACTCCACGTTTGTGGATGGAAATAAGTCGCAAATACAACCTATAAGCGAACGGAGACTTCGAAATTAATATATAAACCATTGAAAGGAAGGTCACACGAAACCAGCCATGATATCAATGGACCGCAAATTATAGGGCAGTTTGGGACAATGTTTAAATAGTTATAACAGTAATAAAAAAACCCACTTACTCTAGTACCTCCTTCCTGGGCATATATGTGCCATATGCCGCATTATTAGATTGCGGTTTTTTAAATCTAGTAAAACCATATATGCTACCAATCAAGGATATGTCGCAGCTTATATTCGCATTTCATGGCTTCGTTATTACCGGTATTATGTATTCAACGGAATATCGATTGGCTACAGGGGCTAAATATCGAGAGCTCTGTTGGCACGGGAGGTATTAAGAGCCTATATATAGCAACGGTTCCTAAATGTTTTACTGCTATTTAAATTAGAGATGTGCTTGGCTGGCATCCATAGCGGCATGCCACTGGCATGGTACCTATCCGGAAAACAGTGGTTTTAGCCGTGTTGAGTGGGAATCATTAAAAAGTGAGCTCGTAATATCCTGTGATGTTATTTTTTTTTTTAATTTTTCCGCCGGCGGCCCTAGGATTACTTAATATTTGCTGACCTACTAACTGCCTAATAGGATAAAAAGGTGGTAGAACTGGCATGAAATAATATAGTTCAGCGAACCTTTTACTTTACTTAAAATCTCGTGATCGTTTCTTTTACCCTGTTCTAACTATACTACCGGTGTAAGTGTGGTTATGGCTTACGCCTATTATGAATATTTACGACCAACTTCTAGCAGATTCACCGTTGTTAATATATACATAGAGCCTGGCCTGGGCAGATTCGCTATAAGCTCGATGGTATTTATCTGCAAATATAAATCACACCTACTCGGACAATGGAGCACTGGTCTTAAACTCTCTTTTCTGCTGTTTCCCGAAGAGTTTATTACTACTTTGTGCATAGGTAGTGCTCCAGACGATAGTAATATAGCAATTACAGTAAGTTTTTAATAATTCTAATATTAGGGCGTGAGCTGACTGTACTAGTTTATATTAAGTAAAAACTGCTTTATTATAATTAGTTTATTTGCTATATCGCAGCTAGTGGCCAACGTGGCCGGTATCGCAATACGAAAGGTAGAAAATCTTGATATTTTGGCTAGCCAACTTTGCTAATAGAAACAGTCTTTATTAATAGCCCTAGTGTTAATTCACCTCTTATTATTTTTATAATTTAAGCTTTCTAATCTACGGCACAAGGGCGTATTACTAGCCTTCTGCTGTACTGTTTGTTAGGGGCTGACGCGTAGAACCTATAAAATAGGCTATGTACAAAAACAAATCGTTGAAGGAAGGAAAGGAAGGAAAGTTGTAAAGGGCTCGAGCCGTTTGACTGTTGTCCCCGTTGGTCCCATTGCCCCATGATGGCTCACACCACGTGACTTTTCCTCTTATTTGATTCCCTGTCCTTTTCCTCTTTCTACATTGGTCCTGTGGCGATAATGACTTGCCCGCTGAGGTCAGGTATGTCGTGTTCAGGTGTGCATTGTCACAGGGCATTATCGGTAAAGATGCGAGATTTGCTGAGGTAACGACAAGTGCATATTTCTTGCGTGAGTGACCAGGAGGGTGTGAAGGTTATATGCAAATCCACTATACCGACCTGTGGTGGTATGTTCATGATCCAGCGCTAACGCAACTGGATGATAGTTTCTCTTCCAATCAAAAACAAGCAGTCGAAAGATTAATGTTTCTAGCGCCATACAACGGTGGTTTCTAAGCGGTTGCGTCAGCTCCACCTAGTTTGTAAGATCTAATCATACGTCGACAAATGAGACTAGATGTTTTACTCTTCCCTGCCTTTTAAGGTCCGTGAGAGAGACCTCTATTCTATATCTAACAAGAGGTAGAAGACAAGAGAAAGGCAAAGCGCTGCAGGTAGCCTGAAGAGGCAGGGAAAGAGCGAAATGCGCTGATGTCTCACGAACCCGACAACTAATGCCCCAGGCATTGTGCCAACAGCAAAAGCAGGAGAGACCTGTGGGGAGACCAATATATGAGGCAATTGCCGCAGATTGTGAGGCTAATTAGATATCCACGAATCCCGTACATACATAATGTCAAACACGCTTTGTTTAGTGCAGCATTAAGTCAAGGTATAGCCTCCGTCTATGATGATATTCGCACCGGTCATATAGCAGCAGGAGTCGCTCGCCAAAAAGACGTAAGCCTAGATACGAATTAAAACGGACACCGCAGTGTGTCTAAAAGGATGAAAGTACGTACACCTTTTAGTTCAGCAGGGTTGCAGATCCGTCGACCTGGTATCATATTTAACCACTTCTCAAAGAGCTCCTTCGGCTGCAGGGTGAGCACTGTAATCGAAACGCGTGATGTCAGAAAGTTTGCGGCCTCGTTGGCTATAGGTTTTTGGCTAGTAGGAGACTTACTCTTCGTCATTATGAAGCCGGGAGAAATGCAGTTGACCCGAGCAAAGTCCGTCCATTCAACAGCCAAGCTTTTCGCTAGTTGTACCGCCGCAGCTTTTGAGGCATTATATGCAGCTTGTCTCTGCGGGATATTGACGAGGATAGAACTGATTGATGCAGTGATAATCAGATTGCCCTTACCCTGCTTTTTGAAAATCTTGCCAGCAGCCTGCGCGGTCCACATTACTCCGTCGTAGTTGACTCGATTGTCACGGGCCCAGGTGTTTTCATCATACTCGAGATTAGGGCAGTTTGTGCAGATACCAGCGTTTGCAACCACTATGTCCAAATGACCGTTGCCAAACTCGGTTGCAATCTGTTCGATAGTGGTCGCAATCTCAGCCCGTGAAGTAACATCTGAATGGTAAGCCTTCACCCTCTGCCCTGTCTCTGCAGCTATCTTTGCAGCGACGTCAATTGCACCAGAGCTTGAAGTGTAGATCAGGGCAACGTCGGCTCCAGCTTCAGCCAAACCCCGAACAGCCTCTTGGCCAATACCACGGGCGCCACCTGTTACGGCGGCCACCTTGCCTTTAAGGGAAAATTGGCTGAGCACATGCGTGTTGGGGTCCGGTGGCTGATACAGAGGCATCTTGAAGGTAATCCGATGATCCGTGGTTGAAAGAGACGCAATGTTAAGAGGATAGAAATATTTATAATTGATAATTGGTTGGTCAATCTTCAGGATGAAAAGGGAGCCGTCTTAAATAATGTAAGACAGTGGTTCTTCTAACCAGGGTGGACAGAGTCGTGAAATTACCATTGCTTTCTTTTAGAAAAGGCGACCATATACAGAACATTCACCCGACTGCCGAAATGGGAAAAAATACGGCGAATTGAAGCATATCCGAGCTCCCTTCGACTTAATAACCGCAGAGTTGATTCCTGATACACTCTCGGGCATTAAGCCAAGCACTAGAAACGATTAACTATCACCAAAACAGCAGGTCGGGGTTTCGTTATGGAGACACGATGTTCTGTGCTTGTACTCTGCCAATGAGTCTTCACTCACACTTCACCGCGAACGCGGCCGAGCTTATCACAACAATAGCAATTTATCCCAACATCGTAAATTTCCGTTTATCTTTTCTACTCACTGACAGTACTTCCGTAGTTTTGAGACCCGGCCGATTTGGGGAGGTTCGGCGAGTCAGGGATCTTTCGCCGTTAAAATGAAACTCAACCTCACTGAATTGTAGATCGCATCCGGGATTAGACTCGACCGCCATTGGATCCCTTCGCATTCTGACAATTTGAGCTTACAGTTCGAACATTGAAAGGATTTCATTCTGATCTACCATCGAACGGCCGGCTGTTAAAGATAGAATAATTCTCTCTTGGTGCCTAGGGAGCATTATGACTGTATGTGGACACAAGTAACAATAGTTCTTAGCTTCCAAAGTCCTTAACAGTCATTTAAAAGGCCGTGTTTTGTTATCTGGGTGCAACTCGATGAGATATTACATACAGCAACCTCTGAAAATTGACATGCATGCAAGCCAGAAAAAGAAAAGTGACCTTTACAAGCTCCCGTTAATGTCCACCGCTACATAAGTGGAGTAGCCTTCACGTACAATTTGGTCGGGTTCGATGTGATACGCTCAAACTGACCAAAGTTGTCCTCTATCGGGCCATCTGCCATTTTCCACTCAAACGACATGACCAACGCCGCCAACGTGATGCTGATTTCCATATACGCTAAATTACGGCCGATACAGGCCCTTGTGCCCGTCGTGAATGGCATGACGAAGTCTTTGAGGTTGCGTCTCTCCACATCTGTGAAATCCGGATTATCTGCGAGCCACCGCTCGGGGATCCATTCTCGTGGTTTGGAGAACAAGCTTGGGTTGGCATGAAGCTCGCTCAAAGGGGATGACACAGTCACTTCCGGTGCGATACAATGACCGGCAATCGTGGAAAAACCAACAGTTCTTCGTGGTAATCCAAATCGCTGGGGTGTGAGGACACGGAACGTCTCATCCAGAACTGCCCTTAGGTAGGGAATTTGGCTAAGGGTCAAGTATGAGGCAACAGGCCTTTCGTTGGCTGGAATATTGTTCATTAAGGCTGTGCGCAGTTTAGTCTGTACCTGAGGATGGGTAGCCAGAACCAGGATATTGTTGGTCAACGTTGTTTGGGTGGTGTCATTGCCTATCGATACTAGTGATTAGATCAAGAAGCATGACTGAATAGATGATAAGAAGTGAGCGAGCACACCTGCATTCAGCATTACGCTACTCTCTGCAACAATCTCCCACATTGGTAATGGCATGCGACCTTTTTCATCGGCCTCCACGGGAAACTGTGAGAAGATATCGGGTTCCTCAGGAGAGAACTTAAGCCGTTTATTTGTCTTGTGTCGTGCTATCTGTAGATGAATTCGTCAGCATTTAAGCATCAAAGTTGAAAGATGTCCGTTGATTTCGCCACATGGAAGACATCTAGCCACGACATACATTTCCAAAGTCTTCAGCCGAACGTGTCAGTTTGGACATGCTTGTCAAAAGGCGAAAAATGTTGTATGCGAAAAGAGGAAGGTGGGCGCAAAAAACGCTAAACCATACACCAGTTTGGAATGTCTCCATGGCATGTACTTCCTTCGTTTCGCCGCTGGGTAATTCTGCAATGCATAGATCATCGCCCTTATCGAGGAATCCAAAGCTTTCTGACCACATCATTGAGCTGATGGCATCATAAGTGAACATGTTAAACCAGGGGCGAACATCGAAGCTGCCGTCTTTGCGGGTATCGAAGCGATCTGTCACTGCCACTTTCTCGCCTTTCGCCTTATGCCCCAGGCAGTTCAAGATCTTCTGAACGCAAGTTTTGACACGAGGCTCCAATGTACCGACATTCTTGGCTGAGAATATGGCTGCAAAATACTTCCTCTTCCTCGCGTGGTCCGCGCGGTCTGTTGCGTCTGCCATGTTTGGGGTGTTGCCAGCCATGTTACTGTAGAATATGTCCTTGACTATATTTGCTTTTTGACCGTAAATGTCTTTGTAGGCAGCTGGATCAGTAAATGAAAGGTGGTTTGGAGAAATCCTGACGACGGTTCCAAGTTTCTCATGTGCGTTCTGAACGGCCTTCCATCGTGTGCCGTACCAGTTGTAATACATCAGCCACAGTGGGGTGAAGGCAGCAATGCCGCATGGCCCGGCGGCAGGATATTTTCGAACACCTTTGGCGTCTCTAAAATAGATGGCGATTGGAGACAAAAGAGCAATAGCCAGTGTAATGAGCCCTACATGGGCTATGTTGTCTGTATACAAGGTCAGAGTCATTTCGAAAAGTGGTATGATCTGGCGTGCGCCCCTAGCAATAACGTACAATCGAGAAGCACCATAATGGTCTCCAAGATATTTTGTGAAGTTTGCCGAGCAGACTTAAGATATCTTCAGGAAACTTCCAGTATATAAGGGAAGGCTTTCGTCTTGCAACTGACGACATGCAAACTGTCAGCAACTTTGGGAAGAAAGGAAATCTGGCAGACCATACCTCCTTATAAAGGATTCTGTATGTATTGCTCAGTGCAAGTTATAATCGGAAACTTCAGATTTTGTGAAGATCAGTAAGAGCATTTACTGTGTTAATGAGAAGTGAAGTCGTGACAGAAGAAGTTACGATTTATAACTGCGATTCTCAGTTCAATGAGATACATTCTGGTACTACGCAAACAGGACACTAACCGTCTGAACTGAGTGAGACCCATGATCAGAACACCAGACTAGAACACCCACGCCTTCCTTGAAACGACGGAACTGTGTGTCTATGTGAAGAGCTCTCAGATTCGGAGCTATTTCCTCAATAAGGGAATATTTCGGAACTTGTTTATCGTGGGGAGGCAAGTTCCGACGCGGCACTTCGCCTTTTTTTCTGGGGAGTACCATTACATCAATTCTATCTTCCGTATATATATCCGTGGATTATTGAATGCATCTAGAGTGCTTCTTCCTTTGATTCCTAGAGTATCTAGAAATGTGCGCCATTTTGTTTCATACATTTAGCTGAGGAATACCATTGAATCCACGCCGGCAATCTTGTCAAATATCTCAGTCCATCAGTGACTAATCTAGTTTGATGGGCATGAATTTTACTAGTTATATTACAATATTTATGTCAAGTAGACACCTCATCGCTCGTCCAATGCCGCCGCGTGCCGTTCCAAAGACCCTTGAGTCGTGAACAACTTGTTTGATTCGGCCATCCAGTTTCTTCCCACAGAGAAATAAGCATGTTGAGAATAGCACTCTGTTCTGCCCTTCCCGTGACAAACTGAGCGCTCCAGGCAACAAGGTGACTACCATTGATTTTCACGCCGCAGTCTCCTGAAGATGATGTTGTACCACATAGCCAACGGGCGGGCATAGCAATCTTCTCCTAAAGGCGCAGACGTCAGCTGAGAAGTGAAGATATGAAGATATGATGTGGGCTCACTTCTATCGCCCTCGTCAAATTGAAAACGTTTAATCCCTCGGGGATTGTAGGGGAATAGACAGCGAACATGATCTGAGCGGCGTAAAAGAATTGCCATCCAACGCCTTTCAGCGCAGTTAGGGGTTTTGTTCGTAGTGATGTGAGCTCCGGACTTACAGTGCCACGGTGCTAGATAACGCACATCTGGAAATGTGTCATTCTCTCCAAACTCGATATACCAAGGTTGGAATGATGCTGGAAGATGGTCTCTCCACTTGTATATTGCGCCCTCCAAGCTCTTCATCTTTGAGGTGATATCCACGGCAGAGTCCGTCTGTCCCCAGAACACAGTGCATATCTCAGCCAGCAGATAGGTGATGGCGTTAGTGTAGGCCTCATCAGTCATTTTGCTATTTTTAAAAAGATCTTGCAAAATATTTGATCTGCCTAATTCAAAAGGAGATGGCCTCTCCAGCATGAAGGAAACTCGGATACTGCCTCTTAGGTATGCCCAAAATGAAGTGCTGGACAGAGAATCGTCAAATAACGACCATTCATCCAAGCAGACCTGAAAAAGAGTGGAGCTCCCATAAAGGTGATGTTGGTGATCTTCACCAAGCTCTAGAAACTGTTCGGACATGCGAAGGAGGACAGTTGTGGCAAGAATAGATCCGAGTGGGTGGCCTTCGTGGAACGAGGTGAGCATAGGAGTAAGCTGCGTCACTGCCCGATCATGCAAGCTTTCTTTGATCCGACTTGGGATGCGATTATGCAAATAGAGCACCTGTGACGCATACGCCAGACAGGCAGAAAAGAGCGCCGGTTCATTGGCTGCAATTTGTGGGACATGGATGCCGAAGAACCGATTTGGAGATACTATGTCCAACTAGAGTTCTCAGCTCCGAGTTCTGCATCCTCCGTACAGATGGTCTGGCTTACCCAAGGTCCAGCTGTTTGCAGGTAGAAACTATAGATGTAAGCTTCTGCTTTATCAGGAGTGGCATGAGGTTGAACGCTCAATATCGTGGGGTTGGATAGGGATGGTGTATTCGGAAGGCAGGTTGTAGGCAATGAAGCCTGGCCAAGGTTTTCATCCAAAATAGTCGTGTCAACCGGGGCATTCTGTACGAGAAGCCTTGACCGAGTTGTCGACGAGTTAAAATCCCCTTGTAGATAGCCAGACTCCAGGGGAATGTTTTGTCCACTGATTCCGATGTTCGGGGATCCGTGTACCTCGGAATCTTCCAGGTTCTCCGGGGCAGAACTCGGAGAGGATGGTTGTGGGTCCGATGATCGAGTGCTCTGTTTGTTAACCCTTCTTGACGGGGGTATGAGAGAAGTCCGAAATTTGAACTTCACAGGCTCATAACTGCAGTTTATCAGATACTTTGACCTTCTGCAATTGGAGCACGAGGGCTCCTTTCGATCACACCGGAGGTGGCGTTCTTTGCACGGATTGCAGGATTTTCGGTATGCATTGCGGGGCATATTGAGCTCTTTTGGTCAGACGACATCAGGATACCTGCGGCATAATTATTGCTACATCCCCAGATTGTCATCTCGCGTGATTTGGCGGGGGCCGAAGTGTAATGGCACTCCGCTAGGAGTTCACGTTGGAGGCCTACCGTATTCGGTATGGTCACGTGGAATAGCTTAGTCACCCTACTAAATAGGTTAACTTAGTTTTGCTTTCCCGAGCGCCAATTCGGGATTTCGGCTCGCCAATATTTTAGCCGCCTCCCTCGGCGAAAAATAACTTTTTTCGGAAACGATCATCCTGTTCTATGTCTCTGTCTGTCGGGTCTGCATATCTCAATTATTTTAGGACATGAAATAGCTTGCCAAGGCTCATTGTCCAAACAGCCTTCTTGTCTAGCTTCTTCGCAGATTAAAATGACGGTCTTGCACTGCCCATCGGCGTATACTTCGACTATTTACATGTCCGGCAAAGGAACAGGATTATCGGTCCAAAAAGTCCAAGTCAGCTGCTCGTCGACATTGCCTCCGGTAACAGAACTCGGAGCTGGAAACAAGGTTTTATACGTGTAAGGTTATTTTATCAATTTGGGAGCCTGTTTCAGCGTCTCAAGTGGGGATTGTGTCGCTGGAGACACCTGTAGGGACTCATTCCTAAGGTTGTAGTTGCCTCACATGTTCTCAGGCATTCACTGAAAGATATTTCAAGAGGTAATTGCGGGATCAGGCATTGGTGTTGCATATGAGCCAGGCTTTAATGAGGGTTTACGGTTGAATCAGACGCCATAAAACAATCCTGCTGCCGCCGACGCCCGAACTTTCCTATTTCGCAACATCTGCTACTCCATCCAATGTCTTGATGATGTTGTGAGTGCATTTGGTCTGTACAATGTTTCCGTTTTACACCTCATTGCTTATCTGCGTTTCTAGATGACCCACCGAGATGTCTTTTTCATGCTCTTCCTCTACAAGCTGCAAGTTTTCCCGACCACTAAGAGGATTAGCAACATGTTTTGACACGGACGCGACCGAAGCTGAGCATCCGCCTTCAATGAATAGATAGTCGACTTCTTCCAGAGTGAGATTGGTAGTCTCCGGGTAGAAGAAATAGACCAGAGGAATGAAAGCAAAGTTAGTGCACATAAAAATGAGGTAGGCCTTCCACTTCAGGCGATCGATAATAGTAGGCGTGATCATAACAACCGCAAAGTTCCAGAGCCAGTTTGAAGAAATGCCAATAGCTGTTCCCTTTGCTCTGGCATGCAGAGGAAGAATTTCTGGCACGTATGCCCAAGGTACAACCGCAGCAGTCGCGGAGTAGATGATCATGTATGCGAAGAAGAAGGCGATACTTGCCGAGGCTGTCGCGTGAGTTAAGCTGTGCGAATGATCAGGGGATTGGAAGCTGAGCAGTATGGCAACGAATAGCATGCAGATCCCGAGACCAGCGGAGCCGTATATCATGGGGCCGCGTCGACCCATCCGATCCAGGAGGAACGAAGGGATAGCTGCGCCAACCAGGAACATGCAGTTGATCACCCCAGCGAGCAACTGGGACATGTTATGCGATAGGCCGACGTTGTCTTGGAGTGCAGATGGCATGAAGTACCTACAGTATGTTGATTAGAATTCACCAGAATTGTAACGCTGATTGACTGTGAACTTACACGATGAGATTGATACCGCAAACTTGGTTCATGAATTGCATGCCCCAGGCCAGAAGCACTCGACGACGGGTTTGAACCTCATCTTTTTTGAAGATCCGGGTCCATGTATACTCTCTGTGGTCTTTTTCGAGGTCGATAACTTGTAAAATATCTCTTTCTTGGGTAGTGATCCCTGGATCGCCGAGTTCAGCGTTCCATACATCACAGAGAACTTTACGCGCTTCGTCGTAGCGGTCGTGATAATACAGCCAACGGGGGCTCTCCGGGATGCCCAGAACAAAGAAGATCACAGCCTTGTTTTCGTTAGCACAGGCTTTTGGAGCCTTAGACCTGGACTATTACCAGAGCGAACACAATCTGACATGCGATAGGCACTCTCCAAGCCACACCTCCGTCGAGGTGAAGCATGCCGTAGTCGAAGAAATATGCAATGACAATGCCAAGGCCGATAAAGAAGACTTCAGATGAAATGAGTTTACCGCGCTTGTTGGCATCGCATAACTCGCTTTGGTAGACAGGGACTAATACGGAAATCAGCAGTTGCTCAAGCTATATGCCTTTTGTCAAGCAATACCGGTTGAAGTTTCCACACCAGTGCCAATGCCGGTAACATATCGCGCAATAATCAGATGAGGCACTGAGTACGCTGTGGACTGCAGTATAGCTCCGACAATCTTAGGTCATGTCAGTTACAGTTCCGAGATGTTCTCTAAGGGACTCAACCTACAATCCAAACCATTGCAAACCACATAGACATGCGTCTGCCCATCTTCTCTCCAGTAAAGACGGTCAGTATGCATCCGGAGAATGCACCCAAATTATATACGGAGACGATAATCCCCTCGAGACCACTGTTCGGACTATGGAAGGTGCTGATCCAATCTTCATTGTTGACAATGCCGCCGAATACACCCTGGTCATAACCAAACAAAATGAAGGCCATTGCGCACGTAAGGGTAATGGCCGCCTGAAGGGTGCGCCCTCGGCCAAACATAGGGAGTTGAGGAACCATGTTGAGTATGGTTTTGCGGATCTGAGGAACCGATTCTGAATAAGTGAAAATAAAGAATCGCTTTTTTCATTTTATAGCATTTAGAGTTAACTCTTGCAATCCAGAGACGAGATGGCTTTTCCCCGACCTACGCGTGCCTTTATGGGCTGCGACAAGTAAATTTTCGGAAAACGCACTTGACGTAACAAGTTTCCGTATTTCCCAGTGGCGGAAACATGGCATACACATGTTATCTGAAATAGGAGATTTTCCGCCGTGAGAGTGCTTCAATGGTTAAAGATCAATTGCCCCATACCCCGCCTCCAGCTTCCCCACAATGATGATCTGGGGGTGACGGGGGGAAGTCAGACCTAATATGTTGACACAGTAGACTGGGGTAATCTGTCTGGTTTGCGAAACATCGGCGGGCTTCGTTGTTTCTCTTCCCGCTTTCAGGTTGTCTGCAGCTGCTTCAGCTTTCTCTTATCTCCCCATCTCCGTCTATAGCGGGGCAGTCTTGTTCTCCCTCTTTCGAGAGCATCGATCCTGTCAGCTTCTCATAAAGAAACACAATTCCTTGGCTTTCTTTTGCACCGAGAAGAGTTTGTAGATATCAGTTCACTATTTCAATTTACTGGCTTGCACTCTTGCCTCGCAGGCGCTCTAGACGACAGGAATACTACAAGGCCCTTTCAAACACATAGAATCATATTCTCTATCTAGCGAAGCTAAAATACTCATCGTCACCCCACATCCTCTTGGTAGCGTCCGATAGCTTTCTGCTGCTTTATAGCTTCTTTCTTCTCATCCCTAGAGAGTCTTTGTCGGTCTGCAATGATCTGGCCCAGCGCAAACCGTAGTTCTCGGGCCATATTGGCAGCATCACCGCATACATAGAAAACGGTATTCTAGTCAAGAACGTCGGCGACTCGACTGGCGTTCTCATGTAGCTTGTGCTGAACGTACACTTTCTGTGATGTTTCGCGCGAAAATGCAGTGACGACTTTCAGCTTATCACCAAGTTAGTGTTCTGGTTTCTACACAATTTTTTTTAGACTCAATACTTCCATGAAGCGAGTCCTCGGAATACCTTCCATTTCTCCGTGGAGAAAATCCTCATAACGATTGGCTGTATAAGAGTAGATAAGGACCAAATTTCTTTCCCTAAGCGACGACCTAATCTTGTAGTAGTAAGCAAATTTATGTGTAAAATCAATTTGGACACCGTGTCCCTTTGCTCACATTAGAGATTTTCTTATATTAGGTGTTGCTTATATCCGTGTTTTACTGCTAAGAGATCTTTCCTTGGATAGTGGAGCCACCGCGAGCTTTTGGTTTTTTCTTGCTAAATTCGGTGAGCTAGAAAGAGTCCAGCAGGACCAATGGATTTGCCTGATCAAGTCAACAAAATCTCCTTTGAAGGAGGGTTCTCTGCAATATAAATCTCAGCGATCCACTTTCTCTTCTGAGAAATACAGTTCCGCTGGGATTTTTCAATGGAATGGGCATTGAAAAAATGACGACGATTGGGGGTGGACTTAAGCCGCTACATCTATCCTTTCCCGATTTGACTGACAACATGTTTGTTTGGGTTAATGCACATGCTAGCGAAAGTATCAGAATAGAATCTGTATGTGGACATGGGTGGAAAGTTCAACCGCGATCCTACTGCACACCAGCAATCATGACTTTGAAAACGTCATGTCTTCCAGCCTTGACCAACTCGAAGGCTTGTACCGCCTCCTCAAACTTGAAACGGTTTGTAATCAATTTCTTCACGTCAATCTTACCACTGCCAATCAAGTCAATCGCAGCAGGATAGCATCCAGCAAGGTATCTAATAGAACCTTTCATGACTAGGCCCCGGGTGCAAACTGCGGTAATTGGGAAGAGGATGTTCTCTTTACCCATTCCTGCCTGGACAAAGGTCGCGCCTCGTTTGGCAGCATATATGCCCAGCTGAATGCAAGGCTCGGCACCAGAGCACTCCAGAACAACGTCAAATCCTTCTTTGATTTCGAGTTGCTGCTTCATGCTTTCAGCAACCTTTTCTGCATGTTCCATAGGGTCTGCACCAGGCTCTGCCTGAGGAGGAATGAAGGAATGGTCCACGCCATAAGACTTCGAAATATCAAGCCTAGACTGAACGATATCAACAGCCACGACCGTCTTAGCACCGTAAGCCTTAGCGACAGCCTGGCAAAGGGCCCCGATAGGTCCACATCCCAGAACTAAGACGGTCTGGTGGGCACACAAATCGGCAGTTTTTGTGATGGCGCAAGCCACCGAGAGAGGCTCCACCATAGCCGCTTCCTCCAGGTCCATCGAATCTGGTATTTTATAGCAGAAATCTGACGCGTTGATGTAGTACTTTGCAAGAGTTCCATCCCATGGTGGGGTCGCCGCAAATGCCATGCTGCTGCAGAGGTGGTAGGAGCCCTTCCGGCAGTATTCGCACCGTCGACATGGAACGCCAGGCTCGATAGCAACGCGGTCACCCGGCTTTAAGTGAGAGACCTTATGTCCTGTCTTAATGACTACGCCGGAAGATTCATGACCAAGAACCATGGGGCCGGTGAGCGTGTAGTCGCCAATGCGACCGCGTTGCCAACTAAAGACCACGTTAGATTAAGCACCTCATCGCAACGGGAGAAATTCCATACTAGTGAACCTGTCGATTCTGTTAGGACAGATATCAAAGACGAAAAATATTTAGGAGGGGAGCACTCACATCACTTCCACAGATACCAGTTTGCGCAACATAAACGATCACATCGTAAGGGTCTTGGAGCTCTGGCTTGGGCCGGTCCTCAATCACAACATCTCCAACCGCGCGCAGGACAAAAGACGGGTTCTTCTATTGTTAGACAAGAATTGACTGACGGGGGTTTCAGGACTGGATTACCTCCATGGTGATGATATGTATCTGGCTGGGTCTTGGTCGTTTTATTATCCGCCGACGGAGGATATTGGGAACAGCCGGGCAACAATTTATACGTGCAACGCAGACCGTAGTAGCAATGACCTATGTGAGATCAAATTATCTTCATATCGGACCCTGTAGCCTAGTCGGGGTGGGGAAGCTCCCCGACAAATTGGTGGTAAGGTACCTGGAAAGGAAATTTGACGGATTTGCTACCCTTCCTTGTATGCTCATTTTATTTACCATATTTGGGCATTTTTCGGCATTGCAACCGGCCCCACAAAGTATCAGGTTGTTGTAGAACTAATATGGGTCTGGTGATGGTAACTCAGTGAGAAGTGGAGGAATTCACATTTAGCAGAAGAAATAGCATCCAGGTGTTGATATTCTGTCCCAAACCATCCAACAAACAAACACATACTTCAATAGTTTTGGCACCGCCCTCATCTACACTTTCAAAAATTCAGGAGATCCCTTTTTAACATGCCCATTTCAATCCCCCAGGCAAGGCTATCGTTGTCACTGGAGCCTCAACCCCCGTGGAATTGGGTTCGGAGCAGCTCACGGATGTGTCGAGATGAGCGCAGATGTTGCCATCACATACTTAACAAGCAAAGGAAAATGCTAAGAAGCTCGCTGACGAGTTCAACGTCAATACTCGCGTCTCCCACTGTGACATCACTGACTTTATGACAACTCAGACATACTCCCCCAACATCAATGGCGAACTACACAACGGGTGAGATTGGTTGAGCCGAAGTTTTGCACTGGCTCAATTGCCTCATTGTCTCATTTGTTTGAAAAGAAGCCTCTCGTAGAATTGGAAAGGATTCAGACAACGGTGCGACACCCTCACTCCTTTCTATGCGTGTACTTAGTTAAACATAGTTCGGAACGCCGTTCCTAACGAAAAACTTAGGCTGACCGCTGCCTGGTACTTGCTTTTGTACGGTCGATGGTGGAAAATCATTGCAAGCGTGTAGGATATCTAGTTCTATTTTATGAAGTATGTACGAGAGTTAACATAATAGCACTGTCTAATTAACTCTGTGCAATACAAAGTCATGAATGTCTATCAACGGGAATAAGGAAGGACGAAAAATAACTATCCAACTCGTCCACCTGGTCTGGAGCCGCCGTCTTCCCAACCCACAGATCCGGTCGAACAACTACCACAGCACCAGTAACATGGTCAACCCCGTAAGAAGAGTGTGCATCGTCTTCCGGCGTGCGATCATCCGAGATAACCACGGCGCTCTCTTTGAGGGCAGCCACATCGTCACCCTGGAGTCGCTCCTCCAGCTCAAACGGTGGGCCTTTCGCGACGAGGAGAATGTTAAATCGCCGGCTACCACCGAATCGGTTAAAGAAATGACTCTCGTGCGCTAAAGCCTGAGAAAAAGCGGCGAGTCGTGTCCTCACAGGTCCGAGAAGATCAGATCCAAAGACAACAACGTGGAACCGGTTAGCTCCCTTCATCTTATCGTATAGATAGCCTGTTGAACCCGTGCTGAAGCACACGCGAGGGCTAGGGGCTCGCACTCCGTTACGGAGCACTGTTGGTTTTCTCCCCGTCCCGACGGTAGGCTCCTGTGGAGCGATGCAAGACATGCCATACTCGCAGTCAGTGCCTAGGAGGAATTGACTGTACTCGGGAAAGAAGGTTCGGATGAACTCCAAGTCCTCCTGTCGCTCAGCCTCCTCTTCGCTGGTATGCCGCGTCTTACCGTTCAGGTGGATCTTGTGGCCGTTGGTCTCGACCCCGTTAGTAACAGAAAGCTTCACTCCATTATGATGTCCGTGGTCGTTTGTCTCTGGTTTGCCATGATTCCCGTATGCAGCTCCGTTGCTTGCTCCGTTAGTCTTTGCCTTGGGCGCTTGGGCTTTGCGGGATGGATCAAATCCGAGATCCGCGCCAGCTTCGTAAAGTCGTGCAACAGGGAGCTCGGAGTTGCAGACGAAACGAAGGTATTTTCCTGATGTTTCTATGATTCGGACGGCGTGGAGACGGCGTTCGCGGTCGTAGGTCGGCATGAGGGAGCTTATATCTGCTGCACCGGAGGCGCAGAGGCCAAGTTTCCAGGCGAGATTGGCCGAGTCGAGGATGGAAGCGTTAAGACCAAAGGCGCCCATCACACTATGGACGTGAGCAGCATCTCCGGCCAGGTAGACGCGCAGGTTCTCAGAGGAGAATGATCGAGCTACGCGCTCGCTGACTGTGGTTTTTCCGTCAGTACGTAAGTATTCTTTGAATAAGAGTATAGGCTCACTCTTCCAGATTGCGAACCAGCTCAAAGGCGCCGCAAATTTTAGCTTGTATGGGGCAAATATACGGTTCGCTTGCTCCAGAACTTCTTCGGCAGTAATGGAGTGAACGTCCACTCGACCTCCGGATTCCTGAAAATCAATGTCTCTTGCAAGTCTGGATTGAGCGATGGAGCCGGTGCTCGAGACGTCCAGCTGGGTATACAGACTGAGCAGAGTTAGCATGCCTTCATATAATGTCCTTTGATGGTCAGACTCACCGGATATATCCCTGCTCACGAGGAATAATCACACACCCACCATGCTTCGAATTGATCACGGATCTAGACCATCTCAGCAGCGGCCAAATAGGGAGTAACGGATCACACTAACCCAAAAATCCACGCATGAGGATAGTCCGACTCGAAAACACAGTCCATAATACCCCAATAGATATCAGTACTCACTCCATCAAAAGGAATCCCAAGACTGCGCCGAATAGAACTCGCTCCTCCATCGGAACCGACAAGGAACTTGGCTTCAATGACCTCGTCTTCACCAGTCGCTGTGTTGGTAACAACGCTCTTGACTGGATGCGAATCGGACTCGTTTCCCTCAACCTTGTACTCTTTCAGGACAGTGGTACGGTCCACTAGCACCTTGTGTCGGTAGAGGTCTCGCACGTAGATGCGTTCAATCTGGCCCTGTGTGATAACATGCAGTCCACGGTATCTCGAGTCCGACTGGTGGGAGCGAGCGTGAAGCAAAGGTTTTCCGTTCTTGTAGATGGCCGTTCGCTCGATCAAGGGGCCCTCTTCCGCAACCTCTTCTGCGAGACCCCAGGTTCCTAGTGTTTCCAGGAATCGTGGCTGGACACCGTCCGCTCGTCCAGCCAGCAAGGGAGCAGATGCTTTGTCGATGATGCGGACCGATAGTCCCTGGCGAATTAGACTGGCCGCGATTTGTAGGCCACTAGGGCCGGCTAAGGTACGTCAGATGTCAGTAAATGCTCAATAAAGCTCTGTCTGAAGCCCATCCAAGATCGTACCTCCAGATATTAGTACATCTACCTTCTTTTTCGGCTTCCACCAGCTTGGCACCCCGTGGGGGGATGCAGTCCCATCGTATATCGTAGGCCAGGTCCGGAGGTAATTGAGTCCCACATCGTTATGCACAGGCGAGGTGAGCAGCTCAACAGAGGGAGGAACACTGTAGTGCGGCTCCTCCTTATCCCAGGTGTCTGCATTCTCGACCTGCCAGGGATTCGTGTCGGCCGGCTGCCGATATCCGTTCGCGAACGTGAATCCACCAAGTGTTGTGGCCATGTTGCTTGTTAGTCGGCCTGTATTTGCAGCTTCCTATATTCCTGTTTAGTGGCTTCCCGTCTTCTTTTGATATAGGGAATTAGAACTAGACCATTATCTCTTCGCCCCCGTTTGCTGTTGCGTGTGCCGGGAGGCATAGCTACTTCGGTCCCTTCACGGTAGGGAACGTACTCCGGCCCTTCAGGGTAGGGAATGTACTCCGGGTTTAGCATGAGATGATATGAGCTCCTACAGGAACGATGAGGTAGATCTTACCTCCTGAACAATGTCAAACCGGGTGAAGAAGTCTGGACGTTGTGGAGGTCCCGCCATGTCTGCACGCTTGCTCCGTGCCGGTTCTAGCTGTAGACGCGTTATTCAAGCTGCATCCTCGAGAAACCTATAGTGGCCTGCTTTGTATTGACCCGTTATTCCCCATCAGAAGCGGAATAATACCTCACTTATTGGATAATATCGTTCCAAATACGCCTAGAGGTTACATGGATGTGGGTCACAAAAATCATATGCATTTGAACAAAAACTATAAGCAGTGAAATCTAACTTCACACCATGTTCAAGACATTCAATTTCCAATTTCCTACCCCCTCACATAGTTATACGCCTCAACCAACCTCTCCGTCACCTTCGTAACCTAGAAACTGTTAGCTATGTTAAGAAAACTTTAGTGAGATAAACTTACATTCTGTAGCTTAAACGGCTCAAAATGATTACCTGGAATTTTCAACACATGCATCTTACTGTGAAGTAGCATGTTCCACTCGGATATTGACTCCTGCTGAGCTGCCTCGTTCTCCAGCCAGGGATACTCAACGTTGCAGAGCTCAGTCGTGTTCAATGTTTGCTCACATTGTAGTAGCACAAAAGGAATGTCTGTCTGTATCTTTGAGGGTCTGTATTCTCCTAGCATTACCGCGTATGATGTGAACTGCGTCCGAAGAACGACGTGGGTCCCTGCATCCAGATCCTGTAGTACATACCGGATTACAGCGTCCGGCAGAGGCTGGTGCTTTATTGGAGATGGGGAATCGATGAAAATAACACCCTCAACTTGGGACATCAGATGCTGTGCAATTTCAAATGCCAATACACCGCCGAATGACCAACCTGTTAAGCCTCTGTTAGAATCGTGCTTCTTTTAGCTCGGAAATTAGTACCTACCTCCGATAACCACAGGCCCGTCAAATGTAGAACGGATTGCATCCGCATAAAGCTCAGCCATTTCCTTTAGAGTCGTGATCCTAGGAGCCTTAAGGGTAAGACTCGGACTAGAAATCCCGTAGAGTGGGAATGGAACTCTTTTCAGCTTGGAGTACGGAGCTACTGATCCACTGCCGTCGTGGAAGAGAATCAGGGGGACAGAGTCTGGATCTCCTTTTTGTAGCAGGATGGGCCTGATGTTATTCCGCAGTCCATCTCTGCACCTATCTTTTGGCTTCCTCATTCTCACAATAAGGTCCTCAAGCTCTCTGACGGTGAGATCACCATGGAGCTGTTCAGCAGAAATCTCGACCTTGAGCTTTTTCTTGAGCGCTTGTCGGAGCTCCATAGAGAGCAGAGAGTCGACTCCATATGCACCGAGTGGCTGGTCTGCGCGCAGTGAAAACTCTGGAATCCCGCATACCCCCGCTAGGATCAACTTGATCCCACTGCGATCTGGATTGTCGTTGCTTTTGTCCTTCTCAACCATATCTCTGCGGCTGCTTGTCCGACGGCTAGGCTTAGGTCGGATCTCCGTTGGTAGTTGCGGTCTTGTACCGGTGAGCTTCTCTACCTCACGTGTAAGGTCCCCGACAGTGAGGATCTCCATAATTTTTGAGCTGTCTAGCTGGACCATGGGGAGGTGTTTCTGGAGAGTAGCACCGATTTCAATCGCCATGAGGGAGTCAATTCCGAGTTCTGATAGCAATGTAGATGCACTTGATGGACCGAGATCGATACCGCAGATTTTGGAAATAGCTCTGGTGACTAGCGGGGCAATTGACACTGCTTCATCGTCAGTATTGGGAGGTGTCGAAAGCGGAGATTCACCAGTGGAAGCGCTGTCATCGGAAGATGCAGATGAGACTGTAGAGCTGCTGTCTGCAATGAGTTGCAGCCTGAGATTAGTCTGATACCGAGATAAGTGGGTATGGAATGCCTTCAGGTTGAGTTTTTTAAAATGGATACCCTCAACAGCAGCTACGAGGCGTCCACTGGAAGAAAGAGCGTACGAGTCGGCGATAAGCACATTCTCGTCGCCGTTCAAAAGACTGCAGTAGATGGAGAATGTGTCCTTCTGATCGACCTCGTGAAATAGGATCAGGGCAGACTCGACTTTGGTACAAATGTAGACCTCGGAGTTGGCGGCGCAATTGTTGGCCATGAACCCGACACTGTGAAGCAGCGTGTCGATGAACGCAGGAGACAGAACGCATTTCTGGTGAACGATAGGTAGCTTGAACGTGCCATATCCCTCCAGGCCTGTATCTGCTACCGTGAGTTGGCGGATGGACCGGTAGCTCTCCGCGTAACGCACAACGCGGGTGAAAATAGTCTCGTAAAGGATATTGGTGTTGAAGGTGTCGAAGTGCTCTCGGCGCAACTTCAGATGGGACAGCTGTCGCTGGATCATGGCTGTTTTCCGTGTAAATGCCTTGGTAGTGGTAGCGATGCTCTCGAGTGATAATGTGCCCGAGCAATGAATGATGGAATTATCCGGCTGCAATGGCGAGTAACTGGAGAACTGGAATGGCTTCTCTTTCTCCAGCCGCAGTTGAACAATCCGGTCATCGGGCGAGACACTGTACACGAGTGGGTTGTCAAATGTAAGATCAGTGATTACAATCATCTGATCAGGTCTGACCCCGTTTAGCGACGCTGCTTCAACAGCCATCTCATGGTAGATTGAGGCAGGGCAGAGAGCAACTCCTCCCACAACGTGTCCATTGATATACGGGGCAAGACACTCCACTGGTGTTTCAAACAATTTATCCTGTCTCCGCAGCTTCGTAGCGAGGAGGCCGGTATCTAGGATCGTGTCTCGTGCACTGGTTGCTTCTTCGTTGGATATTTCGAGTCGAGTCTCGCGGTATGGAACAAAGTTCTCGAACTGTTCAAGGGGGTATGCAGGAGCATCGACGACCGAGGCACCGGTCCCATCAAAAACAGCACGCCAGTTAATGTTGGGAAAGAAGGAAGAGAGGTTGACAGCCGCGCTCGAAAGCGATTCCCAGGCACTGAGTTTGCTAGTCAACGAGCTAAAGAACCTGTGCTCTTCATGCTCCGACACCCCATTGCGAACCATAGGTAGAGTAAGAGAGGAGGGGCCAATCTCCAGGAACACCGCCGAGGAGAGCTCCTGATCTTCAGTGATTGCCTGTAGTAGCTGAGCGAATCTAACTGTATCGCTGGTTTGGCGAACGAAGTAATCCGAGTCCACTACCGAGCTCAGGAATTCACCGTACACTGTAGACCCAACGCGCATTTTGGTAGAATAGTATGTGATCAACGATGCGACCTTGTGCAGTTCCTCCAGAATAGGATCCATAGCAGCCGAGTGGAATCCGTACGGCACTGCAAGGATCTTGCATTTATACCCCGACTGCTTGCACCGTTCAGCGAGAACCTGCAGCTCGACAATTGGACCTGCAATTACGGAATCATGAGGGGTATTCTGGCAGGCCACCTGCAGGTGCGAGAGATCCTCATGGTGGGAGATTAACCGAAGCATCTCCTGGTCGCTCTGATTGCATGCCATCATACCAGACTCCTTAGCTGCACAAAGATCTGCAATGAGAGTGGCTCTCGTTGCGACAAGGCGTAGACCATCTGCTAGTGACATAATGCCGGCAATCACCATGGCCGCATACTCTCCCAGACTACTCAATTATGTTACCTAGCCATGCAATTTGATTTTATGGGCGTGGATCTTACCTGTGTCCAATCACCGCCTGAGGCTCAATGCCCCATGCCCTCCAGACGCTGGCCAAAGCATATTGAAGCACGAAGGTGCCTGTTTGGGACAGGTAGGTGTTGTCGCTCTCTTCAACGCTCACATCGCCCACCAGCATGCTACGAATGCTCGGAAACCCCATTTCTTCCAGTAGGCTTTCACATCGATCGACACATGTTTGATATAAAGGGGACGTTGTCAGTAGCTCACGTCCCATGCCACTATATGCGCCTCCTTGCCCGGAAAACACCATGATAAGTGGCCTCCCTTTTGATGGAGTCCGGGTAAACATAGGATCCCTCAGCTTTGCCAGCAAATCATCCACATTACCACAGGTTATAGACACCATGTGTTCGTAGCGCCGTCGTCGAGCGGTAGCTGTGTAGCATATGTCGGGTAGTTTCAGGCTCGATCTCGATACCTCGATTGAACGCCGGTATGCTTGCACTCGCGCTTTCAGAGCTCTGATAGTTCGAGCCGAAATTAAGAACGGGTAAGCACTGCGTTCAGTAACATGCGAATAACTCGAAGGAGCCTCCTCAACGATCATTGCAGAGTTGGAACCCGCTGCACCAAAGTTATTGATCATTGCCCTCCGGGGCAGGTTGTCTACAGGCGCTTTCCAGTTCGCGCCCTCCGTGGTGATCTGCATATCCGTAGCCAGAGCATCCGCAAGTATAGGGTTGATCTTCTTTAATCCTACCTGAGGTGGAATCCGGTGGTTCTTGAGCATAAGTAGCACTTTAGCGAGACTGGCTGCTCCGGATGCGGCTTCTGCGTGGCCGATGTTCCCCTTGATCGAGGTAATAAACACGCGATTCTGACGTTGGCGAGAGACTTTCCCCAAGACGGACTGAATGCTGGATATCTCGACGGCGTCTCCAGCCTGACTTATGTTAACGTTCATCCTCATCAAGAATAGCTGATTGGGGAGAACTCCTACCTGGGTTCCGGTCCCATGAGCCTCGACCACATCCACGGATGAAGCATCCACACCAGCTCTGGAGAGGGCCGTTCGGAATAGCTTCGCCTGCGTTTCTGAATGAGGGCGAGTGATGGAGCTGGCGTTTGCACTCTGGTTGACTGCAATACCACGAATAACACCGTATATGCGATCGTTCTCCTCTAAAGCATCCGACAGTCGCTTGAGAACAAACACACCGCACCCTTCGGAGCGACAGTACCCATCTGCACCAGCATCGAAGGCCTTACATTGGCCAGTAGGACTGAGAAAGTGTGCTCGCCCCAGGCCCATATACATGTCCGGACTGATTATGGCGTTTGCACCTCCAGCAATAGCAGCAGTACAATCACCGTTGGTCAAAGCCTGGCAAGCTTGGTAGATGGCGATGGAGGATGCAGAGCACGCGGTGTCGACCACCATGGAGGGCCCACTGAACTTGAAACTATAGGAGATTCGACCGCTTAAAAAGGCTCGAAGTGTCCCTGTGCTGTAGTACACGTCGATGTCATCTCGCAAGTTATCCACATAATCCCCAGTGGCAATTCCAACGTAACAACCAAAGGAGTCCTTCTGGAAAGATGGGGTGGAATCGGGGACGTATCCTGCATCATCCAGCGCGTGAAGGGCAGCTTGGAGTAATAGTTTTTGCTATTTCAATAAGTATCTGTAGGTGTAGCCAGGACGTTACAGTCATACCTGTGGATCCATTGATCGAGCTTCACGAGGGGAAATATCAAAGAAGGCATGGTCAAATGCCCAAGGCTTCTCCACGAAATTACCGTAGATTGACCGTAGGCCGGGCTTTCCGTCTGGGTCATCCGATGTATATTCGGAAATCTTGAATCTCGTTTCCGGTATCTAGGACACCATGTCAGTAGATACCCCCGGTAAATTGGAAGTATACCTTACCGTTTGGACAGTATTGACTCCCTTCTCCAGGTTGTTCCAGAGTGCCTCTTTATTGTTCGCAGATGGGAAATTCACAGACATACCCACGATCGCAATATCTGCAGGCGGAGTCTTCGGTATCCCTGGTAGTGAATGATCAACCACGCGTGTATTCTTCCATCGGGTACCAAAGAATGAGCGTGAGTGAGGCCCAAATGCATGCACTTCCGTCCTCAGCGCACGAAAATATAGGCTCTCCCAGGTTAGCTGCCAATTCAGGCTGTGAGTGAGGATGATCCGGACTGCTGTTTCTGCGAGCGTCACCTCCCCCGTCAGGGTCATAGGGCTGCCATCAACCGTTGATCGGACGGGTATGTATACGGACGGTCGTGCTGGAAAAGAGATGGAGCGTCGGGTGATATCCTGTAGAACCATCTGGACCACTGACTTCGTTGTGTCGCCTCCATGGTACCAGCCGTGTACGGGGATGGGCTCCCCATTGCCCTGTGCGAAGTCTTTGAACTGATCAAGGGCTGAAGGCGTTCCAGTGACGGTGATGATGTCGGGGTTTATTCGTGCTGAGAAACAGACAGCGCCGTTTCCGTCCTGGGCAGTTCATGGACGTTAGCGGTTGAGTTTCGTATAAGCGGCTAGGGCACTACGCACCTTGGAGTTAAACTGAACCACGTCCTCTTCCTTGAGTCCACTCACGGCAATTGACCAGGGACGGGCACGCCATTGGGGCCCTGCACGGTCTTCACAGAAAAGGGCCACACGATAACCTATCCAGAATGCCAGTCGAACTGCATGATCACTGCTTCGAATGAAGTCCTCGATCGAGGTGGACGTGGCAATAACGAGAGCTGGTATAACCCCAGAGCAGAAACCCATCACCTCGTCCCACTTGTTCATAATCTCCTGCAAAGATAGTTGCGGCTCAGGAGAGGCTGCACATGCCTCAACATGGTTCAGGTAACTGAGCAATTGGTGAATCAGGAGCGTTACCCCCTGGATGATGGGGTTGCTGTGCTGTGTTGTGGGAGGAGACAGGAGCGACTCGCAGGATGTAAGCTCCGCCAGCTCAATCAGAACTGAATTTTGCCCGTGTTCTTGCTCTCTGGCGTTTACCAGCTCTTGTAGAAATGCATTATAGCATGACGCTAGGACTTTGCCCGCGGTGTGAGATCTCCTGACATGTCGGATGGCTGTGTTGGAAGTCTCCTGTGAGAAGACAGCGCGGCTACCTTGACCCCCGAAGAAGGCCACGCGGTGGATGCCTGGTGTTGAATTAAGTTTATCCCCCATTCTTTCTGCTTGTTGAATACGCTAAAGTCCCAGCGTTGCAGAAAACTCTGGTAGAAGCCAGCTGCAAAAAGCCACGCGGAAGAGCATATATTACAGTTTGGCCTGCACCGACATGGCGCTGATCTACATTTGAAGCCGTCTTATTGCTTACTCCCTAAATGCCGTGTAATTGAATCCGCTTACCGTGTATATGGACCGGAGTAATGAGAGGCGGATGTTGCTCTCTGGGGCGGACAGTGTTCACGTACTCCGCTCCAGTTCCCTGCAGCCTTGCTGTGCCCCCTCCAGCATGAAAAGATCTGGATATCCAAGTATATTTGGCATGTAATCAGTAGTCGACAATCATAAATCGACCCACAGCCACGAGGTCAAACAAGTTTTGCGACATATACATTGGTGAGGCTTTCACCATGGCCCCAAACTTCGATACCCCCACTATGTATACCCCCCAACATGAACGCACGCTTCGATCGCGCGACTCTGTGCTTGGACGACGATTCCAGCAAGGAGGGTGTTCACTCCTTGTCGGATCTGATTCAGTTCAATGCCGACCACAACCCTGACCATTTGTTCGCCATCCAGGAGGTGAAGCTTGGCCAGCAGCGACAACTGGAGCGAGTGACCTTTCGAACCCTACATCATGCAGTCCTGGCTTGTAGGGACTAGTTATCTGCCAATTTTCCAGTTCGGGGTAACAAAGAGCCCATTTGTCTTCTTATGGAGAGTGATCTAGGGCTCTTCATCTACCTCTCCTCCCTCCTCTCCCTTGAGAGCCCTGTTCTTCTCCTCTCTGCTCGACTGGGCCCAGCAGCCATCAGCCATCTCGTCTCAAAGACCGGCTCATCTGCCATTCTAACCTCGAAAAGAACAGTATCCCAAGCGTCTCAGGCAACACTTGACAGTCCTATCAAAATCCTTAACGCCCCTCCATTTTCGGAATTCCTGACCTCACCTTCCATCAAGTACGCAGGCCAACGTGTTCCAAGCGTTCCATCTCACAAGGACGAGCCCGGCGCACTTATACTGCATTCATCTGGGACCACTGGACTGCCCAAGCCTATCTTTCTCACGCATCGGTACATCCTGGGCTACGCCGCGTGTCACCGTCTGCAGCCCGAAGAGTCAGTAGGCCGTGTGAACGTCTCGACACTGCCACTCTACCATGTATGCTAGTAACCCCCCCCCCCCCCAAGGTTTTACAAGATGTATAGAATACTAAATCTATCCAGGGCTTTGGCCTCCTTGCCCCATGTCTCAGTTTATCTATAGGAAAGCCATGTTGCTTCCCTTCCCCTTCCACCATCCCCTCCGCTTCCTCCACCATCCAACTCCTCCAATCTACCAATGCCCTGACTCTGATGACTGTACCCTCAATAATCGAAGAAATGGCATCCTCCTCGGAACCATCCATTCTTGCAACGCTTCGACCCCTTGACTTCGTGGCTGTGGGTGGTGGTGCCATCAAACCTGTGATCGGCGAAAAGCTGCATAGCCAGGGTATACCCCTGCTGAATCATTACGGGGCCACTGAGATCGGAGCAGTTGCACACATTTTTATTCCAGACCGAAGCTACGACTGGCACTATCTGCGTCTCAGAAGCGACTTCGGATTGCAGGTCAAGAGCATCGAATCCGACAACGTCTTGCACTGCAAACTGATCGGGTATCCGTTCGGATGGGGACGAGCGTTTGAGGTGCAAGACCTTCTAGAGAGGAACCCAGCTTCCATTGATGATGTCGAAGTCAAGATTTTGGGAAGGAAGGACGATGTGATTGTTCTTGCTACGGGTGAGAAGGTTCTCCCGCAGCTGTTGGAAGAGACATTGAATGTGAAGACGGGCATCAAGACGGCTGTCGTCTTCGGCGAACACCGCGAGACTGTCGGCGTGCTCATTGAACCACAGCAACCAATTGCTCCTGCTGAATACCAGGGATTTATCAACAAGGTATGGATGTGGATCGATGAGGTTAATCATCGTGTCGATCGACATGCCCGGGTTCCCTCCCACGATGCTGTCGTGGTGGTCCCAGAGGGCAAGTCCATCCCTCGATCTGACAAGGGATCTGTCATGAGGAATGAGGTTTCTCGCGTTTTTGCCGATGAGATTGAACGTGCATATTGGTCACTGAGCAAGAATGATATTTATCTCGATCCTGCCAATGCCCTCCCAGGTTTACGAGCCTTAATCCAGGCTAGTTTGGGAGATCGCATTAAGACATCCATTGCCAACGAGTCGGATTTCTTCGACCTGGGCATGGACTCTCTAGAGGCCACTCGCCTTTCCCGACGGCTTAACTCGCTCCCAAACAGAGCCTCATTCCCAGGGCTCACGGAAGAAGTACGTCCGGACTTCATTTACCAGCACCCAACTCTCTCATCTTTAGCAGGAGCCATGACGGGTGAACCGGCCTCACAGCCAGGATATCAAAGAGCACTCGAGATGCAGGATACGCTGCGGGAAGCATTGAATTGCATCCGGCGCGCTGGAAGTGAAGTCGTTCTGCTCACTGGATCGACAGGTACACTGGGAGTACACATGCTGGAGATCCTCTGTCGCAACCCTCATGTTAAGAGTATTGTTTGTGTTAACCGCCCCCAGCCAGGTGTAGATGCATGGACTCGGCAAGAGGAAGCCTGTCGCTCCAAGGGGATACAGCTACCTAACTCAGGCAAGGACAAGATCGTCTTCTTCCAAACTGCCACCCATGACCACCACTTGGGTCTCCCAACTGAGGTCTACACCAGCTTGACCTCCAGGGTCACGCACATCATCCATAATGCCTGGCCGATGGATTTCAAGCGGCAGCTCTCCTCTTTCCAGGCTCCCATTCAGTCGCTCTGCAATCTTATCCAGCTCGCCAAAGATATTCACACTCTCCGACCGAATGTGGTCCCGCGGCTTGTATTCACTTCCTCCATTGCCGTCACAGGCCGATACCCCGAAAGACGGGTCGCTGAGCAGCGCATGACGGATCCAAACTGGGCCGTGGCAATGGGGTACGCCGAAGCCAAGTGGGTTTGTGAGGGTCTATTGGATGATGCCGCGCAGGCTTCTCCAGGCTCCTTTCAACCGGTGATTGTGCGTCTCGGACAGCTCAGTGGCTCGAATCACTCGGGGTTCTGGACAAAGACAGAACATCTGCCTACTCTGGTCTCCACGTCGGCCAAAATCGGAGCTCTTCCTAATATTCAGGGGGTAAGTGACCAAAACACACATATAAAAGGACACAGAGTACTGATTTCTACTTACAGAGCTACTCGTGGCTGCCTATGGACATCGCCGGCCGTGTAGTGTCAGAGATTACTCTCTCTGACAGCCAGCAACACTTCTACCATGTGGAAAATCCTATTCGGCAACCTTGGGCAGATTTGCTGATCTCCTTGCGCTCTGAGCTGGGCTTGTCATTGGTCGAGTATGAGGACTGGATTAAGCAGGCTCGTCAGACGGGCCTGCTCACGGGTCTTGAGGACTTTTTTGCCAGTGACTTTGAGAACCTTGCCAGTGGGCCGATTATACTGCGGACCGATGCTTCGAGGGCTGTTGCTCGAACACTCAGGTCCTGTGGTGGAGTTGGCGTGGATTTGCTGGCGAAATATTTGCAGTCGTGGAAGGATCAGGGCGCTTTGTAGATTCTTTTATGTAAATACTAGGAATATAAGCTAGAGAACATATAGGAATTGTCCGCAAGCAGTAGGAATAGCACGGAAATCATATTCAGGATCAATCGTGCGTCGCTTAGCTGGTCTCTCCATAGTTGAATAGCTACTCGAAATCAGTGCTCCCAGTCAGCTCCTTCCAGTCATAGATATCCTCACGAACCCGATCCAAAATCGACGGAATCAGATAAACCGCATCGTTACCCAAAGCTAGTCTCGAAGGCAGAGTCTTTCCCTCGCATCGGCCAGTCTGCGTCAGCGCTTCAACCAGCAAGTCCGCCGCAACAACCGGATTGCCTGGCTGCTTGCGGTTCTTTTCATCTAAAGTCGACAAAGCGGCCTCCACGGGACCAGCAATGTCTGAAATGCGTTTCTGTGCCCGCTTGCGATTGGAGTCGGTCAGGAAGTTGGTGCGAAAGTAGCCAGGCTCTACTGCCACCACCTCGATCCCCAGATGGGCGACTTCAGCACGCAAAGCCTCCGAGTTGATCGAACAGGCTGCCTTGGAGCTACAGTAAATTCCAGCACCAGCGACACCGCGCCAGCTCCCAATAGACGCCATGTTGCAGATGACCCCAGCGTGGTTTTGGCGCATGTGAGGAAGAATGGCACGGGCGACGTTGAGCTGGCCGATGACGTTGGTGTCGTACTGGTGGAAGACTTCCTCCGCACTGGGACATGTCTTAGTATCGTGTAGGAAGCTCGTATCCTGAGAATTTTGACGTACCTGACCTCCTCAATTCCCCCAGTCAGAATGTAGCCTGCGTTGTTCACGAGGATGTCGATCCGCCGCGTCTTTGCCAGCACATCAGACACAATGCCATTCAACTTTTCGTCCTGCCAGGTCACATCCAGCTCGTAGACTAGAGCACCCTTGCTCTCGAGATCAGCGAGAGTGGCAACTTGACGCGCAGTTGCCACTACAACGTCGCCCCGCCGCAGGGCAGCTTCTGCGATGCATTTGCCAAATCCGGAGGAACAGCCGGTGATGAGCCAGACTTTCGATGCCATACTAGAATAGAGTGCAAAGAATGTATTGAATGTCGCAAATACGAGGGAGAGCAACCAAGGAATGAATTAAAGCCGCCGTGGTGTACTGGACCGGAGTACGAGGTGCTGAGCTGCCTGTCATCTGTGGCGCATTTCTCCGCTGCAGATCACTTTTCGGCGCCAACCTGCCGAAATCCGTTGGACCGAAGACCTGGAGACATCATCTACCGGCGGAATTTGAATACGAGAGACTTGTATACTCCGGCCCATTGTAGAGAGGCAATCGTGAAGGCAAAATAATGTCCAGAAAGAGGTGGAACTTTATCTAAAAGACACAGGAGTCTCACGAAACTCCAACGCATTTCCAAGAGATTCTAAGAAACGCGCAGGCAAAGACAAGTAGTCAACCTTGAATCTCTACCACTCACCAGTGTCAGATCTGAAATAAGGCTTGCAGAATGTTGGCTGGATTGTCTCTCGCATTGGCTTTGCTGCCCCTGGCCTGGACGGGGGCTGTTGCTCTTCCTCACAATTCCAACAGTATAATCTTGCCCTTCTATATTTATCCTTATTATATCTGCCTTTCTCGTTTACTGTCTATGGCTAACTAACTCACGCCATCGCAGGGTCTGTTAGTGTCACCGAATGGGGCGCCACATGCACCGAGCGACTTCTGCCGGTGCATCTAGAAAAGACTTCGACCCAGAACTTCACTCTGGACAGCTACGGCCACGAGGTTTTCTATGCTCTTACTCGCAAGGAGATCCTTATCAGCGGCACCTACAATGTCTCCACCCGCACCTGTATCCCCAAGGGCGGCGCCAAGTCCGATACTATCCAGCTGCTGGCCCACGGCGCCACCTACACCAAGCACATGTGGGATTTCGCATATCAGCCCGAGCGGTACAGCTGGACCAAGCATATGAACGAGGCCGGATACGCGACCATGGCCTTTGACCTGATTGGTATAAGTCTATCCTGCTGTATATAATGCTCCAGCATATTCTCACACCCGCAATAGGTGCCGGAAACAGCACTCGCCCCGATGCCATGCACGAAGTCCAGACCCAGGCCCACGTAGAGACCGCCCGCCAATTCATCAAGGCCCTCAAGGCCGGCGAGATCGACGGTCACCGCTGGAAGCGTGTTGTATACGTTGGCTTCTCTATCGGCGCTGCCGTTGGCAACTCCCTCGCAACGCAGTACCCTACCGCGGCCGACCAGCTCGTCCTCCTGGGCCTGTCATGGTACACTGACTATATCTACCCAGCCCTTCTGATGATGCTGCGCGCCGAAGCCAACAAGATCGACCCACAGCGCTGGGGATTCATGCCCGATCTCTACACCACCATGCCCAGTCTGGCGACCCGTCGGTTCTCGCATCTCTACGGGGACTTTGACCATGGTGTTGAAATCCCGGACTGGGAGGACCTGGACGCCGACACAGTCGGAGAGGCTGTCAGCTTCATGTTCCACGCCAAAGAAGCTCCGGAGTACAAGGGCCCAGTCTTCCTGGCTCTTGGGAACAGTACGCTCCCTTTTCCCCCCTTCCCCTTGTTCTTCTCGGTAAAGTCCATGGCTGATCTGAAACAGACGATGTCACCTTTTGCGGTATTTCTTGTGGAGATCACCATCTAGAGGTCTACAACAAGTTCCCAGCCGCCGCGGACCATCGCCCTCTGCTTTACCCTAATACCGGCCACAATATCCTCCTGCACCGTACTGGCCGCAAGATGCTGCACGACGTTACTGATTTCATTCGCAAGCATGATAAATAGACGCGGATTCAGGCCTAGCTGGGTTAAGTCTGAGGGCATGTTGCTTTCGGGGAAGGACTATGGTGTACATAGATCGAGAGATACCTGCTATGTCAATGAAAGGGTTTGGAAAAGGAGTCTATCCTTCTGCTAGTTTATTTCGTACTCCACTTCGGTCATATTACCTTTCAGCTTAAGGTCTGCACTTCTAATGGTTCAGGAATTCGAATCGGTCAAGTTTACTCGTCTCTGGGGTTCCCAGAAACAAAAATATTCTGAGTTCTCATCCAAATTATTCGGGACTCTTGCCATGCTTGAAAAGAACTGGACCGCGTGTAGTGTGTATATCACTCGATGCGTAGTATTTCAGTATGAGGTGTAGAAAGCTGCTCTATCCCCAAGGAATTGTATTGTGAAGTTCCATTTTATTGACAACTCGACGGTTGTAACATCTTAAACGTAGTCGTCTTGTAAACCCATCTACGGCCACTGGCTCCTCCTCTTCATGATCACATTAAAGTCAAACTGTGGCACAAACCATCGGTTCTCAACTCTCCACTTGCTACCAGGATTCTCAAGCTCAATCTGCTTATATTAGACCCGTTATTTCTCTGTGATAAACAAGTTGACATACCTCATAAGCTTGCAGCAACGTCGGCACCAGCTTATAAACCTCCAAGTGCGAGATATTCTTCCCAATGCACGATCGATGGCCGTGGCCAAACTACGACTGTTACTCCTGCAATCTTCAACTGACATGGATGGCCCTTACCGTCAACAAGCTGTTCTCCATCTTCTTCACAGCAACCTCATCCTTCCCCAGCCATCGTTCAGGTTTCCAATAATCGGCGTCTGCACCGAAGGTCTCTTCGTCACGGTGCACGACCCACGCATTCATACCCACAATGGTTCCCTCGGGCAGGAATTCGCCGCAGATTTCCACTCCACCCTCTGGGACAACTCTTTCCAAAGGAAGACCGAAGGGCGGATGGATTCGGCCTGCCTCTTTGATGCAGGCGTCGAGATACGCAAGTTGCCGGCTTTGCTTCCATGTTACGATGGGAGAGAGGGATCCAGTCTTGGCTGCTGTTCGCAGTTCATCCATCAGTTTGGTCATGGTTTCTGGGTTTTGAAGCAGGTTGTAGAAGATGGTTCGAAGCATGATGGCTGTTGTGTCACTGCCAGCTGTGATGTTTGACTGCGTCCATGCCAGGAGTGCCCTAGAACTAAATATCAGATATACACAATTTTCTCGAATTCGCGCACGATCGCCTACCATTGCGGTACACTCTTATCCTTCGCCATCGCGTCAATGAATCGGGACAAGAAATCTCGGTCATTCAGATTCTTCGCCTCACCGGATGGGCTGTTCATCAACTTCATCCGCTCATTCTGTCTGGTTGCGGCAAAGTCACCCATCGCAGACCACGAGGCTTTGCGCAGGCGAGAAATCCACGGATTCTTAACCCAGAATTCATCGATCCACGGCATTTGGCCGACCTAGCCCTACATCTTAGCCTAGTCATATCATCTCTAGAAGAGTAACGTACCGGCGCCACATACTGGAAATACTTCCAGATATCTCCCATGATATTATCAATATCCTCTCCCTTCTCAAGGAAACCCAGTCGCTGAGAGAATGTGATCTCCCCCACAACATCAAAGGCGAACATTTGCAACCACATCCCAAAGTCTAGGGGTCGGCCCTGGTTAGCGAATCGGAGGTCTAACTGGTCAAAAAAACAGCGGATGGTCTGGTCTACGAATGGCTCGAAGGAGACGAGATTGCTCATGGAATATATACTGGCAATGGGCTTCTTGAGCATGCGGTGGATGTCCTCATCTTGTGTAGCGAACAGCCCGGGGAGGATCTTTCCTTTGGACATGGGGAGGATGACTTGGTAGAATTTGGACTGCTCCTGGTTAGGTCCTTTATTTTGATTAACGAAGTTGTATTCTGGCCAACCTTCTTATACTTTCCACTGAATCCGTAGATAACGGGAGCCTCCTTAGGATCCCCGACTGAAACCATATTCGGCCCAAAACGCACCAACTTGCCATACTTCCGGTGCAGGTCGATGTGGATATCGTGTGCCCGTCTACTCCAGACCCAGTAGAAGCGTGGGATATTCGAAATTGAGGCAAAGAACGGTCCGCGGATACGGCGTAGCCTAGCATAAGCTGAGGCAAGATAAAGGACGAGTCCTCCCGCCACGATCCATGGCAGGTACGCTGTAAGAGCGTTGAAAATTTCTACAGACGACGAATCCAACATGATGCTGTACAATTTTCAAGAGATGGTATTTGTGAAGCTGTAATCCTAAATTGGTTTCTCTGCTGCCCGCTTTGCGTAGCTCGCTCAAGATGTAGCTGGTGCTCGTAGAGGACCGGAGTACTCGGGAAATCGCGTCATATCCTGGCCTGGCGAGTTCCTCGAAGCTTGCTGAGGGGGCTCTTTAGCATTATTATCTATGAACGTGTGGAATACTGAAATAAATAAAGTCAATGATGCTATACTGCACTCCCCTGTTTTATAGACGCAGAGTCTATAGACTCCTTGACTACATCAGAGACAGGGCACCTTAGCTTGAATTAAAGGAGACTGCAATATGTAGTGGACCTGGTTACGGACTGGAGCACTGGGGATATAAACTTGAAGCCATTCCCACCCATTCCCCATGCGTACTCAAATCAACACCTAACATCCCGAGCACAGCCCAGAAGTAAGACAGCAAACATATGTCTCCTCAAGCACTCGCAGCCTTAGATACGATAGTTCCCTCGTTCGGATTTGCCCTGATCCCTGCCTAGCGTCGTCAGCGTGAGGTCGATCATTGTACTCCGGTCCGCTAATCCCGACACGAAGCGACTCCCATAAAAAGCTTTGTTCCTACAAGACATATTAACAGCTCTGAAGAGGCTCTACGCCTCATACAGGTCCCCTAAACTCAGTAGCAATCATGATCGACGTTGAGAAGCACAGCGATATCGGCCCTCCAGCCAGCCCTGAGCCACCTGCGACGTCCGAGGCGAGGGAGGTGCGTGGCTTCGCCTGGATCGTGGTGGTAGGATCCATTCTCTCGGCGACTTTTCTTTACGGTTTGGATCAGACGATTGTGGCCAATATCCAGCCTGCTATAGTGGACCGTTTTGACTCGCTGGGCCAGCTGTCTTGGATCTCAGTGGCTTTTCTGCTGGGAGCTGCCAGTAGCAACCTGTTCTGGTGGGTTCAGTCATGACCGGCAATATAAGATGTCAGTCCTCTAACGGGCAACAGGGGCCAGATGTATGGTCGATTCAACGTGAAATGGCTGTATTTTGCCTGCGTGGGCCTCTTCGAATTGGGATCCACGGTGTGCGGTGCTGCGCCGTCGATGGCAGCCCTCATCGTTGGACGTGCCCTCTGCGGCTTTGGAGGCGCCGGAATGTACACTGGATCCATGGCCTTGCTCTCCCTCACCACAACAGAAAAGGAGCGGCCGTTTTACCTGGGTCTTCCCGGCCTCACCTGGGGAGCTGGGACCGTTCTGGGACCCGTCCTGGGAGGTGCCTTCTCCGATAGCAGCGCAGGCTGGCGCTGGGCGTTCTACATCAATCTGTGCATCGGTGCCCTCTGTGTCCCAGTGTATATCTTCCTGGTCCCTAGTAAAGACGCCAATCCCGGTCTCTCCTTCTGGCGTCGCCTTAAGGGGGTCGACCTCCTAGGGTTCATCCTGATGACGGGCACTTTCACAGCCGGGCTCATGGCAATATCTTTCGGAGGCACCGATTACCCCTGGAACAGCCCGCAGATCATCGCATTGTTCGTCGTGGCCGGTGTTGTGACGATCCTTTTCTGGGTGCAACAGTTCCTCGCCATCGGCGTCAAGCGAGAGCACGTCTCCTTCCCCTTGGCCTTCCTGAAAGAGCACAAGCTGCTCCTTGTCGCCCTCGTAGAAGCCTCTGCCATCACAGCCACCTTCATCCCCATTTATTTCCTCCCTCTGTTCTTCCAGTTCGTGCACGGCGACTCAGCCCTAGACACGGGTGTCCGCATTCTTCCCTACGTTGTCTTCTGCGTCTTTTCGTGTCTCCTCAGCGGCCACGTCGTCAGCAAAAACGGCCAGTGGCTCCCCTGGTTCCTCGGCGGCGGCGCACTCGTCCTCGCTGGGAGTGTCGCTCTCTACACCGTCAACGAGAGAACCTCCACCGCAAAGGTATACGGATATAGTGTCGTGATTGGCTTTGGTGCGGGTGCATACCTCCAGTTGCCTTTCGCTGTGGCCCAGATGATCGTTGAACCCAGTTACATTACCGCAGCAGTCGGCTTCATGGCCTTTGCGCAGCTCTCAGCGCCCTCGGTGAGCATGGCCATCGCCAACGCAGTGTTTATCAACCAGTCCACCATTCAGATCTCACATATCCTACATTCCTGGTCGAGGGACGATATCCAGCGAGTCATTTCGGGTCTGGGAGGGAGCGAGCTTGCATCATTGGATGATGGGACGAGTCGTCGTGTTATCGAGATCATTGTGCAGAATATCAGCAAGGCGTATATTCTATGCTTTGTTGGGGCGAGTCTGGCCATTATTATCTCGGTTTATTTGGCGATTGACCAGCTGTCGTCAAAGAAGAAGGGGAAAGATTCGAATCACGGGGATGAGAGTGATGGGCAAGCGGCGTGATTGTACCATGTCCAGGGGTATAATGGAAGTGATGGCCTTTACGCTAGTTACTTCTGGCTTATATTGAATGTCAGAACGAGATGTATTTATCTTAAAGCACTTACGATGTGTCGAATTGAGTAGAATACATGTTGATCATGCATGCGTGGCAATAGGAACTTCGAAGTGGATAGCCCTGTAGTCATACCAAATCTTACTATTTCCACTGATTATAATCCGCTTCAAGAGTCTAACTTCGCTCAAATACGCTTGAATGTATACACGACATTTTTACCGAGCTGGAGCGGACTCAAGCCTCGTTTATCTCGAAAACCCTGGCCCTCACAACACCCAAGTGTAAGTACACTCTAATTCTGCGGCTCACATACACCGGCGTCAGAAGGAACAGGTTCCACAGTCTACATCCAAGTAAAATTATCTCCAAGCAAACACAATCCGTGTATGTAATACTAATGAATCAAACAACTCGCATGCTAGTTCCCTCTATAATCCCTCATTCAACAACGGCGAACCAGGCAACACACACTCCACCAGTCCAACCTGACTCCGGCAGTCGTAGATCTTCCTAAGAACCAGTCCCGCCCGACCAGCAATATCCTTGAATTCCGCAGGAGTACGTTCAATGCCGTTAATCAGCGCCATCATGGCCACATCACGCTGGTGGCTGTAACGTGTGAAATAGCCGTAGTTTGCAGGCAGCGGCTTAGGAGCAGATTCGATCTCCTTGCACCCCAGGGTGGTGTTCATCACTTGGTCGCAGATGAGGATTCGAGATCGCTCGCCCATGCTTCCGCGGATAGCTGAGAGAATTTGGACACAGTAGTCGTCGGACCAGTCGTGCCTGGTGGGTTATGATGGTTAGGGAATATTGTGAGGTGTGAGAGATGGCTCGGGCAACCTACATGATGTATCGGAGCCAGTAGACATCAGCTCCCTTGACAGGGTTCTCTTTGAAAAAGTCGTGAGTCACGAAAGACACGCGGCCTTCTGCGAGGGCCTTGGGGTTTTCGGCCGGCCAAACTGAGGACTGCGCCTGCTTCAAGGCCGGGGCGCGGTCTTGCACTACAAAGTTCAGCTCAGGATAGAGGTGAGAGAGCTGGATACAGAATCCACCTGTAGCACAAACTCAGCATCTATTGTTGACTCCTTAAAAATCCAGACAAGACTTGCTCACCAACACCGCCTCCAACATCGACAATCTGTGCCTTTCCGAGAGATTTCCAGGGGTAATCTGTGACCCCTCAGCATCTGTTATAAAAACAATTTGTCAAGAGACCTTACCGTAAAGATGAGCGTTGCCAAAGACCAGTCCACCGGCAAACATGGCCAGACAAAAGTTGGCGTGCTCTGGACGCGCAACAACTTCGTCGGGCTCTTTGTCCTTGATCTTGTCGTTCAGGGTTGGACCCCATGGCCCGGGATATCCTCCGAATGGATAGTCTTTCAGCTGTCCAGAAGGAACTTGCTCCTCAAACCACTCCCAGCGAGTCTGCGTCGTTCCCATTGTATCTTGGAATGCCGTCTTGCGCACGTCATAGGACGGTCCCTTCTCCGCATCAAGAAGAGTCTTGGGGAGAAAGTCAGACGCGCTGTAGATGTCCAAAGCACTATATATTTATTAGTTGACACGAAACAGAGGGGTTGACGATTAAAACCTACAACATGATGATATAGGCACGGAGAGGCTCATTGTTCACCAACGCCGCCGAGATCGTATTGTTCGCAAATACACTCGGCAGCACTTCCTGGAAGACATGGATCGAGCAAAGACAGCGCATCAATCGGCCTACAGTGCATAGATGTTAGTCTCAGCGAATAAATGCCAGAAGCAGCAGGGACTGACAAGTCACTCACCCAACTTCCGCTTCTCAATGCCCGTGGCCTCACTGAGCTCCTCGATGGTCGCCTTCTGGCCCTCCTTCTTGGCGATCACATCAGGAACACGAAGCTCAGCAACAATATGCAAGGCGCGGGCCTCGTTGTACTGGGACGATACCTCGAGCAGACGGCTGGACGGCTCAGACACCAGCTCTGTCAACAAACCGGAAGCTGAAAGCAGCGTCTTCTGCGCATTAAAGAGAGCTGGCGAGGCGATGTTCGATACCGAGCCAGTCTCGGTCCCTGCAGGGGTTTCTGTGGCCCATTGGTCGATGATAAGCCTGGCCGTGCGACTGATGAGGTCGGACAGCTCAAGGAGCCGAGCTGCGTCGGCGATGGTTCGCTGGGCAGACATCTTGTCTATGGTAATTTAATTGCCTTCCTTTCTGGCCTTTTTTCAATTATTAGATTTGTTTACGTAGACAGCAAACGTTCTTCTCAAACTCCGGTCTTATCTCCTCGCATGTATTGAGATGTTTATAAGAGATTCCTCTATGTTGGACCACAGTCTCCAGTGAGTCCTCGAACTACTCTCTCTATCTGGGTTCTCCATGAATCATCTGGGACCGGAGTAGAGAGCGGGCTGACCGCAGTAAGAGGCATGGATATGAGATGTACGTGGATTGAGACGCAATCCTCCAGCCTCGGCAGTGGATAATAAATTACTCCGACCAAAGGACTTCACTGGAGAGAAAAATGAAACTCAGGATAATCAAAATTGCGAGGCTAGGAAAAGAAACATAGCTTCATGCAGACCAGTAGGCAGCTACCTATAAGAATCTTTCCGGTTAATTAACGTGAACGGGTGAGACATGATGACTTTAGAACCGAGGAATGAACTGGCTCCAAGATTGATTACGCACTCGTTTATTACGACAAAGGTCCATGATGAGGTCTGGGCATGACCCAGAGTACCTCCCCCCCAATGCCGTGCGAAAGAGACGATGAAGCAAGAGTAAAGGAAAGTTACACAGAGTCCCGACACGAGGGTTAACAAAAAAGTAGAAATATAGAAGGATTTGATCGACGTGGCTGGCTCTCGTATCGGCGAGGGGGGTGACACGACTAGCAGGGTTCTGAAGAACCGCTTGCTGCGTTCTCGTTCAACCCTCCTCATTTAGGGCTATATGCCGAGGTTCTCAGAGCACACATATCAGACTTTGTATCGCACGTTCCCGCCCAGAGAATCGGCTTTCTTTCTTTTCTTTCTTTTTTGGGGCTCGAACTGGTTATATTAGCAGAGGGGGGTTAGGGAACGCTTTGACAGAGAGGCAAATCTGACAGGTCTTGTCGTGGACCCCCCAGTTAGCTCAGTATTAGGGTTGGCTTCGCTTACGACCTGCACCAGGGTCTTCGAATCCCATTTGTGCGAAATCTCAGAACATGCCAGGCCAGAATATCTACTCCGTACTCCGTATTATCATAGTTAGCAGCAATCTGACAGTGCAATCACGGACCTGAACCAGTGCGTTTATCGGGATTTTGCTTTCCCTTGAGTATGGGATGATGATCAACAACCAACCACCGGCCGCTAAGAGATGGTAGTCGATGAGTCGTGAAGAATATCCCCGAAGAGGGGAAACGTCTATCATTAATTTCAAGCATGTGGCGTTGGGACTAATTGATCTTACCGCACCGTCAAGCCGTCGCAATCGAGTAAGAGAACGACTGGGGATTTGGATAAGCTTTTGGCGGAATTACAATATTCCACGCCCTTCTCCCATTGAATCAGGAGCCTCGCCGAGCATTGATCTGCTGAAGATCTGCAAATGGTACTCCGTGGTCGAAAGAAAAGCATTACAGAGCGTCACAGCGATATGGGCCCAGAGTGTACTCCGGTCCACGCATGGCTGCGCGAATGTTGGCAACCACAGTGCAGGCGAAAGCCAAGATTAGCCTCCCAGACGATTGGTTTCAGCTTCAGCAAGACCTTGTCTGCCACAGTGGGTTCTGTCAGAAATACGAGTACACCACAAACGTGGCTCTGTTGTTTGCATGTAATAATAGGAACTATATCTGTCCATCTGACACACCCCCTCGGCGTGTACGTATGTATTTTGCATATTGTTACTACACGGTGGGCTATTTATTTAGTATCTTCTCTTGCTAGCCTTCTGCGTCTTGCCTCCGAGGATTTTTCTTCCTCTGGGCTTGCGTCTGGGTCTAGTTCTGTCAGAAAAGAGAGGTGGTCAAGCAAGGATTGATTCGAACGCTGGACCGTTTCAGAGCTAATGAGACTCTTAATTGTCAGAAATACCACTAAACTGTAAGGAAGTGGCGCTGTTACAGTTTGCGCAGGTAATAATACTATATCTGTCCATCTGACAGGTTCATCGCTGTCGCTCTGCTCTGTCCAGGCCGTTGGCGGCTTATATGGCGGCCACCTATGGTGACTCCTAGACTCATTGGGCGGTAAAGAAAGCAGCATACCGTAAGCCATCTACAGCTATTGAAGAATACGAGCTGCTATCGCAAAGTCGGAAATGAGAGTACTAGCAAACATGAGGGGTAAACGAGATGAAATAGGTCCCTCGTATTAAGAATGGAGAAGATTATTCTGGCAATCAGCGATCAGCAAAAGGATGAACGGGAAGAGACAAAACCGACTGAAGCTTCGCTTGCTCTCTTCCACTTATAAGTCTGTCGTCCCTGCAGAAAGCGATGCAAATCACCCCAAGTGTGGATCCAGACAGACAGCCAAGAACAATCGCCAAGGGTAGAACAAACAATAGGAAATACCTCGTACAATGGCACGTCTAGCCAAGAAATGGACAGCAGAGGAGGATGACACGTTACGTCGGGAGGTGGAATCACAGCGTTAGTCTGCTGCACCCTCAGTTCCTGTCCCTGCCCTGTTTGCTCTGGATTGGTCATACCAAGAATAGTCGACCTAACCACTGTGCCTCATCTACTTAGCGTCCGGCTCAGAAGTGCGGGATTGGTGCCACATTGCAGAAAAGCTTCCCGGACGAACGAACAAAGATTGTCGCAAACGATGGCACAACACGATGGCAGGGGAATTCCGCAAGGGCCTGTGGGCCAAGCAGGAGGACGAACAACTGAAGAAGGCCATTGCCAAGCACGGGACAAGGTGACGAAAGGGACAAACGTAGAAGAGAGATGGTGCTGAAAGAGCAGTTGGGCTAATTAGTAGGTGTAGATGGACTGTCGTCGCGAGTGTTGTGAAAACACGCAGTGCGGAGCGTAAGTGCCCGTGGCAGAAAGATTATTTCCCTTTACTGACCATGGATGATGAGGACTAGAATGCGCGAAGCGTTGGCAACATTCGCTGAACCCCGACCTGGATCGCAGCGAGTGGACCGAAAGCGAGGTCAGTGGACAGATAAAATACCCCTTCTCCTCGGTACGTGGGATTCCTGATCCTAAATGGTGCGGACAAGCAGGATCAAACATTGGTCGAGGCTGTAAAGGCTGTCGGACGGCAATGGACACATATCCAGCGTATATATTTTGCTGAACGCTCCAAGAACGCTATTAAGAACCGGTCAGTTTTTGGTCAACAATTGCCCACCGGGCTTACTGCAGATGCTTATATGAGGGAAATTTCCAGCTATACGATCGTTTCCCGGAAGCTCCGAAGGCAGGCTCAAGGCACACAGGTGAGCGAAGGCACGGCTCCAGATAGAGGATCGAACGACGAGGACTCGGACGATGATGATGATATGAGCGAAGACGACGTAGAAAGCGACAAGGATGAGAGTGGACACGCGTCGTCATCCTCCCCTTATAACCGGTCTCAAGGCGAGCCTTCCATTACAGAGATGCAGAATGTGCTGTCAGATTCATCCTGGAACCAGTTTTATCCAATGCTTGGAGGAGCTCATCCGTCCATGCACGACGTCGCCCCAGGATCTTCATCGAATCCTTGGGCGTGGGAACCCTCGCTGAGCTCGGCCGCTCTGATGGACACCAGCTCGGACCCCTTCCCGCACAATAACGATTCGACATTCCTAGATCTTATGATGACGGACTCGGGCAGCCGATCTACTAGCTCCGACACGCTGGCCTATCCTTCTACCACCCAACTAGACTGTTCCATGCCCTGGAAATGCCCCAGCGAACTTGAGGGGTCCTGCGAGGATCTGATCATCCCTTCTAGCGCAGGCAGGTCTACCAACACAGTAGCTGTGAAGCTAACATTAGACAACCCTGATTCTGAAACCATGCAGTTGCTGATGAAAATTGCGATCGACAAAAAAGCAAGGTTTCTCGTGGAAAGGCAGTGAAATTGGGAAAGTGATATCTTAGAGGGGGAATGTCTTGTCAGTTAGATTGGGAGTCGGTTAGATCTGTCCTTTGATGTCTACGATATGCCAAATTGTGTAACTCCATAGAAGTGCTCAACATAAAGTTACCAGATACGAGAATTTTGATCTGGGATGGCGACCCCATCTCTTCTTAAGAAGCCGTTTGGTAGACCTCGGATTCAGATCACAGCCATTAGCTTCCATTTGGGAACATAAATGCCTACACAGGTCACTCAGGGGGTCACTCGGCAAGCGAATTTGTGTATGTGACTCGGACCTTGTCGCCATTTCCATTTCCGGCTCAGTCCGTTCTATAATCTCACTATGATGCGAGAAAGCGTCTTTCAATCCTTTGTCCCGGTCCCAGCCTGGTTGAAATTAGACAATCCCCTAGCAGCTACCAGAGGTGAGAACTGTCAGATAGTATAGAGCTAGACCTGTTTAGGCTCAAATCTCGATGACAGCTCATTAAGACCGGAATAGCTGAAACCCAGACCGGGAGCTCCAACCGGATTCCATATACTGTTCGAATTTGACCCTTTACTACTGTAACGCTCACACCCCGTCGCCAATAAAAAGTGGTAAACTGTCTGCCTGCTCATAAATGGATACTATAACCTGCTTACTGCAGTATGTATCCCAGTTTCCCAGCAGCTGGTTGTTGTTCATGGCGACAATGTAGTTGGAGTTCATCTGGTCGAGCGAAATATATCTTTCAACGCCACATCCAACGGGGCCAGTGTTTTGGAATTGGAAAGTAGTCCTACAGGCGTTTACTTGATCGACATCGTAGAAGATAGCTCGTGCACCGTCGGTATATGTGAGTAGCTGTAGACAACAGCCCTTTTGATGGTAGACGCGATTAACATGCTGGGCTCTGCACAAATGGCACAATTTATCGCCCATCAGTCGGACATTCAGTAATCGCTATAAAATAGCACTTTTTATAACCTTAGTATATCAACAATAATGCAACTATTTTTTAAAAATTTTTGTAGGTTATAACTAAATAATAATTTATTCTTGGGAATATTATTTTAACTATTGTTCTTATTATCCCTGCTATCCCATAGTATAAATAACTTGTCCATTAACCTAATACCAGCAAATGCACCTGATTCAAAACTGGTTGGAGAGATATCTAGCGGATGGCGCTTGGATAAAAATTGTTGTGGCTCCATATCTCGCTCGACGTTGCAGTCATTACTGGTTTGTTTGATTAGGCTAGCCACTCTTCAGCACCTTGAATCGATGACACTGAAGGCAGACACATCCACCTTCTCCAGTCGTGTCTTCAAATTGAATATACGTTCCTGGAAAATAGCTGCCGGATTTAAAGCCACAGTAGATGCAGAAACGGTGTATTTTCTCCATAGCACCAGAAAAGGGATAGCTTTCCCCCTTTCATTTCACCGTTTTATTAGAGAAGTGTCCAGCGGATCGGATTTGTAGACATATGACAGGCGAAAAGTTTGAGCCGTGCTATTGGTTGACCCAGAGCAATGCTTTGCTGCAGGCTTGGCAAGAATTAAAGTTCGGATGAATAATCATAATTCGGGACAACGTAGTCGGACACCGAATGGGCCGATTTCTCACCGCCCCGCCTCCTCCCACCATTTGGATGATATTTGACGTCTTTATTGCTATACAAATGAAATATATTATAAAATAATGAGCGTAGTACTATCTAGTAGGGCATTTTAATCGAATATGGCCCTGAATATTGCAATTACTACATGTAGGGGGCCTCCGTAGCCTTGGTGCCTGAGCCTCTGCCTGAATTGCCTCCTCCCTTTCCTGCATTATTTGTAGTGCCTTATTAGTGGTTAGACTGCCTGCATCTTGAACAGGGAGAACGGGGACAACAGGAACAACAGGGATAATGGGGTCATGTAGCGTCCGTCACAAGAATGTGCAACTGTGAAGGGCTAGAGCCCGTTTAACCTCTCGGGCCAATGTCCCTATTATCCCTATTGTCCCTATTGCCCCTATTGTCCCTACTGTCCCTACTGTCCCTATTGTCCCTATTGTCCCTATTGTCCCTACTGTCCCTACTGTCCCTATTGTCCCTATTGTCCCTATTGTCCCTACTGTCCCTATTGTCCCTATTGTCCCTATTGTCCCTATTGTCCCTATTGTCCCTACTGGCCCTGTTGGCACCTTTGGCCCTCGATCCATGTCACGTGACCTTCACGTTGTCTACCGCTCATTTTCCTCTTCCTTTCTTCCCTTCTTCAACGATTCCTTCTTGTACATAACCTATCTTGTAGGTTCTATGGGTTCAGCCCTTGACATTAAGCGATTATTTAATTATACTCACGATATATGCCACTATCGTCGTGGTTAATTAAAACCAAGTACAATCCGAGGACTAATGCTTTATTAGTTCGCTACCAACTTTAAGGTTAAGCAAAAAAAATAGAGGTTATTAAGGAGTATTTTTCTGCTGGAGAAGCTGTATTATTAGATCAAGCTCGGAAACTAATACCCCAGCTTGAAACTTTTGAGCCAATTAGTGACAACGAAGAGGAGGATCAAGAGCCTGGTGTTAAGGATATATAACGAATAGAGAGCTATGATAATAATTTAGAGGATGGAAAGACTAATTAAAGCAAGCAACTATAGCATAACCGATCAACGAAACAAATATCTGAGGCTTTTAATGACGATAATAATAACCTTCCAGAAATACCAATAGATGTCAAATAAGTTGGTGGTAATAGTGACGTAAACAAGGTCATAAAACGAACTCCCCTACACCTAGCAGAAGAAGCAACCTAATAATCCATAATAATAATCACAAGGATGATCATATGTTGATCAATATAATCAAGAAACCATCTAAAACAACCATTTTAAGCACCTTTCAAGAATAGTGTCTACTTTCCTATTCGGTATTAGCCGAATATCGAATAATAGATAAGGGCACGCAAGGACGGTCGGGACGTATTCGGAAGCAACCAAGGTTACCCGGTAGATTTCAGATTGATTTGAGATAGTCTATCTAGTATGAAAATAATAACATTATATTTACTGGATTAAAAACTTTAATAATTAATGATTACACAGTGATGACTTGAAAAATACAAAGGAAGCTGCATAAATAATGCACGCTCAAAAAAGTCACAAGGCTGGGCATGTATGGCCTGTTTCATATCCACTGGATATCCTCAAATATCCAGAGGATATTGGGTGGCATACCATATCCGCAATTTGCGGAGAGGATATGTGGATATCCATGGATATTGAGGATGTTGCCGCAGTCTAAGCGGGACTATACAATTCAATCCAAGCCCAAAGCATCGCCTCAAATCCCTGAATCGTCCTGCAACGCCCCCTTCGGCACGTTTGTCGTGTTATAATACTCCGTCCAGTCCTGGCACTGCTGCTTCAGGTCTGGCAACGCCCCTGAGAGGTTCACCAATCCGGGAATGCGCTTAGGCTGCTCAATAAACTGCAGGGAGAGCCCGGCGCTCGCGTGCCACGCAATATGGCAGTGCATCAGCCATGCTCCAGGATTGTTAACCTGGAAGGCGATCCACACATACCCCCCGATTGGACAATTAACCACGTCTCTCCGCGCCGGGTTATCCAACTTCGGAACTACGTCCTTGGTAAACTCGCCCGTGCCCTGGGCGAGAATGAGGAAGTCGTGGCCGTGGAGGTGGATGGGGTGCACGGAGCGAGGGATGGTACGCGGCGTGTGCGCCTCGCTAAGGGTGTAGTTATTTTCAATGACAAAATACACCCAGTCGTCTGTTTCGTAGTCCAGGTATATGGGGACTGTATCCGGCTGGAACAAGGGCCGCGGCTCGTCGTCCGCCGTCGCCAGCCGCAAGAGGCTAGGATCGCGCCAGTCGATATACTGCGAACGGTTCACCAGAACCCACTTGTGGATAAGGCTGTTTGGGTCCGAGACATTGGGCCAGTTCTGCAGCCCGATCCGCAGGTAGTCTGCCGGGGTGAATCCGTTTACCTCCTTGCCCACGGTACGTGGGACGATGGGGACTAGGTCGGTGGGCTTGGGATCCTCACAGCCGTAGTCGACGACACGCGCGCTGGGCAGTAATGTAAATGGATCCTGCCGATTATACGCATTATATCGAATAATCCCAACCCTCGAGTCTAACATACTGTCGTCATCACAGTAGGTCCCGTGGATCCAGAAGTTAGAGTTGTGGGTGAACGTTGCATTGGCCTCGATAATAATCTCGTAGCGCTGCGCTGCACGACATGGTTAGACTTTTGCGTGGCGACCTGGGAGGGACCTCTGGGTGGACAGCGTACCAATTCCAACAATCAAAACGTCCGTGACGTACGGCTTGATCGGCACAAAGTCATTCTGAATAACAGTAAAGTTGTGCCCGTCGACCCAGAACTTATACGTCAGCAGACTACCTGTATTAACTAGACCCAGCTTGTACTTTTTCCCCTTTCAAAAACAATCTCATGGCGCTCATGCTTTCCTGTACACCGGGAATCAGTATCCGGATCACAGTCAAACACTCCCTTGCCATTCAAAATGGTTGTCAATGGCAGGGGTGCGTGCTCTGAGGCAATTTCATAGTGGAACAAGCCAAAAGCGTCATGGTGGTACCAGTCGCTTATTAGAAGCGGGCCCAGATCAACGTCGTAATTCATGCTGGAAGGGCCTTTGATATAAATAGGGCCTACATGCATAATAAGCTGTCGTCTCTTGGTCTGGAAATACAAGTTATGCAGGATACCTACCAAGCACACCATTCGCGTCTATATTTTCGTTAGTAGGACCATTGGAAGAAGAATAGACAATATAAAAATACTAACACTGCAAACTATAGTGTGAATGATACCATGCCGTGCCATATTGCATCGCTCGGAACTCAACTACCTGGGTGTCACCCGGCTAGATTGACTTTAGCAATTATTTCTCATCTGCAGCCTCTAATGGATTAGCTTACCTTAGATGGGCACTGGGTGACTCCGGGAACTCCATCAAGCCAGTTTGTTTGAAATTGACGGATTCCATGCCAGTGAATCGATGTGCCATTCAGGTTGGTCAGATTATTATGCACACTAATTCCTGGGTGCCATATCTACATTAACATCAATTCCACAGCAGATATGCGGAGGTTGGTCCACCCACGGATTGTATCACCCCAGTCAGCCTCAATTGTAGGACCAGGAAATTGCCCATTAACCACAGTCATGTTTGTCAAGTATCCGTCGACCGCCATGACGGCGTTGGAGATCGTCAGATTATACTAGAAGGCTGTCTATCAATCCCTTGGTTCCCTGCGTCTTTCTTAGGGAGGTTCTACCTACCTGGACCAGTTTCCCAGTGGGAATTGCGCTTTCGTAGTCAGTGTACAGATCAAACCCATCTTTCCAACAGTCCCGACTCGTTGGTGAATGGATGCAGCCTTCTGTAGGAGCTGTCGAGCCGCTTTTTCCCAGTGTGGCTAGCACTGAGACGCCCAGCGGCCACAGTGCAGCATCGGACGATTGCGCTGTGGTGGCACTGAGAGAGCCCGCAAAGATGGCCAGGGCCTGGGGAAAGCGGCTCAAAATAGATCGTCTCATTGTGATGCAGGAATTTGGTGCTGAACTTTGCTTTTGTTTGCACCGGGGGCTTTGTCTTCCCCCACTGCATTGCTCGATGTCGAGCCTGCGGACGCTTCAATTTATAGTGCTTTGCCATAATTGTTGGTAGTGAAGATGGAATCTATGGAATCTCACCCTTCCCATCTTAATCCCCGGATGGAAAGTGTGGATTTCCTCGGTAACTGGTATGTCCTCCACGACCCGGCTCCTTATACATATTGAAACAGGGGTAGTAGAAAATTCGTCCTTCAGTTTGAATAATGCAGTTGTCGCGCAACCCAACCATGGTTCACACCTGTATGTGCAAAATATATATATTCCGCCACATAAGATGGTTAAAGTTAAAACAATTGTATTTTAAGCAATATAAGTAGTAAAAATTTATAAAAATTGTAAAAAAAGTGGTAAAATATTTTGTATACTACTTGTAAACACGTAGAGCTCAGAGGAAGAACATAGTCAATTTCATTGATTAGTGTGAGGTTGAAGATTGAAGGTGGACGAGGTCAAACGTTCGAAGTATGGACGAATGAAGTAGGGTGACCGCTAAGAACCACTTATGCAATTCCAACCCCGTATGAGCGTGCAACACTACTTATTTAATTTTACATATAATTTTCGGCTTATTATATAATATATTATCATTAGCACCTACAATAAATAATATAAAAAAAATAGTAATAAAAAAATTTTATATATAAAAAATATACTAAATTAATCTATAATTTATATAAAACTATTTAATTATAATATTATAGTATAAATATTTCTTAAAATACACGCTGTAAAATCTTGTAATAATACTATTTTTTTTAAAAAAAATAATTATATAATTAATAATAGTACATTAAACAACTTATATAGTTTTTATTATTTTTAAAAACTGTTGGGTGGTATAATGCAGAAAAATAAAATATTGAAACAGGGGTAGTAGAAAATTCGTGATTCAAGCTTTTGACTAACTATAATATGCCCCACATCTAAGCATTGCCGGTGCAGGAATTAGCAGTAGCTAGGTCCTTGGCCTATCTGCATGGCGCCCTGCCCCTCACAGTCGTTACGGTATAGCAAACAAGATGATCTGGAAAGCTTCAATTTCCTATTTACGAGTACACAATCTAGCTACGCTGATTTCAAGCAATTTTTTTGGCCCATCCTTATGTTGTAGCGGTACTTGTACTAGTTACTATCCGATGTCGGTAGCTACAGCTTTTAATCTACCGCATGCCCCACTCTCGAATTGGGTTGATCAGTGATCAACAGCCGTATATACACCATTGGCGAAGATAGAGCTGTTGACGTTACGATACGGCAGGATTTGGACAAATTATCAGTCGGCATCGTCAAACTCCAGTAGTTGCCGAAAATATCGGATATCGTATCGGCAGCCGGACTGTCTGCTGATATGATAAAGCCAAATTCGTCGATAATAACTATAACTTGTAATACAAGGCATTTGTAACTAACGCAATCCATAAGCGGGCTGTTGCACCTCTTTATTCCTTAAGAAACTACTATGTGCATGACTTAGAATTCTGCCTGCCTAATACATATAAATATAGTAACATGACACCACTCTATATACTAAGTTTACGTCTCTCAAGATTTTTGTTATTAAGATTCCATTTGGCTTCGTTTAACAATTGGCTGACTGGATTACTCTCAAAAGTTTGCTCTTGCCCTGGTTGGAGCCATAGTACTGCAGCAGTAGCATTATTATTATGCCTTTCGCCGACAACCGCATGTAGCAATAGCAAGTGTTTATATAAAATGAATATCACATATATAACTCTCAGTACCAGGAAAACAGGCACTTTCAATTAGTGAACAGCCTAACAGCTCGTGGACCCTACAATGTTAATAGTCTAACTAGACCCTGGATTATACTATGAATTTTGAATTGCATTTGTGTCGGTAGTACCCAGGTCACCTGAGGATTGTTTCCCGGCATATCACAGTATGATGTAGAAGACGTTACTGCTAAGGCAACTCGAGTTGTCCCGTACTTTAATCTTTGTGTTATGTACATATAGGATTTCACAGCAACAAGAGGAGGTATTCTGGCATTCCCAGATTGCCTGCTGTGTCCAATGGTCAGGAGATGGTACACAAAATGAAATGGAAATCAAAGACATACCAATGGTGTATTACATACTTTTATCACACCACCTCATCAAGGTTCATCAAGCGAACGCTGGGAAATGTGAATCAAGATAATAAAATTTATTAAGTGAGTAGTATGGCCGAATGATATACAGGCGAAATAATTTAACTTAATTTGCACCAAGCACTCTCAAGTGTCAGTTTCGGCCAGGTATTATAACCCTGTAACCTCCCTCACGTGTCAAAGAATGAGCGGTGAAAAATAAAAATGAGGAGAGTGGAAGACAAAGGAATTAAGATCGGGGAGGTATTGCTTCTCGGTTCGTTGAAGCACAGGTCCAGCTACTAGCCAAGTTCACATCACCACTCACATATGTGGCCTTCTGGGGGTAGGGGCAGATGGGGCGCTGACGCAAGACCGGTTTGGAGCCATCATCGTCTTCGAATTTTGTACCAACAAGATAGTCTGGGGGGGTTCCGTTTTCAGTCCAGGCAATTAGGGCTAATACAGCGTCATGGTAGCGGTCATTGTAACCGGGAACACCGGCAGGAATATTTTTCATGGCCTTCGCCTGGTAAGCAGCTCCTATATACCAAGGGGCGTAAGCACCGCCGGAGCAGTGTCCCATACCAGGGATATAGAAGAAGCGGTAGAAGTCGTCAATATTATAACCCGCCGCGGTCATGGCCTTGCTTGTTCGGTCCCGGTAAACGCGGCTGGCCTCGGTGGGAATAATTCCATCGGCGTATCCGTGGTAGTGGATGAGCTTGCCTCCTTTCTGGGCGAAGGCGCTGATGTCGTACTGGTCGGCCTGTGCATTACCGGGGTCAATGTAGTCCGAGAGATCAACAATACTCTCGTTTAACTTAGACCAGTCGTAGCTAGTGGCATTGAGGAGGAAATAAAGGATCCAGTCTGAGCCTAGGGGAGTCGGTTTATCGGCCACATTAAGAATCGGCGTAAGGTCAGCTCCTAGTGAGTATGCGGGAAAGATCAATTCGTCATTGTGAACCCAGTCTCTGACAACTGTTTTAGCGAGCTTTAATTGATCGTCGTTGAAGCACATGCTAGCGTTGCTTCCAGCAGCAGAGCAACTTAGTGCGTTAATGTTAAAGTTGCAAGCCTTAGGGTCCAAAATAATATTGTCGATAATGCCATCTTGGGGATCACATTGAACCATGGCTTCTTTGGCCAGAGCAGCTATTTGCTGGGCTGTGATATGGTAAGACGCATTGGCTGGCAGATTATTGTTACTTAGCCACGCGTTGTACGGCGAAAGATGATTCATCCACCAAGCGGGAGCACCGACCAAGGCGCCATCAAAGTCATCCGGGAACTCTTGAATTTCCTTCAGGCCCTGACGACCGCCTGTAGAGCAAGCAGCATAGTAGGAGTAGGAGATTGGATGATTGTAGTATTGGTGAACAATATCCTTGGCGATTAATACGGTGGAATGGAGGGCACGCCAGCCCCAGTTAATAATACCTTCCGGGTTGTTCAACGCCCAACGACCACCATCGTGACCAGATCGATGACCGGTATCAGTCGAGACTGTCGCAAATCCATACTGTGACAGCTGGCCAATGACAGGCCAATTTGTGAAGCCACCATAACCTCCATTGCCGGTGGTCATGAAGCGGTTATTCCACTTGTATGGCAGATAGAGTGCCACATGGAAGTAGGATGAATTTTCTGTTGGAACTTTGAATCCTACTGCGCAACCTTCTGGAAGGTATGTCGCGTTGCCAGCCGCCCATTCATCGCCGAAAGTACCATTCTCCGCGATATAAGTGGCGTAGTTCAGAGTAGCATTACTGGGGATCAGGCCGGAAAAGACGTCGGTGCGACATTCATAAGCTTTGGTTCCAATTGTCAAGGCGGCAATGGTGAGGAAGGTAGTTTTCATTTTCACAGATGCAGAAATTAAAGGGACAATAGAAATAGAGACGCCGTTGGCCCTTGGCTATGAGAAGAGGGGTGGAGAGAGGATTGACCTTAAGAGACAGGGAAGAAGAGAAAAACGAAAGATAAAAAAATAGAGATATTTATAGCTGTATGGTAATGGTGATAGGGCGTAGGTTATTCGGTCTACTTCACCGGAGTCTTACCGAAAATATTCCATGGAGATCGGGCTGGAATTGAATGGAGACAAATTTAATGGCTCGGGTGACCTATGGTGCTATAGATGGCTTCTGGACTGGGACGAGAATGAGCAAGAGAAATCGCCTGGTTTGCGTAATGCAATGTAAATCTCCATTGATCTACATAATGCCATCCAACTAATTTCTCAATAATACAGTTCCGGTCAAACTCAAAAATCTGACTTAATTAAGTACTAGAAAGACTGCTGGATAATTTCGTGTTCAGGTGGTGGATCTACAATGAAACACTGATAGATTCAGAAAATCGAAGTACAATTCCTGTGTCCTGTTAGCCAATATCAAGAGCTACTTCTACCTATCGAATGGACGCTGTCCACCCGAACTTCGTTCTGCAGTCACGAATCTCAGGGTTGACGCTAGCGTGAGATAGAGTTTAGAAAGATGCTTGGTATTTTCTATCTGCCAGCTAGAGAGTATTTCAATTTAACATCTACGTAACAACCATACGAATCCCGGGATCCTTGGCGGGACCCACTACAAGAATTTGTTTCATCCTTATTGTATATCTGTTACAATACGGCCCCGTTGGCACTGGAAACAAATTGACAGATGTCCGAGCGGGCTCTGAAACATTAGACGGTTTGCACAAGAGACACCACCAGAGATCCATCATAATCCCAAATGACTCTGAGGTAATCGACTCTTAGTCGATTGGAATGTACACAAGTTGCGCTGTGTCCGAGCCGGCGGGCTTGGCATTCGGCAACTAGCCCAACCGGGGATGGATCTAAGAGTTGTTTAATGTAAGCTCTAAGTGTTTGCTGCTATCCAGCCGAGGCAACTCGGCATTTGGTACTGGCTCAACCTGCCGGTATTTAGGGGCAGCGGACGGCGCCATCAATAGACCAAGTCTCAAGACCGGATCAATCAATGCAAATCGCAGTGAAGCGCAGTCCATCCCTGCGTATGACTTGCGTGCTTCGACAGGAGTGTGATAAACTTCAATATCATTTGATGATACGCTGTTTTCAAAAGCAGCCCTTCTGTACATGTGAATGGTTAGTTGCGAAATTTGCATACTGTATCAGACTCAGTTGGTTGGGATACTGTGATTCCTGACGGTTCCACAGATAACATCTACTTCCTAATTAGGCTAATAGTCGTGTGGCTGATTTATAGCTCCCTGCACGTCCCCACCCCTCTGTTGTGGAATACAGGGGAAGTAGTGCGCAGGGAGCTATTCTATCAGCTACAGGCCAACTAGCCTAACTAGGAGGTAGATGTCATTCAGTGGAAACACCTGGAATCGCAGTATCTCAACCAACTGAGCCTACTAAGCGGTTCCCTATATTCTCACTGAGGTGTTCGACTATCTAAAGGATTCAGGGGTTGGATCGGTCGTCAGATACTCCGCACCGCCAAGTTGGGCGGAGTAATACCATGTATGAAGCAGTCCGCCATCCTCATCCAAAGGGCCGTTGCTGGTTCCCGTTAGTATCGGACAAAGTGCACACCAACTCCTTACTCACTTTGGCGATACGGAAACAAGAAAAGGGAGACAAGTTACATTTGTGGACAGGGCGTCTTTGCAGCTGAGTCCCGGATAATTCACAAACATATGGGTGCCAGCAGGCTGTTGGCCCAGTGCTGAATGCATTAGCAAGGCTGCTACGGCAGTCCATAGCCCTCGCATCTTGAGTATAATTCAGAACACAAACATCCAAGTGAACAAAGCAGTAAATGGCAGATCGAACTATTTAGCAAAAGTAAAACGACGGACAGACCCAAGGGAAGACAGGGAGCCGACAAGGCCCGGCAGGAATGAAAGCGGGAGATGGGTGTAAAATGAACTCTCCTGCGAGGTCCACTCCATGGCTCCGTTCATGCTGCATGGTAACAGACCCTGACAGAATTGTTCCTAAGATGGCCAGAGATTTGATCTTCTCAAAGTAGTGAAATATTCTGCTACTCGGTGATCGCTGGTACAATACTTGTCATACAACTTGCTATTGCTGCAGGGATGGCACTTTCGAGCTAGATTTGGGTGGTTTCTTCCACAGCGCATGCAGATCAAACTTTCCATCAAATAACATCTTTGGTTAGTTTTTAGAAGCACCTCCACAGACTGCAGCTCTCCATGTATTTGGCATAGAACTTTTTCAATTTCATTTGCTAAATCGCCTGTTGTTCGTGAGATAGCCTGCTCCAAACATGTAAAGGCGATCCTTACTTCGAACACCACTAGGCAAAACCCCAGCACGTTAATCACCTCCCACTTTGCAAAGACATCAGGAGAAAGTTGGGTCTGGGCTGTCGCAGATATTCTGGCGAATTGCTCTGTAGAACGAAAAGGTGTGCAGCAAGAAGGAGAAAGCCATGCTCGTCTATAGTCGCAATGGATGGAAAATCGTAAAACTAGGTAGTAATCCAGGGTCGGAGGGCCTTGACACAATCATACTTATCACAATTAATAGCAAGGACGACGAGTCCTTCCGCATCGATTAAATCGTCCTACTCTGGCTCCCGATAATGTAGAATTCCTACTATCTTTCTCATCACATCCGGGTCATCTCCACAAAGGGATATTGTAGGATAGCTAGATTTTGCTATCCGTACCCTCATATAATCAGAACCAAATAACTTTGGAGACATTGGCGAGGCCAACTAAGAATCTTGGATGACACAAGAAACCGTCATGCATTCTGACTATCAACGAGTAGAGTGACATTCCCATCTGGATCGAGGCGTTCAAGGCCAGAGTCTTCGTCTGCTAGTTGTGTTTGACTAAAATCCTTGTCTGACACGTTGTTTGTGCATTTAAAAGCAGCAGAGATTATTAAGAGATGGTACGTCCTCGTGAAATATGAGGCGGGGTAATGAAGTACCACTTCAATATACGTGGTCTATATTATTTTATCAATATAATGTGCTATTTGTTTGCTATTGTTACTGCCTTATGAGCTTAACAACTGTCTCCTAAATAGTCTAGAGTCCATTAAATCCACGTGCACCTGGCCAGTCTCGCGTAATAGAATTAATTACCATTGCCATATGCCCACATGCTGCAGCAAAGTGTAATGGCGTTTTACCACAGCCTCATGTTCGCGTCCTGCAGCAAGTAATATCTCGTGTAAAAATGTGAACGAACTTTTATTGGCCATAGGATCCATTGCCCTGAGGAAGTGGACCATCATGGTATATTGCGCTCCGCAGCTCTATATTGCCTTAGTTGGAAAATATTTTTAATGGAAGGTATTCGCCTTACTATGTGGTCTCTACTGGAAAGTTGACCGCGTGCGTCAATTAGACACCGCAGAGCCGGTTTGCTCCTCGCTATGTAGCTATCATTGTTAGAATTGAGCCGTGTATTATAACATTAACGTCAGCATCATGCTTGACCAGACGTAAAGCCGCCATCTCCTTCCCCCTCGACAGCGTAGAATAGTCTTGGACGACTACAAGCGAACTATTTTAAATGTTGTAATTACACCCCACTCGTCTTGGCCCTTACAAATCCCCCAGCTTCCCCCTCCCAATTTACCCTCCGGTCTTGAACAGTCATCATTATTGAAAGCAGGGATTGGGGGCATTATTACAAGGTGTTAAATCTGCAGAAATTTGTGCAGTCCATAAATAACTCTGCCTGAACTCAGTGATGCAGGCCCGTAATTGACAATACCTTCTTGTTCTATTCTAAGGATCTAAAGCAGGTTAGCTCGATGCTGGTATAAACTGAAACAATCTTTTCTGTGAATATCTCCACCACGATTCTACAGGTTTGCTGTCTGTCTACGTATACCCGTTTTTGCCTGAGTAGGCCTGATATATGAAGATCCTACTACACACCCACCCATCCACCGCCTAACTTAAGATAAAAAAAAGACTAGAAATCGAGACCAGAACATATCTTATCTACCCATTCATCGAACTTCGATCAGCCGTTGATGACCGTCCAAGCAGCATCAATGCAGATCTTGCACTGGCCTCCAACTACGCCACCGAGCTACGAGACGGAAGCGGGAAAATCGGAGCGAGAGGAGGAGGGGAGGGAGTTATCGGTGGGTACTGCTATTATTATTGCTGCCGCTGCAGCAGCAGCAGCTGTTGTTGTAGTGTGTGCTGCTCCTCCCAGATCTCCATCTCCTCCTCCATTATTATTTCCTCGTCGCTCCACTTTCCCCCGGGATTTGCTCCCGCCGAGGACAGTTGAGGTGGTCGTATGCTTCTCAAATTGCGCTGTGTAGGCCCCTACTGTCTGCTGGAGACAGTCCAGGAAATAGGTGATTAGGTGGAAGAGGAGGACCAAACGCAGTTCGACGGAGGAAGGGCGCGAAAACCATGCGTTGTCGTTGCTATTGTTGGTGTTTGGTTCGCGGTTGGATGAGATTGGTGAGTGGGTGAGGGCGTCTCGGTGAAGAGCAGTGAGGAGGGAGTCGTATATCAGGAAGAGAAGGCTGTAGCAGGCTATGACGAAGTGGTAGATTGCGGTTTCATCTGCTGCTGCGGGTCTATTGTGTTGGGTAGTCTGTGGTTGTAGTGGTTGGAGATGTGGTCCAGAGGAGATGGGAGATGATTTCTAAAGATGGTAGGAGGAGGTGAAGGTTTCACCGAAGTTGTGGGTTGTTGATGTCGGGGTTGCGGTGGACGGGGAGGGGAGTGTTGGGGAGGTTGAAGAGCATTAAGACGGCTTCGAAGGCGGCGTTGGTGATTAGGGCATGCTCGGAAACCGAGGCGGCCGCTCGTGGTGAACTGTCTAGGGCTCGGGTGGTTCGGTAAACGGCGTGAAGACGTGCGGCAAGTCTGATAGGCGTCCAACGCATTGTTCGAGGTCCTCGAGGAGAGACGATCGACGCTGGGAGCCATCCTGAGGCGGACAGACCAGTGAATGAGGCCAGGTCTTCAGCAGAGAACGGAGGTGGAATGCTCCTGTCTCAGGACGAAGATGAGAGAGATGCAGCTGTGGTTGTAGTTGAAGCACCAGCACCAGCGCAGTAGCAGAAGCTCAGGCCGCCGCACAGGACCGACCCTTGGGTAAGGCAGTGCAGTAGACGCATTAGACCTTCTGGCGTAGACACGGTGCAGCTTGAATGCTCCCCACTCGTACTTAGTCCGGGACATCGCAGCTTGTGTGCGTAGCAACGATCGCAGGACAAGCGTTTGGGGAGTGCAGCGGCTGGTTGCATCTTAGCTAACAGCGACAATGCTGGATGCCATCGTTACCGGCTAAGATAGTTATTACTTAAATTGGTATTCCCAACCCGGGAGGTAATTTTTCAACAACTCGAGGGTCACATCTGTCTACCACGATTTCGATCTTTCGCTCCTCCCGGTGTTGCCACAGGCCTGTCTCGGCCCGACGGGGCCTCGAGATGGTAACAGTTGCTGCCTGCACACAGTCCGTGCAGATCGTTGATTGAGGGGACCGAGTTCAGTTGAAACACGCCCGAGAAACGACGATCGAAGGATTTGGTTGTTCTCTTCTTCTCAGTTCCTCTCAGTACTATCAGATGCGGGGTTCACTTGGGGATCACTCGGGGATCACTCGAGGCTGGTCAGGTTCTTGTGAGAATGTCAATTCGAGAGACCATCGACGGCCAAACATTAGCCTCACTCGGTTCAAGGGGAGAGAGTGTCAGCGACCATCTCATATTTCTCGCTTAAGCGGGCCGGGGATCGGCATCGAAAACGGGCCGTGGTGGAACCGCCATAGCCAAGCAATGCCACATCCACTAGCCAAGCGTAGACAAGCAATATCCATGCCTCTTGGCAGGGCTTACCTCGTTCCTTGAGGGTTTTATACTCTCTACTCCTTCACAGGTCTGGATAGGATGCGGGATTTCCGATTGAAAAGCGTAACTGGGGGAAATGATTGGCACTGTCGCCCCCGTTCCCCGGAGATAGTCACGGATTTACACCCTGAACCGATGATGCTCGCTCCTTCTCGGTCTCCGATATCATTCTCTCATGACCTTCTCAGGATGTCCGTCAGTGGTCCATTCGGGAACTTGGTATATAACCCTCTCCCTGCAGTCGAGTACAGCCCCCCCTTGAAAGCTTACTTCTATCCATCGAAATCAATCCAAATCAACCCATTTCATATCAAGCCAGTTCCAAGCAGAAAGACAAAATGGCCTTCCAAGCCAGCCTACCCGCCCTTCCCCTCCGCGAAGCCATCGTGGACGCCGTCAACCGGGCCGTCCTCTCCTTCGACGCCAACGATCTCTCCCTCTTTGAATCCGCCTTCTTCGAAGACGCCATCTTTGACTTCAACGGCACTGTCATGACGGGCCGCACCGCCATCCGCGAAGGTTGCTACGACAACGTCTCCAAGCTCGACACCACCCACTTCCTGAGCAACGTGCGCATCAACCTGCCCTCCGAGAGCAGCCCGACGGCAACGGTGACTGCCTCGGCGCTGGCCCAGCACTTCCGGACGGGTCAAGGGAACCAGCCCGATACCACCCGGTTGACCAGTGGAAGTCTGTACTTTGTTGATGTCTCGCAGGATGATGCCAGTGGGTTATGGAAGATTAAGAAGTGGACGATGAAACTAGTGTGGACCGAGGGGGATTGGGGAGTCATGACTGGGAACTGAGATTTTTCCCCCTTGTTTCTGAATTGAGGGTGAGAGAGAATTCTGGAAAGAGGTCGGTCGCAACAGCCTAGTCCCCAGCTAAGCAATTAACGTCGATGGTGTCATGTCATAATATCGATATTATTAATGTCCTAACCGAATATCACGATCATAGAACCATGACGCATCCGAGAGTGGGGAGCTGGGTGGGGGGTGTGGATTTGGTGAGGCGCGGGACCGTTTCGGGGGCGAAGTTGGTCTACGCTATAGCTTAAGAAGGGGGGAAAATAAGGTTGTCGAGGGAAGGGGAGGTGGGGGAGATGCAGACTGATAGTTGACTTTTGCGTCTTTATCTCTGGAATGATGACAGATGAATGCTAGACTTTCAATTCAATGCTAAGTGTTCTAGATGTTTTTTTACAATGAAAAATATTTCTAAGGGCTGTTCTTTTTCGGTTACTTCAACGAGCGTTGTGGAAAATCTTGTCTGCCTTCAGATTGAAGATGGAGACAGGCTATGGTCGATGTCTGATGTTCCCTGGGGCCTGCACCGTACCCTATTTGCTAGGCTGTGAATACAATCGAGATTACTCTAACTCTCGAAGTCCCTCATGGATAACGAATTATAGAAACGGGAGCGAACCCCCACCCCGCAGACGCGGATCTGAAGAGTCCAACTCGGTGATTTCTATTCCAATTTCATTTCGGTCACATATTAAATGAAATCTTTTATTCAACAATTTTCGGTTCGGCGGTTTAGCTGCAGATGCATGCTGCAGCGAGACCAGTTAGGGTTACCGGGCCGCAGCATCGCATGGGAGTGGGGTTACTAGGGAAGGAAGATACCAAAATACACCGATGTCCTGTAACAACCGTGTGCGGACAGGAAGTTGTAGTTTCCCTTTATTCGATACAAGATAGCAACAAAGATTGAAGAATTGAATTCGGTCAGACTGATCCCCGAGAAAACCCGCAACCGACGTCCTGTCAACATATATCTTTTACCTCTCCCCCCAGCCACAGTTCATCCTTTCCCCCCTTCCCTCCTGCCCGCCCGCCCCCGCGCGCAATTAGTTCAACACCATGACAGTCACCAAGATTGAGATCCCCAACATCGATATGCGGGACTACTACGAGCGCACCTCCCCGACCAGTAAAGAGGAGGTGGTGGCCCACGTTCGCACCACCTGTCTGGAACACGGGTTCTTTCAGATCGAGGGACACGGGGTGTCGCTGGACATCCAGCGGTATATGCTCGCAGCCTGCAAGACGTTCTTCGACTTGCCGATCGATGAGAAGACGGAGCTGTCACTATACAAGAATACATGGCGACGCGGATATGAGGGACCCGGAGAGCAGGAGCCGTTTCATGCAGTTTTGCTGGATCAGAAAGAGGTTTGTTGCGGTTTCTTTCTTTAAGACCTTTTCATGGTATTTCCCTTGAATGAATGGACCCCTAATGAGCAACCCTGACTTTACTGACCGGACGAAAGGCATTTTTCATGGGAAGAGATTTCCCCAGGGACCAGGTTGGTTTCTGAAGGGACCCAATATCTGGCCTGAACATGTTCCCACAAGTCAGTTCCGTAGACCCGTCGAAGAGTATTTCGACGCGCTGCTGAAGCTGGGTCATCGGGAGAAGGTGGACCTCATTGTGGGCATGGCCAATCCGCCGAGTGTTCTCGATTTCTTCACCAGTAATGCGGCGATATAAGTTGAGGAAACCATACCCAACGCAACCCTCCCTTCCCTCTCCCATTCATTTCCGGGATAAACTATAGGGCCCTGCCCCACACCACCCTTCTCAATCCTCAATGATTGATTCTCGGAGTCCAGGTTCCTCAAACTCCTCCGCTACCCAGAACATAAATTTGCCGACCAGCCCATGCTCGGCTCCGGCGCGCACACCGACTACGGCGGCCTGACCATCTTCCTGTAGGAGCCCGTCAAGCACGGGCTGGAGGTCTACCACGCGGCCACGGAGCAATGGATCCCCGTCCCGCCGTCGAGGACCGGTTCGTCATCAACCTGGGCGACATGGTGCAGCGCTGGACAGACGGCGAGTACCAGAGCAACCTGCACCGGGTCATCATCAAGGCCGGAACCGAGCGCTTCTCGGTCCCAGCGTTCTGGTACGGGGATCTCGAGGCCACGAACCCGTTGAATCCGAGCGATACGAGTGGTGAGAACGTGCAGGAGTTTATTCGGAAGAAGTTCTATCAGGATTATTCGTTGCCGTTGGAGAGTAGGGGGACTGCTGCTGTTGTTGGTGTCGCGAATTGAGGGGACAGTGTTTCTGGGAGATCCTGGTAGTGGTTGATAATATGCGTTAGTTGAGTTGGTATTTCAAGGTATAGGACTTTGTGATTGTTCTTGTATTGGGTGCGTGTGGGACGTATATGTATTGTTGACTTGGAAAGTGGAAGTGACCCCTTTCGCAACTGAGAAAGTGGTCGTTGATGACTGAGCGTTCATGATAATGATCAAGTGGCAAGGGTCTTATCTTATGAACACAGGTAAAAAAGTTCATTTTTTAGATGAGGTACTTGAACCCCGTAGGTGTATTTGAATCCTATATCTCTACTGTCGTTACGAGTGTCCTAGGTGGCAGATTTGACGCGGCAATTCTTTTCACATTGGCGTGTAATTCTGATAGAAGGCAATCTACTTCCCTTCTAATTGAACATGGCGCTGAGATATCATGCTAAGTTATTGATTTGGCTCTCCGTCCCAGAGAAGACACTGGTTTCATATGTGTCACCTCGGATTACAGAAGTACCTTGAGAAAGCAATAACTTAACGTATGACAGGTAGGTGTGAGCCACCTGTGCCATATTTTGTCTTGTGTAGGATCGTTGAGCGGGAAACACCGTGTGGAAAAAACTGCTACGTATAATAAATTCAGGCCCAAATCTACTCATCTACCGCTCTGTTTATTGATACTTATAATAAATCAAACTCTCAAGTGTAACGCCGTCTGCCTGACATGTATCAACCATGTATTGGTATATCATGTGATGTTACCAGGTCCAATGATGCTGGTCGCTGGAGTAAGGAGATACCACGGAGCCCGTAAAATGCACACACCCATATATGGGAATAGGAGGCGAAGTTTAGAGCTTCCCTTGATGCGAGTTGAAACAAATCTCGTTGTCTTAATCCGTTATTAATTTGTCCTTAGAGTGAGTTAGCGATGGCCTTCAGAAATTTTAATTTTCTTACCTATTGATGCTTCGGACATTTTCCTTTGATTTCCTGAGACCCGCCAGATATCACCTTATAGTTTGGACACATCTTTCTCTCAATACCTAGCGGCTTCGTTTTACAGGTTGAGCCTATTATAAACTGGGTCCTCGCACAACCAGAGACTCTGCATCCTGAATATTTGGAGGCCGTTCGGAAATCTGTGCACATTCCTTTTCACTTTGTAACTTGATCAGAATGTCCTTGTGCTCGCTGTCAAAATCAACATACTAACTTTCAAGGAAGAATATGATCCCCCAGAGTCGATATATTTGTCGATTGAGTGACTGCCAAGGATTAGGCCTGAGCACCACTGGAAAATATGCTTGTTCTGGGAGAGGATTCTGGATGCGAGAAGGAAGGTATGTATACTGTAAGGTTACCTACCCCTCTTTGCGAACAAAATGTATAAGTTAGTTAACTGGCTTAGCCCACCACCGAGTCTAGCGAGCCACCACAAAAGAAATAAGAATTGTAGACCAAATTGATCATTAGATATCCTAATATTGGGGAATTGTCAGCCTTCTGTTTGGTCACGCCCCTCGCTCTCGGCTTACCCCACCTGCAAGGAAGAGCGAATGGGATAACGTTTTAAGGCCTTTAAAAATAGCCTGTTTAAATAAAAACTAAATTTACCTGTGCTAAGAACTTTGCGCTGGATCCTGCGGGGATCAGTTGCCTGACATTTTGCCCAGGCTGTGCCTCCCTCAACAAGTGGATTGCACGAGTGTCATAGCAGGCTGCAGAGTGTGAAAAAGGTGGCTGTATATCATCATCATTATCAAAGCCGCAGTGCAGTAATCTCATTAAGGCCATAATGGGTCAAAATACCCTAGTAGCTAGTGTTAGTGGCTATATTAGCTCACTGCCTGATTAACTGGAGTAGGCTGTGCATGAGTATCTTGACAGATATAAGAATAGAGACGCCATCATGAACCGTGCTGTACAGATAACCTGGCTCCTGCTTACAGATCCACCTTATACAATAATTATCTTTTTAATTATCTTGTCCCGACTTTTGTCTTACTGAATTTTTGAGAAAACAGGATGGCAGAAGTGTTCGGGATTGTTGCAGGTGCTTTTGGTACTTGTTCCTTGGCACTTGAATTACTGGAAGTCACAAAATCCGCACAGCGTTATTGGAGACGTGTGCATGATCTCCCATCTATTTCAACTGAGATTGCGAATGGCTTAGAGAGTGTCGAACAACTATTAACGGTAATCAGAACTCTGGCTATCCAAGAGCCTGGGATCACAATTTATTTGCTTGCCTGGAACGCTGCAAACATCCGTTAAAAAGGGTTAAAGACATTACGCAAGATATTGAAGCAAGCAAATCCACCGGGAAGTTGCGGAACATTAAGGGGGCATTAAGGAGCCTTGCCTTTGACGAGAAGCTCTCAGTTGCAAGAGCGTCTCTAAGGGAGACAATAAATGATCTGTCTCTCGCCCTGCTTGTTTTACAACTGTAAGTGCCTTGGTCTACTTTCTGAACTTGACTAACTGTCAGTAATAGTCGAGCTACTTGTCAGCACTCTTCCATTCTTTCTAGTATAGAAAGAACCCTCGCCGTATTAGGATCAGAATATGCAGTAAACAAGAATGACGCGTCTTTCAAGTGCAGAGACGATGAAGACTCGTTACAGAATTCAAGTATGTTCTATTAATCATAACAATCTACTGATATCGTTCGTCTTTTCTACTTTGTTTGCAACTACATTTGTTATCTAGATACTAATTAAGGCATTTATCTTAACTACGTCGACAGAGTTTCGAGATGTCATCCAAGGAAAAAGAGGTCTTGATGATTTTTGCTATTCTCCATATGAGACTGAAGCCTTGGGGTCACAAAGCGCTCAATATTATTTGAACCAAAGCGACCTCCATGGATCTGATTATTCCTCGCGTAAACAAGCAGCCCATAAAGTCTTTTATATAAGGAGTCAACACTTCTGTCTGCTCCCGGGAACGCTGTCTGTCTCAAGTCTGAGAAAGGAAAGTACGACTAATAATACTAACAAAAGACAACAAAGCTCATATACTGAGGTGAAAATCAGATTTTCTTCGTCATATTTCTGCAAAGGGTTTATGGCCAGACTCTATGCAAAGACAGTTGGAGGATTTAGCTTTCTGCAAAGCTTGGAAACTATACGTATAGTACCAAGATATGAAGGAATATTTTACGATGTTTGCTGTGGGTATACCACAAAAGTGAAGAAAAGACTTCAAGACAGAGAAGATTTGCCAAACAGTACGGACAAATATGGACATTCTCTGATCGCTATGGTGAGACTATCTAGCCCTATTTGTCATCGAGGTGGAGGCTAACATGACTATCTTTTAGGCAGCTGGTAATAGCCATCTAGAACTGGTACATCACTTACTTGATCTTGGCGCGAACAGCCAAATTGTTGACGATAATGGAAGGTAACTTTCCTAAGACTACAATTGCCTTTTAGTCATGACGTTAAACATTCTAAGAACAGAAATCCTCTACACTACGCGTGCTACCTTCGAGGAGGTCCTCTATCTCAGAAAGATTGGGAAATTTTCAATTTGTTGGTTAGGAAAGGCCAGATTGATCCCTGGACACCTGACTTTACTGGCCAAAATTTCTGGCATATTTTTTGCCAGGTTTGTCAATCAAGCATTGACTTCCCTTGGAAATCGATTGCACAAGAGTTCTTGCTAGTTTTAGATGATCAAGATTGCTTTGGCCGCACTGCCCTCTTTCATTTGTGCTCAAATCCCAAAGCCAACCTTGATATTTTCCAATGGCACTTGAACAGTGAGGCGAGCCTGTCCATTTCTGCGAATGGACGTTCCCCAAGGTTGAATGGACTTACCTGTCTTCACGCTGCGATAGCATGTCTGCAACCCCGACGTCAAAAGTACAGGTTCAGCAACTTTGATATCGATTGGACGGAAATTCAACCTCAAACGCAGAGTTCCTACTGGAAGGATAAGAGTCCAATTTACAATGAAAAGGATCGCGCCAATCAAAAGATGCGAATCGAATTATTAGTTCAGCATGGTGCTGACTTATTCGCGGTTTCAGAGTCATATGGCACACCGACTGATCTTGCACGTTTCACTGGAAATTTTGATCTTTGGATTGATTCTTTGACAAACTGTGGTCTGAATCCCAAACAGGTCTTAGTGACAGACAGGAAGATCAAGCGCAGCAAGCTTTTTTCTGTGACAAAAGACCTGGCGCACGCGCAGAAACTTAAAAGGAAGGAAATTCAACAACAATTTAATGATATCGAGTTTTTTTTGACGATTTCCAACTATCAGAAGAAACACGGAAAATTAACCACAGAGCATATAGACCTCTATCAATCATTCCATCGCTTCTGAAGATAGGATCTTACGAAGAGATACACTGTTTATTCCGAAATTCCCTCTTTAAGGCAATTCATGTTGAGAACGAGCATCAGGACCTTGGTGCGCAACTCACATTTGACGTGGAAGTTTTTGGCGGAGCTTACCATGCTAATTTCTTTTTTTGGTCATGTCCACTACGAGAGCTCAATACATATCCTGGACTACAAAAATATGCACGGATACCTCAGAACCCTAGCTGCCGTTGCAAATGGAGACTCTGATTTTGTTGAGCGGCTTGGGTGGAAGTCCAACCACGAATGCTTGGGTTTTGTCAAAGCAATGGCGGTATTTTATTTGGACAAGGCGTATCGGTTTCCTCCCTTGGGTTATGACTGGAGATATGACGATGAAATGAGTGAAGTGATAGCAAATATACCTGGGTCATGGCCTGCAGATTCGTCAGAAGAAGTATGAGATAAGCTTGGACCTTTTCTATCAAATCTCCCATTATTTATTGCAGTCATTAGGCATTAAGGGAGAAAAAACTGTCTTATTTAGAAGTGAAACCGTAGCGGCGTAGAAACATTTGGAAACTTGGCATAAGTTGTTGAGGTCTCTACTTTCCATATGCTAGTGGACAAAAACAGGCTCTTGCGTGCCAGTTTCGACATACCTCAAGCATGATGTGGAATATCTCTGGCAAAAATCCGAAGGCATACTGCTGTTGACAATGAGTGCTATGTCAGAAGGCAATGGAAAGAGAATAAGTGCTACCGCCTATGATACGGCGTTGGCCATAAAATAGCCAAACCCCGCGACACAACACTTTGTTTTCTCCCTGATACTCGCCAAGTAGATGCAATAATTAGGCCACGCATTTTTTCACCCTAATTCCATATATGTGTAGGCATTGGAGCCCTGCATGAAGCCTAGGCCCTGCACCAAGGGCAATAAAGCACCAACACTTCAGGCTTCAAAGGTGTGATGATACTTTCGTTCAAATAGATGATATAATCTATGAGCGGCAATCTGACGAAACGCCTAGCAGGGAGAGGAAAGGAAGAATCCTAGATAGAAGCTACGCAGAGGATATCTCTGGTTGTGGGACAAATTGTGCGCCAAACAGTGCCTCGAGCCATCCACTACTATGTAGACCCTGACAAAGGCATCAGTTCGTAAATATTTCACACCGCAGCCTATCAAATTAAATGAGTTTAATTGGCTCATTATTTCCGTTTTAAGACATTTGGAGATTCTAGTTGCATAATATGGGAATGAGGATGGATTTTAGCAAGCACATGTGTTGGTCCTCAGCGGTCCAAACCGAGGACCACCAAATGGTAGGGAGCTGAGGGGTGTACCGCAGTGGCGGCCCAGTTGCTCTGGCGATTGATATAGCAGGCCAATAAAGTCTTATTACTTGATTCTAGGCAGGGTCACTGCGGCGTTAAGATATTTTTTTTTCCCTCAGGACAGTTGCTGGAAATGTTTCATAACCAATCGAAAACCCGCCTCACTAAAAGCAGCAATCTAATAAAACTTCAAGCATAGAGAGGAAAGGAAAAGTATCCTGAACAGCTACACAGAGGAAATCCCCGCGTTGTGGGACAAACAGTGAATAAGACCTTAACAGTGAATATGTAGCTACCTAAGACAGACTACTATGTAGACTCTAACAGAACTGTTGGGTTACATGGTCTTTATAATTAGTGGGGCAGCCTTATTTCACAGACCCTATACGCATGTCCTATGATTGCATCGGGTATAAGACGGCTGTACTAGAAGATATATCTTCTGATTAGACACCTAATATGATACAATATCTCTCATATGGTTTCTATACTTAAGTGAACCCTCGTTTCAAACTCCGAGCTTCCAACAAATAGGCGATTATGGGTGCTTAATACCCCGAAATCTTCCCCCTTGCACTTTAACAAGAACATCAAACGCTTCCCCAAGGAAATGCCCCTCAAATGCGATATTTGCAATAAAAAGTTGAGGTATAAGCCGGGTGTAATAAAGCAAAGAGTGCATGAAATCATCCCACGTTAGCCGGTGTCTGCTCTTGGTCAAATCTAGTTAAATCTATTTTTCAACGCGACTCCGGCCCTAACATCCTTAAACCCAAGATTTCTTCTCGTCATGCACGTTTCATAGTCAGGACGGGGCCCTCAAAGTCGATTCAGTTGGTACTTAGTGTCCTCATTTCCTTCTTCGTGGTATTACCTTGTTCAGCCTCATTTATCCCTTGCACTATTTTCTTCCTTTTCTTCTTTGACAGTTGTTTTCTGTTACGGAAACACTATAATCCGCCCGACTTGGCGGTGCGGAAGTATCTGACGATCCATTCTACTCTTCAGTCCTTTAGTTAGTTGAGCACCCTAGATCTAGAAGTCGAGCACCTAGATAGGAATGCAAGAGACTCAGTTGGTCAAGATACTGTGATTCCTCGTGTTTCCACCGAAGGACATCTACTTCCTAATTAGGCTAGCTGGCCTGTAGCTGGTAGAATAGCTCCCTGCGCATCACTTTCCCTGAATTCCACAATATTTTCCATTCTTGTTATTTTAGCACACCTCTCCTATGGGGCTTACTTCCCCTTCTGCTCTCTGGACAGATATCTTTGTTATCTTTTTTACTTGCAGTGGCCTTCTGACCACAAACAGGCGTCGTTTTACCTCCTTACATACATTCTGAAGCGCACCTTGATTGTAACACTCCTGGTCATCCGCCATCTTGGGTACATTTTGTCCCGTATAGGACCGTCGAGCGGGATACACGTGTAGAAAAACTGCTACTTAAATAAATTCAGGCTCGTATCTACTCAACTACCGGTCGATTTAATGATATTTTTTGGAACCTGGGCGACTCGGCTCGCCGCTGGGAGTTACGGGCGGAAATGCGGCCGTAAACAACCTCAGAAGTAGTCATTTTTGGCGTCACGTTCACAGGTCCTCACGTTCTCTTTGTAAAATACTTCCTAGGCAAGCCCCTAGGTACAATATTAAAGCGACGGCGTCTAGAAGAGTAAAGTCGCAGTGGCTCTATAAAATCAAATCCGTATAGGTACATACATACAAGTAGAACCCCTGTCTCTATTGACACAGTACCAGAAGTGGAGAATATGAATGTATACAGGCAGGAACATTCCAAAACATGCAAAAATTGTACAGAGACCCCAATTGTCGCCGGCGCTATGATATCTCCAAAAATTCTCCACGAAGAAATAAACACAAAGTTGTAAATCACTTCAGCTCGAGCCTGACTTCTTGTCGTCTTTCTTGCTGGAGTCGCCAGAATCGTTCTTCTTGCTCGCCTCGTCCGTTGAACTCGAGGATTCCGAGGCCTTCTTGTGGCTCATGAGCTTGTGCCAGGCGGACTTGAGGAAGCCTTCTCCCTTGGATGAGTCTCCGGACGGGGATGATGGGGGTTCAGAAGGGCTGGGGGTTGGTTAGCATCTTCAGCCAGGAATCCAGAACCGGTTCGTGCTCTCTCACCTCTGCTTCCCAACGTCCATAATGCGCTTGGCGGTCTTGTCGCCCATCTCATCCGCGAGAACTTCCAGAATGGTTCGCTGGTTGCTCGTCAAGTATTTCGGCATGGCCACCTTGAATTCGACCTTCAGGTCCCCAGTAGGAGTAAAACCCCGGGCTCGGCCACTGAGCTTCTTCATTCCCATCCCAGACAGGGTGATTCGGTCGCCAGTGCCCGTACCGGTTGCAACCTTGACCTTGACTTCGCCGTCCAATGTTGGCACGGTCGCTTCACCACCAAGGAGAGCAGTGGTGAGAGGGATCGAAGCGGTGTAAAGAATATCGGAGCCGGAGCGACTGAATCGATGGTCGGGGGAAACCCGGATCGAGACGTATAGATCACCGCGTTGTGTCCGAGTGCCCGGGGCAGCAGACACCCCAGCGGGCGGTGCATCGCCTTCGCCAGCCACCCGCAAGCGCATCCCATCTTCTACACCACCGGGTATATCCACCTGGATCGTCTTCCGGTCTCTCACCACGCCGTTGCCGTTGCAAGAACCGCACTCGGACCCACGAGGAACCATCACACCTACACCGCCACAAGCGTCGCAAGTGGCTGCCACCTGAAAGCCTCCCTGCATGAAATGCACTCGGGTACCAGAACCGTTGCACTGGCGACACTGGGTGCGTTTGGCGCCTTTTTTCAGCCCATCACCTTTGCAGGTACCACATTGAGTGAGTGGGTTAATGACAATGTCTTTCGAAGTGCCCTTTGCAGCGTCCATAAAGGAAATGCTGGTTTGGACCTCGACGTCCTCTCCTACCAGGATTTCCTGGAACGGGCCCCGTCGGCCTCGACCAGCACGACGGGCACCGCCTGCAAAAGCACCGAAAAGATCCTCAAAGTTGATATCGGCTGCAAATCCCCCAGGAAACCCGCCTCCAAAGCCACCGAAACCTCCGGCGCCAGCAAACGGATTACCGCCGGCTGCGTTTGGATCAAAGCCGCCGTTCTGGTCAAAAGCTGCGGAACCGAATCGATCGTAGTTTTCTCGCTTTTTGGCATCGGAAAGTAACTCGTACGCTGACTGCGCCTCGGCAAATTTTTCCTTGGCCTCTGCGTCTTTGTTGGTGTCCGGGTGATATTTCTTCGCCAATCCATAGTAAGCCTTCTTGATATCCGATGCAGATGCGCCTTTGTCAACGCCTAAAACCTTGTATGGATCGGGAATCGCCGCCAGAGGACTAGTCGTATGGAAGATCTGGAGACGGAATGAGTGGTAAATCAGCCATCATCCGAAAAGAAAAAAAAAGTTAAAAAAAAGATATCCGGAGAAGGGTTACCCACTCTTGACGAGAGAAACACAGGTTTCTTGTTGCTAACACCATCTCGCGGGCGCTTTTCAATTGAGCATATTGTCGAAGCATAGTAACACCTGGCCTGGGTGGAAGATCGAACGCTGGTCGTCGGGCCCTGGCCAGAGTATCGTCGCGAAGTCCGGAGTAAACGAGCGGGGATAGCCGCGGCCTTGGGCATTGCGGCAGAAGTAGCGTTCATTGTGAAAGACAGACAGGCATTAAACCGGCAAAAGACAGTTGAACAAAGAGACGGGAAAGATCAATGATACTGATTTGCTGAGATACAGCCTGTTCCACGACTTTGCCGCCTCCTGATGGAGAGAGAAAAGCTTGGAATCTTCGAGTCTGCCGGCTCGAAGAAGTTTACCGACCGGAGAAACAAAGCGCCGAGACGGCGATGATGAAAGCTGCTTCGGTAATCAGTCTCTCGACCTCATTTTCCACTTCTACTTATTGCGTCGATTGATTGCTTGTGTTCAACTCCCGTTCTACTCCTCTCATCCTTTGGCTCATCTTCATTCCTTTTATTCCTTTTTATTCCTACTAGAATCCCCCGTCTGCATTCTACACAGTAGTATGCTCCGCGGCCAGACTCTCCCCTGGAGAGCCGCGCTCCACAAAGCATCGCGTCCATTAATTCTTCGGTCCCTGCTCGCTTCATCTCGAAATCATGCAGGTGCTCGACCGAGTCTAACTTCTACGCACCGATTCCGCTTGACTCCGTCCTCCCCTCGCACCATTTCTTCGACCTCCATCCTGCGGAAAGAAAAACCCCTACCTGGGGATGAAAAGGATGACCCGGAACAGAAAAACCAAAAAGAACAGAAGGACAAGGATGGGAACAAGGATGTTGAGCGTGGTCCAGAGTCTCGACGGAAAACATTTGATCAATCAGGGAAGCAGGGCTCGCCAGAACCCGGAGCTCCGACATCGGCATTTGCGAGGAGGAGAGAGAAAATGGCGGGTGACAAAGAACAGCGAGGATTAGAAGAAGACGCCAAAAAGGATAATCAATCGGCGGAAGGGAAAGGAAATTCGAATGAACCTCCTTCCCCTATTCCGGCCAGCGGGTCGGCCGATTCCAAGCCCAGTGGTGCGAACAATGGTGGCAATGAGGATGGAGGAAAGAAGGGCAAGAAAGGGTCAGGCGAGAAGGCCTTGCAAAAGCCGTCGGTCCCTGAAGTTTATCCCCAGGTCATGGCCATTCCAATTGCCAAGCGTCCGTTGTTTCCGGGCTTCTACAAAGCCATTACCATTCGAGATCCGAGTGTCGCTGCGGCCATCCAAGATATGATGAAGCGGGGACAGCCTTACGTGGGAGCCTTCCTCTTCAAGGACGAGAACGCCGATGGTGATGTGATTCAAAATGTAGATGAAGTCTATGACGTTGGTGTGTTCGCTCAGATCACTGCGGCTTATCCTCTACGTGGGGAAGCGAGTGGTGTGACGGCCGTGCTCTATCCCCATCGCCGCATCCGAATCTCTTCCTTGCTCCCGCCCAATGACAAGACTCCCACCACCGAAGACAGAACAGACGAAAAACGGGGAGATGTGGTAGCTAGCTTTGAGGAGGGAACTGCAGAGCTTGTGCCGAAAGATCACTACGAGCCTACTTCCTTTCTACGCAAATATCCGGTGAGCCTTGTCAACGTGGACAACCTTGGCGAAGAGCCATTTGACAAAAAGAGTGCCATAATCCGTGCCGTGACAAGTGAGATTGTCAATGTCTGCAAGGAGATCGCTAGTCTGAATCCTCTGTTCCGAGACCAGATTTCTGCATTTTACACCGACCAGTTCCCTGGAAATCTAAGTGATGAGCCAGCAAAGCTGGCAGACTTTGCAGCGGCAGTCTCTGCAGGCGAGCTGCATGAGATGCAAGAGGTTCTGGAGATTATGAACATTGAAGAGAGACTGCCTAAGGCATTGGTGGTTTTGAAGAAGGAGCTCATGAACGCGCAGCTTCAGTCCAAGATCTCGAAGGACGTGGAGGCTAAGATTCAAAAGCGACAGCGCGAGTATTGGTTGATGGAGCAGATGAAGGGGATCAAGAGAGAACTGGGCATTGAATCGGACGGGAAAGACAAATTGGTGGAGAAGTTCAAAGAGAAGGCCGAGAAGCTTGCCATGCCGGAAGCTGTCAAGAAGGTCTTCGACGAGGAGATTAACAAGCTGGCCCATCTGGAGCCGGCCGCTTCCGAATTCAACGTTACCCGCAATTATCTCGATTGGCTAACCCAGATCCCCTGGGGTCAGAAGAGTGTCGAGAATTTCGGAATTAAGCATGCAACGACTGTCCTGGATGAGGACCACTACGGTCTGAAGGACGTCAAAGATCGTATTCTGGAGTTTATTGCGGTTGGCAAGCTTCGTGGAACCGTGGAAGGGAAAATTCTCTGTCTTGTCGGTCCACCTGGTGTTGGAAAGACGAGTATCGGCAAGTCGATCGCCCGAGCTCTGAACAGACAGTACTACCGTTTTTCTGTCGGTGGCTTGACCGACGTTGCGGAAATCAAGGGTCATCGCCGGACTTACGTCGGTGCACTTCCTGGACGTATCATCCAGGCTCTGAAGAAATGCCAGACAGAAAACCCCTTGATTCTGATTGACGAAATCGATAAGATAGGGCGGGGTCATCAAGGAGATCCGTCTTCCGCGCTCCTTGAGCTTCTCGACCCAGAACAAAACTCGTCCTTCTTGGACCACTACATGGATGTTCCCGTGGACTTGTCTAAGGTTCTGTTCGTCTGCACGGCCAACGTGACTGACACGATACCTCGACCCCTCTTAGACCGGATGGAGATTATCGAACTCTCGGGTTATGTTGCGGATGAGAAGATGGCGATTGCTCAGCGGTACCTTGGCCCTGCTGCCAGAGAATTGACAGGCCTTAACGACGTGGATGTGACTTTGACGGAAGATGCCATTGAGGAGCTCATCAGGTCTTATTGCCGTGAGAGTGGTGTTCGGAATTTGAAGAAACAGATCGAAAAAGTCTACCGGAAAGCTGCCTTCAACATCGTCCGTGATCTTGGAGAGGATGTCCTCGCAGAAGACAAGGCTATTACCGACGAGGGCAAGGCCGCACAGGAGGAATCAAGTAAAGACACCGAGTCATCCGACTCCGAGAACGCCCCTGTTGGTCCGGAGAAGGCAACGACCGAAACCCCACGAGTCGCCTTGAAGGTCCCACACACCGTGAAGCTTAGTATCGGTAAAGACAGCCTGACGGATTACGTTGGCCCCCCCGTCTTTAGGGCCGACCGTCTGTACGATGTCTTCCCACCTGGCGTGACGATGGGGCTTGCTTGGACCAGCATGGGAGGCGCTGCGTTGTACGTGGAATCTATTCTGGAGAATGCCTTGTCGCCTGAATCCAGACCGGGTATTGAAATCACAGGCAATCTGCAAAATGTGATGAAAGAGTCTACACAGATTGCGTACTCTTTTGCGAAATCGGTCATGGCCAAGCAGTTCCCCGAAAACAAATTCTTTGAGAAGGCTAAAATCCATATGCATTGTCCTGAGGGTGCTGTGCCGAAAGACGGTAAGTCTTAACTTCATTTTCTTTCCCTTGGTTAAGTTATTCTATTTCCGGATCTCTAATAATCATACATGATAGGCCCCTCTGCTGGTATTACTATGGCGACATCTCTGCTTTCCTTGGCAATGGACTACCCTCTTGACCCGACAATTGCTATGACGGGAGAATTGACGGTGACCGGCAAAGTCTTGCGTATTGGCGGACTGCGAGAAAAGACTGTTGCAGCCCGCCGTGCTGGTGCAAAGAAGATCATCTTCCCCGCGGACAACATGTCTGACTGGCTTGAATTGCCTGAGGTTGGTGATTACCAGGTTCCTCTCTGTATATGTTCCCTGGTCTCTAACCATCTACTGCAGAACATCAAAGAAGGCATTGAAGGCTATTCAGCGAACTGGTACTCGGAAGTGTTTGATATCCATTTTGCTGACCTAGACAAGGATGCGGCCAACCAAGTCTGGCAAAAGCAACTTGCAAAGCCCCCGCAGACCAAGTCTAATAATACTAAGGAGGACGAGGGCGATGACTGAGCTGGCTCATCCATAGGCTTCATCTGATTTGGTATATACCTTATCATTGTAACCTGAACTTTGCTCTTTTTTTTTTTTTTTTGCCTCTCTTTTTTGGTCACGTACAGGGCGTTTTTATTGTGGACAGCATGGTCGGAGTTTTTTTACCCCTGTTTTGTTTAAATACATGTCTTGAGTTCCAGGGAGACAGGTGTTTGTATCTGTTTTCCACTTGACGTTTACCAGCTGTGTTGTTACAAAGCCGCGGATGGGATAGAGGGCAAGACGTTTGTCGCTTTTGTTTTTCTTTTCAGCAACCTTGACAAGGGTTCTGAAAGAACAAAGAGGGGCAATAGAAGGAGAAATAGAGGATAACTACTCCGCTCTGGGGAAAAACGAAACAAAAAGGGATACGTTGACTGGCCAGCCGTGCAGTCTATACTTTGGACTACGAGCTGGCCATACCGGGTCACCAGGGAGATGGCTCGAGATGGATACCTCCTTAGCATCTCTTGTATATACTACTGTATGAACTGGATTTTCTAGAGCCACGTTTACTATCCTCTTTTAGATGATGCTGTTTTGTATTTTCTACATACGTAGAGAACTGTAGACTGGAAGCAAAATCTATACTTGTAGATTCTGTCGATATGTTTCAGGGGGAGAAACCAGGCTAGGTACTCTCCATGTCTATCAAATCCCGGATGTGAGTATGGAAACAGACCCTGCAGCTGTGAGACCTTTAGTACTAATCGTATAGTAGACGTATATCCTGTAGATAGTAATAATAGCTCTAATTACAATCGGATTATTAAAACCAGTATATTCCTCTAGACTGGAATATGTAAAGTTTAACAATTGTTGGATCTAAACAGAGCTAATTAGAGCTAGATATTTACTGTCTAACAAACGTAGAACATCTGAGGCTTATATAGAGAAACGTCGACTTATACCTAGAATGCCTTGTTTTAATCTGCAGGTATATCATAAAGAAATATTAAGCAGCAGGAAACATCTCCCCAGATCAAGCCATGAACTGTAACACGTTGAATGTAACCCTCCTCAAGACTTATCCTAGCAGGTATATACTTTCTGGAAAACATTTTCTCCAGTACATTCCAAGCCCTAATTCTTTACTGGGTAAGGACGTCACTGTGCCAGACCTTGGACTACGTGAGCTTAGTATTGGAATCCGGCATATCATAATTCCCCAGAATGCACACCTGTGTGTCAGATCTCCGGAGGGCGTGGTTACAACCATTATTGGGGTTAGAAGAGCACATATCCACGTAGGTATTGAAGTCGCGGACATTCTGTATCGCGTCGCTTGAGTCCTGTTGTCTAAGAGTTGTCAGCTCAGTCATATACCTAATGGGAAGAATATGGAAACCCACTGGCGCTGCATCAAATTGTGTTCTTATCACCAACAACGGCATTCTTTACAATTTTGTATTGCAATAGCATTGGAATATAACGTCGGTCGAGTATAGTTAGGTAACATACAAACAGCAGGTTCCCCTTTTAGACGCGTACCAGCCGCCTGATAGTTGGCTAAATCAGCCTGCAACTCCTCTCTCTTCACAGGATTTTTTAAATAGATCTTCGACTGGAGCTTCGAATGGATCAGCTTGTCAGCTTTCTCCATATAGACAGCGCCCTTATAGTCCCGCTCAGAACCCGTGCCCGTATTCAGGATGCACTTGTTGCCGTAATAATAGCACAAGATTAAAGGCAGCAAAAATCAGGCAACCACCGCTGCAGTGTGGATCAAGCGAATGATAATTTACTACTCTTTAGAACTCTCTCTACTTTGTACTGGGAAGAATCAATGCCAGGGGTAAATCTATTCGCCACCAGCGTGCTCTGTAGGTCATGTTTCTTTCGTTTAGTCACTGCACGTTAATGGATATTTTACATAATAGCGCAGTTCCCCAGGGATTCGTGCATATAGGGTCGTGCCGAGCCTGCAGTTAACCTGCAACCAAATTTTGGGAGATGAGACTCAGAGTCGGAACTCCAGACAATTCATTGATGTTGATCTTTTGGAATATTCATCCCCACTTTCTCTGAGTCGATGCATATCTACTTAGTACACGCCCTTCCAATTCGTGGACGATGTATCGCCGATTGTCGGATTGCAAATTGTTAACTACTTACATACTATTCCGCTACTTAGCTGTGCTTAGTACTGTACGGTGAGGACTGAGCACTAAAGCACAAAGGGAAAGCGTTAGGCTCTACGTGTCCAGAATCAAGCACATATATATATCTATACATGGCTTTCTAGAAACGTGTGACTCCTTTTACCACTATTCCCTCCTTGTATCCCTTGAAAGGCTTTCACTATATTACCATCGCCCAAGTTAACCCCTTTCGAAATCCTTCTACCTCAGGACTCGCTTTCTACGACTGTCCCATGTCCGTGTGTTCGACCTGTCTACCACCATCCCAGCACGATGCTCAAGGCATCGGTTTCGATCTGACCATGGAATATTGGTAAGGCTGACTTCTATATTAGCAGATAGCTCAGATTAACTCGAACTTGGCTTACACTACAGAAGCAGAACGTCCGCCGTGCGCCTCCATAATGGCGCCACGCTATATCTTACCAAGGTAGAGGCAAACATGGACTATCAGCACCAATTCAACCATTAAACTCTGACCGACGCCGTCGAGTGATTGGAAATGGTTCAAACGCTGGCTCAACAGACAACTCGACCGACCCCACACCTGATGTCTGCGTCCTGGGCAGCTTCCTGCGTCAACTCAGCCTCGCCTCGCAGCCTGCACTCCAGTGTAAGACTAGAGTAGATGTGGATATTGATGCAGACCGTCGTAGTCACCACGCAGCTATTCCCTGCACTGACGCAGGAGGACCTGAACGATGCCCTGAAGTATGCGGGTCTCCGTTCATGGCTCATATTCAGGGCCAACAGATTCGGACTTTGTCAGGATTACAAGAATCTCTATCTGTGGGGATGAGTATAAAGGAGTTGCCACTGGAAAAGGCTTATTTTGTCAGCTTTACTTGCCACGCTTTATCCACCAGTCTGGATCGGTACCCTAGGATGAATAATTTGTCCGACTATCCAACTGAGACGTTCTGCCCGTACGTGAGCACCTGGCTCGACATTCTTCCTCAACAGTGATGGTTATTTCCCATGAAGGTCCTCCTGGCAGGTGAGAATTTCAAGAGTTTTGAATTTCTCCGGGCTTGCAGGATACGCTGGAAGGGGTTCGGTTGCTCGATGCGGGGCAGAGTGGAGTTTCCGGGGGGCCTTGAAGGCTTTCAGCGATGATGTGGTCAATCCTGTGTTTAGGGCTGCTAATTGCATGTGCGTTAGCGATATAGGCACCGTTCGACTGTGTGGAGCCTCCTCATTGTGAGGAAGATAGACAACGACAGCGGGAAGGTAATTCAATCTCGAAAACAAAGAGCGAGCTCTGGCAGGTTCTCCTCTTCGCACTGAGGCTAAGCTTAAGGCAATATTATTCCGACATTATGTATACTTGCAGAAGTATGCCTGATTAGTACTGATTGAACGTAGCATGTTCACCATATCGACTATAGTTTATAGTCGAAATCTATAAAATCCCTACTTCGCTCCTCAATCATCCTGGACACATCCTGTCGTCCAGTCTTAACTAAATCAAACACCTGCTGTGACCTTTAAAGCCTACATGCACCGACCTAGTGTACTTGTACATACATATACCAGTATACTTGTGGGACTGCGCGAGTCATTGGTCCGCCAGTTGCCAGCCGGAGGTAGGTGAGTAGGAAAGTAGGTGTACTCAGTGACTAGGAGTGGCCGAATAGACGGGAAGAGTCCTATATCGCATCATGAAATGCCCGACTGCATAGTAGGGGCTCGAGAGCCGACTCATCCTCTGGATAAAGAGAGTTCTTTAAAAAAAAAAAAAAATAATAAGAAGAAGAAAGAGAGACGGAGGAAGAAGACGGCGAGATGATGATGCCATCCGATGCACGAGTCCCAACAGAGAATAATGGGCTACGAAAATCTCCGTCATTCTCCGCAAAACACAGACTTTCCCTATCTAAGGCATCCATTTACCTGGGTAATTACCCACTCAAAGATCAACACTGCATCTGCGTCAGAGAGATCGAGGCGACAAGAAAACAAACGTCTTGGGATTTGTAGATAGGTGGGTAGATGGCTGTGAATACCGAAATAGGAAGTCAGTAATACGTCCAGTGGGAACAGGCAAAGTGTCGACCATTAACCATGTGGTTGGAACTTCATGAGATCTTCGGACGATGATTGGATGCACTACGGCCGTTGAGTTGTTCTTTGGAAGCATCACTTTGAAAGCTTATGCGCTAACGGTAAGTCCGTCAGCATTTAGGTTGTCCAGGACGGCAATTCTCGGTATTGATCTGGCTGTCAAGGAAACAGTTAGGACAGGAGGATGAAGGGCAGAAAAGAGAGTGTGTGTGTGAAGGAAGGTCAGGACAGCGTGGCCGTCTCTTTTGGTCTCTTTTGGTCTTTTATGATTCGACCATTCGGCGGTTGAAGCGATACGCTCGGATGGAAGATGTCAAGAAGTATACGTTGATCAATCAGGAGGGGGAGGAAAGATAACGACCGGGCATAGCGGATGTTATATACTATACCAAAAGAATAGTAATATAAAAGAACAAGTTACAAAGAGCTTCGAGAAGGAATTGGGCTGTGCGTCTGCAGTAGTCGCGGGGGCTTATTTATATCGCCTTCGGTCCAAAGTCTGGACGGAGGAATTATATTGGATATTCGAATATATCATTCGAGTCTTCACTCCGACTATTCTTGTATTTCTTTTTATTTTATAATTCAAGAAAAATCTCCATGATCGTATTGGGAACAGTTCAGGCACGGTCAGGCCGCCGTGCGTCTCCACTGCCATTCCATTGGACTTTCTCTTCTTCTCTTTCTTATTGCGACAATGATGAATAACTGATTCTTTACCGGGTAGCGAATCCACACGATCAACCGTTATTCAACGGATTATCTTTCTTGTTGTTCTTGTTGTTCTTGTTGTTCTTGTTGCTGTTGCTCTATCCCAGCCAAGTCCGATCACGGTCCCAATAATCATCGGAGCCTTGCTAGGTAATGGACCAGAATTGAATCATCCTCTTCATCCTATTTATCTATCTACCTATTACTATATCCCTGATATCCTCGTCTTGCTCTTTCTTGTGTGACCTCTGGACAACTCAAGGCTTTCACCGACTTCTCCGACAAGAACAACCTGGATTGCTTGTCAACGACACTTGATTTGTCTAAAAAAAGAAAAACCCTTGCTTGTTTTCTTATTTCTTTTTCCTTTTTTCTATCTTAACCCAACGAACTACCCAATTTACCCCCTTTTTTTCTTTCCTCTATTTTCTTCTCCCCGCCCCTTAGTCAGACCCCAGGGCCTTAACGTTAGTTCCGGCGAAAGAATCCCACACTGCTGATCTAGGGTCGAAAAAAGAAAGGAAAACCAAAAGAAAAGAGAAGAAAAAAAAATCGCCTCAATTCTTATGGCCATCGTTGTTTTCGGCCGCCGGGGTCTCCTACTCATTCCTAACACGGCCACAATCACCATCTAGCCTCCCGGTCGTGCCCGTATGGCCATCTCCATCGCTGACAGTACTTGTAGCTCGACCAGGTCCTTGAGGCTGTTGTTGGACCCAGAACAGGTTGATCCCCCTCGTCCCAAACAGAGCATGTGGCATCGTTTGGGCCTGCGCAGATGGCTGGGCCGTGATGATCGAGATTTTTCTTCCTCCCAGCCGCCTGCCGGTTCTCTCCCCTCCACCAACCATTACGATCAACAATCCCACCAGCATCAACCTCAACCTCAACCGAGCAAACTCCACGATACCCTCTCCCGTCGAATCTCCCGGAAGGTGGGTGTCGGCTTGCCCAGGTCCACCACGTTCAAGCGACAGAACTCCGAGCGTCGAGATAACCTCGCTCTGGCTCCCCTCGACCCAGAGCCCCGTCGTGCTGTATCCGCCGACCGCCGTCGCACGCTAAGTGCCCAGAGGAGCAGATCTGGGTCTTCTCCACAGCCCGCCGTGGACCCCAGATTATCCGCTCCCGAGGTTGCCTGGCGCGGCGACCACACGGATGAGACCACGGTTGAGGAACCCCCCGAGACGAATGAGGACAGTGAGCTGTGGTCGGAATGGAACCCCTTCCCGGACGTAACGGATGTTCCCGAAGAGCCCCCCGACGATATCATCGAGATGGAGCTGGAGAAGCGGTGGATTCTGAACCTGAGCATGCATTTCCGCGACCGCTCCGAGCGCGAAAAATTCTTCGTCACCTACGCTGAAGCCCCCAACCGATGGCGGAGGGTCACCATTTCCTGTGACTACCGCGGCGCCCCTCCCGATTCCCTCGAGCAGGATTTGAAGGAACTGCGCTACCAGCGAGACAAATGCGCTCGCATCTACGAGTCCATTCGCGAGTCCCTCCCCGAGATCCAGTTCTACGAGACCGTCACCAACCTGAAGCTGGAAACGCGGGACGGCCGATTGCATGTCCATGTCACCGAAGATGTCAACGAGACCATCCCGTACCCTCCTACTTCCTGCATCGGGCACTTAGCGAACGCTCGACTGGTCCCCGAACACCGCCTACATTTTGAAGCGCATCTGTCGGGATTTGTTTACAACGTGCGCTTGGACGGCAAGTCCTTTATCAAGAAGGAAATCCCCGGACCGGATACCGTGGACGAATTCCTGTACGAGATCAACGCGCTGCATGCATTGCAAGGCACTCCCCGAACGTTGTTCAGGTGGAGGGAATCGTGGTAGATGAGTATCGACATGTCGTCAAGGGGCTGCTCATTAGCTTCGCGGAGCAGGGCGCTTTGGTCGACATCATTTATGAGAACCGAGGGTCAATCGCGTGGGAACGCCGCGAGCGCTGGGCGCGGCAGATCGTTCAAGGCCTCAGTGAAATCCACGAGGCGGGCTATGTCCAGGGGGACTTCACCCTGTCGAATATTGTGGTCGACGCCAACGACGACGCAAAGATCATCGATATCAACCGCCGCGGCTGTCCGGTAGGGTGGGAGCCCCCCGGAAATTGCTGCGAAGATCGAGAGTAACCAGCGGATTTCCATGTATATCGGAGTGAAGACAGATATTTTCCAGCTGGGTATGACGCTGTGGGCCCTGGCAATGGAGGAGGACGAGCCCGAGCGACAACAACGACCCTTGCTCCTAGACGAGGACCTAGTCATCCCGGATTACTATCGAAGATTAGTATCCATCTGCTTGAGTCCAACACCCCGGCACCGACTGTCCGCCAAGGAACTGCTGGGACTCTTTCCCTGCGACCTGGTATTAACCGCCGGACAGTCCAACTCGATACATCCTCGACATGCGGGGATTGGTGTTGGGTTGCACAGCGGTGCCCTACCATTGTACAACGCCCGCGCTATTGCAGGCCCTTCAGCATTCCTCACCCGTATGGGGTCTGCCGATGCCTTGGAGGCGTCAATGCTTTCAGGCGGTGGGTATAATCCACAAACAGACGGAGACATTCATGGACTCGGGCCACTTTTTCCCGAAAATGAACATGACGATGAGGATCCACGACCAAGCACAATTGATACTGTGGATATGGGCAGTGCAGAAACCAGACTCGATGGGAACCAACCCTTGATGTCAGCCACAGAACTAGACTCCACTGAGAAACTGCCCTCTTTAGAAGAGCGCACACATTTGACACGATTTGTCGACCCCGCCCCACTCCCTACAGGCTTTGAAGATGGCCAACGACTACCGGACCTTGTTTCAGATGACAATGACATCGATTTAGATACTGAGATTGATCCGCTGTATCGGAAATCTTCCGTGGAACAACGGACAGACTTGGTGCCATTCGCAGTCGACTCGTCCGCAGAACTTGGCGTTAGCTGCCACCCTGCGTGTTCGTTGAGACGCAGATCCACGAATAAACTGTCGCCAGAATATGCGAAACGCAACGAATCGCCGGTGTCGTCTTCTGCAACACAGTCTAGCGATCCATATTCCACAGCCGGGCCAGACTTTAGCCATGCCCTAATCCGCGACCAAGATTGGACTGGCCCAATGCAATCGCGCTCTGTATCCTCCCTGTTGCATTCGATGCTGCCTATCAATCCTGCGCTCAGTGGGTCGGGGCCAAAACTCCTGGAGAGTTCGGACCGGTTCTCACCCCTGACTATTCGATCCGCCTTGGGATACTCGCGGCAAGTTCTCCAAGAACACACTCCTAATCTCAGCGACTCACATCTTCCGATAAACCCAGCCTTTGTAGATAAGGCCCTTGCCCATGTTTGACCAAGATGTGTACACCGACCATTTCCGACAAAGCAAACAAACAAAACAAAAGCAATTGGCTTCAGCATTGCCCATTTACTATGATTTGTTGATTGAAGGTCCACCGACGGGGCCGAATCTGCGCGATACCCTTCACAATTTCTGTGCTGTACAGGTACCTTTGATGTTGCTTGTTAAATTTCACCGTTAAAATCAGCATCGCACGAGTGACGGCGAAATTGGAGTTAAATTGAGACTGACTCTCGGATTCTTTCTTTGGTTCTTTTCTTTTCTGTTCTGCTCTAAAGAAACCCGGGTTCAAACCCACATCCTTGAAAGAGGATTTAATTGCAACTTTCTGGATGAACCAAGCGATGGGTGTCTTTATCTGCATGATGATTTACGAATGGATGGATATTTGTTGCGTTGGATCTGTTTGTTGGTACTGTTCATGTATATTGGTTTATGTTGATAGGTAATATTTCTTCGTAGCGTAACTGTATTAATGGATTCAAGGGACTATTTCATTGCACTTGGTAGATATTCTACCATACCTACTAGTACCTAATGTTCATCACAACTATAATGTTTATGTAGATGACAATATGTCTCTATAGCTGCCTGTCTGCCCTCTGTATTCTTCCTATACAACATAGGTCATTTGATATCTTCACATACATACAATCATCAACATCGTTATATACGTTCTACACCATGCACTGCCCCCCTCTATTCTTTCTTAAACCAATCAATCACACATACTATATCAACCTACTCCTGCGCAATAAAACTCTCAAAACTCCTCTGCCAGTGTTGAGAATCACCCCCCAGTCCCCTTCCAATCAGGACAATCTTGCACTGCTCTCCAGCTCCAGACGAGGTGGATTCTGCGTCTCGAATCTCGAAGACTTCTCGTACAGCCTGGATGATCTTACTACTTCCGTCGTTGAGGACTAGGATCCCCTTGAGACGGTGAATGTCAAAATCAAAGCCAGAGTCAAAATCCGAGGGAGAGGAAGTTGAAGGTTTCGCGAATGGGAGGGTAAAATCCCATAGGATAGAGCGGAGCCAGGCGTCGACGAGGGGTAATTTGTCATGGGGCATTGGGGGGGTGGTGATGGCGAGGGTGGAGATTGCCTGGTTAGTATAAATAATGTTAACAATGTATATAAGAGAGATAAGGAGTGCCAAAAGAAAAGAAAAGAAAAGAAAAGAAAAGAAAAGATAAACTTACCGGGTCTATATGACTATGTCCCTTCTCACCAAAGTCCAGACTCGCCAGGTGATCATAAGCATGCAGATCAAGAACGACGCCTTCGATTTGCGGCGTCTTGCTGTGATCCGTCACGTGGATCTTGGCCACACTATTGATGGATGAGATGCGCTCTCGTACGGAGTTCAGTTCTTCAGTCGTGACCAAATCTGCCTTGTTCAGGATGATCACGTCTGCATGCGAGATCTGCATATGCGCCATGGAGAGCACGGGGCCGTGATGTCTATGCGTGTCCTGTCCTTCTTCGTGGCTGGAGACGGTCTCTTCCGGGGCGGGTTCGTCTAGAAGTCGCTGGATGTTCTTTGCGTCTACTAGGGTGACGATTCCATCGAGGTAGATTGAACTGCCGAGGTTGTCGTCGACCCAGAACACGGGGGCAATGTTACCAGGATCGGCGAGTCCGGTGGTTTCAAGTAGGATGTAATCGAATGTTCCTCGGCGTTCCATTAGCGACTCAATGGCCATTACGCCGGAGTCTCTGGTGTTCGTTAGAAGACTTTGCTCGTTGGAATAGAGATCGGTTCTCACTTGACGGAGCAGCAGATGCAGCCATTGCCGACTTCCATCCACTCGGTAACTTCCTGGCCGTCCTGACTGACAGTCAATGGTTTTTCAATATCCGTTGCTTTCCTAATTGTTAGCGTGGAGTCTAGACAAGTTAAAGGACATATTACAGTCTCCGAATTCTGCAAGACCTTTAGTATAGGCGTCACTAGATCGTATATCATATCAGAACCAACCGTTCATGATCACCGCAATCTTCTTCCCATGCTTCTCCGTAAGGATATAGTTCAGTAAAGTCGTCTTTCCCGCGCCAAGATACCCTTCACTCCGCGGAAATTAGCCAATACTCCCATGCATTACATAGTCCAGCAGACAGAGAAGCATATCCATGGATGTCGCATCATACCAGTTACCAACGTGATGGGCACGCGATCTTGCGCGGGGACATCCAATGACGTCGACGGAACCATGGATGTATCCGGTCTCTCGGACTCCGGGAGATGAGAGACATCGATGAGCTCAGGAGGGGCTTCATCGTCTTCCATGTCCAGGGCCATGATGGGAGTGGTGAGCGAGTGGAAATCGACCGATAATATCTCCAATTCTGGAGGAATGGAGCTAAGTCGAATCCTCTCCGGAATGACGTTAGTTACCCCAAGAGGGGATCTAGGGCATAGGGCACCACGGGTCATGGGCTTAGCTCCGCTTTGGCTCATCTGCGCCTCCGAGTCGTCTTGCTCCTTCGTTGCCCGGACAGTCCTTCCTTGACCTTCCTTCTTTCACTCATTTTTGATCCGGACCGTTATTTCTTCTCGTCATGGCCACCGCGGGAGTTTCTCACCCCAGCTCCCCGCGCCTCCCCAGCCCCCCTCCGTTTACTGAGGTGCAACTTGGCCCCAAGTCACCAGCAGTCGAGTCGATTGGGAAGGATGCAGAGCAATATCTAAGTGCATCGCAAGGTGCTGATGATGGCTCCTCTCGGAGGATACGTCCAGGGACTAAGGCTGTGGATATGGCCGTTGGTCCTCCGTTGGTCCCCCTGTCGCAGGTAACCACGTACTGTCCGTGTAAACAATTAGTCTACGAATCGCTGCTAACCGCACCGGTCAACAGCTCGACTCTCCCTTTCAACTCCAGGAACACCTCAAGGCCCTTTACAATCATTACACAAGGCCCGAGGGAAGCGACACCGTTGTACCGATCAACCGGAAGGTGGCTATTCAGCTCGCCGAACCCCCCGAGGGCATCGACCGGTCGCTTTGGCTCTATGAGCTCTGTCGCTTCCTGACCATGAAAGTCAACAATCTTATCATCGCCTTCTTTGCTGAGACTCCCCCGTGCTCCTCCAATACCTGTCCGGAGATGCGGGCTTCGGAGTGGCAGTATCTTTGTGCCGTCCATGACCCCCCGAAGTCCTGCTGCGCTATTGACTATTGTTGTCATACCCTTGATTGGGCTACTACGATCCTTACCTCACCCAAATACTTTCCCAGTCGTCTTACACTAGGCTCCGAGGCGGGCGGCGGACCGCAGGCGAGTATGAGGCATTTGACCAACATTTTCCGTCGACTCTACCGTATCTTCGCGCACGCATGGTTCCAGCATCGGGATGTATTCTGGCAAGTCGAAGGCCACGACGGGCTCTATATTTTCTTCAAGACGGTCTGTGACATGTACAATTTGATACCTGAAGATAATTTTACGGTTCCGGTTGAGGCAGAGGGCATCGATCCGCAGCAGCCGGCGGAGCAGACAGACGCACGCCGTTTGACGATATTGCGAAAGGAAACCGGCGGATCACTCAATCCGTCGTTGGAGGCCCTGGAAGGGTCAACTATCAGTATTGGTGCAACAACCCGGCGCCATAAGAATAGCCCGTCCACTAGTTCCCGCGTCACCACCATTAACGAAAGCACCGAAGACGACGAGCTCCAACCGAAACAACAGCCCCCGCAGGCGGCGGCAGATCCCGTTCCGGCGGAACCCGGGTCACAACCGTCTGTGCAGGGTGTCGGTAAAAAGCACGAGAAACCGAGTGAACAGGCGTCAGTCGATAGCAATGGGTCACAGGTCACCGTAGCAGAGGTAAAGGATGATGACGAGGCTCCAAACATGGTGGCGGAGGAGGGTGCTAAGAGTACTAAACAGGCGGAAACTGGATCTAGCTCTGAGGCGACCACGCCATTGGTGGATGAAACGACTGACAAGACGTCGAAGCCTGGAGCCGACGAGCCTGAGAAGCCGACCCCTGCGCCGGAGAAGACAGAAACTGAGCCGGCCACGGCGACCTCATAGATGTATTGAGAGGTCCCTCTCTCTTTATCTCTCTCTTCTGCCATATGATGTGCCTGTATTAACCTTTTAATATGCTGCGATACATTTCTTGACGTTTTTGCATCGTGACTGCCTTGATTTTTACGAACTGATGGACCAGAAGGAAGGGGACTGATATGTAATATACGATTTGAGAGATACAAGTGATTAATGATACCCATTCCTAGCTAAAATGGGCCGTATGATATACTGTATTGTTGTGATTTATTGTATTGTTGGTAGTCATATGCGTAAGTCTGCGGGACAGTTACGGCATCTCCAACAACGCAGCCAACCACAACATCCTACCTACACTCTTCCCTACATTCACCCAATTCCTTCTCCTATTTATCACAACACCTCCTTATCCCCTTGAAGTCCACTAAAACTACATGTCCACATCCTCCGAACCCAAACTCACTATGCCCCCCGCTCTAAAAAGCGCCCCGATCTATTTCGGCCCATTCCTGGTGACATCGCAGGTACGCCCGTTCCCCTCACCACCCACACAGAAAGACATAAAAGAAAAACAGAACCAAAGAAATCCCAAACCCCAACCAACTAATATAATATAATATAATAGGTCTTCCATCAAACCCCCCTCACAATAGCATTAGTAAACCTCAAACCCATCCTGCCAGGCCACGTCCTTGTCTCCCCGCGCAGGATCGTACCCCGCGTGAGCGACCTCACCGCCACCGAAACCAGCGATCTATTCCTGACTGTGCGACGCGTCGGACGCATGATCGAACGAGTCTACGGCGCGAGTAGTCTGAATATAGCTGTTCAGGACGGGGTAGATGCGGGTCAGAGTGTTCCGCATGTGCATGCGCATATAATTCCGAGGAAAAAGACGGATTTGGATCATTTGGGTGGTACGGATGCTGTGTATGATTTATTGGATGGGGTGGAAGGGGATCTAGGTCGGGTATATAAGGAGAGGGAGGGGAGGGAGCTAGAGAATGGTGGTGGTCATGCTCAACGAGAGAGGTCGCGGTTTCCGGCGGTGGATAATGAGGAGAGGAGGCCGAGGAGTATGCAAGAGATGGAGGAGGAGGCGAGGATGTTGGAGAGGGAAATAGAGAAGGAGGTTGACTGATTGATTGATGAACTACGAGTGTGTACGACTACGATGATTGCAGATAATAAGCTTTCTATAGAACCAGTAATCATGCTGATGTATCTATCTAAGTAATGTAGCAGATCATCGGTGAAACCCATGTATCGAATTCGAGAATGGCCACCCAAACGCCGCCACCGGTCTTTATGGTATGGACAAGACAGAAAGCCAATAAAAAGAAACTCGTAAGACATCAACGCCATCAACATGTTCAACAGATCATGGTTAGATTATGATTTTAATTCCTTAGCGGTCTTGTTCTTCCAGAGAGCCTCCCGTTCCTGGAGCACCGTGGCCGCCCACTCCTTAATCTCCGGCAACTGGACACGCCCCGCCACGTGGCAGAATTCTGATAGATCAAGCTCGTGAGCCCGCTCATATTCGATCATCTGCAAGAGGAGTTCCATCTTGTCGATATCGTGAACGAATTGGGCCTCGAGTGTTTCGTTGTCCTCATACTCCTGGAACACTTTCAGGATTTCCTGGCCTGTCAGTATACCCCCGGGCACACCTCCCAGCAGATTCTTGGTGATGTAATCCATCACGTCCGCTTCGCGACGAGCCTTCTCGGGCTTGTCCACGTTGTCTACGGGGGTTATATCGCCCACCAATGACTCCGCCATGTCGTGGATGAGAGCCATCTTCATGCAATGCGGCAGGTTGAGTCTTCCGGCGAGGGATGGAGGCGCAAACATTGTCATCACCGACATGCGATACATGTGGTCTGAAATGGACTCTCCCGCTGTGATGCTGAACCGGCGCCAGCCCTCCCGCTTGGTGGTTTTGAGTCGTTCCAGGAGGTGGAAGAATGGTACGGGGGAGGCGGAGTTCTCCTCGGGAGGATGAGGTAGGGTGGACAGCACTAGATTTGGTTCATCAGCAGGCGTATACTTCATGGGATGCCCTAGTTAGTTCCCGAGTCTTACCAGACTGCGTGGTCCATAAGGGGTTGGATGGTTGTTCGGAGCCCATAGTGATGGAACTGGGGGGAATGGAAGAAGATGGGAGTCTGGACAGTAATAATATAGAGATAGCAACCCCGATAGATTAAATGAGAGACTGAAAGACGGAGAGGGGAGAGGGGAGAGGAGCAAAAAGAGTGAAGGCTAGAAGCTCTGCAGGGAAAGAATGACAGTCAAAGCTTCCAAAGCAGAAGGCGGTGTGCGTCCCTGATCGACACCTGGAGATGACGCTCTCTGCTCTTCATCTCTTCCTTCTTCTCTCGACTCTCTCACGCGCCTCTCCATCTCTTACCTCCTCGAGCTTATCAGTGACATCTCCATGATAAACCATAAAATTTACACTGTACCTCGTTTGTAGTGCTCCGTTGCTCCCCCCCGACAGCTACAACGGCTGTGGTTCCTAACAGGACCGCCTAAACTATGCAGTCATCCAGAGCTCCCGAAAGACCCAAGGCGCTGAATTGGAGCTCCTCGCCGCCTCTGGCAGTCTTTGTCCGCAACCTGCAGCTCTTGCAACTGGATCGACACGATGACTGGCCAAGCATCACCGTCCGCTCCTTGTCTCACTCGTCGCAGAACCAACGCCAGCGAGTCAAGGCCATTGAATGGGCTCTGTATCAGTTGGTGGCCATCTGGGACCCGGAAACCGCTCGGGATGTACGTTATATAGCCGCGGATGCCTCAAAGTCTGACTGTCGGAATTAACTAGACACCAGAAACTTCGCCCCTTTTTTCCACCGTTAGAACCACTCCAGTCTGTCAATCTACGCGCAGCCTTGTTTCGGGTGCTGTCCGAATTGAAGAAGAACGGGGAACTGGGTCGGGAGACTATACTTCGGAAGTCTATGCTGGAGAACTGCAAAGGGGACAAATTTGACGAGTTCCTGGCTGGCTTTTCCACTGCCGTCTTGCGCAAGTCCCTGGTGGATTCTTCGGATGACGGCTTGCAGAACCCTGCCGTCAAAATGTCAATGTCTCAGGGACTCACTAGCGAAGAGCACCAGAATGCACTTTCTCTCATTCTGGCACATCGTGTATCTCTTAGATCAATGGGAGAGAGTCGCGAGCGAGTCCAGAGCACCGACGAGAAGTTCACGGAGTTGTTGGACCGCAAAAACAGTCAACTGGACTCTCGATCCGAGGAACATCCACCTATGGACCCCGACGAAGGGACCAACTTGGACAGTCTGACGCGAGATATCAAGGCGAACTGGTTTGGAAGTGCTGAATGGTTGGACACCTTGCTCTACGGTGGAGCCCGTCACAGAAACGATGCGTTCCTGGAACTTCCGTTTGACGCTGCATGGTCCAAGGCCAATGAGTCCACTGTGGAGGATCTCAGCACGTGCGCCACCCCGGATCTCCTGGTCGACTTGGAGTCTCGGGTTTCAGTGCAGCGGGCGCGATTAAACCGATGGCGTCAATATGGGAGCTCGATGCAGAACCACGAGCATGTAAAATCATCGCAGTCATCGAAGGACTGCCCAATTGTATTTCGGAATCATCAGCCACTGACAGTCGCGAGCATCTCCAAAGCCGTTCGACAGTCAGTGGAGCGGGTCTCTCCCAAAGCAGAAGACCGTTCACTGCTCTTCTCCCTGTCCGAAGCACTCGCCCGCATCAACGGCACTCCGCACATGCCCGGAAGAACAGCCGCGTGGCGAGAAACAGGCCCCCGTATGCCTACCGAGCGCGAGGCCTCTGAGCCACCAAAAGTGATGCCATCGCCTCCGCCAGTCTCCGAGACCACCACGAGCCAGGAGGAATCGACTTCCTACGGCGATACATATCATCCAAAGGAGGACATCTCATCGACACCCTCTCCTGTCGTGCAGGTCTTCCCCGACCCGGACCCGGAACCGCCCACGGACAGGAACACTCACACATACACGCTGGTGGAACGGACCCGCAAATCCATGTCCCTACTTCCACCTCCCCAGTCTCGATCTCGCGAGAGCTATCATCACCGCTCACGCCAATCCCGGAAGTCCTTCCCCGTGAACCAGTTTGAGACACCTCAGAAACAGTCCGTCTCCGCATACCACGTCGGCCGTGTATCCACTCCGCAAGACGAGCTCTTTAAAGAGGAAGCTGACTACGCTAGCGTCTTCAAGTCCCGGCCGCGCGTCGCTCACAGTCCCATCGCCTCGCCGGCAGTGCATTTCAGTCCTGTGGATGAATTTGATCTCGGTAATGGAGATCCAAGCATGAAAGGAGAGTATGATTTGGCGGGTGTGGAGTCGCCCCTGTATAGACAACGACCGTAAATAGACAATGAGTTAAGTAATGCATATAATCTAACGAACAATCACCTTTGTTTTGTTTTCCCATTCTCCAGAGTTGGAGATAGAATAATGTAAAGAATCATGGCTATACATGATCAGGTATCAATTCATTACACGTTTCTCTTCTATTACCCCACACATACATACCCATAAACTCCACCGGTCCATACTAATAAAAACATAATTCATGAGATATGTAATAGCTACAAAAAGATCACGAGACCAATCATCTCGATCCTTTCAGGTTCCGAGTGCGCCGACGTGTTGGAGGTAGTTCCGTGAGGGTTTTAGACCCAATATATTGGATGTCGGAATCGGAATCGGGATCTGGCACAGATGAGAGGTCCTCAATCGAGGTATCCTCTGCGATGGCATTATCGAGTATATCTTCGAGCTCAGGCCCAGACTCAGGTCCAGGCTCGTCGGGAGGATGGTTGAATCTCCAATGCTCGGGGCGTCTTTCCACGATGAGATGGTCTTCGTTGTCATCGTCTTCGCCCGGAAGGAGGAAGCCTCCGCCGCGGTCCATGGAATCTTCTCCTTGTTCTTCAGGAAGATGATGTTGGCTCGGAGACGGGGACGGATGCGATGCCGCACGTTTAGTGAAGGGATTGTAAGCGTCTCGTTCGTGGTCGCGCGCGGATTCACCGTATTCTTCGCGGACGCGTTCGGCGATGCGCAGACCAAAGAGGAACTTGCGCCAGGTTTGCAGGATGCGAGCTTCGGCCTTGCGACGGTCCTTTTCTCGCTTTTCGGCGGCGTCGGCGCGCCAGGCGTCCTTGACGAGGTCCTCGTTTTCAACTGCTACAACGACGCCCTGGATGACAGGAACGGCCATCTTGGACCCGAACTCGAAGCCGGTCACCGCCTCGGCGTAGTCGATGCCCAGCTTCTTGCAGATGCGCACAGTCCCGGGCCAGGGGACGTGGGCGGCTCCGCGGGGGACCATGCTGGGGACGAAGCAGTCGATGTTGCCGTAGTCGTTCTTGGGGATGACGCCGTTGCGGATGGGCGGCGGGATTATGTACTCGGTCTGGTATCGGGCGTAGAGCCCCTGTTTGGGCTTCTCGCCCATTTCGCGCTCCAGCTCATCGACCTCGCGTTTGCGTAGTAGGGTGACGGCGCGGATAGGGACTCGTTTCAGTGGCACCTCGCCTGGCTTGATTTGCCGACCTTCCTTGTGCCAGCTCTCCGTGGAGAGGCACTTCAGGACGTCGGCGCGGCGGTAAACCTTCTCCTCCTTGACCTTGTTGCCGCGACCGGTGACAAAGGTGCGCACATGCTGCGTGCCGGGTTTCAAGGCCTCCTCACGCCGCAGGAACCGTTCCAGGACGAACTCCGTCGACGCTCGTAGGCTCTGCAGCGTATCTCCGTCTTTGGCGGACTTTTTCTTGTCCGGCTGGTTCGGCACCAAATCTTTCTGGTCCTCGATGTCATCGACTGCCGTTCGGTATCCAGGGGCACGCTCGTAGATGCGCAGGGTCCGGCGGCACCAGTTGTACTCGAAATACTGGCCCTTTCGACCCGGCACGGGGATCTTCTCTACTGGCAGGCGATATCCTTTAGTTTTGCCCGGCCAGGTGCGACGACGGAGATAGCGCGTGGTGACGTCCTTGGCCGTGCGGTCGGTGGAGAAGGCTACTACGTAGCATATTACCTGTTTGGCTTTCTCGGCCTTCGCTCCGCGAGGTTCGAACGCAGCCTGCAGCTCCGGGGTCGTTGCTACGGGGTTCTGGAGCACCAGCGGATCGACGGGAATGATCTCGTGCGTCACGGGCGATGCCACCTCCGTCCAGTAGATCGGAAACGGGAGATCCTTGTCGTATCCTTTTGGGTTGTTGTTGCTGCGGCGACGGATAGGAGACTCGTCTGAGTCACTCGCTTCAGACTGGACGCCTCCCGCCTCGGTCTCCTCGGCCTCAATTATCCGTCCAGGGTTAGCCTTAGGCTTTGGTATGAAATTCTCCGATTTGGTCCACCCAAACCCCAGAGGTTGTAAACTGGCGACGAGCCGAGCCTCGATCTGGAGGGCTCGCAGGAGGGCGGTAAACAGCTGCGCACCGAGGTCTCGCGATCCCTCCATACACTCGGCCGCCTGACGAAACTCGGCCACATTGCAGATCCTCTCTCCATGTCTCTCGGGGTTGGGATTGTCATGGTGGAAGGACGCGATCTCCGCGTGCAGATGGGACATAGGCCGGTAGCCATGCTTCCGCAGCCCCGGAGCGGTGATCTTGAACTGCTTCTTCCAGTAGGCGGCCAGCACCTTGAGTAGACCGATTATGGGGTCGCCGCGACTCATGTCGGGCTGTCCCGGTTCCAGTCGCGAGGAGGCTTCCGACCACTCGCGTCGTTGTTTTCCCTTCGTCTGTCTCGCAATCTTCTGACCCGGGGAGTTCTCGGGGATTTCCAGCCCGGAGGCCACCCGCCATTTCCGGACCTCTTTGTGTAGGGCGGCTGGCAGCTGGCGACGCAGGATCTCATGGAGCTGGGGATCACTCGCCCAGGCATTGCGTAGGGCGTTGTGGAACAGGAGGAAGTGTACGTGTAGGCAATGGGTGTCGATGCGGATCTGACGTTCGATCTTAGAGGGCGCTTTCTTGCCCTCGACAATGTCGGATAGACGCACCTCGTTCCTGTCCAGGGTCAATTCAAGGTCCTGGAGAGGAGCGGGCGTGGCCGGGTTGGTAATGGGGGCGCTGGTAGGATTGGAGTCGAAGGCATCCTCCCAGTCGACCTCCGAGGATGCGTCCGATTCGTCATCATTGTCATTATCGTCATCATCATGCTCGTCATCGCCATCGGGAGGATTCGGAGGTCTGGAGTCGCTGGGGGGATCGCTCAGAGGCGAGTCGGAGCTGTCGTTGGGACGAATATTCGTAGACGAGACATTTGGGTGAACGGGGAGATGCTTGCGGGGGATGAAGGGGGGCATGCGAGGATAAAATGGATGAGAATAGATGAGAGAAAGATGATGGATAATAAAATATAGATGAGGGAGAGAGAAGAGAGAATATAGATGAGAGAGGGAAAAGGGAAATGGATGAAAGAGAGAAGATCCCCGCTTCTCCACTTCCTCCACTTGATTCTCCATCTACTATTTTATCCTCTATCCTCTAATCAACTCTTTTCTGTTCTATATTCTATTCTACTCTCCATTAATTAATCCTCCATCTAACCTACTAGATATACAAAGATGGACGCCGTCCAGCGCTTCTTCTCATCCCCCCGCTTCGCCGTCGCTGGTGCCAGCAACGACGCCAACAAGTTTGGCTACAAGCGTGCCTCTTCCTCTCCTCGTCTTTCTCACTTTGTGCTGATAGATTGATAGTCCTCGCTTGGTATCACCAACACTCTCTCCCAGTGACTCCCCTCAACCCGCGAGCAGCGGCCATCCAACTGCCTACTCGTGCCTACGAGACGGTAGCATCACCTCGGCAGTTACCGGCGCCCACGCAGACGTCGTTGTCGGTCGTGACACCACCAGCTGTGACGCTGCCGTTGTTGCAGGAGGCCCATTCGGTGGGAATCCCTGCCGTCTGGCTGCAGCCGGGGACCTTCGATGCAGCGGTGGAGGAGTTTGCGCGGACGCACTTTGCGGCGGTGGTGGCGGGCGATGGAGGACGAGGAGGAGAGGGATGGTGTGTGTTGGTGGATGGAGAGGAGGGATTGGAGGCCGCGGGGGTGTCGTGGTTGAGTCAGTTGTAGATAAATAAGATGAGATAAATGAGGATGAAATATAAAGAAGAACGAAGTTGTATAATTACAGAGTAAATATGATGAGGTCACCTGCCCAACCTCCTCATTTTGTTCGTCGTTTCTTTCGCCTCACCTTTTTCTCCTTCGGAGAATCCCAACCATAAATAAAAACCACGGGGAAATCAGAATCATAATCAAAATTAGATCATAATAAAATGCCCTCCTTTATTGATTCTCCCATTCCTCCTCATCTCGACCTCACAGGGACTCCCTCGCAGCTCTTCCAACCTCCCACTCCTTCAGCCTCGTCCGCTCTTTATCGGTCCATCTCTTTTTCAGCTCGAAAACGATCTCGTGCTATCGAGTCCTTCGACGATCATCATCATATTATTTCTTCTCATCATCATCTTCCTCCTCAGCTGGACTCAGAGATCCTCCCGGACTTCGACTACTTCTCCCGTCCCAGTCGCTATCGGGATCTCCCTCGTCCCTTCGATGCCAGTGTGGAATCCCTATCTGACGCCAGCAGCATCCGTCGCAAACGCAGTCGTCGAGATCCTTCTCTACTGATTCCTCCCGGTTCGGATGAAAAGGTCGACTTCCCCGTCTATGACGATGATCACGATGACGGCTCACCTTCCCGGCAGCTAGCTCCCGTACGCTGGAGTCGTGCCGTTCTTGGCGTGGTCGGCAAGGTCTGGGAATTCTGCTGGTCGGGTGCCTTCCGTGGCTTCTACGCTGGCGGAGGACCAGGATATGTCATGACAGTGGAACAGGGTAGCTCCCCGACCGAGAAGAAACCGAATCCCCTTCGTCGGGGCAGAGAATCTACCCCCGTTCCTGGAGATTATCCCGAGGACGGGACTGGAGAGGAAGCAATCCGCCAGAACTGGGTCATGGTATCGTCGCGGGATACAGCATACGACGACGAAGCAAGTGGCTCCTCCGCTCGTGCTCGTGCTCGACGCGTTCATCGTCGAACGACCTCGGGGCTGTCGCGACGTCGACTCCCCTCGAACAGGAAGCTCGTGTCGTCGACTGTACCTTCCTCCATGACAACCAAATCCCAATTCTCATCACCGGCCAAGCCGCGCGAGACTCCCGTGTCGGTGGAAACGCAGCGCTACATGGCCCAGAAGCGACGGATGGAGCGCGAGGAGGATGCCAGTCTGCGACGGTTGAATCGGCAACTGCAGGCGATGATCAAAGAGGGCAAACAGGCTCTGGGGACCCAAGTGGAAGTGGATGATTTTATGGAAGAATGAATTATTCCCACGGCTGTGATTATGACGATAACGATGTCTATTGATTACTGATACCCCTTCCATTCATTTTAATACTGTCAGATTGATGTACGAACTCGTCTCGTCTTGTCTTCAACGAAAACACTATACGATATCACCAGATCCATTAGCTACTAGCTAGTCATGAATTCCTTTGATCCATGTTGATCCCATCCATCAATCCATCCTCTAACCCTAGATTCAGCTCTTAGGTCGCAGTGCCCTTCGCAGGAACCTTATCTTTAGACGCGTTACCCTTAGGCGTGGCGTCCTTAGTCGCGGCATCCTCCGTCGCAGCTTTCAGATCCTCCTCGTCCATACCCAAGAGCGAAAGATCGATATCCTTTGTGAGCTCTTTGGTATTCAAGAGCGCTGCGAGGAGAGTATCAGATTGGAAGCGACGAACGAGCTGATTGTCATTGGCATTTCCATTGGTGGTGGACTAGATAAACATCAGATAGGTTGCTATTTCCAGATTCTCATCCCTCAGGATCGAACCGGGATGAAGGTGAAGGCGAAAGGGTCATACATGTAGAGGCGCTGCCAGGGTGACGGCGATGAAGAGCGCGAGTGCGGAGAGTTTCATCTTTTATTTATTTATTTTTTTAATTTTTATGATAATGATAAGGATATGATCGAATCGATATACTGATGTATGTCGATGCAGGAGATGGATGCTAGGGGGAAAAAAAGAAAGAAAGAAAGAAAGAAAGATAAATAGATCTTCTATCTATCTAGCAAGGGGAGAGGGTCATCCCTTGTCTGATCCCTTCATTCCAGTGAGATATGGTTGGGCCTGGATGGATGGTCATTGATTAGTTATATAGATGATGTGACTAACGGAAGGTTCAATCTAATATACTTAAGAGTAGATTTTAGACGATACATGTGGTCTAGAGAAGAATGAGATTTCATTTAAGATATACATAGATCTGGTCGATAGACTATGTCGACATGTGTTGATATCAACGGTTGTCGAGGTAAGAAAGCGAGAGATGCAAGTTCGGATAGACGAGTAGAACGCAACCAGATATTACAGTCTAATGATGTCTCTCTAGTGTATATAGTCTAGCTAATTTTGCATCTATCCCTGATTGATCGTCGGAATTGCTTGAAAGCCAGTGGATACATCGGATCTGTATATCTCAACTGTCCTGCAGATTGGCTACATAACATTACTTAGATAACATATAATGAATTTATTATCCCTCGACCAGTACAACCACGCTATGCGATGACCTCTACCATTACCGAACGCCCCACGCTGATGATACACCGACTTTTATGCATAAACAATCATGGAAATAGAATCAAACCAAATCATGTCAGGTTAGGTAGAAACTTAGGGTTTGTTCGGATACTCTCCCCGTATTTCAACAGGAACAGCGTGGTAGGCGCAAACGCGGCGGCAACGAACGCCAATAGACTATTCCCCCAGCCCAGTCCTAGGCTGTTGTACAGATGGGTCCCTGCAAGGGGGATGGTGGCGCCGAAGATCGACCGCAGACAAAGCTCCGCAGACACCGCACTAGCGGCGTATGTAGTGTAGGCATCCACCAGGTACACCTGCGTCACCAAGTGCACATAGAAGATCCCGGCGCCGAGGAAGAAGGTTCCCATGATGGGCACAATCCAGTGCGTCTGGCACTCAGCGGACCAGCCGTACCAAAGCAGGCCGATAGGCACAAGACAACACCCCAGTACCAGCGGTGGGAGCCGGTCCTCGGGCTTCATCTTGCCATGAATCTGCTCTTGCCGCTTGACATATCGGTCGGAGAAGCAGCCCACCGTGATCTGTCCGAACGTGAACCCCATCCCGATTCCCAGGTAGCCGAGGCCGGCCTCACCCGGACTGAAGTTGTAGACCGTCTCGAAGACATTCGTGAAGGTCGTGAAGAGGATGTACATATAACTGTAGGTGACAGCGCTGTACAATGACACGATCATGACAATGGGCGACAAGACGAGGAATTTGACCGGCCGAGTCAGAGACATCCGCAGCATCTGGCCCATCGTCTGGTCGGAATCGTATTTGGTTCGATAGCGACGTCCTGTTTCCTTCTGCAGCTGCATAGCTTTCCGCTGGAGAATAGTAGGCGCATATGTCTCTCGGAGAAGAATCAACGATCCCACTGCAATAAAGGCTCCCTGTCGAGCCATATTAGCATTGGTGGGCATGGTTGGCAGTAGCCAATGACAGGCTGATACTCACAGCAATGGCTTCAAGCCAGACTGTCCACCGCCATCCGACATTCTGGGCCATAAAGCCCCCGAAAATAGGGCCTATGCCGCGTGAGTACATCTGACGAAAGTCGAGTAGATCCGGGCATGTGGTCCTTACCAGTAACAAAACCCTGTCGAATTCAATTAGTCTTCGCTTCCTATCCAACAAATAGAAGAGGATATACTTACAAGGAGAGGTCCCACCGTCCAGACTGTCATCGCAGTCCCTCGTTCCTCCATCTTCATCATGTCGCTGACGTATCCTCCCCCTACTGTCACTGGAACGGAGCTAGCCAGTCCCATCACCAGTCGAGAGATGATCAGCATCGGCATATTGACGCTGGCACCGCACACAATTGCCGCAATAAAAAACAAGAAGTTCGCCGCGTGCGTCATGGGAAGCCTGCCACTCATCTCCGTAATTGGGGTCAGGATGAGAGGTCCAATTGCCGCGCCCATGACGTAGATCGAGACAACCAGCGAGGAGATAGACGAGTTGTCGGTATGGAACTCATCCATAACCTGCGGCACGGCTGGTGAAAAGATGGTTGATACCAGAGAACTTGCAATGTGTAAGGGACACTGTCAAAGAAGTGCGAAAGAAAAGCCATGCTTACACATTGTAACTGCTCAAGGAAATAAGGCCGATTGTCAGCCACTTGCGAGTGCTCGCCCAATTCTGAGGATTCTGAGGATCACTGGGACTCTCCCAATGGGCAAGGTTGTCATCCTCATCCTGGGATAATTCACCCAATTCCACGTCGCTATCGGACGGTCTGATCGATGTCGTTTCAACATGAATGCCTTTCTTCTCTGGCAATGTCGATCCCAGACTCTCTGAGCTCAAGTCAGATCTAGGAGGGAAGGCAACTTCTGGGTCCTGGTAAGGCTGTGTCGACATGATGATCACCGAAAGGCAAATGTGGTTGGAAGCTCCAGGAGAATGGAAGAAAGGAAGTGCGAGCGTAAGAAGGCAGCTATTGTCGTAGAAATAAGTACATAAACTCTGGTTCAAAAATAACAATTTCGTCAGGGAAAATATCCAAGTCGTAGCTGATCGTGATCATATCGCCTGATTTTGGCAGGCAACGCGCGTCCATACAGCTGGATATTCTTGGTATGTTGGCCCTTGCTTTTTTTTCTCTCATTTTTATTTTCGTCTTTTTTGGTCAGAGCTCCTTATTTTTCTGATTCCCAGTAACCAGAAAAACCCTGCATCGGATGGGTCATCCTACATTGGTGGGTACGCAAATGGATATCTGCTGGGCGGGCAGCACGGGCTCAAAACCAAGCTATAGGGATGGCGATTCCAATATTGCCCCTTGCGTGGAGAAGCCTTATTCCATATCCAATATCACACAATGCCAATAAGCCCAGCTTATCCTGTGATCTACAGAGCTATCCATCCTCAAGGAAACGCATCATAGTCATCTCCACATGATCTGCTATGCTCAAGGCTTTGGTTCCAATTCCCAGGCATGGCGATTGTATCCTAAAAGGCTATGACGATGAGGTGAGAGGCGCCTGCCCCTTCGGTTGGTATCCACGTTGACGTGGCCTTAAGCAACCAAAGAATGCGTGCCCGTGATCTTCAGGGTCACCACCGAGGGGCAGATATTGCTAGACGAGAACTCCCGCAAAGGACGCATGTGAAGGAAGGAAACTACCACTTGGTCGGTGGATCCATAGCCATTTTTTTCTGGCTGTTAGGGGTCTAGAAGGTGTTTCGCCATTCCTGTCACCGCTATGGATGTTGTGGAGCACTACCAGCCATGATGTATTAGACATTTGCAGTATTCTGAGTAAGTACTCCCGTAGATGCTAGTTCGATCTGCCGAGTGGTTACTCCATACATCTATTTCCCCGGACAGGGGGCTGGGTGGGGATGAAAAGGCTGGGGGTCAACAATGATAAATTCGAAACATGACCGAATGTCGATTATGTATGTTCCGTGACATAATGAGACCTCCCACTGAGTTGCTTGAGATATGCAGATCCGAATGCCTGACAGGGCAAGGCGAACTCCGATCCAGCAATGTTTGACCCGCAAAACGATTGGGCGACGCAGGCGGGTGATCCCCCTCGGTACCGACTATCGGATGTCCATTAGCGACGTTGACGACGACTGTGGTGGGGGCATGGAGATAAGGATAGTGATTACTAACAGCCCACCCAATAGTTATATTCGATCGGCAAACAAGTCTCTCTGAAAATAGTAATGTGAGGGCACTCTTTCCAACGGCTAAGTCGAAGTAGATGAGAGAAATGTCAAGTCATCTCGGGTGAACAATGAATGCGGAGGAGTTTAACCATCCGCTTCCCTGAGATAGCAAAAAATGCTAGACTTTTGCCATCTCAGACTCTGTTACACCGTACTCACATTATGGTTCAGTTCGGGATATCCAAGGTTCCGGGGAGATCGTCTCAATTTTATGCAACTCGATATTGAGAGCGGATCCCGTGGATCTCCGCAAGGGTCCTAAGGCTGCCCGGTGCTTAAACCTGGGTCAGGACCATGGTATCAGAGTCAAAAGCGGCTTGTTTCTCAAGCTTCTGACTCATTCCAAGAATTTCATACAGCATTTGAATTCGTATCACTCAAAGAATCAAGGTTAATCCGTAGACAGGACGGCTTGTGGACATTCTTCCCGGACATTTCGAGCGGCTGGCAATGATTTGGAGTCGTCAAGCTTCAGCCTCCGAAGTTTCCCTGCCAGTCCCGTGCAGATCCACGTGATAAGATGATATTCTAGTAATTCTACTCGGCTTAGAAAATTCCTATAAGCTTGTGTGCGTCCACTGAAGTATATAATATATCTCAACTGCCCTTTATTTGCGTACACAATCTATTCCACGCTAAATTGATCTCGCCACGATCACTATGATTCAGGGGAAAGGGGCAGAAGAACACTATACCAGCTACACGCAAGTGGCCTACTAAGGACCGTATCTGATAGTATCTATTACCTCGAATACTATCTGATGAACGCATAACCTCTTCCAGGAATAGGGGCAGGCCAGATATCTTGGTCTTGGAGATATTGAGGATGGAGTCTGTGAGATGGCCTGGTAGATCCTGTCTGAGAATAACGACCATAAGCGATGATGACCGTACGGATCATTAGCACATAGAGAAAGCGTCTCGTGAACAGTGCAATGCTTGATACCAGCTAAATGGAACAATATGAATGCTTCGCCTTCGAACCATCTACCAGCCCTCCGACCAAACTACACCGTCGCAGAAATCAGATCTACCATTCAATGCTCATGTGTACAGACCAGACTAGCGCAACAAGCGGATGATATAATAGGTCGAATTCGATCCAAATACCTAAAGGAGGTTGAATGATATCCAATCTGTCTGAAAGGTCAAACCCTTCTCCAGAGTGGATTCAATTGAATCATATCGGAGCCTTTCGAGCAAACCGAAGAAAGAACTAGATGCTTTGTACTTGATGTGGCAGTGGCATGCTATTTGACTCTACATTGTATATTATATGGAGAGCCAATATCCCTATGTATTTAAATAGTTGCTTCTGCATAATTTGTGCAAACGTGAATCTATTGCCCACATAAGAGCATGCTATTAATAATACACCCTCACCTAAGGTAACCGGTAAGCGAGAACGATGCTGTGGCATGAACAGTATAATATTCTGTCAATCTGAGCCGCGTTCTCGTAAGCGAGCGTTCCGCCCCCCGCCGGTCAGTTAAACGGGAGCCTTTCAAAACACCCAAAAATTCGCATTTCTATATAAAAATTAATTACTACATTGATTAGTACATTGCCTCCATGTATGACCATGAATATGACGATTAGAGCACTACTGCGGTGGCTCCGGTACGCGTCGTTTATATGTAAATAGTGCTTAATCTACCGGTTTAGTATCTTGACATCCTTGGACCTCCTTCTGTTGCTGTATATATTCCTGGGCCTCTGCGTAGAAAACCCTCTGCATAGCTATCTGTCGCTTAGATTACTTCATTTTTTGATATTCTGTTTCATTTTCCTCCTGTAGATACTTTATTTCTTTGGCAAGAAAAGCAGTCTCATTTGAGCCATTTTGCGCTCTTTGATAGTCTTGTCTAATCGCGCTTCCAATGAAGATGGGGAGATCTGTGCACGCGCTCTAAGCAAATTCTTAATTTTAGATGCTTGCTTCTGGAATTGCTTAGGATTATACGGTGTTTTGGTTGCTGAATTGGTCCCCCAACTCCCTGGGGATGTAAAAGTGCTAAGTTGAATATTAGTCTGTTCATGAGCTCTTTCGGGGTAGACTACGTACCAGCAAAACACCGCTATAAAGAACCCCATTGTAGAGAATCCCCCGTTGTAGAGAATTTAAATTCTGATACAAATTTGCAGAATAGCCCGCTATCCATGTTACCTCTTCCATACAAGTTTGCATATAGCGAATAACAAAAAGATTAAATTTTTGGCTGACACCCTTACTCTTACTTTAAATTCTAATTAAAATGGCAAAACGCTGTGCTATCACAAACCGCCAGCGGTCTGCCATTCGCGCTTACAATAAATTAAGGCCTTATTTAAGCCGAAATTAGCTATCAAAGTGGTTTGATGAGTTGTATAATTATAAGATCGTTCTATCTAACGTCTCACGAATTCTATTTCCAAGATTGGACTGGCTACTGCAAAAGACCTCCAATTAGATATTATAAAGCGTTGTATAAAAAGCTGGCCAGACCTGGAGCAGGCACTCGAAAACTCAATAGAAAGTTAAATTGCAATATCTCAAGAACTTATATGTGAAAAAGCATGCCAGTTCTGACTATCTTTTATCTAAAAAGGAGATGCTTTAATTTAACAATGGCTGGCTCCGGGCGCTTCCAAATCGTCGAAATATTTCTTTCGTATTCGTCATGGTAAAGCCAGCAGTGTCTCTATAGACGCAGATATAGAGATGCATTTTATTCTACAAGTTATATGCCAGTGTTCGTCTAAAAATGTTCTTAATTGCAATGAAAGCGGTCTACAGTGGAGAATAATCCCAGATTGAAGTCTGACCACTTGCTTAATTCTAGGAAGAAAGAAAGATATGACGCGAATTTTATACGCTTTATTTTTATACAAATATGGATGCCCCTGAGCGCCTTCCTATTTGGAGTATTAGGACTGCAAAAAATCCACATGTTTTTTCTCTGGAATTAATATTGAGAATCTAGGGTGCTAATGGGGCTAAAATAAAAAGGCATGGATAACTGGGAAGATCTTTAAAAAGTGGATTTGCTGGTTTGACGTAAAGGGCTGGAGCCCGCTTGACCTCTCGGGCCAATTGACACATTGACCCAATTATCCATCCCTATTATCCCTATTGTCCCTCCTGTCCTTATTGTCCCTATTGTCCCTACGGGCCCTGTTCACCCCATTGGCCACCTCGATGACCCACACCACGTTACTCTCTTTTTCCCTTTCTTTCCTTCAACGATTCCTTTTTGTACATAGCCCTTTATATAGGTTCTACGGGTTCAGGCCCTGACATTTGATATAAGAATAACCAGGTCCTTTTTAAATAAAAAATTTCTCTGTTTATATAGCAGCTTTTAAAGAGATCTCTATACAGCTCCAGAAGACTTTAATTGTGCGGCTACCAGCTAATTCAACAGCCAAATACCAGCCTCATGATCAAGGAATTATTCGTACATGGAAGGTGTTACGGAACACTATAATCCGCCCGACTTGGCGGTGCGGAAGTATCTGACGATCCATTCTACCCCTCAGTCCTTTAGTTAGCTGAGCACCCAAGATCTAGAAGTCGAGCACCTAGATAGGAATGCAAGAGACTCAGTTGATTGAGATACTGTGATTCCTGGTGTTTCCACCGAAGGACATCTACTTCCTAGTTAGGCTAGTTTGCCTGTAGCTGATAGAATAGCTCCCTGCGCATCACTTGCCCTGAATTCCACAGCAAAAGGCATACTGGAAACCTAAGTGACTACTTTATATGGTGGCTGATTTGGCCACAGCTCGATCCAGTAGTTACAATGACCCTTTAAGCGCCATATGATGGGCGGTTCAAGCATAGGACGTAGATCTAAACAATGAAGCTATTTAGTTGCTTTACGTGTGACTGCTAAGCAACTCGATCAAATTGGTGCTATCTAACGAGAATTTAAGCGTAGAGAGGAGCAAGAGACTGGTGAGTGGGTGGTGCAGGAAGGAAACAAGCTAGATACAAACAACACATACCCATCACATTACAAAGGCTTTGGCTGCTCAAGATAATACAGAAATAGTTAATATGCAGCTTTTAAATAAGCTGCAAGCAGGCCTTGATCAGCTAGCAGCATTAAATTTTAAGAGATTATGAAAATAAACCTATTCCTGATCCCTATAGAGGAGGAGGTTACTAATGATCTTGAGAACCTGGATAGCCTCATTCTTCCCAATTTAGCGCTAAGATACTGAATCTGATAATAAAGAAGTCCACGAAGTGCTTCCTAAGATCTCCGTAAACAATGATTTGGAGGCACTGTATAAACTACGATTACATGAAAAACGCAAGTTTATGGAAATCAAAAGGCTTCTTCAGGAACTTCTACACCAGGAACAAGCCTTAATAGAGAGGAAGATGCAGAATCAGTACCAGACTAATATCCGGACCTTTTTGAATTTCGTTGTATGTCTCTTTATTTTTATAAGCTAATATTGCAAGTAAGATCCTTTCCTCCTCAGTCAAATTATTTGAATATACGTGCTTTTGGTGGCAGGTAGGTGGTTGAATTGCCCGAGTATTTCGGCCGCGGTCCGGACGCGAGAGGTGGAATCGCTTACCAGTTACGTTACATAGTCCAAGTCTACTGACGTGGAAGCTAAGCTCTGCGGGCAACTTCATTCCAGGGACGCATCTCGCTTAGCTGACTTGGCAGGGTTTTTTTTTTTGCCATCGTCGTCCATGTTGAATCAATCGGAACCGGTGGCGAACCCACGGGATCCGCTTCGGCACGAGATAGCCGGTGAAGGATGCAGTGTAACACAATCAAAGCATCAATGCATCCATCTCGTTACGTGACGCAGACAGTCGGACCTATTAGTCTACCCAGGTGAACTTCCTTTCCTTTGTATGACTTGGATCTGGATTTGTCGTCACTGGCAGACGAGAGGTGGAGATACAGGAACACGACTCCGTAATTCCGGGGCTATGATTCGCGAAAGACAGGCCCTGGTGACTTTCATGGTTGGCCTCTGCTTTGTTTTATCGTGTTTGGAGAGAAAAATTCGTTCCATTTTATGTATATTTTCAGTGCAGCTCTGCCGATCTCAAGCCGAGGCACCGCTCGGGTGAATATGCAGGGTTGGCATTTTTATTTCCACTTCGAATCCGTTTTTTTGCCCCTCATTGTCTATTTTTATTATATGTTTTCTCGAAGTTCGTTTCACCTATTAATACTGTAGGGTCAGACATTTCTCTGTATTTCCCTAGTAGGTTTGCACGTAGCACTGGCCGGGTTACACGACGCCATACCAACGTCTCCAAGCACAACCACAGGGTGCACAATCCAAAAACAGGCTCAATGAAATAACCTCTGCTTTCATTAAAACCAATATCCGGTGGGTCTGCCACAATTATTGTGACACCTGAGCGATGATCCCCGGATGTCTGTGTGGCGAGCTCCTGGGTCTCCAGAAGTCCTAACTGACATCCATCATCTGGGAATATGCAGACAAAACGGGCATGACAGGCTCCGCCGCCCGTGGTGAGGAGGTCCTCCCGTCAAGAATCAACTATTGGCGTCTTCTCTTTGACCAGAACGTGGTGACGCAGGAGATCGCGAACCACCCCTATGATGGCTCCGGAACCGAGGAGGACCCGTACGTGGTCGTTTGGATCCCCAATGATCCGCGCAATCCGATGAACTTCAGCTCCGCTAGGAAATGGTCCTACACTGTCCTCGTCTCCTTCATCACTCTCACTACCGCATTGGTCTCGTCTGCCTATTCGGGCGGAATGCGCCAGATTGTCGAAGATTTCGGTTGCGATCAGGAGGTTGTCATCCTCGGCATCTCGCTGTTCGTGCTGGGATTTGCATTCGGCCCATTGATCTGGGCTCCACTGAGTGAAACCTTTGGCCGTCGCCATATTTTCACTATCACGTACTGCCTAATGACGGCGTTTAATGCGGGGGCGGCGGGTGCTAAGAACATCCAGACGCTCATCATCCTGCGCTTCTTCGCCGGCTTTTCGGGATCATCTGCTTTTGGAAACGGCGGTGGCAGTATCAGTGATCTGTTTCCTGCGTCTCAACGCGGCATTGCTATCAGCCTGTTCGCCGCGGCGCCATTGTGTGGCCCGACGTTTGGGCCTGTCATCGGCGGATTCCTCGGTTCTGGGGCGGGATGGCGCTGGGTCGAAGGCTTTATGGCTGCGTTTTCGGGCGTAGTTTGGCTCTGTGTCTACTTTTTTCTGCCCGAGACTTACGCCCCTGTCCTCCTGCGGCGAAGGGCAGCCAGATTGTCGGAACTGAGCGGCAAGGTTTACCGTAGCAAGCTAGATATTGAACGAGGCATGGTGCCGCTCCTCAAGACTCTCTCCACGGCACTTTCGCGGCCTTGGCTCTTGCTGTTCCGAGAACCAATTGTCTTTCTGTTCTGTGTGTATATGGTATGTATATTGGAGTTGACTTATGCATCCGGAATAGTTTTGCTGAACGGACGTCCGTAGGCTATCATCTATGGCACCCTGTACATGCTCTTTGCCGCCTTCCCAATCGTCTACCAGGAGATTCGGGGCTGGAGTGAAGGCGTGGGAGGCTTAGCCTTTATGGGAGTCCTGGTTGGCATGATCCTTGCTGTGGCGTATACCATCCCTGATAACCTTCACTACGCCAAACTCTGCCGACAAACAACCGGCCGCCTGGCCCCAGAGGTTCGACTGCCACCCAGTATCATCGGGGGAATCGCCTTGCCCATTGGATTGTTCTGGTTCGCCTGGACAAACTCCCCATCCATTCACTGGATGGCCTCCATCGCTGCTGGGGTTCCATTTGGATTCGGTGAGGTCCTGGTGTTCCTCAGTGTCTTCAACTATCTGATCGACTCGTATACCATATTTGCAGCATCTGTCCTGGCGGCTAATTCGGCCCTTCGGTCTCTGTTCGGAATGGCATTCCCCCTATTCACAACCTATATGTACCATAACCTCGGCATCCACTGGGCGTCGTCGATTCCTGCATTCCTGGCTCTCGCCTGCGCTCCAGTTCCCATTCTTTTTTACCTATATGGAGCACGGATTCGCAAGCGGTGTGTATATGCCGCCGAGTCTGAGGCCTTCATGGAGCGTCTCGCTGAAATGCAGAACAATCCCGCACGTCCGCAGCTGGTTGAAGATAAAGAGAAAGCAGGCATTGAAGAGAGAAACGATTCGAGGGACAGTGGTTCTACTGATGATACTGAGAGTCTGTCGCTGGCTGGAATGGGCGGACGAGCTTCTCGAGCGAGTCGACAGTCGGGGCACTCTCTAAGGCACACAGCGACTCAGTATGAGGAAAATCCATATGATATTGACCGGGTGAATACTCGAAACTCGGTGATAAGTGGTCGAAGAAAGAAATAGGCCTTTTGCTTGAGTTTTCGATTGTCCCAAACGACTTGTTTTGTACTCGGTCAACAATGAAGGAGAGCAGCATGGCCAACTGTGATGCATCACCTTGCATGATTATCGAACTGGACATAGAAAATAGTTAGGAATTAATGCTGATCACAAACTTCAACCATTCTGCAGTTATCCCCCTCCTGTCAGACGATGCTCAAACTAACAGATTCATGCCTGTGTGACTTGCCTAATGTAGTATGCTAGCAATTCTGCATCACTTTGTCACAGGTTCTTCATTCGCTATTCTCCTTTCTTCACTGGCCCTAGGGTCTTTTCTTATTATTATTTTTGTCTTGTTTTTGATCTTTATTTTTATACTCTTTTTCTTTTCCCCATCCTCTTCTCCCTGTGTACTATAGGTTTACCGATCTCATCTTTCTACTTTCTTCCCTGCATGAGCATGGAGAAACCCACCATCCTTTTCTTGACTAACAGCGAGCTAGGACAGGCTTCTATCTCGTTGGCGGTCGCCCATGAGTTCCTCACGCGTCCTTCGTATACCGTCCATATTGCATCCTTTGCTAATCTGGAACCAGCCGTGGATGCCCTCAACGCCCGTGCCAAAACCCTGGCGTCAGCGACGACCACAGCCACTTTCCATCCGATCAGCGGCCCTTGCATGAAAGATGCTTTCCCTGGAGATACCGAGTCGATTGATTATTTCAATTTTCATCCGATCGGCTTTTGGGGAGCTCGACGACAAGTCACGAACTTGGTGTCGACCACGTTGATCCCATGGGACGGCCCGCAGTACGTGGCGATCTACAACGACTGTGTCCAAATCATCAAGAAAACACAGCCAGTGATCGTGGTTCTGGATCCCTTTTTTTATGTTGCCGTGGATGCGTGCCGCATGCTTCACTGGCCATACGTCGCGTTGAGCCCCAACACGGTCAAAGATATCGTTCCTCAACCGAAGCTGGCCAGTCTGTGGAAATACCCAGCGTGAGCTCTCATGTTTCTCTCCCTCTTTGCCGCATGCGAGCTAATTCCAAAATTAGCCTGTTCTCAGGATATGCCTATCCCATGCCGTGGAGATTGGTGCCTTTCAACATTTATCTCACTGTAAAGGTGGGTTGGGCATTGATGAAAAGCAAGCAGTCCAAGGAGCTGAAGGAGTATCGCAATACACATGGGCTGATGGGCCCCAATCCCTCGGTGAATATCAGTCCAGGAGACAAGATCCCATTTCTTCTCCCCACTCGACCGGAGACCGATTTCCCCTGCTTCATTCCGGACAACTTCACACTCTGCGGGCCCATTGTGCGTCCCTGCAACCCAATTTCTGAGGAGTGCCCCGAGCTAGCTGCCTGGTTGTTACTGCGGCCCACAGTCCTAGTGAACATGGGATCGCACGTCAAGTACAACCCAGCGCAGGAAAGGCAGTTTGCAGAGGGTTTCCGAATGCTGATGGACCGCAGAAAAGATATTCAAATCCTGTGGAAGCTCCAGCGAACGGGTGAAAAAGTTGAGCCTACTGCTCTGGACAGTCTTCGCCCCGCCATTGAACAGGGCCGTGTGCGTATCGAGTCCTGGCTGGCCGTGGACCCGATTTGCGTCCTCCTGAGCGGCCAGGTGCAGTGCATGGTGCACCACGGAGGTGCCAATTCCTATCATGAAGCTGTCCGGTGAGTGTTTCCAACAAAAGAAGTGTCCTGACACTGGTACGTGCTATGTCTGCTAACTGAGGGGGCCGCGTATTTGGTCATCGCGATCTTTAGAGCCGGAGTTCCCCAGGTCGTACTTCCTCTCTGGTTTGACACCTATGATTTTGCCCATCGTGCTGAGTTCTGTGGGATCGGAGTCTGGGGCAGTCGTCAGAGTGCGCCCGCCGTCCAGTCAGGCGAACTGGGTCGTGCGTTGATCCGGGTTCTGGCGAGTGACGAGTCGTTGGCGATGGCGGAGAGGGCAAGAAGGGTGGCGGCGCAGTTGGGTAAGGAGGGACGCGTGGTAGCCTGTGAGAAGATCATTGATTTGATCCAGGAGAAGAAGTAGCGCGACTATTGGCCGTATTTAGATGTCTTTTATTAGATATCTGAGATGGTCTCCATGATGGCGTCAGCGTGCGGACGCGGAATTAAACCGCGGACTAAGTAATTAGTCAGTAATCCTGTATGTATCCATGCTGACAGCTTCGTTTTTTTCCTATTCCATCCATTATTGCAGCAGGACGTAATCATTGTTCCCCGGGAGTTTCCGGACCAAGGGACTGTTTTCTCTCTGCGTGACCCTCCATATATTCTGTCGCTTTCCCGTGAATAGATTGTTGCAATCAATTGCCTGGGAATAACATCGACAGTGTCTACATCTCTTCAAGCATGGCTTCAGAACGAATCGCTTGGATTGGCCTGGGTAACATTGGCCGGGTAAGGCGATCCTCATCGACGGACCTCAATCCTCTCCATCATCTCTAACCGACATCACAGGGCATGAGCCGAAACATCGCCCTGAAAGGCCCTCAGACCTCACCTCTGATCATCTACAACCGCACCATATCCAAATCCGCTGCATTCGCAGAATCTCTCGGCTCTAACAGCAAAGTCACCATTGTATCGTCGGTCTCCGACGCGGTTCAACAAGCCACCATCACCTTCATCTGCGTCGGTGACGATGCCGCCCTCGACCAGATCATCAACGCCGTCATCTCTGATTCCTCTGTCGACCTGACCTCCAAGGTCATCGTTGACTGCTCCACCGTGCACCCCGACACCTCGCGACGCATCCACACCACGCTCTCCGCGCGCCAGGCTTCCTTTATCGCCTGTCCCGTCTTTGGCGCCCCCAACGCCGCAGACGCAGGTCAAATGATCGTCGTCCCAGCAGGTGACGCTGACGTGATTGCCCGATTGACCCCGTTCTTCGACGGTGTCACCTCCAAAGCCATCCTGGATATACCGGGTGACGACGTCGGTCGCGCCCCGGCCCTCAAGCTCCTGGGTAACACGTTCATCTTGAATACCATCGAGACCGTAGCCGAGGGTCTAGTCGCCGCGGAGAAATCCGGAGTAGGCGTCCAGACTTATCGTCAGTGGTTGCATATGTTCCTCCCCGGCCCGTTTGCCAAATACGCCGACCGCATGGTCGAAGGCGACTACTGGAATCGCGAGGAGCCGCTGTTCGCTGTCGACTTGGCTCGTAAGGACCTGCGTCATGCATCTAGTGTGGCAGGTAAGGGAGGGGTGCGTATGCGTAGCGTCGAGGTCACGGATGAGTATTTGAAGCAGGTTAAAGCGCAGAGGGGCGAGAAAGGGGATATTGCAGGACTTTACGGGGCGATTCGGAAGGAGTCGGGACTGGAATTTGAGAATTAAATTAAGTGAACTCTGCTTTGTACTCTTTGTAGTTGATTTACAAAGTCTTCGATATTGATAGCAACATTGCGGGTAGATGGTTCAATTGTATTCCTCTAACGTATATCATCCACAGGATTTTGTGTATCGTATATCATAGATATCATGGGCCTGTCAAGCCTTCTTGTAAACATCACTGTTTTGGTATAGTTCTGCTGATGCTGCTGCTCCACCAATGACCGTTCCATCGTCAGCAATAACCGGGTGGTACGAACATGCAATTCTACATCCATCAGTCCAGACATCTACCCTGGTAGCCTAGTAGTCTAGACTAGGTATTAGATATCCAACCTACCTTCAATATCCAATTCGTAACTCGTTAGAACTTCCTCATCTGGAAGGACAAGATCGGTGATACTCTCATCCAGATAGTTCGTCTTCCGGACTCGGACTTTCAGACCTACGTTTCTGTCCTGGTCAACCCAGAGCATGTGACACTGGTCGTTGGTATTGAGATGAGATTCGCCTTCCGTATCCTCGTCGTCATCATGAGATGTATCCACGCAGCGAGAGCATGAGTGCTCTTTCAGCCAGTCCCGGAATACACGCACAACCCCATCTTGGACTGTGTTCGCGCTCATCAGAAGATGACTCTGACCCCCGGGCATACCTTTGAAGATGTTCACGACGACGCAAAGCTGCGAAAAATCCTCGAATGATTCTAAATGTACGGGTCGTGTCACTGTTACTCGTTCCTGGTCTGGTGATAGTTCGGGATCTTGGATCAATCCAGTCAGTGTTAGGTATGTGTGATTGGATATAGATGTAACTGATGGATGTATTTAGCTATCTAAAGGAATGGGATTGCTCACTTGAAGGGACCAGTCTTGTCCCACTCATTATTTCTCTGACTGTCGCTTCGGGACGAAATCGCGAATATAACGCCGTGAGACGACCGAGTCGCTGTGCTGGGTTGAAATCTTCATACATTGACCCTGTCCCTTCATGTCGAGTGCTGAGGCCATCTGTACCGAGATGTTTACAGAAGATGTGTGGCTCGATCAGCTTCGAGCTCGGGTGGAAGCATTCAAGGATCAGCTTGTATTCTTCTAGAGAGGCGGAGAAGAGGAGTCGATAGTGCAGGATGCGGAGGATCAGGGAGTGAAAGCGATGCGAGATGGTGGTGAGAGGGAGGAGAGTGCGTGTAGGGAATGAGGAGAGGATTTGGACGAAGACCTGGCTTATATGATAAGCATTGAGTGGTATCTTGGCTATTGGGATGTAACTACTGTACCTCATTGGGGAGGGAGTACAAGGTAAATGGTTTGGGAGAGATCATAATATATTTATATTTTAGCGGGTATTCAGTGGAGGTACTAGCTATTCCAAGGACATGGGAACAAAACAATGGCATCTATCCGGTAAATAAACCAATTCATAAGAACTGGTCAACGGGATATTCTCTAGATGCTGTCCTGTCTTTAATGTGCCGGGTCTTTATAACTATTCCCCAGGGTGTGACGTCAGCATCGGCCCGTTGACTCGGGGAACCGGTCTGACATGGCAAAATACCCGATTAAGCGCGACCACATTGCCCTGTATGGGCAGATACAGGTAGTATGATACCTGCCAGATGGCGCATGATAGTATGATGTTTATCTGTTAATTCTCTGAAGACATTGTCCTGGAATAGTCAAGAGACATGAGTTCACTGGAATTTCCCGATTCCCTGTGATTTCGGTACCGAGAAGATCTGCCCAATTAAAACGGGTAAGCGCAGGTCCGGAGACCCCGCGACGGGTGGGTTGTTGCCCCGCCATGCGACATCTTTGTCGTTTGTTCTAGTTCAAATCTTTTTCTCTTTCCTTTCCATTGCATGCTTCCCCTCTAGCTGCATATGGTAGTTTCGATATCATACAGAACTCGTCGCAATGGTTGAAAGCATTCTCGACGACATCTCCCACCGGAGATTCAATCCCCTCCGGGGCTCCTATGTCTTGGTTTCTCCCCATCGCACCAAGCGTCCTTGGCAGTAGGTTACATCCTTTTTTTTTTTTTTTGGTTTTTTTTTTTTTTTTTTTTTTTTTTTTTTTTTGGTTTGTTTGTTTGTTTTTCATTTTTTTTTTTTAGAGTTCGGAATCATGCGGGATGCCGCCAGTAGAAACCCTCCAAGCATGTGACAAGACACCAGGCTGAGACATCAGTAAACAGAGGAGCACAAGAGACCCCGTCGAAGACAACTCTGCCCACTTACGATCCCGCGTGCTACTTGTGTCCTGGAAATAAGCGTGCGCAAGGAGATACCAACCCCAAGTACGAGAAAACCTTTGTTTTTGTAAATGACTACAGCGCAGTCAAAGAGGAGCAGGCGCCGTACAATCCTGCTGAAAAGATCGATGGTATGTTCTCACTCTCCATCAACTGAGGATCTGCAATCTAATCTGGCTATAGACTTGGAGTCATTTTTCCTGCAGGCGGACCCTGTAACTGGCAAATGCTATGTGCTCACTTTTTCTGCGGCGCATAATCTCACCTTGGCGGATCTGATGCCCGCAGAAATCGCCCCCGTCATTGACGCATGGACCGAAATTTACACGGCTCACCTCTCCCCAAAATCGCCCCTCGCCGCTGTTGCGCCTCTGACGACTTTGTCTCTTAACTCCGTGATGGCGGAGCTGTCCAAACCCAAGGAGCAATACCGATATATGCAGATCTTTGAAAACAAGGGATCGGCTATGGGATGCTCGAACCCCCATCCGCACGGCCAGGTCTGGACCACAAGTTCGCTGCCCGAGGAACCGGCAATGGAATTGGAGCAGCTGAAGAAGTACCGCAAAGAGCGTGGAGGCAAGCACATGCTGGAGGATTATGCGGCCCTGGAAAGCGAGAGGAAGGAGCGAGTGGTGTTCGAGAATGAGGCTTTTTTGGTGGTCTGTCCCTGGTGGGCTATCTGGCCGTTCGAGACGATGATTGTCAGCAAGAAACACAAGCGGGCGCTGGTTGACTTGAATGCGGACGAGAAAGGACAATTGGCGGAGGCCATTGCGGAGATCACACGACGGTATGACAATTTGTTCGAGACGCACTTCCCTTACAGCATGGGTATCCACCAGGCGCCGCTCGAGGGCACCGAAGAAGAGATTGAGTCGTCGTATCTGCATCTGCATTTTTATCCTCCGCTGCTGCGCAGCGCCTCGGTGAGGAAATTTTTGGTTGGGTAAGTCCCCCCCCAATGTTTTATCACTTTTCGGTGGTTACCATGCAAGATACTAATTATCATAGGTATGAAATGATGGGTGAGCCCCAGCGTGACATCACCTCGGAACAAGCTGCCGCAAGACTACGGGGATGCGGAGGAGAGCTGTATAGAAAGAAGATGGACAGTTGAACCAGACGGCAGTGTAACGTGAGGTAGTATGATGTGTACCCTCAGCAGACATTACGTGGAAGCAATAACGAAGTGTATTCCGATACCCTGGCCATTAAATATTAAGAGTTTGTCAAACAATAAAACCTTCTCCTTTTCCCCATTGGGACAAACTGCCCATTCAAGCAGAGAGATAGCTCTCCCTCTGCGTCAACATCCAAGCTAAAGTGGACGAGGCAACAATCAAGGGACTAACAAAGCGACCCTTAAGCTCGGCCGTCCCGAAACCCAGCCACTCGCCGACAAAATGCAGCAAGGCAATGCCGAAGGTCCACGCCGCCAGGTCATATGATACGGGGTTGGTGATATTGTAGGCCGCGTACATTCGAACCACGGCGGAGACAAAAGTCCAGGTACCGAAGGTGCGGGAAGAGAGAGGGTTGGTGTGGCTCTGGCCGGAGGAAGTTCTAGCATTGTACAGTTGTGCGGAATATGCGTCTGACTTATAGGCTTGCAAGCTGTTGACCGCAGAGACTACAGAGACCTGGATTAAGACATCTTAAGTTAGGATCTCCTTCAAGCGATGAATGCAAGAAACTTACCAGGAGGAGCCATTTGGGGAGGTAGCCGTCGAAGGGAGGGATATAGGACCTAAAGTCGAGCAGACCGGTCTGAATACCAACCATTGTGACTTTTTCGAAGAAGAATATCGGTAAGATAAAGCCGGAATCTGGCAGACGTGACGTTGAGACCTTGGGAGAATCAGCGATGAAGAGAAGATCAACAAGTTGTTGATTTGCTGTTGGGCCGAGGTCCGTTCTTGGCACAACCTCCTCAACTCTTCACCCCGAATTGCTCCGCGTTTCTGCCGCCTCAAAACTTCCACCACTTCCTCAATCACGCATTCGGTCGGAGACATAGGTGATGAGCATGGATTTCCTGACGAAACATATGTCTTGTCTGTCGAACTGGCAGCTAAATGTTGCCCCCGGATGGCAGACGGTCGGCGCTTCCGTGCTCCTTGCTGCCGGGAGCTTGTTTGTCGTCTCCAGGGTGCTCGTCTTTGCCAGAGTTATTCTAAGTCTGTTTGTGCTGCCTGGGAAGCCGGTAAGTGCGCACACAGAGGACTCGGTTGGAGATGCCGTGCGCGTCGAGTTGACCATTGTTTGTTGTAGCTCCGTTCGTTTGGCCCCAAAAGTAGCTGGGCCGTGGTTACAGGTGCCTCTGATGGACTGGGCAAGGAATTTTCTCTCCAGCTTGCCCGTGCTGGCTACAACATTGTTCTTGTTTCCCGGACTGCCTCGAAGCTGACCACCCTTGGCGATGAGATCACCTCGAAGTACCCTACCGTGCAGACCAAGACCCTGGCGATGGACTATGCTCGCAATCAGGATAGTGATTACGACAAGCTGAAGGAACTGGTGGATGAGCTGGACGTGGCTGTGCTGGTGAACAATGTCGGAAAGAGTCACGATATCCCCACTCCGTTCGCATTGACCCCCGAGGACGAGTTGACGGACATCGTGACCATCAACTGTTTGGGTACTCTGCGTACCACCCAGTTGATTGTACCTGGAATGATTCAGCGCAAGCGAGGGTTGATCCTGACGATGGGATCATTCGGTGGTCTGCTCCCAACGCCCCTTCTTGCGACCTACTCCGGCAGCAAGGCCTTCCTGCAGCAGTGGTCGACCTCGCTTGGCTCGGAGCTCGAACAGCATGGTATCACGGTTGAACTGGTGCAAGCTTATCTCATCACCTCCGCCATGTCCAAGGTGCGTCGGAGCAGTGCTACGATCCCCGATCCGCGATCGTTTGTGAAGTCTGTGCTGTCTAAGATCGGTCGCAATGGTGGATCCCCCACCTATGCGTACAGTTCGTCTCCGTACTGGAGCCACGGACTGATGGCTTGGTTCCTGACCTGCATTACGGGAACTATGGGCAAGTTCGTCGTGGGTCAGAACCGGGGGATGCACGAATCAATCCGGAAGCGGGCCTTGCGTAAGGCTGAGCGGGAGAAGGGCAAGAAGAGGACCTGAGCTAGTCTTGCAGATACGGAAGATGCTATCGTGGGCACACCAGAGTCTAGACTTGAGGAGTCTTATGATTGGTGTAGAGTTGGGTTTCGGTTGACGTTTCTTGCGGTACGAGTTGAACGAAGTATCGGAAGTAATACTACAAATGGAGCGTTTTATGAATCTGATATCGGGATGAGGCTACGTCAGCTAATGATCCGGCCTATATTTCCGCTTTAAGGGCGAGATTAAGATACAGATAATATTACTTGACAATCTACTCTTGCTTACCTCAGTTTCATATCCTCATACCAGCAGGCAATCCACAGTGTTGTTGGTAGAACCGTCCATGGGGTCCTATAAAACCGAAGCGACAAGAACCCAGTAGCTCCAGACACTTGGACTATAATATACTTTGATGCGTATTGAGGAAGTTGCCATAGATATACCTGTTATGCCTCTTAATTAAGACCTAATTTTTATAACTTGAAAATCACGTAGAAGCTGAAATCAATGATACGAAGATCAGTCACAGGGAGCGAAGGGCTGGAGGCAGAAGGATGGCAATAGTTCACTCGCCACGCTGTGCATATTCTGCACATAGTATGCAATCGTACGTCACGTTTTCACCTAAGACTATGAACAATGCACCGCTATGGAGGACTTATGACACATGAATGGATATCTGCATACTGGTGAGAGCTGGCATTTATTTTTATCTTATCCTATTTCTCGACTGGGCGTTTCTGAGGTCTCTCTCTACGGTTACTGACATGTAAAAATGGAAGATTATTCTGATCTGCAAATCCAAGCAGAACGCATGAAGCGGTACGGACCGTACACTATACGGTATAGGTACTGAAATAAAATCTCCTGTCTATACTTAGGATAGTGAAAATGCAAGATCATGTCACATACTCACAGCTGTGCCGATTAGCCCCGACAGTGAAGATTTTTATTCCCTAGCCACACTGATCCCGTGTCTCCATCCGGCATGCCGAATCAAAAATGCGAATATTCACCGGAGACCGAAAGGGTCAAGACTGGCAGGGCTAGTTGACCGGTGAAGTTCCGAGCTGGATCGGACTATAAGCATGGTGAGACATGGTTTGAGGGTAGAAACATTCCATTGTTGGTGAACCCTGCAGAGAATTGGCTAATCAAATTTATTTCAGATACGAAGAAAAAATTAAAAACAAAAAAAAAAAATTTTCAGAGTGGATCACTACGGGTACTAACGCCACCGGTGAGCTCCAAACGGGAAAGTTAGAGTTTTCCCACTAGTGCTAGAGCCTGCATAATGCCCGAATCGGTATACCGATGGTCTGACGATCCCGATTCCGACTCGGAGAGCCGAACTTTTGGCCCAGCGACTGGTGTCTCTACGGATTACCTGCCCCGACAGGATTCTATAAAGTATCATTCATCGCATCTGAGTTCCTCTCGCTTCTTTCGAGAGTTTGGCTTTCATGGGGAGGTGAAAAGTAGTCTGTACCCCATGGATTTTTTTTTTAGGTGTGTTGTTCTCTGCCGGTGCCTTGAGATCACCAACTGATATAGTTTTCTGGTCGGATCCACTTGGACGATCTACCTGCGGAACGCTTTTTTTTTTTTTTTTTTCTCAGGAGAAAGCCGGAAGAAGAAGAGGCTCTGACAAAGAAAAAAGAAAAAAAAAGAGGAGACAGGAAATCGAGGGGATCTCGCAAAGGTTCTCTCTTCCGGAAAGTAACACCGCAAATTCTCCGTTGCTGAGAAGCTGTAAAGTGGCAAATTCAAGGAGATGCACGTGCTTTTGTTCATGTCAATTGATAGTCAGTATAGTGATGCATAGCAGAAAGTATAGACATAATAATAGATCCGCTCAGCTGAAACAATTGCGAAAAAGACAATTCCTTGGTCTGTCAAAGTGTCTCCAGTACCCTGTCCACTTATATAGTGAGGATAGTTGCCTGAATCGTCAACTTTCACGACTTCGCGACATCACGGCGACATCATCCGTTTCTCTCTCTCTCTCTCGGCTGTCTACTCCACCATCTCCCCACTCCAAGACCTTCTGTCGAAGACTGAAGGAATGCACTCCAGTCTTTGGCATCCGACTAACCCGTGGGATCTGGGCCCCCATTTTTCCTGCCATGGTCCTCCCCAATGATGGGGTTCTTACTGCCAAAGATGGATTTATTAACGTGGTTAGAATTTAGAATTCTCCGATTTTGACGACGAGTTTCCCCAATTAAATAACGCCTTGGTTAGATAAATATCGCTCCGCCCCTCGACATCTCCGGGGTTCCTTCCTCCCCATCCCTTCTCTCTTATTCTTCCTTCCCCATCTTCTCCTCTCCTTTCCCCTCCCACTTCCCCATATCGTAGGATTCATTTGTCGCGAATCCAAACGGCATCATGGGTCTCGCCAATATGATGGACCGCTTGAAGCCCCAGACCGCGTCGCAGGCGAATTCCGAGGCACCTACTCCTGCCAGAACCGACTCGACTATTGAAAAAGACAACATCACGATCGACGATACTCCTGTGCAGTATCTGACATGGCGGTCTTTCATCCTTGGTATTGTCGTCTCCATGGGTGGCTTTATCTTCGGTTACTCGACCGGTCAAATCGCCGGTTTCACTACTATGGACGATTTCAAGTCGCGGTTTGCTGAGCGTCAGTTAAATGGGACGTACAAATTCAGCAATGTTCGGAATGGTCTGATTGTCGGTTTGGTAAGCTCATCCTCTTTGCCCTTGCTCCCTATCTAAGTATCCCAACTAACTCTTCACCAAGCTGTGTATTGGTACCATGATTGGTGCTCTCGTGGCCGCCCCTATTGCCGATCGGATGGGCCGCAAGTTTTCTATCACGCTCTGGTCCTTGATTCACATTGTTGGCATCATCGTTCAGATCGCAACCGACGACAAATGGTATCAGGTGGCTCTAGGTCGTTGGGTGGCTGGTTTAGGAGTTGGAGCACTTTCCAGCATAGTCCCCATGTACCAGAGTGAATCGTCTCCTCGCCAGGTCCGTGGTGCCATGGTCAGCGCCTTCCAGCTGTTCGTAGCCTTCGGCATCTTCATCTCCTACCTCATTAACTTCGGGACCGAGTCTATCAAATCCACCGCCTCCTGGCGCATCACCATGGGTATCGGCTTTGCTTGGCCCTTGATCCTGGCTGTCGGATCCCTTTTCCTCCCCGAGTCCCCCCGATACGCCTATCGCAACGGTCGCATCGACGAAGCCCGCGGCGTCATGTGCAAGCTCTACGGCGTGGGTCCTAACCACCGCTGCATTGTCCAGGAGATGAAGGAAATGAAGGAGAAGCACGAGGAGGAGATAAATGCTGGAAAGGCAGCGTGGCACGAAATCTTCACAGGTCCCCGTATGTTCTACCGCACCATGCTGGGCATTGCGTTGCAGTCGTTGCAGCAGCTCACGGGTGCCAACTTTATCTTCTACTACGGCAACAGCATCTTTACCTCCACCGGTTTGAACAACAGCTACGTCACTCAGATCATTCTGGGTGCCGTTAACTTCGGCATGACGCTTCCCGGTCTGTACGTGGTCGAGCACTTCGGCCGTCGTAAGAGTCTGATGGTCGGTGGCGGGTGGATGTTCATCTGCTTTATGATCTGGGCTTCCGTCGGCCATTTCGCCCTCGACTTAGACGACCCTTCCAACACTCCCAAGGCCGGATCAGCTATGATTGTCTTCACCTGCTTCTTTATCGTCGGCTTCGCGACCACCTGGGGGCCAGTGACATGGAGTCTGTGCGCAGAAATCTATCCCATTCGGCATCGCGCGGTTTGCATCGGAATTGCAACCGCAGCCAATTGGACCTGGAACTTCCTGATTTCCTTTTTCACTCCGTTTATCTCGAGTTCCATTGACTTTGCATATGGCTACGTGTTTGCCTCATGCTGTTTTATAGCTGTTTTCGTCGTGTACTTCTTTGTTTTGGAGACCAAGGGTCGTACGCTGGAGGAGGTCGACACTATGTACGTCCTCCAGGTTACTCCCTGGAAGAGCAGCACCTGGGTCCCTCCCGAGGGTGTGGTTCAAGATATGCATAGGACTTCTGATAATGAGAAGCGCGATAGTCGGGTGGAGCATAAAGACGAGCCCACGGAGATCGTGGAATAGATGTACATAATTAGTCGATGATACCATTCGTTTATATCCTATGCTTCGAGTACTTCCAGTCCGCTTTATTTATTCACTCCAGATCCTTCTTCTATCTAGGCTCACAGGGGCTGGGCCATTCTATTTACATATGCACCTCGCGTTAAGTCACATTCAGTCTCTATTTGTCTACTCCCAAGCCTAGGATTTTTTTTTTTCTCGTGGCTCAGTTGTAGACGGGCCATCTACAGGTTTCCAAATTGTATGGCTCATATCCCCCGGTAGATCCGAATCGACCTGGACAGTTTCTGATTCACGCGGATTCCGTGTCAAAGCTGGATAATCCCAGTCTCCCAAGTTGACTCGGGCGGTCTCTCCAAAAGCCTGCCCGAGCCTGTATAAGTTCTCGGTAATTTGCCATGTTCTTCCACATTGAATTCTCTCGCCAGATCATGGATCTCCGGACTGTTGGCAATAGTGTCAAAAAGGTAATTGGTTTGCGTCTTTGGTTGTTTAAAGGTTTCCTTGCACCATTTTACGGCCTTGGGGAGGCCCCATGCACCCCTAGACCGGTGTAAAAAGAGGGAAACGCCCCATTCTGTCATATCCCTTTGCTCGACCTTTTCCACGATCGAGGCCACAGAAAGGATGTGCACAAAGGCTGAGGCGGTTTCTTGGGCTTTATGTCCTCATCGTCAGACCAGTCGGACTCGTCATCATACTCAACCTTTTTGGAGTCGTTTTTGGGCTGCATTTGACGAGAAAATCCACCTCCTCGATTACAGTTCACATCATCTGCCTTTTCGCCTTTACTGGTGGTGTCTGTGACTTCATTCTTAAGAGATTTGGATCCCCCCGCAGCTTCTTCGGTCTTGCCAATAGCCTCAGCTGCTTTGGAGCCTTCCACTCCAGCCTTCACAGTTTCTCCAGCCTCTCCGACTCCAGGAAGGGTTAAAAGTAGATCAATAATTGTTGGATGTCTTGCCATATTAACCCCTAACCCTAGGATAAAGAAGGGATCCTGAGTAGTTATTTCAGACCATCCTTGACGCAGCCCTGAATCTTCTGCTGTGTAATTCCAGCGGCCAGATGTTCAGAGAGTCAATAGTCTACCTTTCCAAATGTTGCTATGCATTCTCCTATCACCGGAATATCTTCGAGGCTGGTATTCAGAAATTCTCGTCTTTCACAAATACCAGGATTCTTTAGAAGTAGACTGCAGGCGATTCTTTTCGGTTTCAGTATTGAACTTAGCATAAATGTTTATATAAGAACGGAAGAGCGTTTTGTAAGCGCGTTCTATCTCGTCTTTTGTTTCTTAAAGCTGATTTACACCCTGTAGCGCGCCTTGATACGCCCCAGGATCTCCAAGAGTTTCTCTTCGTGGATTTGCCTCGGCTTCGACTTCGCTATCAATATGGGTGAGGCGTGATCCTAGGGACTCGTGGTCATTTGGGAGATATTCGTTGACGCTGTTGGACAATATCAGACCTGTGATAGTCCCGGTCTCGATGTTTGGACAGCGTTCGTAGCGCCTGCGACATTGTTGTAGTGACCTCTGGGATGCATTTCAGCGGATGTCTCCCACGTTGCCGGTGGACCATGGAGGGTATGTAAAGCTGAGCAGCGAGCAAATAATAATAGAAGCAGAAGCTAGTGAGCAGACGATTCAGAAACGACATGAGGGACAGATAGTGCAAGGTATGTGTAGGTGAACTCCGGACGCTGGCAATTCCCCATGGCCTCTTCATGGGAAGCCTCGGCTGCCATCACTGCTTCCTGGAACCTGTCAAGAAGGATGCCAGCCGAGCATGCAACTCACGGTAGTAAGCGATACGGATAAAATCATCAGCGGACTAAGACAGCTGCATATGCGGCACCAATTTCGCCCGATGAACTACCAGTGACAGCTTTCAATTGGATTCCTGCAGCGCGGAGAATTTCGACTAGCATAACCTGGACTGCCAGACATAGTGGCTGCGAGACAGCAGCCTCGGTGATACGAGATATGTAGTTACCAGCAACCAACTGTTCTTTGATGGTCCACGAAGGACGATTCTTCTCAGGCAGTGTTTGAAGGACTATGTCAAGCCGGTCAATTTTTCATTGAACAAAGGCGGATGATTCGTATAAAGACGCATCCATGCGCGGCCATTGTGCTCTTTGGCTGGTGAATACCCCAAGGATAGTGGGGAGAGAAAAATTAGAGCGATGGGTACTGATATCCGTACTGTTGGATGTTTCACTAGCGAGCTTCTGATGTTCAATTGTACTACCTGCTGGGATGGGTATATAGTATGGAAGTGTTGAACGGCGAGAACGTTAGAGGCGTATAAGGCCCAGTAGCGTTAGAATCGATTGGCTTTATAATCGGCTCATAACGTTCGACGATGGCATGAGAGTTAGTGCCACCAAATCCTGCTCAGTTGAATTAACCTTTGCCTGGTAACAACGGATGCGGCCGCTGGGGGGTTCTTACCAAGACTGTTTATGCTAGCACCTTGGACCTGGCCAGGAGCCAACATGGGCCAGGGGGTGGGTGCCGTAGGGATTTCTAAATGGCTGTAGAAGGGAGCAACCTTCAGATTTAGTTTATGGGAATGTAAATTGGACGGTATAACGCAATTTTGCAGAGCTAATTAGAACTTGGTTGGTCTTTTATCATTTTCTTCCTCCTTTTTGTCTTTTCTTTTCATCTCTCTGGGAGGCAAATACGACACAATACTAATCAAGTTAGGTTATTAGGCCAGTTATCAGAGGCTTTGTGTCCGAGCACAAAAGCTGGAGATGGACATTCTGGATTGTGACAATTCTGGTAACTTATCTTTCTTCCTGCTGACGCAATAGAACTATTTCTAACCGACCAATCCGTTAGATAGAGTGGTGTAGCATCGATTAGAACACTGATCTTCATGTGTGAAGCTAACCCATCTATACTACTAGAGCACAAGTCAGAAAGGCTCCGTCACAAGCCAATACCCTAACATCCAGCCAAAACTCGATCAAAACCTCAGCAAGGAGCAGATCCTTCCTAGTTCCTTGATCCGTCCCACAAGGTTACTGATCCTCTCTCCCATGGTCAGCATCTCAGTCTATTTTGGGCTCATCTTCGACCTGCTATACTTGCTTTTGCGACCTTCACCCAGGTGTTTGAAGAGGAATACGGGTTCAGAACCGGTACCTCTGGTCTGGCCTATTTGGGTCTGGGAGTTGGGGAGTTGATTGGGCTCTTCGATTTTGGAGCCTTGAGTGATCGCATATCGCAGGCGCGATGGCTGCGGACAAGAACCCCCAGCGAAAGCCGGAACATCGTCTTATTCTCATGATGTGGTTTCCCCCGTTATCCCAGCGGGATTCTTTATCTACGGCTGGACAATGTATTACGGAGAGCGCTGGATGGCCCCAATTACTGGGTCGTTCAGTATAAGTTTTGGCTCTTTCTTCGTTGCCATAATAGGACTCCACCAAGTCTTTTAATTATGAAGCCTCTCGCGTCTGTCCTGTCGCTGACTTGTCATATCATAGATGCCGTCACAGCTGTAACTTGTGGACCTGTTTGGCTCCGCAGCTGCCGCGTCTCCTCTTGGATCTTGGATTCTCCTGCGCTCAATATGCGGTGCATCCCTGCCCCTTGTAGGTACAAGTATTTTATGGTTCTCTCAATTACGGCTGGGGGAATTCACTGCTAGGGTTTTTGTCGCTGGCATTTTCGCCTGTGCTCTTTATCCTGTACTGGTATGGGATTGGGTGTGAAATCTTACAACGGTGAAACTGTAACAAATGTACATGTTAAAACTAGTGTCTGATGGAGGCTATACTGTCAAAAGCAGGACCATTTGTGCTCTGAAGATATTGCTAAGTCGCTAGAGACACCAGGCCGTGAAATTGGAGAGAATAGACCCTGCAACAGGCCTCCGTCATGTAGACTTCAATAATCACAATAAAGGAGGGGAAGACAAAAAAAGGGGGTGTATACAAATGCGGCTTAGAATCTTGTTGCATAGTACACCGGTGGTGCCTTGTAAGCACATGGAATTAGTGAGAGGCATGTCATGTGAGCAGGTGGATATTTCAAACTTCTTAGAGCGATGTAAATTTGGTAAGTATAAAACCAACAACCTTGTAACCAAGGGCAAGAATATTTTTATGGACAGCTACACAGGCAGGAGTCCTGTACTCTGGTTGGCCATGTCAGTCCGCCGTAGTACACTTGTTTACCTATCTGACCTGCAGCCGCCTCTGCTTAGCGAGCAGTTGCTCCATCAACTATTCCCCCTTTATTTTGTGGGCGTACCCATACACCCCCTCCAGCACGTTACTCGGTCGCAGGCCACAAATTCAGTCAGGATGGCCCCTATTACTCGCTCACAGGCCAAAAGGATGAACCCTACATCACTTGCGAACCTTCCAACAGATACTTTGCAACTGATTTTTGGCTGGTTTTGCTTGCACTGCCGCGGAAAGTATTTTCTGTCAATTCAGCCACATGCATACCTGCGCGGCGCTCAGCAGCACGATGACAAGCTATCCTGGTACTACCTGGAACGTCATGCGCTATTCTCACTATGTTTAGTCTCCAGGCGTTTTTGCAGCATTGCTCAGACTATTTTATACCATGAGTTTGTCCTTGGATACGGTGACTTGTGGCTTTCTAGACTTACTTCTTTTATGCGGGTGGTGACACAGCGACAAAACCTGGCCGCACTTGTAAAGAGGATTTATATCCACCCATACTTGGTGGGATTTATCAGCAAAACGGAGGCCCAGGACACGCTTAGGAAAGCTGCGCATGCACTGAGAATTAAGTCAAGTGGTGATCTAGTTACCATGTTACTTGCTGCATTGCCTAACCTAGAACACTGTAGCCTTCAAGTCCACACGTCTCCAACTGAAAGGCTTTACTTGTCAAATTTATACGCAGCCGACATTTCGCGCCTACCTCTTAAGACGATTGATATTTCTCTGTATGCCTCAGCAAGTCGGTCATGCTATTACCTGCTTAGACTGGACATGCAAGTACTTACTATTTTAAAATTATCTACATACCTAGAGACGCTTAATCTCCACATGTGCGGTGGTATTAAGTGTTAGGATTTGTTTCCTTTCCTGCTAAATCTTAAGACCCTTCGTATTACTTACAGCAGACTTAGTGATAGAGATCTTAAAGGCCTTTTTTTTTCTTGCAACAGTCTGCACACTTTTGTGTACGAGGCTATTGGTTATCCTATGCAAACCAGACAACGTTGCCCTATGTTTAATGGCAGAGATCACTTCCAGCCATCTAATGCTGTGAAATATCTCAGCCGCCACTGCGTAACCCTAAAATCGCTGCACCTCGACCTTCGACTGCGGGATTGGTCTACTAGGACTAATAGTGAAAATATCTTTAGCTTTCAAGACTTTACTGCGCTGGAACACTTGTTTTTTAACCCAAGCGAGTTATACAGGTGGCCATTAGCAGGTTCGCCTACAGATTCCCGGCTCCTGGTCCAGCTTCTTCCCCCTAACATCGTATCACTATATCTTGCTGGTCCTATCAGCCATGCCCTTCCACCTTGGTAAAAGCCTGCTCAGCCTTGTGGACTCCGTATCACAGGGGCAATTCCCCAGCCTGAAGCAGGTTAGATGCGACGCGGAACAAAGACTAGATAATAAGTATAACATGAGCACTATATTCGCGGCCGCCGGGATTAGTTTTGGTTACAACAGTTGGCCACAAAGCAAGGCTACACTTAAAAAAAGTGACGAGCGATCACTTTATTCACTTTCGGAGCAATATATTTTCGATAACCATAACAACGAATCTTTGGTGCCATTGCCGTTACCATCAGAGGAGGATTATGAGGATCTTTAGGAATTTTGGCTTTTCCTGGAAACACGGTGAGACATGGGACGAGGGAACTAAATTAATAACTGGTATATTTAAGATTTAGGTAGTGGAAGCCTGAGTAGATCACGAGCATTTTGAGTGACCCGGTCTTCTGAAATTGGACGAAATTGGCCGTCCTAAATGATAACGAGTCTGCAATTTGTTGTCGTGAACGAAGAGTCCCAACACTTCTATTAAAAACTAAGACTTATAACTCTCTAAATATATGATAATCAACCTAGCAGCAGCTTGTGCTCCATATATTAATACACATAGGCCAGTTGTCATGTCCCATATGCACGGTATGTCACCGTATACAAACAACCACCTTTCGGGTCAACAAGAGGCAGCTGAGGACAGAACAATGGCACGCTTACTCTGATTTATAAATTGCATGCGTCCATACAAATCGGGCAACTAATATTTAGATTAGATAAATCGAACAGACTGTACTTTGAATAATATTTAGTGCCAGGTGGCACGGGTTATTTTCCACGTCGTGCATTGAATGAGCTATAAAAAAAAAGAAAATGTAAAGAAAACCATTGTTAAATAATCTGTGGCCAAAGAAACACAAGCGATCTGTCAAGGTTGAACCCAATGTATTGCTCAGGCATGGCCTTCGCTCCTATATAGGGCGCTAGATGCGACTGATCTCCGATCGGTCGTCTTGTACCTTTTTATATGGTCAAGTGGTTTTATCTCTACTAGCGCAGAGACAACCAAACCATCACACGATCTATCCTATTTATTAAAATATATCAGTGGTGCGTTGTAGCTTTCTCATCCTAAACATATTATTTTTCCTGTCCATCAGGACAACGTCGAACTCAGTTACTAGACTGCTGTTAAGGAGTAAATTAGTCTGTCTGGCTTGTCTTGGTCGACCGGACCTTCGAGTTTGCCGTGTCTCTGGTACCCGTATATCAACAGTAATTTAATCACATCGTTGAAGGGCGGTACATCTTTTGAGGATACTATGGTTTGGAAGATCCTCCATGTCCCAGTTAGATAGGTCCACTTGATAGTTCCGCCCTCTAATGCAGTAAAGTTTCACTTTTGTTAGGCTCCAGCTTTCTTTATCAGCATAGAACCACCTGCGTATTGGGACAGCATTACCTCGCGGTCCACACCATACAAGATTCATCTTCTCAATGAGATAATCTATATCGTGGATGAACTCTGGCTGCTAAAGACTCTGCTGTCTGGAGCTCGCATCGCAGCAGTCTCGTTCAGCTATCCAGTTCTATAAATTGTAGAACCAAAGAGCATCTCCTCCGCTACCGCGAAGGAGCCGCGGTCATCGACCAAATCTCCATCTGAAATAAGGCTATCTTCGCTTAATTGCTCGAGTTTGAGTGTCTCTGGCACGAGTGTCACCGCTGGAGACGCTGAGGGTGACAGTGGAAGAGACGTATTGGCTGGTGAAAGCTTGTTCGCTAGCCCCACCCGAAGAGCCAGCCATCGTTGGTAGAAAACAACTACCCGGACCATGTAATGAGATTCCACTGCCCTTAAATCTGGCAGCTCTTTTTCGCGTATAATTAGGAATTACACTTTTAAGCAGTGGACCTTGTGATTGAAAATATTATCTTTCCCTCCCTTGCTACCTGCTGCACAGGATACGTATGTCGAAATGCTAAGGGCGCTAACCCCATTTGGAGGAGGGGGCCAACAAAAGGGGAGGGCCAAATAACAAAGAGAGGGCCAAAAAATATATCGTTCCAATATTGGCAGCGTATGTCAAGAACAGGTTACCATGCTTAATTTGCATAAGACACTTAAGGCGCAGCTTTTAATTGACCACTCAGCTCAGCCTGATTTCAGATCCGGTCCTTGTCATAGAGCGGCTCTTGCGGACCCCAAAATAAAAAGGAGCACCAAAAATGTCTCCTTGTCTGACGGTCATATGGCCAGGCACAGCTCGTGTCTCAGTCAATTGAGATATACCTGTTGCTCTCTTCGTTGCCAGTGAATAGCGTGTCCAGAACCGGCTTAATTCCGAGCCCGAAGTTTCGTAGCGGATATACTGGGGATTACAGACCATCGGCTCATTTTATCTATATCCGCATCTCCGAGCCAACTGCATCCCCTGAAGGGTATGCGCAACATTAATCTATTCGACAAAACAATGGGTATAACCGACGATTCAGCTTCTGGAAAAGATCAGGTTCTATCTCCCTGGCAGATTGAAGCTCTGATTGCCAAGGGTCAGTCGATAGTCATAGTGGACCAGAAGGTGCTTCGTGTCGACACATGGCTCCCTTACCACCCCGGCGGCCACAAGCCCATCCAACATTTCATTGGGAAGGATGCGACAAATGAGTTCATGGTGTACGTGATTACACTCATGCGGGCTTGACGATGGCTAATTAGAGTAGGATGCATTCAGCCGAAACTCGCCAGCAGATCGACCGCTACCAGATTGGAAGGATTAAAGGACGGTGGCGTAACTTCGTCCCTCCCATTCAGGGAGGCCAAATTTGGGAAAAAGGGGAGAAGACACCTCAAACTGATGTCGATGGCTTGAATAATATCCACGAGCACCATGCCTGTCTCGAAGGTCTTCCCCAGCTATCACACGAGCGCAACACCCCCGAAGAGCTAGCCTTCCTGAACGCCCAAACCAAAGAGGAAATTAGCTTGACCTTAGATCAATATCCCCCCCTGGACACGCCTACACAGTCCAATATCATCGAGAAATACCGTCTTCTGTACGAGCAGATTCACTCAGAAGGGCTCTACGAATGTCACTATACCGCTTATCTCTGGGAACTCGGCCGCTGCGGACTTCTCTTTGCCATTATGCTATTCTTTCTGCACATTGAATGGTACTGCATCAGCGCAATCTTCCTAGGGTGGTTCTGGTCGCAGTTGGTCTTTTCTGCTCATGATGCAGCCCACATGGCCATTACGCACGACTTTTTTATCGACAACCTCATCGGAATGATCATCGCCGCCCCCATCGGTGGACTATCATTGGGATGGTGGAAGCGTACGCACAACGTCCATCATCTCGTCACTAACTCGCCCGAACACGACCCGGACAACCAACATCTCCCTTTCCTGGCCGTCAACCACCGGTTTCTAGGGAGTCTCTTCTCCACCTACCACGAGCGCCTGATGCCTTACACAGCCCTCGCCAAGCGGCTCGTCCCCTACCAGGCGTACCTCTACTACCCCCTTCTGATGTTTGGGCGCTTCAACCTCTACGTTCAATCGTGGCTGTACCTCGCCTATGGCCAAGGACCCCGCAAGGGCCTGGCGTGGTGGCACCGCTATTTTGAGATTGTGGGCAATCTCATCTTCTGGGCTTGGTTCGGGTACGGGATCGTCTACCGTTCCCTCCCCACGGCTGGGATTCGGTTCCTGTATGTGCTGATCAGCCATGCGGTGACCATGCCGCTGCATGTACAGTTTACTCTCTCACACTTTGCCATGTCGACTGCAGATCTGGGCCCGGGGGAGTCGTTCCCGCAGCGTATGCTCCGCACGACGATGGATGTGGACTGTCCGGAGTGGTTGGACTGGGTGCATGGGGGACTGCAGTTCCAGGCTATCCACCATCTGTTTCCGCGGGTGCCCAGGCATAATCTGCGGCGGGTGCAGAAGTTGGTGTTGGCGTTCTGCCGGGAGGTGGGCATTCCATATGCCTTATACGGGTTTGTGGGGGGCAATCGGAAGGTGGTGGGCAGTTTGGCCGAGGTGGGAAGACAAGCGGCGATATTGGGTGAATGTAGGAGGGTCGTGGCCGGTAGAATTAGGCGACCGCATAGACATTAAGAGCTTTGGTAGTCAGGTGGATTCGGGGCTCTGATGTAGACTCCGATCTGAAGGGTTGATGCCGTGTCCCACCAAGTCATCCCCATCACGACAAACCGCCTACCTTTCCACAACATAGCAACAATACTAACCAACTCAAGGGCCCTCACAAAATGGTACATTTGGTAACTACATATCAAGTCAAAACAGTCACTGACCGCATATCCTGAACGGCTCGCCATGTTTCACAACCCGCCTTGTTCAGCACCGATCCCATCCTCAGGCTCGTTGCACACCTCCCGCATAAAATCTCCCTCAGCCCAGCCGCTCTCTCTCGAATCTCTGCCGATCCTGATTAGATTCTCCCCCATTCACCTACTACAAGTAGCCACTGCCATGCTGAAAAGAGTTTGAGATTTTTGTTCTTGGGTCTCCGTCGATGAAGTTTCTAACATGATATTGGCCTGGCCCGCGTCCGTTTGCTCGTCTGCACTAGCTTTTACTTCTTTAATTTCCGGGGAATTGTCAACACGGAGGATCTCCGGCACAGGTGAGACTTTAGTCTCTAAAGAATACCCGCAGCATTCGGGTTCCCTGGGTTCATTCGCATCCCTGAGGTCTGATTTTTGTCCACCTAATACAATTAAGGAATATTATCTACTTGCAGTATTCCTGGATCGATTAGTAAAAGGTCTGGGCTCGTGTTGGGCGTTGAAGTTCCTGATCCAGAGCTTGTAGTAAGGTCATGAAGTGGGGACGAGTCGGAGGCACAAAGAGTTGAGTCATCCTGGTGAGAAGAGTTAGTATCATTAAAGAGCTAATTATATACCCTAGAGCTGACTCCTCCGCTGTAAGATACGACTAGTTCTTTTCAGCATGATGACTCCAACTTTTAATATTTAACGAGTTTGGAGACTCCCATTGGACTAGTTACCTGAAAATCACCATGACCAACTCGCCTTCTTTTCTGCCCCTTTCGCCCAACACGCGGCTGTCGTCGCTTCGTTTCGGTACAGGCGGATACATCGCCTTGAGCCGAATCTTATCCCAGACTGCTTTATGTAGTCCAAGTGTATCACTTAAATCATAACAACGTTGAATCTTAGATTCGAACTTGCTTTGGCACATCGGGTGAAACAAATGGACTATCTGCCCGTCCTTTTTATATTTTTGTTAACATGAGCTCTTAATTCATTGTTCCGTTTCCAGACATTTATACGCTGCGAAGGGGAGAACGCTCTCCGTGCCGAGGCATAAAGGACAATATCCCGGGTGTATGTAATTATTTTATATCGCCTGGAAACATCATGTCTAAGATGGGTACTGCAGCGCTCTTCCCACCCTTTCACGAACGTCAAGAAATTTGTAGCAGTACTTCAGCTGGGTCTTTTTACAAACCAAGGTTCAGCAGCTTTTCTTGATTCAGCATTCTTGAGCATGATTCGACCGCCCTGAGATAGTTTATATTGTCAGCCGCAGATATCAATTGATTTGACACTTATTATACCACTCTAGTGTCAATGGCGCAAATGTATACTTTCTACTGGAAGCTGGATTAGCGATGTCGATATCAATAACTTGTAGAGAAATTGGAATAGGGATCCAAGCTCTCCGAGGGCTGTTTTTCTGGTTCCGGCGGCGGATATCCCCTCTAGATCTGTATCTAAGATGCCCCTATTGTGTGTCGCACTTGGCGCGGTTTGACTTGCATTCTTGCGGGGGCTGGCGGCTGTGAAAATAAAAGGCCTAGTGGTGTGACGACACCTTTGGCTCTGCACCGGCAGTATCGATCACGTTACTTGTGCTGCTAGTACATTTCATATCATACCCTTACACTCGCTTTGTTGTGCATTTCGCTATCCCCAGACCCAAAAGTGGATAAAGCTCTTCAGGGGATGAGCTGACAAACTGTACAACCAGTGCATCGACCAAAACAGTGAGGAGTAAATAGAAGAAGAACCTAAGGCATAGCTATGTTAGCGCTATATCCCGGAATCAAAATTGCGGCTTGTGACGACATAATCCTATCGAACCAACCATCACATCCAGCTCAATAGTTTGTTCATTTTTTTTATCTCAGAACCAACACTTCCTCGCCTTTTACCCAGAGCTCGCTGGCTAAGTCTTGAATAAAAACCTGTGGCTGATTATCAGGCTGATCATCTTCCTCATTATCACTAATTGGATCTAGAGTGTAGTAAGAAAGTCGTTCTGCTCTAAGCGTATCTACTATCTTTTTTTATCTGTAAGACCATTATCTTCTAAAGCAAACTCTTCCTCATTCCCAATTCCAAACTTTGAGATACAGCGGAACATTATTAGATCTTGGATAATTATGGCATTAAGAAGGCCCCGTTGGTAGTGGCAGATATCCCGAGCAGAGTTAAAAAGACACTTAACACACGCACCTATCGCAGGATTTTAGAGCACATCCCGTGAAAGACTTGCAAGTGTTGGATATTGATGCTCATGCTAGCGCCAAAACTCACAAGGAGTGATATTTACGGTTCCTATGGTAAAGAAGTTAGTATAAATGTCAAGGGCGAAACGTTAGGACCTAAAATTAGACTATGTACAAAGAGGAATCGCTCGAGAAAAGGAGGGAAAATAGAAAGGGTACAAGTAAACAAATAAGAGAGGTAAGTCGCGTACTGTGTGTTATCGCGGGCTAATAGGGACAGTAGGGACAAAGGAAAAGGAAATTAAAATATATCACTTTTAAGATATTGTTTTAGCTCTTCATGAAGAATTCCTATTCTTGATTCTCTGTAAAAGGTAGCGGAGGAATCTATTCATCAAAACGTAGTTCTATATTAGCTTTCTTCTAGCTAGAAAATAAAGCTTTTAAAGATGTTCCTGCCAGTAATAGTCTCTGTCTATATAGCTCGATATAGTTTTTCAGGCTGTCTCAGTAAGTCTTACGACATTTATAGCCTTCATCGGCCCATTCTTGCTTTAAGAAGAATAAAGATTATGCAGTGGCGCAAGAATAGTGCCAATTGCTAACATATTACCATGAACATTCAAAAGCTTTCTCCGTCCAGTTTCAAGCGCATGAAGAATTGCTGGTTTCCATGCTACCTTCATACCGCGAAGCTGAGACATCGATGCATCAGAATGGTCAAATTGGTCAAAGAGCTTGTTATACACTCTGAAGACATTATGCACAGTAACATCCTTAATTTTTGATAAACCAGTGGTCCATTTGTAAACGGGTTGTGTAATGCAAAGTAGATAATCAATCTGTTGCCATTGTGATGATCCTATACACCATGGTAAATGGATGGATTCTATCTAAGGTGGCGATCTAACGAAACATCAAACGTAGAGAAGGAAGGAAGGAAGGAAGAATTCTATCGTACAGGAAATGTGGGAAACCTCTACATTGTGGGATCAACTGTGAATAAAGCAGACTTGGTGCCTCAGGCAGGGTTCGACCTAGGCCCTGACAGCCATTCTTTTGTATGTAGCTTAAACTAAGGCTGTCCATACTCAGTACAGTATTTATTAAACACTGCTGAGGGGCGTAGCACGCGTAGCATTAAGAATGTTGAATTCCAGCGAATTTTAACATCTTGAATTAGAACAAGTCTTGGTTCCTTATTTTGAAGGCGTAGAAATGCTTCGCTCTGAGGACTAGCATTAATATAAACTGCAAGGCCATGGACCTAGATAGTGTGAGTAGAGATAAGAATAAGAGATAAACATTAAACTTTTGCAAGTGTATAGACAATCCCTTGCTACTGTTGCGTCTGGCAGAGAGACTACGCTTGGTTATCCGACCATTACTTATCAGAAGTGTCATTTTTAAGATCAGCCTTTATTAGACTAAGAAGACCCCTAGGACTTAGCTGTATAACATGGGCAAGGCAGGGAATCCGCACAACTGGTGTCTGAATTAATAAATAACCTAACTGCATTGCCTTCTAAACACTCTTACTTAATATCTGATTATTTGATGCATTATCAATAGTAATGGCCAGTACTCGATAAGCTACCTTATGCTGTTGAAGCACTTCAAGTAGCAGAGTGTGTTCCATATAAAGGCCTAAATCCAAGCAGTATTTCCTGATAGGCACAGTTATCAATAACTCTGGTAACTCTCTACTAAACTGTGGAATCCAATAGAAGCTGCTCGAGTAACAACCTGTATTATTGTTCCCTGACCTACAAAAACAAAATTACATTCAATGCAGGTGAATATTATCTTAAAGATTATTATCATTAACAAGGCAGTCTGTTACCAGGGCTATTCCCACAGTAACATATTCAGAACTTAGAGCAGTGACTTATTCTAACTTATCTATTTCTATACCCGTTCTGCATCTTTCACTGTTATGACATAGTACAGCCATATACCGTATGTCAGGGCCTAGACCGAACCTGCTTCATTCACTGTTGATCCCACAACATAGAGATTTTCCCATATTTCCTGTGCGATAGAATTCTTCTTCCCTTCTCTACACTAAATGTTTCGTTAGATCGCCATCTTAGTTATAATTCATCTATTTCACCAAGGTGTACAGGATCATCACACCGTACTGAGCCAGAGAAGAATGCCAATGCCCAAGATTTAGTTTACTTGAGAGTTGATACTTAATATTATATTACTGGCTTTGAATTGGTGTGATCTATTCTATTAAGGTATAAAAAGCTGATATAATCATAGTGTGAATTTATATCCGTCCAGGCCGGTAATGATACACAGCTAATCACTGTCGCAGAGTGACTCGAGTCCGGAACACTCGGCAATCGCAGACCTACACCTGCCGTAGTTAGAGCTATGTGACATCACTAACATACATCACGGAGCGTGGTAATGCAACAGATTCTGTGATCGGTAAGCCAAAATGAAAATTCATCTTGTATTTAACACAACATTTGAAAATGTTATCAGAATAAAAAACAATTAGTATATATAACAGCTATTACAACTCCTGGGTCCCATTTTAACTTGCGTTAAAAGTTTCCTTTCCTAAGGGTACCTTGGGAGACCACTTGTTTGGTACAGCGAGGCGGATTTGAATTTCTTTTTACTAAAATTATAAATATTTAAGGGCTATGCTAGTATTACACTTTTTAATCTTCTCACGGAGCTAGTTAAATCCTACTAGTAGATATGATGGCCTACGAAATAGAGATGGAAATGAAGCCAAATCAGCTCTATTCAGTGCCTGCTACGAGAATACTAAGCAGGGAGTGGAAAGGAAGAGGATCGAGGTAAGCAATGTGACGAACTCACCATGTAGCCTGTTTGCATTGTTTGTATCTAGCTTTGTTTATCTCCCCGCATAGTCCCCTCACCACCTTTCTTCCTCCTCCTCACGCTTGAAATTTTCGTTAGATAGCACCAATTTGATCGAGTTGCTTGGCCGTCACAAGCAATGGAGTAGATATCCCCACATACTACCACGCTCCACTGTTCCACGACCAAACATAGTAAATAGAGCAAACAGTGAACAACTAAACCGCATCGCAAAACCGACAACGCAAATTAGCCTTGCACCAGTTGTCACAGTAAATAGATCCTATAATATCCAATTATGTATTTTAATTGTTATTATGGTAAAAAAGCAATAAGTAGCAATCTTACTAAACTAAACAAGGTACTAAAAGTGCCTGGAATTACCTGCAGTCTTTCACTAATAGGCTATGGTATAAATATAAGCTGGAAAAACAGTTATAGTATCTCTTGCAAAAGCAACTTACCTAGTTAGTACCAAGCATGGTCCCGGCGATTCCTTCAGCGATATTTTTAATATTTAATTGTGGGTAGGATACTACGGTCAGCTAGTTTATTAACATGCTTAATAAAAACCTCCTGGATACTGGTAAGTTTTTGTCACAAGCGAAATTTCGTGTCCTGGATTAAGGATGCTTTGGCTTTGAAGCAGCACTGTAATGTAGACATGTCGACATATATTTTTGCATTTAGTGTGTTCCTGTGATAATTCTAAAATCGCTTTGGCAATACTAGTGTTGTTGTCTATTTTACACTTGGTTGAAAAAGACGCGTTGGATGACACCCGTGATCTATGTTATGTATGAAAGAGTTGTACATAATTAGTTCTAATCTGTTATAAACCTCGGACCTTGGTTATTGTCCATTTGCCGTTCGAGTGAATTCCTAGCAGCCTCCTCCACTTTCGTATCAGGCAGGATCACCCACCAGGTCATTCAGCCCGACATCTATAGTATATACGGAGTAGATGCCCGCAGCCCAGATACTGACCACCATAATACGACAAATACCTAAAGATGACTAAAATCTCAGCAGCAGATAGTGATTGGAGCATTCACGTCCAGGAAAAGCGCCAGCAACTGGAACTCCAAATTCCCGCCGAATGGCGACTAAGCGAGGCATTTCTTTCTTCATTGCCAAAGAATGGGCATTTACTTGAAGCAGACATCTCTCGACGCACGGGTATTTTTTCAGAACAAGAGCTACAGATCACAGAGAATTATTCCGCTGTGCAACTCTTGCAGAAGCTCGCTAGAGGCGAGTTCAGTTCACTGGCAGTGACAACTGCCTTTTGTAAACGAGCGGCTATTGCGCAGCAGCTGGCAAGAAAAAAAGACCCTTATTGTAAATCGTTTCTCATGCTAATTCTATCAGACGTCATGCCTCACCGAACACTTCTTTGCTCGAGCTCTCGAGCGCGCTCAGTATCTGGATGAGTATCGGAAGCGGGAAGGAAAAGTGATGGGACCATTGCATGGGCTTCCAATCAGTCTCAAGGATAGTTTCTGCGTCGAGGGGGTTCAAACAACAATAGGATATGTCTCTTTCCTTGGAAATCCCCCGGCAGCCTCCAACGCCGCGTTGGTCGATGTATTGCTGGATTTGGGAGCCGTGCTATATGTGAAGACCAATATTCCCCAGACCATGATGGTTAGTCTACTCTCTTTACCATGGTATATGGATTATCTAATATGCTCTATATAGACTGCAGACTCGGAGAATAACATCTACAATCGTACATTGAACCCTCACAATACGAACCTGACTGCCGGAGGTTCCACCGGTGGTGAAGGAGCTCTGGTTGCATTTCGGGGCTCGATTCTCGGGGTAGGTACTGACATCGCCGGCTCCATCCGCATCCCATCTCTCTGCTGCGGTGTGTATGGCTTCAAACCAACCAGCAATCGTATCCCGTTTAGTGGACAAACGTCCGGAAGAATGGAAGGAGTACCTGGTCTGACGCCATCGGCGGGACCATTGGCCCAGTCTCTTGAGGATATTGAGATCTTCATGACTACTGTTTTGAACTCGGAGCCCTGGCGCTACGACGTGACCGCCACTGCCACGTCGTGGAACAGACCCCAGACAGCAGGACGCTCGTTGCTAACCATTGGAATTCTTCCGGAGGATCCTCAATTCCCCCTTCATCCCCCCGTCCGCCGTGCCTTGAAGTCTGCTATTGCCGCCTTGTCCAAGAAAGGCCACCGAATTCTGCAACTGGAGAGCGATGCCTCACGGAACGTCGCTTATGCCAGCCGTCTAGCCTTCCAATACTTCACCTACGGACCGCATATCGACCATATCTCGCCAAGTGGCGAGCCACAGGTAGCATCGCTCGCAAAGTCCTCCAGCCCCATGTTCACCGGTACATTCCCTGTGGATCAGAAACTCGGAGTGTTTGAGAAGATACATGCATTGCATATCGCGAGGAAGACATACGCCGATGCCTGGCGCAGAACTTGGGTTCAAAGCAATCTCGATATTATACTGGCACCAGGGGCGCAGAATACTGCCGTGCCTCACGATACGTACGGATGGCCTCCATATACAGTGATCTGGAATCTTCTCGACGTGAGATTTCATCCCCTTGATAGTTGTTAACGTCCCACTCATCCTTCGCAGTACCCCGCCTGTATCATACCCTATGGTCGGGCTTCCAAGGAGCTTGACCCGGAGCCTATGCTTGTGACCGACGGGGTGCAACCGAGTTGTAAGTATTTATAGCTTTGGTCTTCTGTCTACACAGAGCTAATCTGTATAGATGAACCGGAACTGGTTGATGGAGCCCCTTGCGCCCTTCAAGTCATTGCGCCTCGATACAAGGATGAGGAATGTCTTCTTGCAGCAAAGGTAATTGACCGAGACATACGGGGATAAATATCTTGTCCTTTACCTACATAAATAAACTGAAGTATTAAAATGTGATAAGATTGTTGCCAATATCTAGTAGACTTCCCCAAACGGCAGGTCGATCAGTACTCCGGAATCATCTCCAGTTTCCCAACCTCGCCAATAAATTTGATGGAGGTGGAGAAGGGAGCTGTATCATTTGAACTACATGTGTAGCTCGAAAATACTCATTGCTTCTATGGTCTAGGTGGCATTTAGAAGGATCTCCGGTGCACAGAGGTTGAGGTTGAATTTCATGATTGCGTGGAACCGGAACATCGCCAAACACAGAGCATTAAAATCACTTATTTAGACAAAGGTCCACAAAAAGAGACTAGTAAACAAAAACTGGGATCCTGCGACAGATAGCTGAGTCAATGTATGCAGCTGAGAGTTTATTAGATAATCGTTTGTGTATGGAGATATTCTTTACCCTTTGGGAATGACTTCCTCTAAGAAAAGCCACCAAACTATGACAATGGCCAGATGGGCGAATATCTCACCATATACCATGAGAAAATATGGACTGTGATAAGGTAATGGATAATCTCGCGTCTGTTTCATAGTGTTGCAGACAGTCAGAAATCCAAATCCCAAAGTAAAGCCAGCAGCGACGCCAGCTAGCTTAAAGTCGTCAGTTTTTGTAGCCATTTAATAGTGAATATATAAATGGCACAGAAAAACAAAGGGAGCTAAATGTTAAGATGTGATATAAAAGAAGATGCTCTACTAAGCTGACTTCGAAGAGTGGAGAAAATACCACAGTGGAAGTTAAATATATAGGTGATTTTGCTTCTTGACTCGTACAGATTTCATTTAAAGATTTGGCCATGAAGGGCAAAATTTATTTTGGCTTATTTGCCATCAAAAAAAAAAAAAAAAAATTCACTTTCTCATGAGTTTTAGGGCTTGGGTTTCCTGGTTTGTATTGTAGAAAGCCGTTACTGAATTCCATGCCCTTTTGCCCGGTCCATATACAGTAAATAGAGCCACTTTATTTTGATATTGCAAGTGAACTTAATTTACTTATTTACCAATGTAACGCAGTAAATGGTTCTAAGCAGATCCATTCACTTGTTTAAAGTATCCGGATTGATCACTTTCTTCACAAAAAGAAAATAAACCTGGAATCTTTCACATCTATAGGATCTCTCCTCGCCAAGTGGGATATGTTGGTAGAATAGTCAAAAGCCATTAACCACAGTGAATTTTTTTCTTTTTATCTACTGTAATAATCACAAAGGGAAATTTGTGTTCAGCACTCCAAGTGCGTAGTGTTGTTAGTTGTTAGAGGGAGGCCTCCACATAAGTTGACAAACACAGTACTACCATTGGCAAGTATCAGGAGGCAAATAATAATGAGCAGACGAGAGCTTCTTAAATACAGAATATAAGAGTGTCCAGCATAATGCAAACCACCCTATAACCAGAGAACAATCAGCAAGATTGAAGCTAATGGACTTGTGCCAGTTATAGACAACGCACAAATATTTCTAGCAAAAGCCAGCTTTGGCCTTCGAGGTAGTAATAGCTTAGCAGTCCTGAAACCTTTGTAACTGATTTTACTGAAGAAATTTGTGGTGGAAATAAATCGTGATGTCCTAATTAGTAAAAACTAGTGCTCTAGGAACATAGTGTCTTATGAGAGGCTGTTGGCCTGTGTTTAGAAAGTGGTGCACATGGGTGCTGGCTTTGGCCACTAAGTAATACGCTGCGGAGTAGCATGGTTTTGAACGCTGTGATACTGAGATAAGAACAGAAAGTGTGTGAGCTCAAAAGGACGGCATTCCCACCACTCCAAGCAATCTTACATTACTCTTGCATGTCACAAGAAATTGAACAGTCTAACCTCTCCGCCATGTCGATAACCACCGCGCAAAGGTTCTATCATGGCTCTACCCAAAAGGAACCAAGACAGAAAGGGGAGCTTCTTCAGGAAGCAACGGTGGAAAAGACAGCTACAGAGAGCATCAGGGATACAACTTTCACCGGGACCGTTGATAGAGCTATTCTGGACAAAATCCAGAAACGTCTAACGACGGCCAACCACACAGCCAGAAATAAGTCAGAAACCAAAATCGCCGTTTTCATCGCCTATAAATGATGACCTGATATAATGTTACCCAGGCGGATCTAATGGCTGGTGCTAACAGCGAAAGCAAAGCACAGCGCGGAGGAAGAATCGAAGTAACTATTACCAACACCGAGGACCGATCCAAGCGTGTTATAAATAAGAGCTTTTTTGGCAAAGTGGCGCATGCGAAGTGCACCCTCTTTAATTACAAATATTTCTCCACAGATCGTCGATCCTCTATATCCTGGACTTCGGTATTACTAAAAACACCATCCCCGCGGCATTCGGATTCGAGATGGCACATAATAAGATCTTGGACCGGGCATGCGCTTACAAGAGCGGCACCCCCATACTTAGATATTGAACTGGTGTGGCCGACGGACTTGTCGCCAAGGCTAGACGCGAGAGGAAGAGAGAACTAGAGGAGGTCCGGCGCAATAAGCTGTATATGGTGGCTGCTACAGGAACAGGAAGAGGCAGTGGAGCGCCAACTGGAGCTAGATAGAATCACCAGCCTTCCTTGGCCGGACGACTCTTCTGATGTGAACAGTTATTATGGCGACAACATGCCCGACTTCATCGGACCAATGGATATTAAATCGGAAAATGGCAGGAAAAGCCGATTTTAACGAGGCAGACAAGAACATAATCGATCTCACAGACGATATTAAGAATATTAAGAACTTTATCAAGAAAGGGTCACAGAGAACTGCTGACTTTGTCGGCATTCCTCCCTTTGTGAAGCCTGAACCATCATCATCAAACTGTCGGGCACCTGTTAAGAGCAAGAGCACTGCGTTAAGCTCGCCGTGGGTATTAATTTCTGCCAGAAACGCTTAGATTATTCTTGAGTCTGAGCACGCTACGCATGGCTCCTATAATTATATTCTATCTGGATATGGCATAGTAAGTAATAAAGGGACTAATTTTTTTCGTCTTATATCAAAACCTAAATGTGTAAGCAACCCAATGGATAGCAATACCCAAACCCATCACGATTTCGCTAGCTAGAACCTATACCACTCTAAATTGCTAAAGTATCCTTCCGACCTTAGAGCAGTTTTGACCGTCCACATCTCCAGCGAATAATAGGCACCCTTAGCGAAATCTCATTGTAGATACAAACGCGGCCCAACTCTCGTAGTGGATTCCAACACACCTTGCATCTGTCTTTTCTGCCTCATCATGTCAGCTTCTCCATTACCTAGAGAAACTTGAGATGGATGGGAAAGGTAAAGACAGATAATACTACGGTCACATCTAGTTATAGGCCTCTTCAAATTCACTGAAAGTCGGAACTCTTTCAAGTTAGGAATAGATTCAAGTGATCTCTCGTGTTCATGTAGACACATCAGAACTATCTAGAAGAAAGGATGATCCCTCTGAAACGGGTTCAACCCAGGTATTTACGCGGAATATCATCCCGAGACCGTTAAATGAAACAGAGCGAGAAATAAGCACAACACCTCGACGCCTTTTTTGACACCCAATTCATGACCAATAACTATAGACGATGATGATAATAGAATATTAAAGGTAGACTTCATATCATCATGGCCCATGCAATCAAAAAGCCTTTACCGACGCTGGGTCTTGCCAATGGATCGTTTGCCAGTGAACTAAACAGGGGTTAGTTACTTCAGGAACGTAAACAATGAATATCAAACTTACCAAATGCTTGGGGAGCGATGCAGTCGTGTGTCGATCGGCCTCTCCCTGTCTCGCCATCCGGTTCATCTTCTTCTGACCCAGCTTGGCCATACGCTCGGCCTTGCTACGTGCCGTCTCATCCGTGACACCATCTTGCAGACGGTTCGTCGCCGGTTGGCTGCGAGCACGGCCTTTGGCCTTGGCGATGGCCTGGCGGGGATCCGACATGTCGATGTCCATTGCATCGCCCGTATCCACCACGCTACGGGTAGCCAGGCGGCCCCGGCTCTGGGAGCGAGCACGTGAGGTGGCGGCATCGACATCGTAGCCGGCCTCCTCCAGCGCCGACTCCATCTGTGACAGCTTCTTGGCCTTGGCGGTACGGGGAATAACCGCACGGTTCTTGAGGGACTTACGCATCCTGGCCTCGTTCTTCATCAGGGCGTGTTTCTCGCGGATCAGATCGGCCTTCATGCGCAGCTCCGCATCCTCCGCATCCTCCACATCATCATCGGATTCATAAAATCCTTCGGCCTGTAGCTTCTCCTCTTCTTCCTCCAAAGCAGTCAGCTTGGCTTCGATATCGGGGTCCACAAAGTCGTAAACGTTCTTGCCATTCCACACTTCAGGAATCTTGTCGTGTTTCCACTCGTCGTTCTCCAGCAAGTAATTCTTCTTGAGATCAATATTATAGACACCAGCACCGCCATTCTCCTCCTCAATGTCCCTCTCCAGCTTCTTGCGGTTGGGATCGTCCTTGTCATACTTCTTGAGCGACTGGACTGCCTCTGGAATAAATGTTTCGCGCTGGGCCCCACCCATAGGCTGGGCCACGTGGATACGGGCCAGAACATCACCTAGTCGTCCACCCGGCGTTCCGGAGCTGTTTGAGCCCGACTTCAGTTTTTGCGCAACTCTCTCGGCGAGAAGCTTGTCACAGGCGGTGTTTTTCACGGTCGTCACTCCCTCGGTGGTTGTGCAGGACACTTGCAGGATTTCCACGTCACCCGCCTTGACGATAGCATCAAGTTGCTGCTGATATTCAGGCTCCAAATCCTCGGGACGTCTGACATCGATCTTGTTGATCACGAGGAACACAATCTTGTTGGCAAAAAGCGGTTTGATGCTGTGAAAGAGCTTGATCTGGTCGCCCACAGAGTAACCGCACTGTTCAGAGAGATCCATGAAGTACATGACCGCGGACCGAAGATGCGCAATGGCAGTAATGGATTGCATTTCGATCGTGTTCATTTCTTCCAGCGGGTGGTCCAGGATACCCGGGGTGTCAATGGCCTGGAACCGCAGGTACTTATAGTCGAAATGGCCGACGAACAAACTCTTGGTTGTGAAAGCATAGGGCTGAACGTCGACATCAGCACGGGTGATGCTTCGCAGGAAACTGGACTTTCCGACGTTGGGGTACCCGCAAATCAAGAGTGTACGGGTATTGGGATCAATCGACGGCAAACGGCCCAAATGCTGGCGGACCTGCTCCAGATAGACGAGCGGATCTTTAAGACGTCTGCAGATCGTGGCCATACGTCCCAGGGCAGCGCGCTTAAGCTGTTTGCATTGGAACAGAGACTGGGCATATTTTATAAGACGGACGTAATCGCGAGATACCGTTTCAATAAGATGTTTGGCGGTGGAAACCTGACCAAGGGCAATTCTGAAATGATCAGCATCGTAGAGAGTGTTCATCAAATCCTTATCTAGTGCATGTTAGACCAAGACCGAGAAAGAACAAAAAGAAAAAGGAAACGAGAGAATAGATGCAAAACTTACGAAAAGGATGAATATCCTGAAGTCGGGGAAATCCATCGAGAATCGCCTGGAATTTTTCGCAGAATGTTTCCTGGGTATATTTAACTTTTCGTGTATAAAAGCCTACCGGACGCAAGAAAGAAAAATTTTGTATTAGCGGTGACGTTCAATGATCACGGACTGCGGCATCAGATTCCATCAAGTTGATGGGAAATCAACCACCTTGGGTCGCAAAATACCTCGAATACGACTGATTTTAAATCCAGCACGAATCTGGGTGGGTAGCTGTCTCTGTGTACGACTGAGGACGATATCCAAAAACTCCTGGCTCGTGGGCACAGGAGCGATCTAATCGAGCGGTGAAAAAAGTATCTTGTCAGTCTCGACGGTTCCTGGGATCCAAGGTTCAACCAAAATGGCTTACATCTTTCCAGGTGGTTTTCATGATGGGCACCTGAGAAGTACACGAGGCCAACTCTCAAGGGAATCCCAGCGATGAGAATTAGGAGGGTTGGAAGAAAGACTTATTCTCTCAGCGACCGAGATCCTTTGGGTTTAAAAAAAAAAAAAAAAAAAATAGTATTTCCGGGCGGTCGGAGTCAGATTTTGGCGGGCGGTGAGGACCAATGTGGGGAACACATCGTGGTAACCGAGAGGGGAATTCATTCAGATATACATACAGAGTACGCGCTTTAAGCCTTCCATTCCCTCTACTCCATACGAGACCGTGTCGTATCATGTACATTGACTACCATGGGACTATGATACACAGAGATTCCTGCCTGACCAAACCAACCGCCCAGTCGTGGTATTCATCCATTCGATATCCGTCCCAGAATCATCGTAGCCCAGACAAAAACTACGTTGCTTTTCCTCTTAACCCACCGTGTAAAACCAAATCCAGGGGATAAAACTATTAAACATGCATGCGTAAAACGTTGAATGGGAATTGTGTGGCGACAGGGGTAAGAAATATAAGGGAGGAAAAAAGAGAAAAAAAGGGGAAAAGGGAGACACTAAGTCGTGTTGAAAAGTGATAAAATTCGTAATCGAATCAATCCATAGCCCTTACTCTTTAGCAAATTCGAGAGCCTAAAATCGCTTAGTGATGAGGCAAGACAGGGATTTTTGGAAGACACAGCTTGTAAAGGGAAAGGAACGTACCATGTCAGTCCAACCCCCTCCTCCAAACCGACACTTGCTAGGACCCCGGTTCTCAAACCCAAATGATTCATAGTATGACACCAAATGATCATGAGCAATAAGGACAAGACGATCCGCAATCTGAGCTTCCTTGATTCTCTGAATGTAGGACTTCATCAAGGTACTCCCGACTTGTTTGCCCTGATGCTCTGGCAAGACCGCGAGAGAGTGGATCGCAATCGTGTTGCCGTACTCGTCGTGACCAACAGTTTCACCATTATCAATGGTCTGCCTCTCGGTCTCCCACTTCTCAGGGAGTTGCATAGATTTATCCGTCACATGAGGAGTGGAGGTTCGAGTCGCAATAACATGTCCGACAAGAGTCGCGCGCGGCTTGGGCTCCCCTTCCTTGACAACAGGGAGGGTAAAGAGACCCAAGCAGAGTTCGGGGCATCGACCGAGGCGATAGATGAACTTCAAATCAAGTCAGTCAGCAGGCTGTCATTCCCAACTGGGGGCGCGGGTGGTCCTACTTTCTCTCGGGAACAGCGCTCTTGTTCCGGGAAAGTCTGTTCGACGTTCACACAGTCATCCACATTTGACACAGTAAGAACCTGAACAAAAGGATGGAGATCGTCCAACTTTGTGCGATGATGTACCGGTGGGCGACGGAACCAGTGGGGGAATTCGTTGATATCGTCATGGTCAACCGCGACGTAGTCTTCATCGGCCTCTTCTTCATCATCGTCGTCGTCTATCTCTCCCAAGGCAAGGCCGCGCTCTATTGTGAAGCCATCCCGGGCACCCAAGCGTGAGAGATCGGATCCTGTCGCGGGTAGAGAATAGCCATCGGCATTTGATAACGGCTTGAGCCCATTAATAGCCTCCTGGTATTGATTGTCGTTAGGATCAGAAGACATGGTCTGTGGGAATTTGTCGCAGGCCGCGCAGAAGTGAAATCAAGTGTCGCTTTGTTTTAACTGTAGAACGGAGGATCTTGAGAAAATATATTTCCGACGAGGCAAACTCAACCTAGTAGTAGATACCAAAAGTTGCAGGGGAAGAGGTCAGTGGAGAGGGCGTAAGGAAGAATGAAAAAGTGTAGAATCGAGGGGTCCGAATCTTCGGAAAGCCAGAAAATGGTGGGGGGCGATTTAGCTCAATGCGGACGATAAGACTCGGGTTTCAATTCCAGAAGCTTAAAAACCCGGAATTGGTCGACGGTGATTTCCTTAACAACTTCAGTCAAGGTGACGACTGCCATTCTGGTTCTGGTTCTCTTTCTCTGCCCTAAATCGCGTGACCAGGCATGATGCTTGATCGAGAAGAATGCAGTTCTTTGTCTTTGCGATGCCATCTGGTTGTTGGTGGTCAAGGCTTCGACTATCCCCACTGTGTAAGGTAGAGGCATGTTCATGTATCTATTATTATAATGATCGTGACCAAATCCAAGTAAATACTAGGTGGCATTATAGGGTGTGCCAGAAATAGCTTTTTATTGAGGCCGTTGATTTGCCAACAATTCTGCAACACACAGGGGGCGACGATCGTCAACAATCCTACTCCCAGCGCATTCCACCTTTCTAGGGATGCTCTTACTCTTCTAAATATTAAATAAATACTGACTAAATAACTGAAAGAGAATGGAAAATACTGAAGCAGCGAGGGACGCGCAGAAGAAAGAAACAAGATGGGAAATGGCGTTTATGGCCCGGATGAGGGAGGTTGACCCTGGTCTCTTCCTAGGAAACGTGGATGCATCATACAAGCGGATATGCTCCAGGAGAATCATATCAACGCCATAGTCTCCCTTACAGATGCGCGATCGGTGTGGTGGAATAATACTACAAGAGAGGCTGGAATTCCCGAGCATCGCCAAATGGATTCAATGTGTTGATTCCTCCACCTGGGCTTTTGGTGTATGTGAACGACGTCTGCAGCTTTATCGATCGGAGGGTGAGTTTAACCCCAGCCATCGACCTCCTTGCCGGTCGGATCACATAACAAACTATGCAGCTCGCCTCCGAAGGCTATTTTAGTTCATTGCGATCTGGGGATATCACGTTCCCCGACCGTGATCATTGCATATCTCATGCGCAAGTATGGCTCCAAGCGGGAGAATGCCCTGGCTCTTGTGCAATCAAGGCAGAAAGTCAAGCCCAGTACTAATTTTACTCAGCAACTTCAGGTATGGGAAGAGGTTGGCTATCTGGTGTGGGAGAACGAGCAGGGGACGGTTCCAAAACCTCCTTACTGGGCATTTCTGAATGACCGAGCCGTTTTAAAAAGAGAGGGCCTTGCAGGAAACGGACCTCTGGCACCCCAGATCCTATAGTTCGACTAAATGAAAAGAAGACACGATAGACTTAAGCAAAGATAAAAGCGGCCAGGGGCACCACTATGCCCGAAGGGAAGCAGCGGGTTCCCTTTCGGGTGCTAGCTCGTTGACCCATTGCATCTGTCATTCTTGAACTGGGATAGAGCTCATCATAGCAGACGAGATCGAGTATTAGAATTGTTGTTAATCAAGAAACGGGGTTGGGAATATATGGTGAATGCAAATTGAGTCATAGCAGAACAAGCAGCTTCCAACTAGACATGTACTGACAGGAGTACTGTATATACGCAGGTAATAGATGGCGATGTCTGGGACATAAGAACCAAAAGATGCCTATGAAGCAGGATCGAAGAGTAAGGGGTTAAAACAGAAGCCAAAAAAGAAAAGAAAAGAAAAAGAGAAGATTTCCACATTCATCTTAATAAGAAGAGCGGGTTTATCCTATAAAAGATGCTGCTGCTACCTGTAGACAGTACCTCTGGATCAAGTATACAGAATATTTGATGACAGTTGAATTTAATTCTTGTCATGACCTGCAAGAAATGACTTTCTCGAACTCCTTCGGAGTGTTCTCTGTTGGAGCCCTGCCCGCATCCTTAGCACGCATTAGCAGCTTCCATACTACCTTCCCCGCATTTGCATTGTCTGTCCTCTCTCTTTTCTTCCACAAATATGCTTCATTAATAATTAACAAAGATGGATATTTGCACCATTTAAACTTGAACATATTCGATCAAGATTGGAATCGACTGGACTGCTAGAAATTCTTACCTGCCAAAATGCCTAAGCCGTTCCCCGTTGATCATGGCACCACTTCTTTTTGGCGGTCACAGCCCCATAGTTTAGACAACCACCGCTCGACAGATACTCTCCCTGACACAAGTGACATTGTAGTTATCGGCGCTGGGTTTGCCGGAGCAGCAACGGCCTATCACTGTCTGCAGCGGAGCAGGACCTCATCAGTCGAGACACATTCTCTAGTAATTTTGGAAGCACGAGAGGCGTGCTCTGGGGCCACTGGCCGCAATGGTAGTTCAACAAAGTTTCATTTAACTAGGCAATCAGACTGCGACAAGCTAATCCCAAAATCGATTGCTACGCAGGTGGCCATCTAAAACCCGATCCATACTATCAAATTGGCATATTCGCAGCCGAGCACGGAGTCGAGCTTGCAGAAGAAGTGGCGGATTTTGAGATGCAACACCTTTTCGATCTTCAGTCGTTTACTGAATGTGAACAGATCGAATGCGATCTGGATCTGAATAGAGTCATGGACGTTCAATTCGATGACCAGCACTGCGCGAACACCAAGGCTCGATACGACTTCCTCTTGTCCCACGGGGCCAAAAGAGTGAGAGAAGTTGACTTTTACCCACAGGAGTCAGCAGAGGAGGTAAAATCTATACTCTACTTCTTGAAACCGTCCTTTGACAAGCGATTACTTCTCAATAGGTTTCCGGTGTGAAAGGAGCTAGGGGATGTTTCAGTTATCGTACGGGACGGATCTGGCCGTATAAACTCGTGATGCAGCTCTTGAAAGGAGCAATCTCTGCTGGCGCAAATCTGCAGACTCATACACCTGTGCATCGAGTTTCTGACTCTCCCGATGCTGATGGACGGTGGACAGTTACTACAAGCCGAGGGTCTATCAGAGCCAAATGGGTTGTTTTCGCCAGTAACGCATACACCTCTGCCATTGCACCTGAATACGCAAACCAGATTGTCCCAGTGAGAGGCGTCTGTAGTCGCATTGTGGTTCCCAACCCGCCCAAAAAGCCGATGGAGAGTTCGTACACATTTCGCTTCAACGCGTGGGATTATGACTACATGATTCCCCGGCCGGATGGCAGCATTATCGTGGGAGGAGCGAAATCCACATTCTACCATAATCGCAACGACTGGTACAACAACGCGGATGACAGTAAGTTGATTGACTCAGCTGTCCGATACTTTGACAACTACATGCAACGGCACTTCCAAGGTTGGGAGGATTCGGGGGCTTATACGGACCGCGTCTGGACAGGAAGTAGGTGTTTTCACACTGATTTGGTTTGTGTTCTATCTTTTGACCTTCTATAGTTATGGGGTATACAACCGATACCCTCCCCCACATCGGGCACGTCCCCCGCAAACCTGGGCAGATGATAATAGCAGGATTTAATGGCCATGGGATGCCTCAGATTTTCCTCTCCGCAAAAGGGATCGCAGCGATGATTGTCGATGGAGCTCCGTACGAGGAGACGGGATTGCCACACTTGTTCAAAACCACAGCCGCACGCTTGGAGAGGCAGAAAAATAACGTCCTCACGCACGAGAATGTGCCAAGGGAGTGATTTTTCTGGTGGTGGAGGCAGCTACAGATCAGCGTTATCAGTGTCGAATCAGAGGCGGGAACGCAATGCGTCATTATCCGCGTCGACTCATTTTCGCTTCGTCTCCGCGACCAGCACTGTGTTGCTGCTGCCCAAGTTTTTCTTGGCCTTTCTTCTGTCGTTATAATTAATCGGTTATTATTTCTTTCTCCGTCTGGTAACACTCCTATGTATCTCTTTCTGGCCTGGGTTTTGAATATCTTTGTGAGAAATGAAACATGAGTTCTAGGACGTTGGCTACGAAGTCCGCTCTGCTGAAGGTGGGTTCGGAAAAGCACATCACAGTATAGACCCGTTCTAACTAGATCCCCCATTCCCCAGCAGAATCAGGCTTCCTTCGGAAATGGGAAGCCAGCAGGATTCAACTCTTTCCTTCATCGGCCCTTTTCGTCCTCCACGGACCGGCAGATTCATCAAAGCGTCGACTTTTCTTCCACCAGCCAAAGCTATAATCGCCTAGGTTATCGGGCCAAGGAAAAATTGCTGGATCGTGTACGACCCATCCAACTCCACATTCAACGGCACGCATTCGCTAATGGACTCTGGCTGTGGTTGTAGGAATTCTTCCTTAGTCTACTGAACTCTGCATCTACCCGACGAGAAGCCAAATCGTATTTAGCGCGCCTCAAAGCCCAGCACACCTCCAAAACGCAGTCAAAGCCGATCGCTGAACCGAATCAAGATACTGCGGCTCTGTCGCTACCGTCAGGTGTTAATTTGGGGTCTTTCTATGGTGCCTCGCGCTCAGTTTATGAGAGTCCAGTTTTCAGACATGGCTCAACCCCCACCCCGCCCAGGCAGGAAATTCCGGAGATGCGACTCCATCTCGCCCTAGTCAAAATCGCTACACCTCAGCAGTTGGAGGACTCGGTAATCAATGGAGTGGCCAAAACATTAGCACAGTTGAACCGCCTGGGTATGCCTTGTTGCGTCGTGGTTGATCCTGGGCAAATGGAAAACGCCAATGCGGCGCGAAAGATCGCTGCTGAACAAGCAGACCGCATCTGTACGGCGGTTGACGCACAGCCCGACTCCAAATCTGCCCACTTGGATTCGATCTTCTCCCTCTCCGCGAAAAGCTCGGATATCCCGACGGTATTATCCCGGAAGGCACTCCTGAATCCTCTACGAGACGGTCATATCGTCATCATGGCACCGATTGCTTACACGGAGGATGTCCCTAGGGCCGTGACCTTGTCGGGCGATAATGCTTTGCTCGCGCTTACTAGAGAACTTGCAGGCCTAGCGATCGTTCCTGACCCTGATGAGGATCCTTGGGTTACGGCCCAGAGGGTCAAGAAACTGCAGCAGGAAGTCTCACTGGATCGAGTGATTGTGCTTGATCCTCTTGGAGGCATCCCTGCTTTCAGTGGACCACAGAAATCTCACGTTTTTATCAATATGGAACAAGAATTTGACGATGTCGAAGATCAATTACTCCAAGCACAACAATTTGCAACGGCGAGCAGCAAACAACTGTTGGGGTCCATGCAAGATACGAAAGTGCCCACAGGGGCCGACAGAAACCATGTTCTAGCACAAGAGGGTATTGCTGAGGGCCATTTGAAAAACTTGCGACTATCCCAAAAGGCACTTACTATGTTGCCTTCAGCATCATCTGGGATAATCACATCGCCGGCTGAGGTTGCCAATTCAGCCAGATCGCCCCAGGCCGATTCAGAAGTGTCAGCTGTAGGGACTCGACGACAGAGAAACCCATTGATTCATAATTTGCTCACGGACAAGCCTCTCCTTTCGTCCTCCCTGCCAATTAGTCGACGTGAAGCGCTTAGCGGGGGGCGAAGCTCTATCAATGCACCCAGTTCGCATACAACATTTGTCAAACGTGGTATGCCGTTAACAATGATCCCTAATCCGCGAGTAGATGTATGGACTGCCCAGAATCGCCCTCGGCTAAGATTGGATGATCCCATTATCGACCTGCCACGCTTAGTCCATTTGATTGAAGATTCCTTCAACCGTAAGCTCGATGTGCAAGACTACCTTAACCGCGTCAACAATCGTCTTGCTGGACTCATCATTGCTGGGGAATACGAAGGTGGTGCCATATTGACTTGGGAGCTTCCTCCAGGCGTACAGGACGATGGAACAGAGGCTACTCAAGCTCGCATGGTTCCCTATTTGGATAAATTTGCGGTTCTCAAACGCAGCCAGGGGGCCGGTGGGGTGGCCGACATTGTGTTTAATGCAATGGTTCGCTCATGCTTCCCCAATGGGGTATGTTGGCGCAGTCGCAAGGACAACCCAGTAAATAAATGGTATTTTGAGCGGTCTCAAGGGACGTGGAAATTGTCTGATACTAATTGGACGATGTTTTGGACGACCCCTGGATTGCCTGAGGATCCGCAACTATTCCACGATTATGAAGCCGTGTGCCGAAGCATTGAGCCCAGTTGGGCGGACGACACTGGTGTGGTCGATTGATGGGGATAAAGGACATATATCACTGAAAAGGGATCATGATTGCTAATTTATATATATTTGGCAGAGTGTATTGAGTACTTAGAGATAGATTTCTTGATATAGACATTGATGGAACATTCTCACCGCCTTCTGGGGTTCCGCGTTCTCTAACTGCATTCTTGCCTGTCATCTTTCTCTTATCCAACTCGAGGCATGGAACGCAGTATGACAATAGCTCAATGACACGATGCCCATCTGCATCGAATGTTCTTATCCGGTCTCACATCTGTACAGTGCATACAGTCGCGCGGATGATCGTTCTTTGGGTAAAGGCGTACGCCTGACGCAATGTCCGCGGTGCCAGCGGTTCGCGGACAAATACGTCGAATATGACTTTGTCGTCATCTTCATCGACCTGGTCCTAATCAAGCCCCAGGTGTATCGGCACCTTTTGTTCAACCGACTGGGAGGGGACGACAATCAGTTCGATGTAAGTGGTTTATGTACATTTGCACATACAATTGTGGAGGGCTGACTGTTCAATCACTACACAGCGCTCAATTATTCGTTTGGGGATTCTCCTGCTTTTGTTCGACGTCTATCTAACCTGGGCACGGATTGAGAAAGCCCAGTCCCTGGCTACAACCTTCCTCGCGCGCGCACCGATCGTTATTCAGTACTTCTTTTTCCTGGGCTTGAACACTCTTGCCACTCTTGCTCACCACCTGACTATCCGTCTGCTGGCATCAATCCTTGCACCAATTTCGAAGTGCTCGGAACTAAACAACAGTAATAGCGGCACTGCGACAGAAGCACTTTCTCACCCTTCTACGCCAGTCCTCCCCCTCCTTTCCTACGCCCCAAACATCGTACTCGCAACCGCAATTATCCCCTACAACCTTGAGCCCGCCCAAACTCACTGCACATGGCTCTGTCACGGACTTCTCCTCGACAGGTGGAGTACCGCCAATGACATCAGTCAACGACAACAGTACCAACCACACATCCCAGGGACATTACCCTCCTCCGCCTCTGCGCCGTGCCTCCACGGCTCCAACTCAAATCATACAACCCCTGCCGCCTCCATCTCCTGCGAGCCCCACTGCCATCAGCACGGCTCTCCTAGTCAGCAGCTGTGTGAAACTGTTCCCTATTCTTCTTGTTATATGGGGTCCAGACGGCAGCGGCAACGGCGGCGCATCGGTGATACCGCCTTATGATAGCAGAGGGACCAGCCAAGCGACTTCTCTGAAGGACCTGCCGACACAGGCACTGAATAGCTTAACTTCTGCTGCTACTCCCGCGGTCGCGACTGCGTCCGGAGTAGCGGAGTCTCCGACGCTTTTGGAGAGCTTGATTCGGTTGATGCCCGTGTCGGTGCCCACTACCTACCTCGCTAACTTCATCGAGATGATTGGCTCGCTTCTATCCCTTGGAGCAGCAGATACACATCTAGTACTCCTGAGTAACATCGAGGCTCTTTATATTCTATTAGGATGTGGATACCTACGAGCCATGGCGTTGGCAATTGCAGGATTGTTGGCCCGATGGACCGTGCAAAAGGTAATTCTAGGCATAGTAGGGATTGGCTAGTGCATATCATGTACGAGACGAAAGTATAAGCACATGTTATTTACCGAACCAGAACCAGGAGCGTAGGCCTGTAAGTGGTAGGTTAACAGTATGCAATAATCTATCGCTGAGCAAAGCAAAGCATGTATTACATAAAACACAACACCAGCTCAAATGGCCCAACCCAAATGATAATAAAAAGAGGGACAGCCCTATTAACTATACAAGACCAGAAAGATAGATAGGTATAACGTATACAAGTATGCATAATACTGACATCAACAAATCCATACAACAATCAGTATTCTCCTTCCTCACCACACATCCACGCCCTTAAACCCCCCAACCGCTGCACAAACAACAGATAAGAAGGAAAAATAGGGAGATCATTGCGGTACCCGCTCAGGTCGAATATTCGATCTCTTAGGCGTAATAAGCGGATGCCATTGCGCCATGAATATAATCGCTATAATCGTCAGCTTAACCAGGAACCATATAACCAACCAGGAATCAATCAATCGATCATGGAACTCAGGACGTAAGAAAAAAAAAATTAAAAAAAATGAAATACATACCCCACATGATATAACACGACACAAACGATAAGATCAGCGTACTCCGCCACAGCCTGCATAATATTACATTATCCATTAGTATTAAAATACTTCATCAACTTTTTGGAGCCACGGTGGAGGGGGGGAATGAACGAGAGACTCACGTCTGATTCTCCCCCTTAGGACTAAACACCCACGCCGAGATAGATGCAATCACAATGATGATTAGACCGATGAGAAGACTCCATCTATATTATATTTATTGTTTAGTATTTGTTCGAGACTTTCTTCTCGAGTATGGGACTATTTCGTTTCGTGGACCTACCCGCTGGCCATCTTGTTTCTTTTTCTTTTTCACTCGAGTTTAGGTAGGTAGGTAGGATCTTGTTTTCAAGTGATGGGGATATGGTCCGCGGAGTGGTGATCTGGAATTAGGTTGTTTCCGGATCCAACTGTATGTGTTTTCGGTAGATAGGTCCAGCCTGCTGTACCCTGCTCTGCTCTGCTCTGCTCTGTTCTGTTCTGCTAGATCACCGTCGGTGGAGCTACTACTTGAGTCGCATCGATTATTGGTTGTGGAACAGGAGGGAAAGGGTCGAGGGTCGGGGTCAGGTATCGGAGAGAATGCTGGTCCTCATGAAACTGGAATGCGTGATTGAGAAGGCAAGCGACTAGACTGAATGTTGACGTATGGGCATGCTGAAGAGCTCAGGCGGAGTGGCTAGGTGGCCGGCACCCACTTAAGACTTCCTAAGGTCGTTTCTGCCGCTGTGGCGGTGCAGTACCGTACGGATTTAGTATTTCTGCTTACAGCTTATCTGTACCTATTCCTGTGCCTAAGAAAGATCGTGTCTACAGATGACGGTTAAGAGGAATACAAGCACTCATACCCTACAGGGACATAAAACATCTTTCACAGTGCAACAGGGGAAATCATGGGGCTGACAGATGGTCAAATCAACTATCGATAGAACAGAACAAGGAGACTAGGAATATTCAATCGTAGAAAGAAAGCTTAGGCTCCCTCACGGCTCTTGCGGTAGCTGGCCTAGATAAAACTTGAGTTAGTTCTTGTCTAGGGGCATCTCTATGTCGGTTATATAAATCATACCTCTTGCTCAACCTGCAAGCCATCAACCACAGGAGCCAGCTCACTGAGAATCTCATACGCCCGCTTGTGGAACTCTAGCTGCGCGGCGATCAAATCCGCCAGGTTTCTGAGGGGTTCGGGAGTGTCAAGGACCTGTACACATAAGTCAGTCGTCCCCACCATCTTGTCTTGCATAACTTACATTCTTCATCACGCTCACTGCCTCTTCGGTCTGTCCGACGAATTCATCCTCGGCTTGCTCGATCTCGGCACGAGCCTCCTCGCTCAGATTATCCAGATCACCGCGGGCCTGCGCCTTTTTGCTCGCCTTGACCGAGTCCAGCATGAGACGGGCATTCTCGACATTCCGACGGGCCTTGGCGGCGAACATCAGGTTCGTGTTGAGGGTGGTGTTCCACCCGGCCAGGAAACGCGACTGGATCTGAGCATCCTGCGACAAACGAGCCTCGCCCACCTTCTCCGATGCCAACGCATACTTCTCCAGCGCGGAGGCCAGGGGGTCCTCGCCGGTCGTGTTGTTCTGCGCCAGAGTCTGCGATCCCGACAGGGAGGCCCGGGCAATGGCGTGGTTGAACGTCTTGGGCTGGGGTTTCGCGGCCGGCGGAGCAGTCAGAGCAGCCTGGGCTTCGGCGGGTGAGGACGCCTGCGATAACAGCTGGACCTTCTCGCTGATGGTGCGACCAAGGTCGTTGAACGATTCGCGGATGTTGGGTGGATAATCATAGGCTTCGTTGGAGTACTGGGAGCTGTATATTCATGGACGAGAGGTTAGTGGGGAGTGTTTTTTATATCAATAGTCTTCTGCACTTACGTCACCTGAAGAAGCTTCTGATGGACCAGCTTAAGCGCATCCACACGCTTCTCCAGCTCGATGTACTCATCGGGCAGCTGAGTCTTCTCCTCGGCCTGGCCCAGTTGCTCCTTGATCATCTGCTGCGTACGCGCAGCAAAGGGCGAAAAGTTCGCACTATCTCGCAGCACGGTAGGATATCAAAACAAGTCAGTCGAGTAGTTCGGATTCTGGGAAGAATGGAGGGAGGGATGATGATGATCCTGACTGGACTGTGCAGGAAAGTAGTAGCAGGGTGGGTATAGATGAGACTCACGTCAGGTTCTTTCCAAACGCCTGAAACTTATCCATGGTGGATATCAATACCGTCTGGCTTTCTAGAAGATACCAACAGAAGATGGAAATCACAGGCTGTCGTCCAGTTAGTTTGTTTAGGGAGATCGCGGAGTCGAGGCTTGACACTGCCTCGTAATGACTGCACCGCCACGTTTCCATGTCGTCCAGTCATCGTCTCGCGAGTGGGGGCTTCTGCAAGGAGTATAACGGAGGTACCCTCGAGGTCTTCTTCTGTACTCTGTGGTACTCTACTACCTTACGTATGTACTCAGTATCTACGATAGCAGTCTGGCTAATGGGTAATAGAATTTCATGATATCACCATACTAATTACTGTCCAAACGGAAAACTCCATTCAAAAAGCCCGCTGATATAGTACATGATGTGAATCCCAAAGTACTGAAATATCAAATTGCCGTCAAACCATTAATCACATGCAATCGAGAAAAGCCCCAAAAAATGTTAGAAAAAAAATGATGGCATCCCAAAACTCGTCTTCCTTCTAGGTCAAGGTGGCCATCATGGCCCGAACAATCCGAGGGTTGGGTCCTATCAACACCATTTAGCATTTGTCGCTGCTCCCGAAGCTATAATGTCCCGCGAGATCTTACCTTTGCGCTCCCTCTTGACTTCGGTGATCTCCTCTTGATCACCATCGCCATTGATAATCTGCGTGTCCCGGATCACTTCGCTTCGTCCCCGGCGGTCCAGCTGCATGTATTCTTGGAGGTCATCGTCGCTGCTTCGTGGGCGGATAATCGCAAGTGGTCCTGCACGGACGTTATCGGATACGATACGATCGTCGTGGCGCTCGATCATGCGCACGGGTGACGACCGCCGGCGGCGGCGACCATGCACCGAGATTGATCGAGCGCGAGAGACAGTGCGAGTCAATCGCTTCTCCGAGAGATCGTAATGGCGTGATTGTGATCGGTGCCGAGAGGAGGCCGGCTCAATGAGCAGCGTAGTGCGGCCGTTACTAGGAGTATAGGATTCCATGGCAAGTCGCTCGACAATTCTTTCTCGCGGTCGCGCTCGAGCAGGGGAAGACGAATCTTTTATTATACGAACTGGAAAGAGTGTGTGAGTCCAGGCGACTGTCCGGTTCGTCAGGGCACGTGGCCACTCACCTTCTGTCCGGTGCTTCATCTCGCGACTACGGCTGATGACATTGTCAATTTGCTCCTTGGAGAGTGCGACCTGGATAATGACCATATCACCCTAACCACAGTCAGTCCGAACCTCACCTCACAAGGGTCTGTCCCGAGATGCATACCTCTTCCTCAAACGGATACCCAAATTCCCGAATCGCAGCGGTATGGACTAGTCTTCGCGGCATCCGAGTTTTGCCCTTTCGAGGATATGGCTTTTCAATCTTGACCTCCTCAACTACCCGACGAGGGAACTGGCTACTCGAACGTCGCGGGCGGTCCGTGAAGCGATCCCGCTCACGGAAACCCCGGTACTCTTCATCGCCATAGTACTCCGGTTCTGCAATTCGAATCTCTTCATAGTAATCTTGTTCGCGAGAACGTCGGGCGGCCCCGGACCGCGACCGCAAAGGCGGCGGGCTAGGTGGTGCTCGGTAATAGTATTCGTCCAACTTGCGCGAAGGGATGCGATCGAAGGTGTCAAGGGAAGACTGGCGTCGTAGAAGACGAGGGCGCGGCGGGGGACTCACTCCGCGCGAACGGTCATAGGCAACGAGCGGTCCCGAGGGATGAATAAGATGGTCATCTTCATAGTGCCTGTCCGGCCGGCGGGCAGGAGGACCATATCGATCGGTTTCTTGCAGACGATATTCGAACCGCTCCTCGTCCACTCGGCGGGGTCGGTCGAGCACGGGCGGACCGCGAGAACGATGGCGCTCGCGCCGTTCACGCGAAAAACGGTCGGCGTCCCAGCGGTCCAGGTCCGCCTCCAACGCACCAGACGAGTGGTGATAGTCGTCGTATCGAGACATGTGCTGTATCTTCTTGCAAGCGTATGACACGTAGGGAGCGAGAGGAGGAATGAATGACTATACGAACGAACCGTGGGTGACCTGGGCGGCTGACTTGCGGGCCGTGGATGGTGGGGTAGAAGAACCGTGGGTAATAAAAGGGGAGAAAAATATACTGATTGCGAATGAAAAGAAGAAAAATAGTCGAGAAAGCGAGGTATAAAAGAAGAACCTTGGAAGAGAAGAGTAATGAGGAAAAGCGCTGCCTGAGGGGAATGACGTCTATGATACCGTAATGAAGGCGCTTCCCCCACGCAAATCCAATGGACGTGATTCTTCACCATTCGCCACACGTTCCTGCCCTCTTTCCTCCATTCATTCATTCACTCACTCTCGCTCTCTCCTCTGGGCCCAACTCTTTCGCCTCAGCTCTCAATGCGTCCTATATTTCACCCACCAGGATTTCAACAGGATGCTACCCAATCTCAACGCATATCCCGCCCCGGTCGGTCAAGATCTCCACCAGCCCCACGGACGCGCACCTTGGGCATTGGTACGCTCTACTGGGTAGTCGAAAAAGAAATAGTCCCTCTCGAGCATTGAATTCGGCCAAGTGGTCCCAAACGGCTCTGGCTAATGGCTACAGATCGCTGCAGAGTAAACACACCAGCCAGAGACGTGTTGAGAAGCTGGCGGCCCCAGCCTGCAAGGGGACCGCTGATGTATGGTGCCATGTATTCGTGCCGAGACCTTTCCATGTGTGCCCTACGGCCGAGTCATCGCCACAATCCAATCCTCTCACATCCTCTGCGGCTCAGGGGGTCAATGGTTGGGAGAGGGTGTTACAGATATGAAACAGGAAGCCCTGCCAGTAACCTGTGTCTCGGAATTTCTGCATGGCGATCATGTGCCCGTACTGGGGTCCTGGAGAATCACTTGTGGCCTACCATCCCTACCAATGCATCAGATGATACCGATTTGGAGCGTGCCTATATCATCTGATCGCTCCTGACCAGCCCAGTAGGCATCCCTTGTGGTCTGCCACTAAGCCGATGCGACCACGACCATATTGCCAATGAAAGCTCTGACAAGCGATGCTGTTCATTCACGTTCCGCTATCCTCAGACTCTGCATATCGTCATCCAGGCTCAGGATTCCCATAGCCCAGCTGCTACCCTCGGTGGCAATGAACCGCCTCTCAGAGTTCGCATACGCTGGCCTTTGTGTCACGGGTGGGGATGGTTGGTAGAAGAGCTCGCTACTGCGCTTGTATGGTGGGCCATACCCTTGTCTTGCCGCAGCTACCCACGCACTCTCACACCCGTTAGCCACAGCGTCAGCCGATTTCCAGCCGGTCAGGCGAGAGATGTCGCGGAGCTTGGTGATAATCCACTCTCGTTGCGCGGCGTCCGAATATTGTACACCAGCAAAGAAGCTAGGCACTGTGATTTCGATCAGGCATGAGCCTAGAGTAGGGCTTAGGCTTCCTGCCTCACGGTTGAATAGCTGAGGGTAGTATATGCCAGCTGCGATTCTACCGATGATTTGTGCGTAGTTGGCAGTTGCAGCCGCTGCGACGCCTGCAGCGACCATCATTGCGGGTGGCATGCACGGGTGCAGTCTATACAGAAGTGTTCGACCTGCATAGTAAAAACCCCATACCACCGCGATCGTCTGCGTCCGATATTGAAGGGCTGTTCCAAATGGGGAAGATATCGGAGGAGTACTATCAGACGGTAGAGGCATGAAGTCCGGACCTATAGCATTCGCAAATGTGTCAAACGCAGCCAAGATACGTTCCCACTCCTGTTCGGCTTCGCTATACGACTCAGACTCGTCGTCCTCGTCGTCCAGGTTGGGTAAGCTACTACGGTCTGCCGTATCGGCGAATGCAGGAGGTATGCATCTTGGTCCACTAGATGGAATCATACCGTACATAGAAGAACCACCAGCTTGCGGACTTTCGCGTCGTGCGCCAGGTTGGGTAATATCTGTGTCAGAAGGGTGACTGTTTGCTCCTGATGAACCAGAAGGAGGAGCAGCAGGAGCACAAGGCGAAGTATTTTGAGGATGCTCCTTCTGTCTGTCTGGGGACGACATAGCGAAACGAGCCATGAACTTATAGAGCTCGGAATCCGGCTTCCATTCTGATCCAGCAACCTTTCCTGCCTTCAATTTTCGCTTCCTATCACGACGTCCGAATTCCGTTAATCGACCTAGCAAAAGCCATAGATGATCTGCCGAGCCATAAATAGCATCCAGCCGACCTAGGCCAGCCCGAGGCGGACACCGGATCCACTGAGAAAACGGTGTACTATTATACTATAAGCCTGCAAATTCCCAAATAATGGAGAGGTGTTGTTTGGGGGGGGGATGATGTCACTGACAATAGTCCGCTGCCACTAATCATGCCGTGGATGATATCTTGCTTGCAATACCACCAGTACAGGTCACACTGAATCCGGATGTTTTCAATATCCTTTCGAGTGAAATGCTTCTGATGAGATCTCCCAGGGCCATCTTCGACCTGTCCAAATTCATCATAATTAACTGCTCGACCGACAAGAGATCCGATGAGATATTCATCAATACTGTTTTCTTTCTCGGCAAATGGATCGTCCTCATTCGCTCGATTCCCAAATAAATACGATTCTTCGAACGAAAACCCAGATCCTGTTTGCTTTCGCCGCGCGACTACCCTCCGCCGATGCGCGCGAAGGTCTCGGGTTAAACCAGCAAAATCGATCTCCCGCACCAGCTGGGCTGATCCTGCGACGTGACTATTCCACTTGTAGTGCTCTGCGCACATAACCTCGTAGTATGCCAATAGCAGTGCGGCAGCTAAAGTGCCTATCTGCTTTCGACGCATAGGGAGACCGACTGCGACGCCAACTCTTTTGAGCGCATAGTGATAGTGTTTCAGAGAGACAGTTGGGGGAGCTTCTTGTAGATACGAAATATGGAGACTGCTAAGGGCAAGAATAGTCTGGAGTAAAGCTTGGTGTTCTAATGCCTTGAACGGCAACGTGTACGTCCACAAACCCTGTTGTGCTGGGGAGACAGGGGCACCGAACATAGTTGAAGGATCGATGGGATGTCGTTCGAAGATAGACAACGAAGGTCCTGTAGAATGGATGAAATGAAGGAAAATTCGAGCCGTTTTGGGATTGTTCAAAGGCGAAGAACCAAGAGTGGGGTAGTAGGAGGCAAGGACGTTGGGCTCGTTCAAATAGGTAGTAAATGAACGGAGCTGCCTCTGATCCCGGTTTGCTGAAGCCATGATAAGATTTAGCTGGTTAAAGTTTTCGGCTGATGTCTGGTCTTCCAGCTCCTCTTCGGACTCAATGTCATAGTAATCGTCGCCCTCTGGATCATACTCCATTCGGGAAGGAGGTGGTGACATTGGAATTGGCTGGTATAGATGCGACTGCTGCTGTGTTTGGGCCGTGGCAGACGTTGGAAACCGGTGCAAGACATTGGAGCTATCTGAATGAGACAAGGTGCCGGTTCTTTGCCTGCATTGAATGCAGTAATCAACGGGGCCCGCTCCCACATGGGAGAGTTGGTAAGTTCCGCCGACATTTGGCGGTAATTCTTGTAATTTCCCATGAAACAGGGTTTGGACTGGTACTCCAGACACTCTGGACGATTCGGACACGGCAGAGCCGCGGCCTTGACCAGGGAGATAATGGACTGGCAGTGTGCTGGTCCCGTCAGACTCTTGGTGTTCAGATGCAATAGCTGTGGGGAAAGAGCCTTGCTCCAACATAGGGAAGGGAGCAGGTTTTGGAGCTAATATCGGCTGATGCGAGTCTGCAGGTCTGGGTTGAGAAAATGCAGGAGCATCGTAACTGCTCGGAAGCGGCTGATTGCTAGGCATTGATTGCATCTGCGCATTCGCAGCCTGGGCATTGGAAGAGCAAACAATGCCAAGAGGGCTTTTAAAGATCAAACGCTGGGCATATCCCTTGCATTCGCGCTTAGATTTGACACAATTATTACATATAGGTTTCTCTTCCCCGCATTTTATACGGCGTTGCCGGCAGGCTATACACAGATTAGTGATATGTTTCTGAAATTCTTCATGTTAGGGCTCGAGAGTACTCAAACATCCTGCTTTGGAGCGCTTCTTGGGGGCTTTCTGCTCAGTCGCAGTCTTTGCCCCTGAGTCTGCGGTATCCTGCTGTAGTTCGAGGGCGGAAACGTCAGCGTCAGGGCCCAGCTCCCCGCTCGGGCCACTGATATGATTCGGGGCACCCATCTTGGTAGATCGCGTTAAAGTCACGGCATTTTCCACAACCGGTAGGTCAGGATGCATAAAAAGTTATTGAAAAGCTTAACCGGCGGGGTAATATTGAAGGTGGTGGTGTGTTCGTAGCAAAGTCTTTCTTTTTCGGTCGAGGCTTAAGGATGATCCTATCCAGATTGGCCTGAGGCGACCGGTGGACATGCCTATTTTCCCCACGGTTCTTGCCCTGGATTTCGACCCCAACTCAGCATTGGCTCAGGGTTGGTGTTGATATGGTGGATAACTATCTTGTCCTCAATATATGGAGATCTATATAGATAACCCTAAGTGTTCTGTTAACAACACATACGCTGCGCAATTGACTGTCGAATTGCCCAAGCAACGTCACTGCATGGCCGTCAACTGTCCGTAGAGAAGCTGACCGCCTTTATTTGAGCCGGCAGAAACATACAACGAGCGGAAATTTCTCATCGACGCCCGCCTTTGTCCGAAAATTTTCGGATGTTCACATTCTATATACTAGACAGGCTTCTGTTCTGTCGTTCGTGCAAGTTGCATCTTGGGTCAAACTATTATCCCAGTGGGACATTTAACTACTCCTCTGTGCCATCATGTTCGCCGTTCCAGGCTGGTCGGTCTCAAGTACCGCTCTCAAACAGCAGACTGAACAGCAGACACAATCTCCAAATCAAACTCAGCAGGCCAATGGATCTCACAAGCCGAATGATAAATCCAAGAAGCGCAAGAGAGAAGACCATGTCACTAAGGGAAATGTTGATTTGATGTACCGTCGACACATTGAAGGCCAAAAGCCTACCAAGAACGAGAAACAAGGTACCAACAATTCCACGAAAGCCGACAAAAGGCAGAAGAAGGATCAAGACTCGCAGAACGGGCTTGTACAGAGCCCGACAAAGCAGCAAGGCAAAGTGCTGGGGAAACAGCATCCCAACGATAAGTCCGATGCGGTCAAGTCAGAAGAAGGAAAGAAGGAAAATAAAAAACATAAGAAAAATAAGAACAAGCAGGAGCAACGACGTCAAGGAGAGGACAAAGCAGCTTCCAGTGATAATTCAGCAGCAGAGCCTCTCCCTCCGGCTCCTCCAAAGACTGAAACAATCCTCACGCCCCTGCAGCAAGCTATGCGACAGAAATTAATATCGTCTCGTTTCCGCCATCTAAACGAAACACTTTACACAACACCGTCTTCTAAGGCCCTTGAGCTATTCACTTTGAATCCCGAATTGTTTGATGAATATCACGCGGGCTTTTCCCGGCAGGTGAAGGAGTCTTGGCCCTCCAACCCGGTTGATGGTTACATTGCGGCTATTCGCAGCAGAGGGAAAGCCTCACCCCATTCCAAAAAGGGAAACAAGCCTGAGGAAAAGAGTGGAAACCAACCCCGACCTTTGCCTCGGCGACCTAATGGGACTTGCACCATTGCCGATCTTGGTTGCGGAGACGCGCAGCTGGCCCGCGCGTTGATCCCCTCGGCGAAGAAGTTGAATCTGAAGCTTTCAAGCTACGACCTTCATGCCCCCGAAGGCTCACCCATCACGAAGGCAGACATCTCCAACCTCCCGGTCGATGATGGATCTGTCGACGTGGCTATCTTCTGTCTCAGTCTGATGGGAACCAACTGGGTGTCTTTCGTGGAAGAGGCCTGGCGGGTCCTACGCAGTGATGGCAAGGGTGAGTGTTGGGTAAGTGAGGTCAAAAGTCGTTTCGGGAAGGTGATGCGCAAGAAGGCGCAGATCGGCGTCAGGAAACCACTTAGCAAGTCGGAGAAGAAGAAACTCAAGAAGCAACAAAACGGCGACGGTGATGCGGGATCAGACATGGATGATGCTGAGGTGTACGCTGAGGATGCTCAGCCCACGAATAACGACGAGACAGATCTGTCCGCATTTATCGAGGTATTCCGGACTCGCGGATTCATCCTGAAATCCGAGCTTGTAGATAAGTCGAACAAGATGTTTGTGAAAATGGAGTTCGTCAAGCAGAGCGGGGCACCTGTCAAGGGCAAACATGCCTCTATCGGTGGTGCCAAAGCTGGTCCTGGAAAGAAGAGGTTCATTGAAAAACCAACAGAAGCTAAGAGCATGTCGCCGGAGGAAGAAGCCGCAGTTCTCAAGCCCTGTGTATACAAGATCCGATAGACAGCGGAGTATATCTGTTTTGTGCATGAAGCATTATTTTAGTTTATATTTCAGCCAAAAACTCTTATAGAAAATATAAAATCATTAAGGAGGACATTGTGTTTTTCTATTTGACTCCGAAACAGGTCCAAGACCTTGCGGGACGAGCAGCTCATGGCATAACCACATCACCCGATGAACAGTCTTGTGCATTAATTAAATCCTCATTGATTTTCGCCCAACCGCGCAACGGCATTTCCCATGTCTTCGTCATTGTAGATACGGAACCCCTTCTCCTTAGTCACACTAGCCAACTGCACGTTCTTTGCATCCAGTTTCTCCTCCATAACCTGCTTCAGCGTCTTCAGAACTAGCGTTTCCGCCTCGGCCAGCGTCAAAGAGCGATGATATTCATTCTGGAGCTCCGCCTGCGCGCCTTCACTTCCGGACCCAATGGCCTTCGCGTCGTACCGATAGAACGTACCGGACGGTTCCGCATGATATCTATAACGGTAGCAGCAGGTCAGCGATATCTTCCATTACAATTTCAGGTGCAGCGCAGAGATCAAGAAAGAACCCCAGATAGATAAGACTCAACATACAGTTGAGGACCATCCTCATCAAAGCCAGCAATTAACAGAGCGACACCAAAAGGTCGGCTCATGACACTCTCCTCATCATCACCGGTCTCTCCGAATCGTAATGCCAGGTCGCAAATCGCCTGAGTGCAGCTCTCAACCCTCAGTGGCTCGGCGTAGTGGAAGGCATGATTCTGGCATTCAACACGGGCATGTTCAACAAGGTTCCGGGCATCGGCCTGCAGACCAGACATGGCACAGCCAATATGCTGGTCAATTTCTACGATCTTTTCGACGGAAGAGGCTTCAAGAAGGGTGGATGTGACACGTTTCTCGACGCCCAGGATGACACCCTCCGATGTGGCTACCTGATGTGGGTGTTAGAAGATACTTGGATGTGGGAAGATCCGGTATCATTATTGCGCCACAGGATCTCAGAATTTAGACATGGCTTTTCGAAATGGATAGATGAACGTACACCGATCGCAGTCGAGCCCAGTTTAATAGCTTCCAAAGAGTATTCGACCTGGAACAAACGCCCTTCGGGAGAGAAGGTGCTGTGGGGAATTCATTGTCAGTCTGGCGAACGGCGAGCAACTCGTATGGATATCTATATTATATGGGATATGAGATCAAGGGTTCGTACTTAATTCCACGGTCTGTTAAGCCCAGTTGTTAGATGGGTCGCATCGGAGAAAGGTCAAGGTCCAGGTGAAGCTTACCATATTCCGATCGTGCGATGAACATGTTGGCTATCTAGAGGATACAATGACGATTCAAGGAGTGTCTGAATTCAGTGAGAAAGTAATCGGGGTGAGAATGACGGGATAAGAGATGTTGGCAGCTGATGTTGTTCTTGGAAAGCTCGGGCGAAGCTCAGTCATTTAGTCTACGCAAGTCCGCTGAGTGCCTGGAGGAGCGTCCGTGCTCGCCTCAGGCCGTAAGGCACCAGCGCACTAGTCCGCCGCGTCGTGACGCAGCGGTAAGTACTTGTAGTACTATCCCGCCATTTGATCTCCTAACTACGACGCTGGTGTGTCTATTCTCTCTGGTTCCGACTCATGCTGTATGATCGGCCAGATCCCATTTATATTGTGGGACCATGTCCGTCAATGACCGTCGCGCCAGCCACATGAATGCTCCACGACCCCGCGTTACATCGAATCGCGTCGGCGATGCTGAGAAACACGGTATACGCAGCGGTGCGTCTCCATTGCAGTCCGAAAACTCAGAGCATCGTGGCAGCACATCAACCCAAAAAAGCAAAGTGCCACGAGAGCAGCAAACCATTATTAGCGAAAAGCGTTCCGAACGAATGATAATCCACTCCAAAGACAAGTCCCACTCCCGAACCAGGCATCCGGTCAAGGAGTCTTCCAGCGCAGCGAATAGAGGGGAGTGGGAGAGGTCGCGATCGAAGAGGGCCAGTCAGACGGATCATGCTGGTCCTAATATTCGGAAGAAGGAGAAGGAGTCGGGAGAAGGTGCGCCACGATATCGGGTCAAGTCCATTAGCACTGATGATCGTTGGAAATGCTGACCTATGGCAAGAAATCTCATGGAACCCGCACGCATCTTTGATGCCACATTCTACGGCACCGTTAGCGTCTCGAGTATCAGTGGCCCCTTTAGCCTCAGCGTTGCCTCAATCGCTCCAGCCTCCACCGCTCCGAGAACTCTCGATCGACACGCAAGAGAAGGCTTTGCTAGACGATCTACTTTTCGTTTTTATGGGGTTTGAGGGCCAATATATCCATTATCATAGTCGGTATGATCCTTCTGTGGAGAAGGACCGGTTGACCGGTCCAGTCTTCCAGTTGCCGTCAGGATTGGATCCTACTCTGAGGGACCTTACTCTGTCGATGCTGAAGATGGCGACGCATTACAGTGCGCTGGAAGCGTTTGTGGAAGTCCAGAGCCGTGCAGAGTTTGGAGCCGTCAGTCACGCTTTGTGCGCTGCGATCCGAAAAATCCTAAAGGACTATCTAATCCTCATTGCTCAGCTTGAGAGCCAACTTCTAAATAATCCAAGCTTCACTCTACACCTTCTCCACCTACACACTATGCCAACATGCCAGTGCCTGGCGCAGCTTTATTCCTTAGGCCAAGAATTGCTCCGGCGGAATGGACTTTTGGATCAAGACCTTGACGAGACGATCGATGATTTTGACGACGTCGACAATATTCTAGAGCAACTGAAGGAAGGTGGTGACCTGGTCCCCGGCGCCATGTCTAGCAAGAAAATATGCAAGGGAGGCAATGTTCTCCGGCTACTAACTGAGCGATTGACAACATATTCCGGGGACCCCACCACCAAGACTCTTTTAGAGAGGCTGCTTCGTGAGGCTAGTCGACCGTATATGGCTATGCTTAATGAGTGGTTACACCATGGCGGTATTAAGGACCCCCACGCCGAGTTCCTTGTCAAGGAGCAAAAATGGATCAAGCGCGAGAAGCTAGAGGAAGACTACACCGATGAATACTGGGAGAAGCGTTATACCATCCGGGACAACGAGGTTCCCCCCCTCAACTGGACAGCGCCCGGGACAAAGTCCTTCTGGCTGGGAAGTACCTGAATGTGGTGCGAGAGTGTGGTGGTGTGGACGTAAGCAAAGCAGTCAAAGACGTGCCCAAAACTCTCGACGACCCCCGTTTTTTGGACAACGTCAATGCCGCCTACACCTACGCGAATGCGTCGTTGTTGAATCTCCTCCTGACCAAAAACTCCCCTCACGACCCGCTTCCGCTCCCTAAAACATTATTTTTTCCTCGACCGCTCCGACTTTTTCTCCTACTTTCTCGAGCTTGGAGCGTCCGAACTGCGCAAGACAGCCCAGAACGTGAACGAGAACAAGCTTCAATCCCTTCTTGACCTAGTGTTACGACAGCCAGGAAGTATTGCGGCGCAGGATCCGTTCAAGGAAGATGTCAAGATTCGGATGAATAGGGTTGGGCTTACCAAATGGTTGATGCAGGTTGTCAGCGTCTCTGGTATTGACCAAGACAATCCTGAAGCTGGCATGGAGAAATACCAAGCTCCGCAAACGCACGGCGAGGATGACAAGAATATTCTCGGATACGAGGCGCTTGAGTTAGACTACTCAGTTCCCTTTCCCCTGTCCCTGGTCATCAGTCGCAAAACCGTCCTGCGATACCAGCTGATTTTCCGCCATCTTCTGTCGCTTCGTCATCTGGAGAACCAGCTTGTTTCGTGCTGGCTCGATCAGAGCAAGTGTTCTGGCTGGCGGCACAAGTCCTCAGACCGCCGATTAGAGATGTGGAAACGACGGGCGTGGAGCCTGCGCTCAAAAATGCTTGTATTTGTGCAGCAGCATCTTTACTTTTGCACTGCAGAGGTCATTGAGCCCAACTGGCAAAATCTGATGGACCGGGTCAATGGGACTGATGCCGACGGGTCCGAGGTGACCGTGAACGGCACAAAACAAGTCAATCGAACTGTCGATGAGCTGATGCAGGACCATGTGGATTTCTTGGATACTTGCCTCAAGGAATGCATGCTAACGCAGGCCAAGCTGCTGAAGGTTTGTCTAGTAGAAGTTTTTGCCTTGCGACCGGGTCTAACAGCTGCTACAGATTCATTCGAAACTCATGATTTGCTGCAACATGTTCGCGCATTGGATTGTGTCGTCGGTTACACGAGGACTAGTTTTGGCGGACCCCGATCTTGCTGGCAAGGTTCCTGGTTCTGATAACAGGAGCTACGATCCGTCACGCGTGGCCAAACTGGAGGAAAACCTGAAAAAATATGAAGATCATTTTAGCCGACACGTGCGGATCCTGCTGGACAGGTAAGCATTCGGCCACGTCCTTGCCATAGTTCAAACAGTGCTGACTTTACTGGCTAGCCTGAACTATTTCGCCGCTACCGAGAGCGTTGTCCTCCTCAAGCTTGCACACGCTCTAAGCTCAATTAGCAAGGAAGATTGAACGAGTCGTGGAATCCTATGAGCACCGAGGACATGAGTTCTAGTTGCTTGGTCCATTAGCTGATTCTCAAATCGCAAGCGAGATACACGCGGAATCGATATGCATATGACTATGGATGCCGTCTATAGAGAGCTATGTCCGTATGATAAATAGTGCTATGCTATTGGCTTGATGGCCAGGGCGTTTTTATCCAAATCTCCCTGTCCATCCCATACATTTACGTTAGGAGTTGAAGGCAAGGGGGACATGGTATTTATTATGGCTTTATTGTTTATGGGGGATCGGAAACGATAATCAGTGTTATGGATTGTTGGGATACCCTCAAGTAGATCAATGAATATTGTATGAATGAATGTATGTACCGGAACCGGCTAGAATATCCCGAAATGGCCGACGACTCGGACTTACGGTAAGCACTACTCGTCCAAACCGCAACAATCCTCCTTTCTCCGTCCGTACTTTTATTCCCTGCCCATCTATACTCTACTTCATGTAATCATCGTAATGAACTCTCTCCATAAGACTCTATCTTCCCTCCCCTCTCTCCCCTCCCCCCCCAACTTGCACCTCCCCATCACGACCCCCAAACTCCTCCTCTCCGCCCTCTCCGCCACGCTCATCGTCCTCGCCTACCGCGACTACCGCACCTACATCTCCTACGGGCCCGGTGGAGCACCCCACAATGTTCTCGGCTGGTTCGGCGTGCGGGTCTTCCTCCTTCCATTCAAGAAGGAGATGTTCTCGACGGAGGTGTACACGTGCAGGATCCAAGCTGGAGATGGGAGGAGTTTCCTACCGGATGCGAAAGACCTCAGCACCAGGGAGGGTCAGCGACCGCTTGTTGGGCCGCATATGGTGCCGCAAAGGCAGTTGGATGGGTTTACGCCGGGTGGGTTGAGAGAGGTACATATTCTTTTAACTCCTTCTTACTATTAAAATGAAGAATACATAGAGAGAGGGAGAGAGATGGAAAAGGAAGGCAGGGCAAAAATTGTATATTTTTTACTAATACGAGTTACTAGAAATTTATGGAGGAATTCCAATCCTTCGCGACTCAAAGCCCTCATCTCGTCAAACTTGCACCCTCGAAATTAGAACTCCATGCCGACGCTTACTTCCTCGCAGATGGACTGGAAGCGTCGATCCCAGCGCAGAAGACCGATCGCGAGATCGCTCATATTCACAGGTTAAAAGATGGGTCTGTCCACGTGGTGTTGGCGCCGGCAGATTGTAAGTTCATTCTGTCTGTCTGTCTGTCTGTTTTCTCACAAGGGGGATGATTTGTATTCTCTTGATTTGAATAAATCAAATGCAATGGGTAATATCTAACTGTTTTCTTTCGTGACAGGTAAAAAGATATTTGATGCCGGTTGGGGTCAGCGTCATTCGTTGTCTGGAGCCAAGGTTCCCAGGGGATTTTCGGGCAAGACATTGGAATTGCCGAGTGAGTATGTGTTGATTTATGCGCCACGCAACGAGAACGAGGTGGCGTTCGTCATGGAGGTGATCAAGGCTAGTGTGAAGTATATGACTGGGGGGTAGCCATGGCGGGACAAATGATCGACAGGGTAAATCATAAGTGGCTACATAGCTGGTCTGTACGATAGGATAGTACTATGTATGAACATGAGCACATTCTCTCTGATTAAATACCTTCTCTATACCAGAAATAGGTATAATGATTTGCACCCTAAGTGCAATGAGAAAAATAGAGTACATAAATGATAAAAGGTGGGTTCGACTGCATCCACACTAGCGGGCCTAACCGCCGCAGTCCCCAGCGTCAACTCTGCCGAAGGGTGAACCATGGCTCTGGGTTCGCAGCCATACCAATCTATAACATGCATATGCCTCATTAGTTTCCCGTCTGCATGCATTCGAGATGGCTGAAAATATCCATTTCCCCGTGGCGATTCAGACCTTCCCTTCATTCCACCTTCCATTTTTGCAACGGGACTTCAAATAGGACATAACAAGAAAATCAAGAAGAGATGACAAATAAATAAAAAAAAGTATCTTCAGTCTGCTTCGCATTGACCCACCGCCAAGGACGGTCGAGTTTTACTTCCTCGGGATTCATTAGGTCTATGCCCCATCCATTAGAGGCTTTTAGTCCTAGCCATCGAGCGACTAGCAACCCAAAGGAGCGGTGAGGACTGAAGTGGGTGCAAACTAGCCATGACAGATGCCCCTAGAAACTTAGTCGAACCGATATAGTCCGGAGTCTCGGTAGAAACCATGTAATAGCGTTCCTTCTTGTGGGAAAGCGGCTTCGCCGGCGTTTCATGGTGCGTGGGTATACAAGGGTCGTCGTTCCATCAAACTACTGACAGAAAATAGACGACGCTTAGCTCCTATGCATGCATCCTCCGGGGCGGTGCTCACCTTGCATGAACTCGTGATCAGGTGAAGTCCAAACGACCAAGTACTCAACTGCAGTGATGCATAGCCGTTCAGTCACTTGTGGAAAGATGCTCTATCAGTCTCTTCATCCTTCTATAATATATAATCACGCCTTCTAGACAGTGGTCATAGTCCCATTAGAGCCTCCTTAGCGACCATGTTTGACTCACGTTGACTACCTCCAACAAATCAAGGCAATAGCCGAATTAGGGCCTTCGAGAGTCCGCCTATCCCTTGCTGGCCATGGTCACGTCATAGATGCGGTTGGAAAGTCCACATGTAGATCCCGTCATGACCCAGCCGCCAGCCAGTTCATGGGGATTTCAATCCCGTCCGTTGATTTTGCTAACTCGACATGTGAGAGGGATAAGCTGGTAGAAAGAGCAAAGGCCAGAATTATATCATACGCACAAGACTCGTCGTCGGCATCATCCTCCTATACACCGTGGGTCTAGGACGAACGTGGTATAGTTTACTCACGCCTCTAAAGACCACAGGCCCCAGTCCAAAATACCACGCACAGATGGCAGTTTTTCCTCCGAATTCCACTGTTGATCCCTCTCTCGCCTATGCGCCACCCATTCCCCCACTCCTTTCATTGGTGAATGCCATCATTGGCTATTTCCGGGAGATCCTTCATACAATCGGAGCAGTACAGAATTCTGTCTCGTGCGCTCTCAGCCACAATGACAGCAGAATCAAGCCAGGATGCGCAGAAAGCTGTCATTCAAGTCCTAGACAACACAGGTTCCACACTGTATGACAGCGGGGGACCAATTGGTTCTACCCTCGACCAATTCTTCGTCTGGACAGTCTGTGCTCCCTGCGAAGGACACTTAATTTTGGGTTTGCGTTCGATTGCATAAGCCAGTTCTGCCCCGTCCTATCTGCCTTTTTTAAAAAAATTTTTGGCCCTTTTCCCTTTTCACGTCTCTCTTAATTCAGACGTCTGGAGGTATCAAACATCACCGCGTACCAATACTCTATTTGCATGAGGGCTTTCCCTTTCCCTTCCCCCTTTTTGAGGTCTGCTGTGCGGCCGTATAGAGGCTCAGAGACGTGAGGACTTCGGGTTCTTGTCATTCTCTCTCCGGGTTCGTAAGAGAGAGGGACCCAACGTTCCATAGGCGCGAAGGGATCCTAGTGCTAACACCAAGCCCTCACATCTCGGTCCACATAAGTCAACGTGAACCTCTCTTTGACCGAAGGGACTCTTCAGATTAAGGGAGAGAGACCGGGAACCCATCCATTGTGACGCCGCCTAACCTTTAAGCCTTATCATCCGTACAAAGTCAGTTTGTCCATGCTGGCCCTAGTCCACTCGCAAGCTCACCTATACTGAAATCCGTCCGCATCGGGGCCCCTCCGGAAGGCTCCTCCGACCCCTCCTCCCCCTGCAAATGGCTTCAATGTAGTCACGGGAAAACAACAAGGTAGATGCGTATTTCTTTTTCGGCAATAGCTATGGCCATTCCCTTGTGATCACCGACATACTGTGTAACGTAAAGGCTGGTGGTTCCTGGAATTTTTTTTTTTTAAAAAAAAAAAAGAAAATTAAAAAAAAAAATTGGTTTTTTAAAATTTTTTTGCCCTGGGGTTGTTTTCTGGAGGGGTGTTTCAAGGCTTTTTCTGCCAATGATTCGCTTTCTTCTTTCAGAAGCCAGGCAAACGCCAGGTACTGGGCTGAGTGGATTTTCCTACCGTCCGTACATTTTAGCACGAATGTTGAGTCCCGCATAGATTGACTTCTGTCGTTTATGGAAGACATTATACTCGCTCCCTATTCCATTGTGCCAGCAGTACTTTTACCATCTCCCAACTTCTGTGCCGCATCAATCGATCGCTTCAAGAATCCGACTTCCGTGTCCACGATATAATCCCGTCCACGGGCAACAATATAGAGACACACTTAGCAATGTGCATCTCTTGTACCCCCTGATCATCGCCGTTGAATCATACAGAAAAGTATTCGGGTGAAGTCAACGTCCAGATCAAGATTAAAATGACGTATCCAGCCTGGCGCTTGATCCTATGCAAACAATGAATACTGACTTTGCTTGGTCGTCAAGGAGTCCTGATTCGCAAACGGAAGAGTTAGACGACGTATATCTCGATACCGTGACCATCCACCGACGCGAATATCAGAAATTCTCCATCGACAACCAGATATCTTTTGAACCAGTGGACGATGTAAGCACGCGCGATGTGAACTACCAACCCCAGGCAGATGATAATCCACACTAGGACGAAGCAGAGCGCCTCGAACTTCAACACCGCGTTTTCAATCAGGTTTTTGACAACCGTCTGATTTTCCCTCCTATACCCCGTCTTCGAAAGGTCCTGGATTGTGGTTACGGCACTGGGTCCTGGGCCATCGAAGTTGCCGAGCAAAATCCGGACTGCGAGGTAAAAAAACAAAGCCCCTAGAAGCACAGACACAGATTGGCTCACGAGTCGAATCCGAAGGTAATTGGTCTTGATATATTCCCACATATGAACCCAGACGATACACCGGAGAATCTGTGGCTACAGGTTAGTTAATGGCCTTACGTTCCCCCTGAAATTGGTATCACAACCGTGGAGAACGTCGCCATACAAAATCCTTCCGCTGTCGCACTCTCTGATGGGAAACAGGGATAGTCTTGGAGTGTTCTAACGGCATCTCCGGAATGGTCTCGCTAATAGGTTGCCACCTAGGTCGATGATTTGAACCGTTCATTTACCTTCCCCTCCAACCATTTTGACCTTGTCCACTCGAGGCTGCTTGCAACCGGGATCAACAAGGCCCGATGGCCATCTTATATTCGAGATATTAAAAGGTCTGACTTTGGACGGGTGTGCTGTCCACCCACTACTGGATTTTATTGTCAGGGTTGAACTAACCACTGGCGTAGAGTGCTTAAACCCGGAGGCTGGGTTCAACTAGTCGAGATATACTTCAACGTCCAGTCTGACAACGGCTCGATCACCGAACGAAATGCATTGAGGCAATGGAGCAGTCAGCTCATGGGTTCTCTTGAGACAAAAGACCTTCGCGTGGGAACACGGCTGAGGAATCTCCTGACTACAGCGGGTATGACAGAAGTAGATGTTAGAATGATCCCACTTCCTCTGTGCGCATGGTCTAATGGTAAGACCCCAGATTGCAATTCTAGGTCCTTTGAGCGACTGTTATTCTGACACCGGACTAGACCCAAGAATGCGAGATATCGGCTCCGTTAATCGCGAGAATATAAAGAGGCTGTTGCCGAGCTTGGCGCTGTATCCTTTTACTCAACACTTGGGAATAGATTTAGAGGAGTTTGAGGATCTGATATCACGAGCACAGCAAGAGGCTGACACTTCTGGCCTGAAGGCGTACTTCCCCTTGTAAGTGATCTATCCGAAAGGAATCTGGTTTGACGCTCTGACGATTTAGGTACGTTTGTATCGGACGAAAGGCCTTGTGAAAGAGAAAAGGTTCGAACGCAGGGGTTTTATTGGACTGCTGAGCTCGACACGGCTTTTCGTCTGATAGGGCTGGCCGGTTAAGCCGTATTCTTCCCTGTCTTTGGCTTAGATACCTTGCACCTGGACGCGTAAAGTTTTAAAAGTAACCGAATGATTAGTCGAACAGAGATCTTCTTGCTTTCTGGCTGAGTGTTTTGCCCTTCAGTTTTTCTGCTGTTACCACAAAACCACGCTATAAGCTGTCACAATAGAAGTGTAATGCTGGGTCCCATGCAGGACCACACTGGGTGTCCTGAGCTAAAACTCCCTCTTGGTCAACTTCTGCTCGACGTTCGAAAATGTCTGGTCATGGAGTTATTCACTCAATCTGCTGCTGACTTCATTGACTTGCAGGACGGCTCGCCCAAATACAGCCTTTGCAATGATAGTCAAGTTGAAGGTACCGCGTCTGAGCCTGGTTCTCACACCAGCAAGGGGAGTTGCACCGACGGACGGATTGTCGTCTATAGACAGCTAGTTGAAGATACAGGGAAGCTGGTTGTTGCTGTTGCTGCTGTTCGCTTCCAGCTGTATCGACCGTGGTTCAAAAGAAAACAGGTCGACGCACGCAAGGCCACTCACGCCAGGGTATTCTGAAGTAAGTTGAGGGGGATTGTGAAAAGCTATAATCCACGAACAGGCTCCACCATGAGAGGGCTGACAGGTGTGGAGTAGTAAAAGGCCCTACGGAGGTATCGAGGGAGGGGGTATCCATAATGCACTTAGTCACAACCGGTACGCATTGGAAGCCTCAACAGGAGGAGGGGGAAAAGAAAGAAAGGGGGAAGAGGCAGGCAGGAACGAGGAAAGAGGAAAGGGAACGGCCTCTCGGGTACGGAACCAAACTCACGGGACGAGTCACTGAACCTTGAGACCCAAACAAATTCGCTTGTCGGATAAACTCCCAGGAACCCCCCTTGTACAGAGACGGACAGAGCCTGGTCTACGGGTTTCTTTTCTTTGCAAGAGAAAGTTAATAACCATCTCGATTGTTCGTATCCAATGTCTCCGAAAACAACGACAATGTCCATCTCAACGCGTCTGTCGAAGGGACGTGCGTGACCAATGAGAATGATGGTTCTAACTGATCTACTAAGTCAGTGGGAGATCCGTCCATCAAGAACAAGAGAATCATGGCTAATTTCCATCATACAATGGTGTCAATAGACCAGAATCGACTCCCCCTAATTTGCTTGAATTGTGCCGTCATTTGTGTAAGGGCCGTACGAATGGGGAGACCCATGATATTCAGTGGGTCTAGTGAGCCGCGGGTTCAATACAACATTGCTCTGGGGATCGGCCGTCTATCTACCGAAGCAATGGCTCTAAATTATCCCGGAGACAGGCACGGTCTATACTCCATTGAACAGGTTGCCCGAGTTTGCACAGTGTGGCCAATTGGCCAGAATTTGTGCGTCTTCCTCATTGAGCCGCGGCCCCGAGAATTCAGTGCTCCATATGCCGAGGACTACAAATAGTTTGGTGACTAGTAAGGAGGCTTATTATAATAGTACTAGGATGTGATTTATCACTTAGCAATAGGCCCGCCGGCCCCTTTCTGTAGGTAATTGAAGGCCTTGCACTCCAAAACCGCGTCAAAAGCCAATGGATAATAAACGCATGATGCGACAGCCAGGACCCATCTTCGCGAGAGAAGCGACGACAGCTCGAAACTATACGTGCGCTTAAACGCCACGTCCCCATCGATCCGCCGGTTCGGCGCTTTTGGCGCTTACGGCGGAACTGTGGATGCCTCTTTGATGCCTGATTATCTGGGCATTTATATTTCCCGATTCAGTAAGAGCCCGCGGACCCTGAAAGAAGAAAAAAAGTTCCACTCCAAGATCAAACTAACAAACACCAGCCAGCACAGCATCCAAGATGCCTTCCACGTACAAGAAGGATAAGCCGTGGGATACGGATGACATCGACAAATGGAAGGTTCGTATCAGATTAGTGAACAAGACCTTTACTTGCGCATCGAGATTCTAACCTACAACCAGGTCGAACCATTCAAACCTGACGATAATGTTGCCGGTAACTTCGCTGAGGAATCATCCTTTGCGACTCTGTTCCCAAAGTACCGTGAAGTTTATCTGAAAGAGGCATGGCCTGTTTTGACGAGAGCGCTGGAAAAACATGGAATCGCCTGTACACTGGATTTGGTGGAAGGTAGTATGACCGTGAAGACGACGAGAAAAACATTTGATCCGGCAGCGATCCTGAAAGCTCGCGATCTGATCAAGTTACTATCAAGAAGCGTGCCTGTGCAACAGGTAAGAGTACATTTTCTTTTCTATTTCTCTATCCTCCTCCCCCCCCACCCACCACCAAATAAAATAAAATAAAATAAAACTGACCTATCCTTCAATCATAGGCACTGAAAATCCTTGACGACGAAGTTGCATGCGATATTATCAAGATCCGAAATCAGGTGCGCAATAAAGAGCGGTTTGTCAAACGTCGTCAACGTATCCTCGGTCCTGCCGGCTCTACTCTTAAAGCTCTCGAGCTCTTAACTGGCACTTATATCCTGGTGCAGGGCAATACGGTCGCTGCCATGGGTCCATTTAAGGGGTTGAAGGAGGTTCGCAAAGTGGTTAACGACTGCATGGCCAATATCCACCCGATTTATCACATCAAGGAGCTTATGATCAAGCGTGAACTGGCCAAGGATCCCACCCTCGCCAACGAATCCTGGGACCGATTCCTGCCCAACTTCAAGAAGCGCACCCTGTCCAAGCGTCATACGCCATTCAAGGTCACCGACAAGTCCAAGAAGGTGTATACGCCATTTCCCCCAGCGCCGGAGAAGAGCAAGGTGGATCTACAGATCGAGTCGGGCGAGTACTTCCTGTCCAAGGAGGCCAAAGAGCGCAAGCAGAAAGAGGAGGTGATGGAGAACCAGCGCCAGAAACGCGAGGAGAAGATGAAGGAGCGGGAGAAGGCATTTATGCCTCCCGAGGAGGTCGACAGTGTCGAGAAGGAGAAGAAGAAAAAGGAGAAGAAAGAAAAGAAAGAGAAAAAGAAGCGAAAGCGCGACTCAGAGGGAGATGCCGACGAAGTGTCCGAGAAGAAAGAAAAAAAGAAGAAGAGGAAAAGTACGTCAAAAAATGGCACGTCCTCCAACGGAGAGGAGTAATTGGTCGGTGGATTGATTCTGTAACTAGTCTTGTTCGCCCCTTCTTTCTTGTCCCTTTTTTCTTTTGATTTTCAGTCTTTTTCTTTCCTTCTTTCTTTTTCAGACAAGGCGCTTAGGCATAGCATGGGCTGGAGTTTTCTAGTGCCCCTTTTCTTGCTTTACTGATGCTGGGGAGGGGGAAGTCTGGTATAAAAATGGATATTATGAATTAAACAGCTACTTATTTGTCTGTGGCAAGTGAATGATATCTTCCACTTTTGTTGCCTTAACCCCGGTCTAGTAAATCCGGTGCCTTCCCTATGTCTTTTAAAAAACACAATGATACAATCTAGTTCTTAACATCTACTGCAGGTATTCTTTAACTTATCAAGTAGCCGGACAGCTAGACACAACCTTAAAAATTGTTCGATATAATCAAGCTCACAACGCACTGTTAGAACTATTATAGGAAGACAATAATTTCGTGGGTATATAGCCTGTGCAAATAGCCACCATTTTCTTTCCCTTGTACTTTGTGATCTATATTTCGCAGCGACGACGAGATTACAGGGTGTCGCAATTTTTGACTAACAGATTTTTAGGACTGACGCTTTCCAGAGACTGTTACTGGCCGATAGGATTGTTTATACCACACGACGAGCTTTGGTGTGGATAACACTCCTTCACATTTCCTTTCACTAGTTGCAGAGAAGAAGAAAAAAAGGTCTCACGAAAGAAAAGCCCACGTACCTTCTGCTTGGACAGACTGCGCAACTTCTTCATGGGTCAGACAGCATCTCCACTGTTCCTTCCTCCATCCTGTGTGATCTAATCTTGCTTCCAGTAGCCTATGTCAGATAAAAGATCGACAAGGTTGGCTGGATACTAGACTATCTCGAGCCTAAAGTGTGTATGAAATAGGCCTCATTTGATTGCCGTTGTCCTTTTGTCCTAGTTGCCATGGCTCAGTCTTCCATGCCAATGCATGGAGCTCCTATCCGTTCTCTTTCCCAATCTTCAATAAGAATAACACTGTGCAGATGAGATAGAATTGTGCAATTTGAGTCCAACGAGCCAAAATAACGATCAAACCTCATCCACCTATATCGAAGATTTGGAGTTACTATGCATGCGTGACTAACCACTTACTTCTTTCATGACTGCTAAGTTGGCCATAGCTGTTTTGTTGGAAACGATGATTTCTCCTTATTCCGTAAGTCCTACCCTACTTGGATGACGCTGCAAGAATTTGTTGCTGACTAAAATAACAGATTTTGGTCAAATTGCTTTCCACGTTTGGCACGCAGTAGCTTGGAGATGAATCGACTGGCCGAAGACTACACGACAATGCCCTCTGACTCAAGGAATATGACGAGCGCGATAGAATGGGGCGCAGCCGTCTGGTCAACGTTCCTTTGTGCGTTTAATCGTTTGCGGAGATCTGTATACTTGCTATGGTTGTCGGAATCCTGTTCGCTTGCATGTTGACAAGAGTGAACAGGATAATAATTGGGGCTTAAGCGTACTTATAGCTGTCGCCACTGGGATATGGATTTTAGCGTCTTTGCCATGGTTTTATTTTGAGAAGCGACGCCCAGGTCAAGATCCAGGAGGCGTAATATCCTTATAGCAGGACTACAGCAAGTGTGCCATGCTATCAAGCTGATAGGGGGCTGAAGCAGACCTTGTTTTATGTCACTGGTGAGTCTCTCGCCAGCTCATTGCCTTCTAGTTCTCTGAAGTCTAGCCTAGCTGAAGGATATTTTCTCCTCAGTGGCTTTATTACTACAACGATGACCGTGGTCGCAGCCTGGAAAATCAGAGTGTTGGTGTACAATATTCTCCATTTGACGCACCTGCTGATGGTCAGAGTTGCAGCTCAGGTATGTATATACACATCCTTCAGGTCCCCTTCAGATGCCGAAACCGTCCATAATCAAGGAGTATCTCTAGGTGTTCGGTCTATTACTTTTTTTGGATCTGTCAATTCTGGTTCCGGTTAAGTACAAAGAGGATGTTAATGATAAACATAGGGGCAATCATGTTGCTCAACTTCTGGGGTGTTATAGGCGTATGAACTCGAAGATTTGGATTCCACAATGCTAGGGTGTTCTAGGTACATAGACTGCAAGCTGTCCATCCGTTGAGAATGCTGCTAATGCCTTCGCAACAGGTATACCAAGGATTCTATGGCTTATTTGTGTCTCCGTGGTCCAGTTACTCGCAAGTAATGATTTCCGATGTTACGCCTCGGGAACGAGGTTTTTCATTCTTCGGTCTTCAGCATTGCGGTAAAGCATCCTCCTTCATATGCGAGCCGATCTACAATGTCATTCTCGATAGCAAATACTCCAAGAAGGATTCCATCCCATTCTCGTTTCTTTTTAGTTTAAGTGTGGTTAGTTTTTTCTGGCTGGGGTTTTGGCTGGACATCGATAGAAGTCGACAAGAGCAAGAGAGATTTCTTGGGTACCGGGAAGCATCATAGGCTATGTGATCAGCAAAGAGCTGGGTTTATTGCTTTCGAACGCGGGAAATGGCCGATGGGATAAATTAAGAGGCATGGGGTTTGTCGAAACAGTTTAATGCAGGCCAGGGCCTTTATGATGTTACACCGTAATGGAGTCTATACGCCAGTCTAAGCACAGAGTCGTATTTATATGGAACCACATATTTACAACCCACCCAATGTACATAGCACCCTCAACCCATATGTGCATAAAAGTGCAGGATGTACAGCCTAACAGGCAGCTGATTTATAGTTTCGCCTGTCCAGTTTCAATCGACGACCAGCTTATTGTATCTAGCTTCTCGTACGACGATCCGTTCAACCAGTATAGCTTGTCGCCATTCGAATCCACTCTAGGATCCCACCCCTTCTTCGCTAATTCTCCTTTAGCTTGCTTGAAAGTGACGCCAGTGGCAACCCTAATACATTCCCAAGCCGCTGTTAGTAAAACCACATGTTATACTCAAGGTGGTTAAACGTAGGAAACTTACTTTTCAGTGAGGCGAACAAGCCGGGGGAGCGCATACGAAGGGACACCCTTCTTCTTTAGCTCACGGTAGAGAGAAGCCATGAATTCAGTTTCCGTGGATGGATCATCTAGAGTAATCCCGGCGGCACCAGCCTGACCATCGTACCTGCATGTATGAAATCCAGCAAATTAGCGTATATGTCCCATACAGAAATATGGAGGCACAGGTAGAAAGATGGACTCTGGTGAATCTCTGGTGGAGTTATACGTACCCGTTCAATTTCACCCCATACACGACGGCGTCCTGCACGGAGGGATTCCGACAGATATGATCTCTGACTTCGCCGGCGCTGACATTCTCGCCTTTCCAACGGAAAGTATCTCCCACACGATCCTGGAACTTGATCCAGCCGGAGTGATCCTGGATCACCAGGTCCCCTGTGCGCTGGAAGAGGTCGCCCTTCTGGAATACGTCACGAAGTAGCTTCTTCTCGGTGGCTTCCTCATTGTGAAGATATTCTGCAAGTGAGTCGCGGTTTCGGACCCGTCCAATGGCCTCGCCTTCCTCGCCTAGTTTAGATTTGGTGCAGAATCCGGTCTGCGGGTCGCGGTATGGCATCTCTGTGGCCCGGTCGTATTTCACAATAAAGACGTCGTCATCTAGGAACCGACGAATGGGTCCCGCGAAGCCGATTTTGCCTGCGCCCCAGGCGCCCTCGCCGAAGTTGTCAAATTTCGCTACACCTTCCGTTGAGCGATAGAATTCGCGGATCTCGGGGACCCCGAATCGCTCGCGGAAGCGCTCCCAGATCTCCTCGCGCAAACCGTTGCCATGGGCTACGATGCACTCGTGATCGCGGTCGTACGGGGATGGGGGTGTTGCGAGAAGGTATCGGCAGAGTTCGCCGATGTATAGGATGCGGGTGGCTCTGGACTCATGGACGTCTTTCCAAAACTGAGACGCAGAGAACTTGCGCCGTAGACATAACGTGCCGGCATTCCCGACACAGTAGCATATGCCGGTAAAAAAGGCGGTGCCGTGGAAGAGTGGGAGACAAGAGTAGGTGCGTAAGGGGTAGTATTTCGAGCGGTTGTTGACGTCTACCGTGAGTGGGGTGGATGTCACGAGGGTTGCTATATTGCGGATTGCGCAGGCTTTGGGCTTGCCTGTCGTGCCGGAGGTGTAAATGAGCACGCTCAGGTCGCTGAGCGACCTCTTCGCAGCAGTGAGCCTCAAGGGAGAGAATTGGTGTAGTTCCGTCGTGGTTACGAGCTCTGTCGTCCCTACGGAGATGTCATCGAACGAGGATATGTTAATCGCTATATGGGGCATATCAGAGGTCACAAACGGCGACAGATCAGGTGTCGAGATTATGGCTTTGGAACCGGACACGTCGAGGCAATGCGCAAAGGTATCGTCTACCCCAACTCGAAGTTAGTCAAATACTCGTTACCGTCCAAGTAGATATGATTTCCTCCATACCGCGAAGGTTCGTATTAAGAAGGGCCGCCACAGCTCCCAGTTTGGAGAGCGCGTAGATGGTGACAACCATCTCCGGAGAATTCGTGGTGAAGACACCAACGAAATCCCCAGGCTTGATCTCCTTTGCATGGAGAAGAGCAGCAAACCGATCCACCACTGCACATGAGCGAGTCAGCAATTGAGAATAAGGCAAACAGATTTGTTGATCGTGAATGTAGGGAGGTTCACACACAGTCTTTCAACTGACTATAGGTCCATGTCTTGCCTTCGAACCAAAGCGCCTCCGCGGAGCCCTGCTTTTCTTCTTCAACCACCTGTTGCAGCATCTTGTATATTGTGGGCGTATCATCTAACTGCGCAATTCGCTGACCCAGAAGATGCGTCCAGGCCCGATGCTGATACAGTGCGGAAAGATCTGTGGAAATGGAGAATTTTGCATTAAGATAGGCTCCTGCAGCCGCGGAGAGGGCCGACGCAATGGCCATAGAAGACCCGCTAATTCCTGAAAAGAAATCCATACCACCTCGACCGACGAGAATCACGTAGAAGGCAGTAATTACTGTGTTGGAAGCTGGTTGGGTCCTCCTTCAATGGCTGTAATGGTCTGATCGGCTCAACAAGATTGGAGAAGCTTCAATTATTACCGGGAGACCTAGCAGCTGAATAAAAACATACACACTCATCACAGCTTGTTTTGGCCCAGAACTAGACTTCTTTTTCTAGACCTGATCTGGATCACAGATCTGGTACTTGTATATGACAGAGAGAGAGCCAGGTAGCCGTGAAAAGACAGTCGGGAACTGGGGCCGGGAGCTGTAATGCATCGATCTACCGTCCGTGGCACGAAACCGAAAGTTCGAGGATTATTCCCGGGGCACGCCAACTAAGGTGCCGGAAGACGATCCGATGGAGACCGTCAGTGTAACCTGAGGCGGCCACTAAACGTGACGAGAGCAGGCCGACTGGGAGTCTATTGGCGGCCCGATTCTCCAATATCTTCACCGCCAGCAATTCAGCTTCAATAGCCCTTCATACTTGCAATTCTCCTGGATATGCACGGCGCAGTGATGACAGTAGAAAGGCAAGCGAGCCATGGTCGTATGAGGACGTTGTAGGCGCGCCTTGACAAGAGTAGAGTTCATGTCTCCTGCATGTATGTATGTATGCGCCTCGGAAGAATCATCGAGTCCGTCATCGATGGCTATGGACCTGCAGGAGTTAGTGCAACTCTTTCTTGTGATCGCCATAATTGTTAATCCCATTCGATTGAGAAGCTGCTTTTGCTGGTTGGCGAGATACAGATTATTACCGTACAGTATCACGACAGGCGCCATTTTCCGCAGGGCCGACAGCCGAGGCTGTGCAGCGTGACTGTAAAATACACCAAAAAAACTCGGCTTTGAACAATGCCGACAAGCCTGAATCCTCAGGTTTCGACGCCTTCACGCTCCTCTGAGTAGGGTCTTGATCGCCTCAGAAGAGCCGCGGCTCGCAACTCAGGGTACCCGGATATTTGTCGACAGTTCTAGTATAACAACCGGTGTTGAGAAGGCCCTTCCATCTATAGAACATCTACGTGCTTCTTTCTGCTTTGTTGAGAATCCCGAGGAGCATACAGAGCCCCTGGATAAAACGAGTGCAATGTCTTCACCACAGCAACGGTTGTCCTCAATCGCAAATCAGCTGTCTGGCCCTAGTGCTGCGGCTGCAAAGCAGAAGCTATTGGTCAAAAACCCGGACGATGTGGTATGTTTTCTGATCTCCAACAAATGCGCAACGGTGTCGGGATTCAGAAGTTGACTTCCCGGAAACAGGTCATCACACTGGCCGTCCGCACCCCCCTTACGAAAGCTAGAAAGGGGGGTTTGAAGGATACCTCTTTGGATAATTTGCTTATTTCTATTCTGACGGTATGGAGCCATAATCCCCGAAGGTTTTCAATCACACCGAAAGCCTAACAATTCTACTAGTCCGTTCGGGAACGGTCGAATCTTGACCCTAATCTGGTCGAAGATGTGTGCGTTGGCAACGTACTTTGCCCCGGTTCGGCATACATCGCACGCTCTGCGGTGTTGGCGGCCGGATTCCCGGTGACTGCAGCGGCGTCGATTGCCAACCGATTTTGTTCTTCCGGCTTGCTGGCCATTCAGAACATTGCTAACCAGATTCTGGCCGGTTCGATCGACGTAGGTGTTGCCGTGGGAGCAGAAAGTATGAGCACGAATCCCGACAGCGGTGCCCCGGAGATGTCTTCTCAGATTATGTCGCACCCACTCGCCTCTCAGAACAAGCAACCTATGGGCCAAACCTCGGAGAATGTTGCGGCTCAGTTCAACATCTCTCGCGAGATGCACGACCAATTCGCCGCTAAGAGTTACCAGAAGGCGGAGCGCGCCCAGAAGGCTGGCTGGTTCAACGATGAGATCGTCCCGGTCCGTACCACGACCAAGGACCCCAAGACTGGGGAAGTGAAATACGTCGTTGTGGATCAAGATGATTGCATTCGGTACGGCACCACTGCCGAGTCACTTGGAAAGATCCGTTCGGCGTTTCCTCAGTGGAAGCCCAATGCTACTACTGGTGGGAATGCCAGTCAAATCACCGATGGTGCGGCCGCCGTCATCCTCATGAAGCGCTCTCGTGCACAAGAATTGGGGCAGCCGATTTTGGGCAAGTTCTGTGGCGCTACCGTTGCCGGCTTGGAGCCCCGAATCATGGGTATTGGCCCATCGATTGCCATTCCTAAGATTCTCACCAAGTTCGGCTTGACCAAGGACGAAATTGATATCTTTGAGATCAACGAGGCATTTGCATCCATGGTTTGCAGTGACCCTTTGATTTAAGACTCTGTTTTATCTGCTGACCTCATATAGGGTGCGTATTGCGTCAAGAAACTGGATCTTGACGAAGCCAAGGTGAACCCCCGGGGTGGTGCAATGTATGTCCCGTAATTTTCCTTTTGAGTACTCTTTAGTCTATGTCCGTCCTGACCATCAAAGTGCCATCGGTCACCCATTGGGATGCACTGGAGCACGCCAGGTTGTCACCGCCTTTTCTGAGCTACGACGGCAAAACAAGAGAGTAGCTGTTACTTCTATGTGTATTGGAACTGTAAGTCGTCTTATTTTGTTTGGCTACTTCTAGTCTTTTCCACATATTGACTGCTTCTCCAGGGCATGGGTATGGCTGGTATCTTTGTCTCGGAACACTGAATGTAAACATCCGTTGGAAGAGGACGAGTATGATATATGAAGCATGTAAATACCCTACTATAAAATAACGACGGTTGTTGGCCACTGGTTGTTCTCTCTCTTTTCCGCTACAGTCGGTGAAGGAGGCCCTCGCAGTATTTACAAGGTCAAGAAAGTACAGTGGATCCTCGCTATAACGAGGTCTTCGAGACAGCCCAAATATCTCGTTATAGCGAGGATCTCGTAATATCAAGGAGGCAGGGAAACTAAGGAAATATATATATTTCAACCCGCAAAAATAGCTTCTAGTATCACGCTGACTCTGCCAGCGGTTGAGATAGGCTTACTCTGAGGCGTTATTTGACAAGCGGAATCCTTGATATAACGAGATTTGTATAGGAGGACGAAGAAAAATTAACGAGACTCGTAATAGCCAGGAATCTCGTTAAATGTAGGGAGTTTAAATTAAGGCAACATTCCTTCTCGTTATGGCCAGGATCGTGTAAATAGCGAGGCTCGTAATAGCGAGGATCCACTGTAACTTCATTGAGAACGAGGTGGGTCCATTTCCACGAAAGAGTGGGATTTCGACTCCATAGCTCTAGTCAAGCAGAGTCAAGGGTTGCATGAGATCGACAGCTTCAGTATACATAAGGACTAGCTAGCAGCTAAGTAGATGCAAGTTGTATGCTTGCGCCATTCTCATAGCAGCACCCGTCACGTGCACCTGCCCGCTCATTATGGTGCTGCCAAGACAGGAACAGTCCCATGACTATCCCGATGGCTTCTCCCCTCAACTAGCTCATCGAATCCCTCTAAAACCCACCACTCTACCCTTTCTGCCACGATCCGTTACTGCAGGGTTCGTGTGCGCTGGTTCCCTTACGTCCTGACTCTCTAAAGTAGCATCGGGTTGGCAATTCCTGAACCATGAAGCTCTTATCAACGACAGCTACCCTGCTTGTCTGCCTTGCTCCTCTCTCCGCATCGGCTCGATCTATTGCCCTGTTTGGCTCCTCTCAGGTCCCGATCCAGTTGGACGATGCCACCTTAGTACCAGGAGACAACCCTCTAGAGTATTGCACAGACCCTGCCTCGGACGTCATCCAAATCGAATCGGTGGACTTATCACCCAACCCTCCTCTCCCGTATGTCAAACACGCCCGATAATAAGCCCCTCTGTCTAACCGGTTGCAGTGGACAAACCCTCATAATCAAGGCCAAGGGGACCCTACAGAAGAAGATCGAAAAGGGCGCCTACGTACTCCTGCAAGTTAAATACGGCCTGATCACTCTTATCAAGCAACAGGCCGACCTTTGCGACCAGATTGTCAATGTCGACCTTAAATGCCCTTTGGAGGAAGGTGACATGTCCCTGACAAAGAAAGTCGATCTGCCTAGGCAGATTCCTCCGGTATGCTATATTCACGTCGGATCCATTAGAAAGTGAGCAGCTAATGTCTGAATAGGGCAAGTATTCTGTGCATGCCGATGTGTTTACGAAAGATGATGAGCGGATCACCTGTCTCGAGGCAAAAAATATTGAGTTCAAGATGGGTTAAGGTCAACATTTGAAGGCTTGATGATGCTGCCTTTCTCCATTAGGAGCCCCGGTTGAATTTGCCCGGGGTTTCACTATCCGTATCGATCACCTGATGCCGCACGACTTTGGATTACCTTGCTATTCTTCCCTAATCCGTAGCGAATGTTTCATTTTGCACGTCCACCTATGTCCTGTTCCATTCATGCTAGTTTGGATGCTTCACGATCATTGCTTGGCTGTTATTAAATGTTGTTTATTCCGTACGGCGTTCATGACGCCCATCAAGAGCTACTTCTACTACCTATTGCACGCTGCAGCGCATAATGGCCATGTACCAACCATATCGGGAATCATCTATATTGATGTGTTCTTTGAATAACCTCTACATTCTAATTCGCATGCCTCCATTTAGTGCGGTGTGAAAGCATTACCAAATATCACTTAGAGATTTCATTTCTCTTTCTGTATGTTTACAAGATCGTAGTTGCAAATTCGAACAGCCATAGAAGGACTGGGGATTCAGAATTCCATTGGAGGGTTTGCAGTTAGCAAATATATGAGGGTTCTATGTGCATAACTCTGACAAATGGGTATCTTCCCTTTCCAGTTAACCATTCTTCCGAGCGAGCGGTCATACCATGTAGCATTTCGCAACAATAGTGGTGTCCCCAAATATGTACCGTCCATCTCCAGCGAAACAGATGCCCCACTAAGGAAACGACAAGGTGATAAACTACCAAACGCCCAGTATTTATTCTCCAAACAGACGCCGCACCCGCTTAAGCACACTGTCCTTCTCAGGGTCGTAGGGATGGTCTTTGCTGGGAATCTCGAGAACGGCGGGGAATGGGTCGGCAAAGGTATCGACGCTGTGTCGGATGCGCTCTGCGATCTGATTCCAGAGCGTCAGCACGAGGAACCAAGAGGAGGCACAAGATCAAATGACCAAGGGAGTTGACTGCCTCGGGAATACTTACATGTTGGTTGATGAGGACCACGGCAATATCCTTCCTTTCTTGGGTCAAATTGCGGAACGCATTTTCGATTGTCGAGGTCTCGGTTTTCGAATCTACAACGAGAAAATTCCGCTGCGCATCGGGACCGTCTGTGACATGCTGTAATAGCCCATTAGCCCATGACCGCTCATCGTCGTTGCGTCCATCCATCGACTATCTGTCCCAGGGAACTAGTACTTACACCAATGCCGGCGAGAAGAAGACCAGTCACCGAGCTGGAAATAGGATATCAGTATATAGGAATAAACATACAACGATAATTATGGCCAGTCATTACTCTTCATCGCCAATAACAGCAAGGAGCTGCCGCTCCTAGATCGGCAAGAGCACGGTTAGCCAATACTTTGCAGTTCCCTCCCCAGAAGGGAGATAGGCATTAATGTACAGTACCTTATAGGACACGGCTGACGCCGCCATGGTGGAAAAGCAGAGTTCTGCAACTTAAGTAATTCCAAGAACAAATAAGTCCAGAGCACACCGAAGCGCCAGTGTTCAGGAAGCCTCCCGATAACCTGATCGCACGTCGTCATAACGAGCCGTTGGCCGAAGATGCTTACCTAAGCGGATCGTTTCAACTGTAGTTATTTTCTTTTGTTTACCGGCGGAGTCGAAAACTTTCCCTTCGGCTTGTCTTTGTTCTTTTGAGGTGAGTCGATGTGCCTTTTCTAGGATTTTATGACTCGTCGAGGATATGGAAAGGCTAACTTTTTCTTCCTTAGCGGCAACGCAGTGTTTTGCATTTTGTTTGTAGTTCCATCGCATTCATCATGGCCCGGCTAGTACGCCGCCGACCTGTGGCGGAACGCATCAAATCTTACTTGAATCCGTTGGACTTCTTGCTCTGGTTATCGGAAGAGATCGATGCCAATGATTGGGATCAGTTTGAAAAAAACTGGGCGCTCACGCTGGGTGTGATCCTAAATATTGCGTTCCTGATTGCGAGAGCCAACAGTCAGTCAAGTGGCAGTCGGGCTGTAGATGATGTTTTTGGTGATGAGGGTAGTGCTCCTTGGTCGAGCTGGTTTGTACGTTGTCATTCTACTCTTTTATTTTGGCACTTGATGGGACGCTTGGATCACGCTGTGGTGCTAACGATAGCTCTATTGATAGGCCTCCTTCGTCGTTCATCTGCTAGTTTGTTTTGTCGCTTTGAACACATTTTACACTTTCTACCGCAAGCGACATTATCGCATGTTCGAAGCCTCGATTGACCAGACCCCTGCAACACCTTCTGCTCACCGTGTGCATGTCGATTCCACCCCCGTGACAGCTTCACCGCTGCGATACCTGGCTCAAGCCATATCTAGTTCGGCCCAGTCAAGGGCGCACCCCAGTGCGCAACGGGATGTCTGGGAGCTTGCAGTTTGGGACCCCTTACCGATCTGTGTGCGCCTATTCTGTTTGTTCAGTCCTGGACATGTCCTTGTTTACTTGCTTTTCCTACCTACGCAGCTATCGGATCCACAGCCGAGTGTAACCATTGTAACAGCTATCTTCCTTACGGGCCTGCTTTCGGTGCAGATGAGTTTCCTCTCATCATCTTTCACCCAACAAGCGAAAGACTCGGCATTGGTCCATAAAGAGGTGCTGAAGGAGTACGATGTCAAATACGTACACCCCCGAACCCAGCCTTTGATGCGAGATGTCAGCACTCAGTTCTCCTACAAGGACGCTGCTCAATCTGGCTCTGATGCTAAGAACAACAAGGTCGACACGTTCACTCCGACCTTCATCGTCCATCGGGGATTCAAGACGAGTCCCAATCCAAATTATGTCAGCCACGTCGATCCTGAAGGATTGTCTTCGGGCCGTCAACCACTAGCTGCTACGCCTCCGGGGTCTTCTCAGTATCAAGGACCCTTACAGACGCCCAGCCATTTGCGAGATGCATCTCCTGTTGTTCGGAAGCCTATTTCTTCAATCCGCCAGCCACAGTTCCGTAAAACTCCAACGGGCACTGGAGACGGTGGTAGCCTCGGCATATATTCCCATGCCAATTCGCCGCTAAGAAGGTCAACATCTACAAGCTTTGACCGCCGTCTGCAAAGCAACGCGGATTTCTTCTACAAAGAACGGGGGACAAGTGCAATGAAGCGACCATCAAGCCCTCTCAAGAGGAGCAATGTGCCTGGGAGTGTGAGTCCCCTTGCATCCACACCAAGACGGAGTCAGGGTGATGCACGCCGCGAAACAGGATACTACTAGCTTAAACATTTAAATAAATCGTCATCCGTCTGTCTCTCAGGCGGGAGAGATGAGCCTTTTTTTTTTTTTTTTTTCTCTCTTTGAACTTCCAAACAGCGCCATCAGCGCCATCATATTATTCAAGGCATACGGCATGTGGCTATGGTCCAGTTTAGCATCGGAGCACGGCGTTGTCATTTCATAGTTCTGGTTTCTGGTTTCTTTTCTTTTTCTTTTTGGTTTAGTGCTTCTGTTCTTCCGCATTTGGGGACATTCAGCAAACTTCTATCGGCTCAAGAATGTGGACAACGGAAGCATGGCCAGCCACTGTATTATATGTTTGGAATCCTCCTGCGCCCGTTTAGCTACCAGTTTAGGTCGCTATGTTTTTCTCAACTCTATTACGAAAAAAGAAGAAAAACCCTACTTGTCCATTCTGAATATGGCAACCTCTCCATCCAGCATTTCGTTGGACAGGCTGACATGATGCCGTTAAATTTGGAGCCATGGCCTTCCTAACTCTCCGATGACGATAGCAGGCGGGGTAAAAACCTGACGAGGGCAGCTGCCATTCCATTCTGTTTTAGACAAGAATTCGGAGTCATCCATTCCCTATCGGGCAATCAGTTTGTTGATACATTCCACCGCGTGCACCTTAACATTCCAGCAACATCATTACACCTGTTATCCCTTTCTTGCAGCACAACTCATGGGAATAGTGGAAAAATATCCTACCCTGCAGAAATTTCCTTGCGAGTCTTGCAATGTCCTAACTACCTCAACGGCCACACAACAATCGCCTCCCAAGGCGTGTAAACGTGCGTACAACGGAGCAAAAGACAACGAAAGGTGTTCGGGGGGAATGGGTCAACTCAATACCGACCCTAGCTGAAAAGTTGAAGCTGCTAGCCGTCGTTCGCCATCGCACTAACATGGAGGAACGGTTTAATTTGCCCGATGGACATATACTCAACCTACAGGCCCGATTACGCAATCTTAAACACGCAAAAAATGATGCTGAAGAGACAGAATGCGATCTAGCCCAGGAACCTGCAACAGGGACCCAACCTTGTCAGTTCCCTTCAGAAAGCAGAGACCCAAAATCCACACCGGAGGCCTCACTACGGAAAGTCACACCTACACGGCTCCCGATGCCGAAGAAGATCGCGGACAAAGCTAGGGGACAATACACGGAGAAGTCACCCGTGGCCGAACATGGAGAGCATTCCCTAGGCAGGCGTGTCCGGGCTAAGGTGCCCCCTATACCATTAGAACGCCGTCCAGCGAAGTCGGCTGATAAAGATCGTGAGCAGTACTGGCAAAAGGTCAAAGAGAAATTTGACAGGGAGTCCCCTCGTTCCTCACGAGCCAAAGACAAGCACAAGGATTACTACTACGGAGCCTACCAAAAGATCCTATCATTGACTGGCTCTCCGAAACAGGAAACCACCAGACATAAACTAAAACATGTCGGAAAGGATCTTGAAAAGGCCTCAATGCAAAGTGCCATTCCCAGGTCTGCAGCAGTCGATCACAATCTCAGCTGCCGACACGACCCTGCTCCCAGCTCTAAGGGCGAGCTTTCAGGCCCAAGCAAATCACGATCGAATAAGGACCAAAGGAAGGCTCTTGAAACCGGCGACGCTGCAAATCGGAGGTTACCAGAGCGACACGATACAGCTACAGACTCATCCGCTCATTCTCGCCTCTCTATATCACCTGTATCAGGGCCTTGCAGTTCGATAACCGAATGGGAGGATAGGTTTGTCGTGAACATGCCGTCAGCTAAAGAGCCAAATCCACCCACCATGAGTGCGCATCAGATCGCTGAGTTTCAGCGAAGCATAGATAAGGTTCATAAAGAGGGAGAGGCAATGCTTGATCCAGACACTTTACCCAGTCCACGGACCACAACCCCAGAAGACAAGTTTCGCTTTCCAGAATCTCAGGCAAGGAAAATGGGCAATCTTGACAGCCAAGACTCCAATGCAGCATCTCTGGCAGTGTCAGATGAACCCATGTCATCGCAACAGCCCAGTAATGGTCGATACTACTGCCCCGATGAGATTGGGAAACCGCGATTTAGCACAATCTGGGAAGAGTCACCGTCACGGTCAAAATGTAAAGTTGCCACAGCATTAAACATTGATGGGTCTTTTTTAGGGTGCAAAGAAATGAACGGGCCGAACGACAAAAATCCCGACGAGATATTGCTTTTCTCAACCGCGGGCGAGCGTCCCGTGCACCCCAGAGTAGTCGACGTGTCAACTTCCGTTCCCAGGAATCTTAGAGAATGGAAGAAGGCCGATCCTCGTCAAGCGACGGTATTTGACCAGAAGACTGTCGTTCAAGAAGAGTGGAAACCAATTTCTCAGAATTTGAAGCATGCCCAATGCTCGAAGCCGTCGACCACTACAATGTGCCGCGAGAACAACTGCCGGCCACCAGAAAGGGCAGAGATTTCCGCTCCCAAAGCTTCGGGCAAGGAGAACACGAGCCGTACCCAGAATTTGACCAAGGTCCCAGAACAATGGAAATGCAGCCAAGAGGACAATGTGTTCATTATCACACCCACTATCAAACGCACTATGATGTCTATGGTAGACATGAGAGGTGCGGCAGATAGATCCTCTGCACCGAAGGAACCCGCCTCCCAAGCAGGAGGCGAGACCATCACCGACGCCAGAGCAAAGCCTCCAACGAACTCTACACCATCGGGTTTACGTCGAGCGACGCAGACCTCGTGGGGAAAGTTAAACACGCAATACATAACGTTGTCAAAGGCTAGTCCCACAACAAACTGTACCGCCGCCCAAAATCAGGCAGAAGCTCGACAAAACAACATAGAACACCCACACCCTATCCGTGGGTACATCCGTACCACAGGCATGGTAAAATCGTCCACGGAAAATCATATCCGACGCTCGCTCAATAGTCAACAATCCCAGGTCCATGGTGCGGGCCCCGATAACGAAAATGTGACCCCAATGAGAAGTGTGACAGATCCAGCTCAATTTGCCAAGTCTACTTCGGCCCAAAAGCCAATAGTCCCAACTACGTCCCCTACCGGCGATCAACAAGCACTGAAGGCCACAGCACGAAGTGCTAGGATCTTCGAAGTAGCTGAGCTAGATGGACAACAGGTGGATGACTTAAAGGACGAGCCCAAGGAACAAGTATTGCGTCCCAAAAGCACTACCACAATCAACAGCAGCTCACACAATGCCAATGTTGAGATACAGGAGACTGTTAAAGACGCGGTGGTGGATTCCGTGACTTTCGGCCTCATTATCGACATAATTGTCTTATCAATCGCCCAAGCCCAAGGGCTGTATGACCAGATCATAGCCAATCGGAATTCCCGGACGGAGTTGCTGAAGGTTTCCTTGACCTGCATTTTGAGAATGGCTGGTCATTGCTTATATGTGCTCTGGAACGTTTTGACGGCTTGTTACGTGTACAACACCACAGGATCTTGGCCGAGACCGAACGAAAAGGACCTTGCTCGGTCTTTGACGGAGCTTGGACAAGCCGTGATTTATCTCGTTGCTTTGGGGTTCATCATGATGGTGGTGGGCCGAGCGGCCGGGTATATAGTGCTGGTTGGAAGTTGGGTGGTGTGGGTGACCAAACCATTTGGATGGATCCTGGGGGCTTTAGGAAGGGCTCTATTGGCGTGAGGGTTTTGTTATCGACGTTGCCATTCATTTCAGCTCAGGAGAGGAGGCCCTCTAATCACATTCTTACAGTGGCTAGCGATGCTTTCTTGTTTTTCAGCTATGCATTTTTATCTGGCACACTATGTTTTTATCCATTCTGTGCCATCGTTCTCATTTCCATCCCTTGTAAAATCTGCCATGAAAGGCAGAGAGCCGTGAGCCCCAATCCAGACTTTTATGTGAGCCACTAATTCTATAACGTAACTGGAAAGCGAGCGAGCCACCTCTCCGGTTTCTACGCATCATAATATTTGACGCAAATAAGTAACCCACCATGCCTCCAAAAGCGCGTATAAATTCGAAAAATTCAGCGGAGCAAGAGAAGAGGATCTTATTAGCAATATATTTTTTCTTTTTTTTTAAAAAAAAAAAAATAAAGAGGAAATCAGCAAAATTTGTGACGCTGCACAAATTTATAAGATGCCCGCACAAATCTTCAACACCGAATGAATGGACGTCTACACCGGGCATAAATACGCGCAAATGGTCATGAAATGACTCAAAATGAAGAGGAATCGCTTGTACCATGGATATTATTATCATATCGATGTGGAATTGCCCCCCACCCCGGACCATCTCGCGTACAAGAAATGGCCAATATTCTTCTGCTAGGGTAGTACCGCATCCATACAGACTGTTAGCGATAAATGGGCATACAACTTTATCAAACGACATGGTTAGCTTAAATCAAGATGTTCTCGATGATACAATCACCAGCGCGCTAAATGTGAGGACCTAAGCTTATTAGGGAGTGGTTTGGTCGCGCACAAATCACTCTAAAACAACATGGAGTTGCACAAGAAAATATCTATAATTTTGACGAAACTTGCTTTGCAATGGGCCTGGTAGCTACTGCTAAAGTAGTTACCAGAGCTAATATGCAGGGAAAGCCATTTCTAGTGCAGCCAGGCAATCGAGAATGGTCCACCTCTGTTGAGTGTGTTAACTGTACTGGATGGACACTTCCACCTTGTATTATCTTTAAGAGAAAGGTCCATATGGAAGGTTGGTATAAGACCTCACTAGATAGCTGAAGGATTGAAGTTAGTGGATGGATGGACTATTGATGAGATTTGACTACGCTGGCTTGAAAGGCTCTTTATTCCTGCTACAGCTGGTCGTATAACTGGACGATATTTCCTGGTGGTTGTTGATGGTCATGGAAGCCATTTAACTCCTTAATTTGACCAAATTTGCAGTGAGAATAATATTATACCAATCTGAATGCCACCACACTCATCACATCTTCTTCGACCACTTAATGTTGGTTGCTTTGGGCCGTTAAATCGCGAGTACGTACGTCTGGTTGAGGACAAGGCACGGCTTGGTTTTAACTATATTGACAAATTTGACTTTCTTGAAGCCTATCCCAAAGCTCGTACAAAGGCTTTAAAGGAAGAGAGTATTGATAATGGGATTTCAGCAACTGGTTTAGCTCCATATAATCCAGAAATAGCTCTTGAGTAGCTTAATATTCGACCAGCATTCTTACACCTCTAGGCAGTTGGCCAACCAAGTCCGGTCCCAAAACACCTCATAATTTTAAGTAGTTCGAAAAGCAGGTGTCTACAATTGAAAAACTGCTTAGACAGCATATTCAGAGCCCCTCATCTCCTGCTAATGCACGACTGGAGAAATTTACAAAAGAATTTGAAATGGTTTTACATGAAACAGCTCTTCTTGCCAAAGAAAATCAAGATTTACAGGCGGAAAATAAAACAAGATGTCGAAAAAGAGCAGTCAAGGCGGCAAATAGCCACTCTAATTATCATATTCGGGGTTATACACGGAGGCAATGTACTAATCTATGTAGCAATTGGAATGCATCTCTTTTGGGGTTTCTAATGGCTCCCATTTCACTGGTCGGTAGTGGCGGCTCACTCGCTTTCTGGGTACGTTACTTTTCTATGATTCATTGGTATATCGAACACTCTATTCGTCCCTCCAACTGAGGAATGTCAACTATATGTCATGAATGAACAGTCCTATGGACTCTAACTTCGAGGCTACAGGTACCTGCGAAGACGCGCCATAGCAGTATTTTGACAACCACAATTGAGGGAGGGAGATTATTTCTTTTTTCGAAAAATAATGAGAAATAAATATGTATCCAGACATGTATCAAACAAGCAGAGCCAAGGAAACAAAAAAAAAAAAGAGACCCCGTATCCCATGTTGAAGAGGATCGCTTTTTAAAGTGTATGCTCATGAAACCAACTCCGTCATCACCCGTAGTGTTGAATTATCGTAAGGGATCATCACCCCGATCTTAAGACTGGGTTGCTTCCAAAGACAAAGACAATAAGAATGAAAGAAAGGGTTCGTTTCCCCTGGTCCGGCCGATTCGAGCTCTATCGGGGAAATATTACCATGTTGAATTTTGGACTCTTCCCGTGGTCGGCGAGAAAGAACAAGATGAAATGAATCGAAATCAATGCCTAGGGGTATAAGATTGGAATGTTAACAGTCATGTTGAAGTAGAATAACGCTCAAAGAAGAAATCGTTGAGAGGTCTTCGTTTTCGTGTCGCCATAAGACATTTCAAGGCCGGTGGGGTATTTTGTATTTAGTAACCACAGGCAGGTATCGTTGAGAGATATGTTGAATTAATAAATGATAATCGATCGTTGAAGAGGTGCAAGAGAATTTTAGAACATGTCATGCTTGTCGGTCTGACGGGTGAGTATGCAGAATTAGTTTTTCACCATAGCCTCAGGGACTGCTCCATTGGCCGGATGCTTTTCGTCGACGTTGTCTGCGGATACCTCCGAATCAAGGTCTTTCACATTCAAGTCCTTGAACAGCTCAAAGAGACTAAACGTGTTGTGGAAATCGTTGTTGACTAGGAAACGTATCATCAGCTATTGACGCAAATCAAAAAAAAAAAAGAAAGAAAAGAAAAAAAAAATAAATAAAAAAGGCTGGAAACTTACCAATGTTAACCAGGTACCAGCTATCCACAACACCCTGGATCAGCTTCCTGCTCGGGCTGGCGGCATCATGGCACTTGGCCCAGTCTTCACCTAGACGGTATGCCTCGTCCTTCCAGGCCAAGAAACTGATGGTTTCCACAATTGTAGGCTGGACGACCTCCCTTCCTGCGAAGATACCCCAGGTCAAGGCATTGGGGCTATCACGGGTGTTAGTTCGCAGTTCACCAGTCCTTGCAACCGCATGATAAGTGAGGTCCTGGTTCTTCTCGATGCGCGAGACCAATTCGTCAAGTAGGTAGGAAGGCACCAAGAGTTCAAGGTATGCCTTCTGGTATACAAAGCCATTCTTGGGGCCCCATCCGTAGACAGGATGGGAAGACTTTGCACCATTGACAGCGGGCTGGGAGTTAATGGTTAAAAAGCCCCTATTATTAAGTTCAATCAAATTATCCTTGATCACGTTTGCCTCGGAACTCAATGGTGTGTCACTCCAAGGAAGGCGATCTAATTTGCCTTCCAAATAACGGACAAATATATGGGTGAGATCCCGAATAGACTTGGGCTCTCCCCAAAGTTGGACATTCTGTTCGTTCGTGCCTTTGAGTCCAATGCCATAGGAATCAAGCTCTCCGAAGGCGGGTGAGCGGGAATCGGTCCAACGACCGTTGGGGAACTCATCCCATGTCTGCGTACGGGCGATGTAGGAGGAGTTCCTGTTACGCCAGAAGATGGGGCGAACATCTTCGCCTCGGCGATTGAGACCCAAAGATGGCCGCCAGGGCAAGGGTCTCTGAAGAGGTGTCTCCTCGGATGGCAGAAGGTTCAACTCGTCAAGAACCAGCTGCGTTGCTTGTGCAAGATTCATTGTGTAGCTAACGGTTGGTCATTAGTCTATAGTCTTCGACACTGATAGAAAAGGAGAGAACTTACAAATGCAGATGCTTAATGCCAGATGCGAGAAGCCTCCTGCACATATCCGCAACTAGCCCCTTTCCAATGTCTTTCACAGCGGCATCGTCATTTTTGACGGGCTCCAGGGTCTCCAGCCAATCAGGTGGAATTCGAGCTTTCGTCCAGTTCGCACGCCTAAGAAATGCACCATATGTTTGAATAGGCATAATACCAGGGATAATTGGTACATTGATTCCCTTGGCCTGGCACTTCTTGATCCACTCAATAAAATTATCCGTATCGTAGAACATTTGAGTTATCACGAATGAAGCTCCAGCATCAACTTTTTCTTTCAGATGATCAATCAAGAGATCCACATCCGGATTGTCGTCCGCGCCCTCCGGATAACCCCCCACGCCAATGTCAAAATGATTCCCATACTTGTCCCGAATATACTTGACCAGATCTTTGGCATAGCGAAATCCTCCCTGAGTGGCCTCCCATGTTTCCTTTTCACGAGGGGGATCACCGCGAAGAGCCAGGATGTTTGTGCAGCCAGCCTTGTAGGCGGCCTGGAGGGCGGAATCTACCTTCTCCGTTGGCATGTCCGTGCAGGTCAGATGCATGCAAGTCTCAAGACCATATACCGACTGAGCTACATTCACCATTTCGCACGTGAGGTCGGACAGTCGACCACCAGCACCCCAAGTGATATCGATGAAGGAAGGGCCCAGTGCATGCATGCGATCCATTCTGTCGTACAAGTTTTGCACACCTTGGGCGGTCTTCGGAGGGAAGAACTCGAAAGAAATTCCAATTCTCCCCGCAGAATCATTTTGGGTGATCTTATCTTTGACGTGCATCGTGTAAGGTCACCTATAGAGGGGCAGCAATATTAGTCATATAGCCAACACGCATATTGCAACTAAAAGAACCGCGACGATATTGAGCTTCAAGAACACATAACTTACAACAATAGAGATAGGTCTTATATGGGGGAGGGAGGTTCTGTCCCGCAACGAGCCACTCGAAACTCTCTATTCAGTGACCTTTCGGAGGGGTATGCTATGTATTTAGCTCACCGGTCCCACCAGCGCCTGCAAAGCCCACGAGCTGGGAGGGTTAAGGAGAGAAGTGAGCACACTACAAACGAAGTGTGGTGGGCACAAAGGAAGAGTCACCCGGATATTGACTTGCTTCCGAAACGACAAGGTAGAAGGAAAGATGATGAGATTCTGGCAACAGGGCAGGGTGAGAAAGAGGAGAGAGGCCCGGAAATCGGAGGACAGGGTGGCACGTGCACACCCCAACTTGATTGGAACAAACCCCGGTCGCCGCTTTTATGAACACGTGAGGTGTACTAGCACGTGTTTATCTCTGCCCTCATCTTTGAGGCAAAGGATAAATAGTCTCGTCTGGAATACCAAAGCACGTGGCAAACAGTCTAGAATCAAATGTATTGTGAAATGTTCAGTCTTTGGAAAGGATATGTTTGTAGGCTACCGTTTCGTAAAAACTATTGTCTGTTTCAAGATCACTCGTAAAGAGTGATATATATTTCTGCTCTTTACAAACTGAAGTTATATACTATCTTTCAGAGAACTTCCGACAAACGATTGCTTAGCTATTAAACCAGACTAACTAGAAATTGATATTCTGGTCCAGGGGGGCATGCTATCAAAGAATATAGGGATGGTATTTCAGGATTATGCATCTGTTAGCCTGAAGTTTGGAAAATTGGCCTTATATCTTTGTAATGGTACCAGTCAAGGACATATTAGATCACTCATCCAAGGGACAACATGGCGATTGCTTACCCTGAATGATAGGATTTCACAGTCTGCTTCCAACGAGAGTGAGTTTTGTGTGAAGAAGCTGGTGAGATCCACCTGAATATGTGCCAGCATAGAAGTTGAATGGAATGTAGGCACAGTGGCAGTATCTTATATTTAAACTTAAAATAATTCGAACCGCTACCTTAAATCTAAAGTTGTGTCTTGGGAATTCTTCTCTTTTTATTGTTCGATATTGTACAAATATTATTATTAATCCTCGCGAATCAACTCCAAACAATCCTTCCCTCATTCAAGAGTAGCAGTTCGGGATGAGTAATATCAAGTTGCTCGCGGACTCGATGGAATTCCAACCATAGCAACGAGGTAGACTCCATGTATAGGGATCCGCTCTGTCGGATAAATGATCAATTTGCCAAAACCCTTAAATTTAGCCGTCTACGTGTCTGCTTAATCGAATATCATTCAGGACCCAAGAGCATCCTGGAAACCAGGGAATAGTGCATGATAAGACCAGCGAAATTATGTGTGGTTACATGGTCCTTAATCGACCAACTTCTATTACGCAAAATTTTCACATACTTACCTAGTACTCTATACCATAGTATCAGTAGCCCTAGGGGGCATACAAGACCTTTCCATAGTCAGCTTCCATTAATCCTAGTGCCACACCCAGTAGCAGGAACTTTCGGACGCCGAACAATGCCAGTGTAGAACACAAGGCAAGAACTTTAAGAGTATTGGCAAATACTCAACTGCGTCTCAAAATATGTAATTGGTACATATGAAGGTTGCTGTTCTTAGTGTGCGACGTTTGCCTTTGGAGATATACAATAGAAAAGTAGAGGATATTTGCTGTTTTAAAAGGTTGGCTTTGTAGCGATATGTTTAGTTTTCTGCAAGTGCTTATCGTATACTTTAAAATTTTGAAGTAGGTAATTAGAAAAGTTAGCAAAATTATCAAGAACCATTGGTTAATCCAATTCAACCCATTCAAGCAACTGATTACAAATACAGACACTAGGGGAATCAAATCTCTGCGCCAAGCCACCCGGGAAGGAAAGTCGAATTCAGTGGCAAGCTGAACTTGAAGACATATGGGTTGCTATTGCATGAAAAGCTCGGATCGAACGACCCATTTTGGATCCGATCTGTCGGTGAGCTTGGGGAAAGATGGACGATTCGCTAGTCCTTGGAATAATTGATCCTGGAAGTGGACACCGACGACATTGGGTGTTTCCCTTTTTGGTCCATCCAGTATTTAGAGAGTTCGCGTCTAACCTGTGCCGCTGTGGAAGCCACGCCTTGCGAGTCAATCCACATAAATGATCTGTATGTTTACTGCCATCTTGAGTAGAACGAGTCAAGTTTGCCAAGAGCGGCAATGCAATGTGCATATGATACATGCCTGATTGTAAGTACCCTACCTACCATGTGTCTTAGAATGATTTTCGGCACCTGCACAATGGATAGTCTAGTTTGAAAGGCTGAAAAGTGGATCTGCGAGGATTTTGACGCAGATGCAATATTTACAACGATCCTCCATGGAGGTATAATGTGTGAATTAAGCGTTGGGTATGCAATAGAGGTTCTTGAAGCCTAAATCTGCCTGTCGCCCGCTCTATTGCAATCATCCCGCGCATATCACGTAATGAGTTTCGTAAACTCATCGCTTCCACTGCAGGAATCTTATTACTGTTAACCAAACACTGGAAAGAGGATCACACCACATAGGAGTACTCCGTGATGAATATACCAGACTCTTGTAATACTTTAAAAGTGACCTAGCTTGCGATTATGAGAGCAATTGTTTATTACGATCCCAGGCAAATTGTATTCAAACATTAAACAACTGCTTGGGTCTGCCAAAGATAGATAGTATTCTGTGTGTAATGTTTCCGGCAGTGTTAAGTGGATATGGTCTCAGATTCAGACCGGCCTCTGAGACCACCTGAGTTGAATTCTCACTGTCATAATAAAGCATAGTAGAGCATTATTTTCCGGCTCGACCGTCTGTCCGTTTTGGCCGCTATCTGGGTCGAGTGCGCCAAGAGTAAGCCGTTCCATAGTGGTCATACTTAATTGTAACCAGGGAATTTTATTAAAAATCAAGTGCCACTTATCATTTCTGCTCTTTCCCTGCAAGTTCTCCAATCGCCGGTTTTTGAATTTAACTGTTGCCCCCTTCTTAAGGACCCAGCTAGCAGAATTGGCCTCGGTTCGTATTGCACACTGTGGCCTGTGCTCCAGACTGATATGACCTTTTCATAGTCCTTTGCAACATACGTATTGCATCCACAACTGCGCAGCTCTGGAGACGAGGCATTGACGACATGAAGTGGTCTACGCTGGCAGTGACGATCATCGTTCATGCTCTATAGAGATGTTCTATACGCAGTTAGCGATCACCCAGGAATAGCCACCAAGCCAAGGGTTTCTGTTGAGGTGACTTAGGTAATGGTCGTTTGCATAGGGGGTTTAGCGGTCTGGACTCCGCAGATACTTAGGGCGCACTGGCCCGTTTAAGGCTTTAAGCAGGGTTTAGCGGGCGCTAGACTTAGAGGAGTTTGACGGGCACTCCACTCGGGGCTTCCTTGGTATGGACTAGGTACTCCGTAGACAATACTCAAGCTCTGGACCGAGTAGGAGTTTTGTACAGATGCTATACGCACATTCAGGCTGGATAACAATAGCTCTCACGGAAATTACTTGACCCTGTCTAACGGTGTATCGTACGCATGATACATGTCAATATTGGGCGTGGCAGTTGTCCTAACGTCACAGTCGGCCATCGTTAGCGCAGCAAGGGATCGACTCGAATGGACAAATCAGGAAAGTGCTCTAAATGCCCGTCATCTCAACAAAAAGATCCACAGCATTGCCAGACTCTCGGTGTGACATCAACAATATAAATCAATCGGCGTTCCGTTCTATAAAGAGCATCGAATTCTATTATTAACTGGACCCTGATTTTCCGGTGTTATTTGTTGGGGACATGATATGCTCAATTTCGTCATTGCCCTACCAACTGGCTCGGACTACCCTAGTGTTCCAGTAGACTGATAGAGGCGTGAACGGGGGCGGGAAAAAAGAGAAAAAAAAGGGTGTACCAACGGAGCAACGCCTTGTTTCTCCATACCTTGTGTCTACCTAGATATCAGATTAGCCGACTCGGCTTGGTCCCTGGAACCAAGGTACAGCTCGAGGGTTCCTGGGAAGCTTACTCAATCTCCTTACTTCGAACCCCCTGAAACCATAGAAGGGTCCGGCACAATGTATACCCCCCCAAGTGTTTGTACTTAGTAGTCTAATATCCCTTTAGCAGTTATTGAAGCAAGGAGAGTGTATAGAGAGTAATCTTGGCTCTCCGTATGGAAACGTATCATGGTCTGTAATATTTCCAAGTCCGGTCTATTTACCCTTCGGCTGCCGATTGGAAATGGGTTGTGTTTCCCAGGCTGGGACTATCGGACAGGTACCGAGTACTTACCAGGTACTTCATCAGTCCATACATTAATTGCCACCTAATTATAGTCTGTACATTGACAATTAGATACACAACATGCTGTATGAAAGATCTGATCGATGTCAATTGACAATGACACTAATGTAAATAAATACTCAGGAAGCTGATGAAACGAGGCAGCTCCATGAGTCAATCAGAGCCAAAGAGCATAACTGTATGCAGTTGCACAGTTTCAACAAGGCTGGATGATTTCCATCATTCTAGTAAGATTGGTGACGCCGAAAACCAGGTAGGTTGCACGCGTGTACTCAATGCTAAATAACAGCCACCAAAATACCGCCTCAACAGAAGCTATTAAGAGTATCAGAGAGAACCGTCCGAGGGAGAGAGATATGGCAACAGTATTACCAAATTAGGTTCCTAGTAATTGAATGTTATCCTTCACCGATTGCTGCCTGTACGATTGTAATGACCTTAACTCCGATGCAATGTAAATCTGCAAAGTGTAATGTATGACCAATCAGTGCGTCATCGGAACTCAAAGAACAAGTTGGATAAATTTCAATATGATAGAATTGTGCGGGTTGGTTTTCCATTCTGCTTCTTCTCTTAACTCCTGGTTGTCTCGTGCAATATTGCTATTGTATTATAATCATCGGCTCATGGCCAAACCTTTCCTAAATGTATATTATATTTAATATAGAAACAGAGGAGAAGAGGAATTAATTACTCGTAAGATGACCCACCCCCAAAAAAAAGGTCAAGAAGGCAAACTATGCAAGTAATTGGACATAAAATTCTGGATAATTTTTTTTAATTATTTTTCTCGAATTTTTTGAGTTATTCCAAATTCCTTGCCTATCTGTAAACCGAGCCCAGCGCTTCACATTTGCATTAAACGGATATTCTGCGGCATATGCTATTAATGATTACGCTATAAATTACAAATTATATCATGCATTGAGTTTAAGAAACCGAAGAAGAGCCGGAGATAACGAAATACTCCCAGAACCAGGATGATAGCAAAGACCAAAGACACCTAGATGCTTTGTCGGCATAACCTTCTGATATATCAAACCAGCTGCATAGATCGCGCTAGTGGGAAGCGATCGCATGTAAAAAAAACACTAGAAAACGCAGGCGCCCCGCCCGTACCGTAAACAGCATACATCCTACGTACGGAAACTTGGTCCTCGCTTCGTGTCTCCTTCGGGACTATCTTCCCCTTCCTCCCAGTTCCCCTCGAAGCCTGTGCCTATTCGGGCTTCATCATCCTTTCGGACGGCGAGTAAATGCGATTTGGGCCATCATTATGGGATGTGGCTGGACTTGAAAGGAGGATGCGAGCTCCACTCGTCCACTCACGATGCAGCATTGGCTCCATCTGCCAGTCCATCAATCTATCTCGCATCCCGATGGACTTGCTTCTACCTATCGGAGAGGCATTGACAGCCTGGAAAGGATCGCCGTTTCCTTTCCTTGTTCAAGGCGATATCAATCCCTCGCTGACCCTCCTGTCTGCTTTTCTATCATCACTGATAGTACTTGTACGAATCCTCGAGTCTGATATCCCTCCTGCAAGCCGTCGGACAAATCTTCGGGCATATTGCTTTAATACTTCTTCTCCTCTTTTCCCTGGCTGATTTTTATCCCTCAATGCCTCTTTGACTGTTCTTGTCTAGGGTCCTCTTTTCTCTCCCACCCTGCCCGATTGTTTACTCTCCATTGGCTTCTCTCGAGAGACCTCAGTCCTGAAGCAGGGAAGAAAGCGGAAGAAAAGACACCGCATTGCTAAGGAGAGATCTTTAACCAAGCACTTCAATCTTCCGATACAGGCGTGTGCCTCGTGCCATCTCTTTCTCAGCTCCTCCGGATATACATGATATAAAAGTGGGAGAAGGAACGGTTCGTATAGTGACCGTTGAGGATGAAGTGGGGGCTTGCATGCTCTTTGCTTGCTCTTTTTGCCTCGCCAGCAATATGTTGGCCTTATGAAGAGTCCCTCGTTGACTACAACCTTAATGCGAATAAAGATGCTATCAATCCAGCAGAATACACGTACCCAGAATGGCGGGGTCATAAATACCACCCTTCTCCAGAAAGCTGGCGGTTTCCTTTTTACACTCTGTTCCTCGACCGGTTCGTTAACGGTGATCCCACAAATGACAATATAAACGGAACCGTCTTCGAACATGACCTAGACTCAACCCAAATGCGCCACGGTGGTGATGCTGTTGGCTTGGTGGACACTTTGGACTACCTGTATGGAATGGGTATTAAGGTTGGTGTTAAATACCCTTCCTTTTCCTGCTTGCCCCCATTACTAACTATATTTGTGTAGGGCATCTATCTGGCAGGAACTATTTTAATGAATCAACCTTGGGGCGCGGACGGCTATTCAATCCTGGATACCACCCTTCTTGATCAGCATTTTGGTAATATCCAAACATGGCGGGATGCTATTACCGAGATACACAAGAGAGGGATGTACGTTTTATTCGACAATACTATAGCCACGTAAGTTGTCCCGGACAAGACAAAGCAATCAGATGCTGATGGAAGCAAAATCAGCATGGGTGACTTGATCGGCTTTGAAGGGTACCTGAATGAGACTACACCATTTTCCGTCAAGGAGCACAAAGCACTGTGGAAATCTGACCGTGAATACGTTGACTTTCGTTTTGGGAACTCTTACAATGATACCTGTGAATATCCTCGTTTCTGGAACGAAACTGGCTGGCCTGTTGACAAAGATGCTCGAGACCAGCTTGTGGGATGCTATAACAGCGACTTTGACCAGTACGGTGACAGAGAAGCCTTTGGTGTCTATCCAGATTGGCAGCGTGAGCTAGCAAAATTTGCCTCGGTTCAAGACCGTCTACGTGAGTGGCATCCAAGTGTTAAGGAAAGATTGATCCGGCATTCCTGCAACATCATCAAGGCTCTAGATATCGATGGCTTTCGCTACGACAAAGCCACCCAGGCCACGGTAGATGCCCTTGGCGATATGTCACACGCTTATCGAGAGTGTGCTCGCAGCGTGGGAAAGGATAACTTCTTCCTTCCTGGGGAAATTACTGGCGGTAATAACTTTGGCTCCATCTATCTCGGTCGTGGCAGGCAGCCCAATCAATATCCCGAGTCTACTATGGACGCAATCGCAATGACAAACAAGTCTGATCACCAGTATTTCCTGCGTGAGCATAACTTGCAGGCCATTGACTCTTCTGCTTTTCACTACTCGGTATATCGTACACTAACTAGATTTGTGGGGATGGACGGAAACCTGGCTGCTGGTTATGACACGCCGTTGGACTGGACTGATGCTTGGAATGTCATGGCAATGACCAACGATCTAATCAATGCAAATACAGGCAAATTCGACCCCAGGCACATGTACGGCGCCACCAATCAGGATGTTTTCCGCTGGCCTGCTATCGAACTTGGTGTGGAAAGACAGCTACTGGGACATTTCATCACAACATTGCACCTTCCTGGTATTCCAATCTTGCTATGGGGAGAAGAACAAGCCTTCTACATCCTGGACGCCACCGCGCCTAACTATGTCTATGGTCGCCAAGCGATGTCTCCCGCCACAGCTTGGAAGACGCATGGGTGTTTTTCTCTTGATGCGTCGCAGTATTACAACTGGCCCATCACCGCTGGTCGGCAAGGCTGTCATGACGAAGCGGTCACCTATGATCATCGTGACCCTTCTCATCCGGTGCGAAACATTATAAAGCATATGTTTCAGATGCGAGTGAATTATCCTGTACTCAATGATGGGTATTCACTTGTGAAGTTGTCAAAACAGACACGCGAGATTCAATATCCCGGTTCTAATGGCACCGCTACCGAGACGGGCATGTGGTCAATTATGCGAGATCGAGTGGCAAAGATTCAGGACTTTAATTCTAGTTCCGGCAACCAGCCGATTTGGTTAGTGTACCAAAATGATAACAAAACGGTGGACTACAACTTCGACTGTGGCAGCAATGACTCGGCCCTGATATCCCCATTTCTCAAGGGTACTACCGTTGTTAATCTTTTTTATCCACATGACGAGCATGAGTTGAAGGAGGGCCCCAAAGTGCTTCATCTGAATGGTTCTAATGCAACAAACGGATGCCTCGACAACTTGACTCTTAAACCCTTCGAGTTTAGGGCTTATGTGCCGAAGGAAAGCTTCGTTGGACCCGGACCAATGATTACCCAGTTTGAACCTGGTCACGATGTGCCACAGCTTTCTAAAGTCGGGCCAAATGACGCTGAAGACCTTGATGTCAGCATTTATTTCTCGACAAAGATGGACTGTGACTCCGTTACTCGATCTATCTCCTTTGAGTCAACAACTGAAGCCGGCAAAAAACCTTCTATAGACAAGAGCAAAGTTAACTGCAAAGACGTCAACGGGGGCGATACCAAATGGACTGGCCAGATACCGAATGCATGGGTCTGGAAAGCCAAGCTCACTGGAGTATATAATGGAGTTCACCGACTGACAGTCACAAATGCCACCAGTTCAGGCAGTAAACAGTCGACACAAGCTGTGGACCACTTCCTGATCCGTATTGGCCAACGCGATAATCCGATGGTATTCAACTCTGCAAACTATTCCTCCTCTCTTGTGTACAAAAATGATAATGATTCGCTTTACATCCAACACCGTGCGGCAGGTGCAAACAAGTACCGATATTCAACTAATTGGGGAACCACATACTCTAATTGGATGAACTATAATGGAGGCAATGATACCATTGAGAAGCTGCCCTGGTCAGGAACAAACAAACAGAAATGGCAAGGGGAGCATGTACGAGTCGAATACTGGAGCAAATTGACTGGAAGTAGTGCTTATGTTCAAGAGGGTGACTACGGTTTTGATCGTCAGCGACGCTTTCCTCACCTCTTCTTTAACGGTCCCTATAACCAGTATGGATTCGATGCTGGTTTGGATAATGTTATGACCCAGGATAGCGATGGATTTTGGAACTTCAGATTCCTCGCTGAGTACCCAGCACAGGGCCAAGTTAATGTGTGGGGAATGAATTCCGATGGTCAACCCGATCAGAGCTTTGTCTATGGTGATGCAGATGGTGACGGCACTCTGGATCGTATGCCTCCTTCATCACTCACTGAAGTCGCCATCAATATCAGTGGTATACCACCGTACCCATACATGGCGTGGAATGTCCGCCTCAATGATGGGACCATGAGAGTTCAACTTCAGCCACAAGGGTCTAGAGTTATTCAAATGGCCATCTATTTCTTGCTGTGGCTTGCGCCTATCACGATGGCAGTAGCCTGCGTTTATGCGTTTATGAAGAGCTTCTATCAAGTCAAGTTCAATCAGGTCGGAGTTAGCGAGAAAAAGACCGTTCTTCCATTGGCTCTGCGACGGAAGTTCAATGGGAATGGCGAGTGGACAAATCCTATATTGCGCCTCGCAAACAAGTCGGGATTCCTCCAGAGTACATCCGCTTTCGGTTCAGGAGCTTCGCGGAGAAAATCAATTTTGATTGCTACCATGGAGTATGACATCGAAGACTGGGCTATCAAGATCAAGATTGGTGGCCTGGGTGTAATGGCCCAATTGATGGGTAAGCATCTGGGACATCAAGACCTTATCTGGGTTGTTCCATGCGTTGGAGGAGTCGACTACCCACAGGATCAGCCAGCCGAGTCTATGTTCGTGATGGTCCTTGGCAGCTCTTATGAGGTCAAAGTCCAGTACCATGTGCTCAGAAACATCACATATGTGCTTCTGGATGCTCCCGTTTTCCGCCAGCAATCAAAGGACGAGCCATACCCCGCTCGAATGGATGATCTGGACAGCGCAATTTATTACTCGGCCTGGAATCAGTGTATAGCACAAACGATCAAGCGTTTCCCCATTGACCTCTACCACATAAACGACTACCACGGCTCTGTGGCACCACTTTATCTTCTTCCACAGACTGTTCCAGTTTGTCTTTCTCTCCACAATGCCGAATTCCAGGGATTGTGGCCTATGCGAACCCAAAAGGAAAGAGATGAAGTGTGCTCGGTTTTCAACATTGACCTTGACATCGCAAGAAGGTACGTCCAATTCGGCGAGGTCTTCAACATGCTTCATGCTGGAGCGAGCTACTTGCGTGTCCATCAGCAAGGATTTGGTGCCGTTGGTGTCTCCAGGAAATATGGTAAACGCTCCTATGCTCGGTATCCTATTTTCTGGGGGCTGAAGAAGGTCGGCAACTTGCCGAATCCTGATCCGTCTGACACTGGCGAATGGAACAAGGAATTGCCAAAGGAAAGCGAAATCCAAGTTGACCCGCGGTACGAAGCTAGCCGAGGAGAGTTGAAGCGTCAAGCTCAGGAGTGGGCTGGCCTTGAGCAGAATCCCAACGCTGATCTCCTGGTTTTTGTCGGAAGATGGTCCATGCAGAAGGGAGTTGATCTTATTGCCGACGTAATGCCTGCTGTTCTCGAAGCTCGTCCTAATGTTCAACTGATCTGTGTCGGACCAGTGATTGACCTTTATGGAAAATTCGCCGCGCTCAAGTTCGACCATATGATGAAGATCTATCCTGGACGAGTGTACTCCAAACCAGAGTTCACTGCACTTCCGCCGTTCATTTTCTCTGGCGCTGAATTTGCCCTAATCCCATCTCGTGATGAACCCTTTGGACTTGTCGCTGTTGAATTCGGTCGTAAGGGAGCTCTTGGTATTGGTGCCCGTGTTGGTGGCCTTGGTCAGATGCCTGGTTGGTGGTACAATATAGAATCCACCACAACTTCGCACCTGCTACACCAGTTCAAGCTTGCTATTGGAAGCGCACTTAACTCTAAACCTCAGGTTCGAGCAAAGATGCGTGCGAGGTCTGCTAAGCAACGATTCCCAGTCGCTCAGTGGGTTGAGGACTTGGAAATTCTACAAGGTACTGCCGTTCGGATTCACAGCAAAGGACAAGCGAAGTCAAATGGTCAAGCTCTGACGCCTTCCGGATATAACACACCAAGCGGGATGATGACCCCTAGTGGCATGATGACTCCCCCGATAGCATCGATAGCATCGACTGGAACCCTAACACCAACAGGAGTGCAAACTCCTCCCATCGCCCATTCGAGAGAGGGAAGCTACTCAACTACTAATCGCCTCAGTGCATATGGACCACAGCAGCGGAACACCATCGTATACAGCCGTGATCCAAGCCCTGGTGGTAATGAGCAGCCCAAATCAGGACTAAGCCGAGGGCTGTCGCTTGGTGTTCGAGCCGGTCCTGGCCATTTGTCTCGTCGCGCCCGTCACCGATTGAGGAGAGGCAGCTACATGGGCAACGAGGAAAGTGCGACTGCCTCTATGACAGAAGAGAGCAGTGACGATGACATTGTTCCCAGCTACGGGGATGATGAATACACACTCACGCCGGAACAATGGGAAGAAGAACGTCGTCACGAAGCTTCTCAACAACATGACACTCAAGGCCAACCCAGGGACTTCTTTGGCCCAAGGCAACAAAGCCAGAGTTCACTTCCACTCAGGCCACTGATGTCTACTGCTGGCCCTGAGGCCGATGATGGCCCTTCACCGCTTGCTAGACCTCCTTACGCTGAACCTGGGAACCGACTTAGCAGTGCGTCCGTCCTTTCTGTGGACTCCATCGTTGGCGAGAAAAAGGACTACAAGCTCCAAAAGGTCGACCCGTTCTTCACAGACGGCAATGGGGAATACTACAAGATCTTTGACAAGAGGCTTGAAAATCTTAGTGGTTCCAACTCCGAATCGCAGCTTTGCATCGAAGAGTATCTCGTGAAAAGCGAAAGAAAATGGTTTGATAAATTCAGAGATGCAAGGCTTGGTCGCAATCAATCGCCTGTTTCCTCGGTTTTTCATACCAAACTCGAGAACCATTCGCAGACAGGATCGGTCTCTAATGATGAGATGGGCTCGCGTGAGAGTGGTAGCGATGCGCACAATGAAAAGGACGAGTTCCTCCTCGGTAATAACTATGTACCTCCATCTGGCCTTCGGAAATGGATGCAGGTTCGAATTGGCGGTTGGCCTGTATACTCATTCTTCCTTGGTCTGGGGCAAATAATTGCTGCCAACTCATATCAAATAACACTTCTTACCGGCGAAATTGGTCAAACACCCGAAAAGCTCTACGGAATCGCGACGGTCTATCTGGTCACGTCCATCATTTGGTGGTTTGTTTTCCGCTTCTTCAAGTCGGTGGTTGTTCTTTCGGTCCCATGGCTCCTGTATGGACTCGCATTCCTCATCATCGGGATCGCACATTATGAGCCCAATGAGTTCACAAGAGGCTGGATTCAGAATGTTGGAAGTGGTGTGTATGCCGCCGCGTCATCGAGTGGCTCTCTTTTTTTCGCCCTCAACTTTGGTGATGAAAATGGTGTCCAAGTGAAGGAGTGGGTATTTCGTGCTTGTATTATCCAAGGTTCTCAACAAGCTTACGTCATTGGCTTGTGGTACTGGGGTGTCAGTATATCTCAAGCTATCGCCGATGGAGTCACGAATGTTCAAGGAAACATTACCAACACCTGGAAAATGACGTATGGCTTTCTCTTATCATACCCTGATATTCGGTTCTACTAGGCTAACTAATTCTAACAGAGCCATCTGTGTGCCAATCGCCGTTCTGCTCTGGGCCATTGGGTTGGTTGTTTTCTTCGGCCTCCCTAAATTCTACCACCAGACACCTGGAAAAGTTCCATCATTCTACAAGTCCGTCTTCCGACGGAAGATTGTGCTCTGGAGCTTCGTGGTCGTCATTCTGCAAAACTTTTTCCTCAGTGCTCCTTACGGACGAAATTGGGCCTGTAAGTAGATAAGACGCCACTATCCTCTGACCTAAACTAACACTAACTCCTTCAGTCCTCTGGGATTCCAAACACGCCAAAGCCTGGCAAATCGGTGTCTTATGCGTTGCCTTCTTTGGCATCGTCTGGGCCGGAGTACTATTCATATTCGGCCGTCTGTCCAAATCGCACAGCTGGATTCTTCCCGTATTCGCATGCGGTCTCGGGGCTCCACGCTGGGCCCAGATTTGGTGGGGTGTCTCTGGAATGGGCCTTTTTCTTCCCTGGGCTGCTGGTGGTCCTACAGGAGGAGCTCTAGTTTCTCGAATTCTCTGGCTCTGGCTTGGCATCCTGGATTCCCTACAGGGTCTTGGATTTGGTATGATCTTACTCCAGACGTTGACTCGGATGCATATTTGCTTCACATTGCTTGCCTGCCAGGTGTTGGGCTCTATCGCAACCATCTGCGCCAGAGCCTTTGGTCCGAATAGAATCGGACCTGGGCCAATCTCACCGGATGTTACGCGTGGTGCCAGTGCTGTTGCGAACGCATGGTTCTGGATCGCCTTGTTTTTCCAGCTGTTGATCTGGTAAGTCTTGAGCCTGTTAAATTTATTGTGAACAACATAGCCTAATTTTCGTCATCTTTAGTGGTGGATTTCTCCTATTCTTCCGGAAAGAACAACTGACTAAACCCTAAGACTATTGCGCGGCACCGTTTTGACACAACGGTGGTCACTACAATATACAGATATAGTTTACATGATGGCAATCTTCAGATTGACCTCTATGAACATACGAGACTGATAGAGAAAAACACCGAAAAAGGAAAAAAAAAAAAAAGAAAGAAAGAAAGAAAAATGAGTGAGAACAAATGAAGGAATGACGAACGAACGACGAGCAGAGGAATGAATATAAAGCAATCATCCGCGAAAGGACATGTACATTTGTCTTTTTTTTTTTTTTTTTTTTTTGACGTTCGACAACGTGTTTTTATTTTTGACTTTCTACGCTACTCTCCCTTCTCTTTTCACCTAGTTAGAGAAAAGGGGGGAGCAGCTCCCGGTTTATCCATACAGATATATATATGGATATGCTGCATTTAATGGGCTTTTTCCTTTTTTATCCGTTTTTGAATCATGAATCCAGATGTCGTTACGTTCTTTTCTGATGGACCGTTTTGACGTTGATTTTCTGTTTATTGAGAGACTAAAATTAAATTGGGTGGAATGTTGTATTTACCTGTTTATCCTTATGCCGTGCGGTTGATTGGTTTTAGAGTTGCGTCATGACTATATTTAAATCTTCAAAGTAGTTATACCGGTGGGCCTATAATCATAATATAAAGTTCAGAAATGAGGATTTGCTCAGAATTAATTAACAATTCAATAGCCAAGACAGTCATTAGAGCTAATAATTTTTGTCCGAAAATTACATCCAAATACATTCCAATTTAGGAGGATTATTTATTTCTCTTCACATGAACCAAGCTAGGGTACCAAACCAAGCTCAAATATTATCCACTGCAGCTGCATAAACGTCGTATCTTAAAGAGTCAGGAAAGCAAATGCAAAACATCTACCACTCCAAAGGCTCGGTCTTGACATCTCCCCGGTTGGTCTTGGGAACCGGAGCAGGCTCAATCTTGGTGGCTCCACGCTTACCACGCTTGAGATAGCCACTGCCGTCGAGCCAGGGGGTGTCAAGAGTCCGCTTGGCTTCAAACATGCGGATCTTGTCCTCGATTTGCAAGGTGAGGCCGATATCATCCAAACCATTGACCAAGCAGTGCTTGCGGAAAGCATCGACCTCAAAGCCGGCCAGCTTGTTACCTTTGGCATCCCTGACTTCCTGGTTGACCAGGTCAACTTCAACTTCCCGGCCGGCGGTCGCCTCGCCGGCGATCTTCTGCAGAGCAGCTTCGTCGGAGATCACGACGGGGAGCATGCCGTTCTTAAAGGTGTTGTTGAAGAAGATATCAGCGAAGGACGGGGCAATGATGCACTTGATGCCAAAGTCGAGGAGGGCCCAGGGGGCGTGTTCACGGGAGCTACCGCAGCCGAAGTTAGGGCCGGTGACGACAAGGATCTTCGAGTCGCGGTACACACCCTGGTTGAGGATGAAGTCTGGGATCTCCTTGCCGTCCTTGTAGCGCAGCTCGTAGAAGAGGGCGCTGCCGAGACCAGTCCGTTTGATGGTCTTCAGGAATTGCTTGGGGATAATAGCATCTGTATCGATATTGGGGCGGTTCATCGGGGCGGCAATGCCCTTGAGAGTGGTGAACTTAGGAAGGCCAGCGCCGGAGCTATCACCACTTGCAGAGGTGTTAGCGTGGGGCTCGTTGTCCGCGGGCTGATCTAAGATCCGCTCAAGCTCGTCTTCCGTCTCTGGCTCTGTCGTATCCGGCTGTACATCAACTTGGGGCTGCACCTTGGCCAGTACAGGGCTCGCAACGACGTGTTCACGAACATCCCCGAGCTTTCCAACGATGGCGGCCGTCGCCGCCATAGCAGGCGACATTAAGTGGGTGCGGCCGCCAGCACCTTGACGACCTTCAAAGTTGCGGTTGGAGGTACTAGCACAGCGTTCTTGAGGTGAGAGGATATCAGGGTTCATGCCCAGACACATGGAGCAACCAGCTTCTCTCCACTCGAATCCAGAATCAGTGAAAATCTTATCAAGACCCTCGGCTTCAGCCTGTAGCTTGACCAGACCCGACCCGGGGACCACCATTGCACGCTTGATATTGGAGGCGATCTTCTTGCATTTTACTACCTTTGCAGCTGCCCGCAAGTCCTCGATACGGGCGTTCGTGCAAGAACCGATGAAGACCTTGTCGACCGGGATATCCTTCATTGGTGTACCAGCTTCAAGGCCCATGTACTTCAAAGCATTCGTGCAGGCAATTTTACGGCTCTCATCTTCAAAGTCGTCTGGGCCAGGGACAACACCAGTGATAGGAACGACGTCCTGAGGCGAAGTACCCCAGGAGACGGTCGGAACAATATCCTTGCCATTCAACAAAACGGTCTTGTCGTAGATGGCCCCGTCGTCAGAGGCCAGACTAGACCAGTAGTTCACTGCCTTCTTCCACTCAGTGCTGCCATACTTGGGAGCAAGAGGACGACCCTTGAGGTATTCAAAAGTGACCTCATCAGGTGCGATCATGCCAGCACGTGCACCTGCCTCGATTGCCATGTTGCACATGGACATTCGGGCCTCCATACTCAGGCCGCGGATAACGGATCCGCAGAACTCAATAACAGCACCGGTACCTCCCGCCGTTCCAATGACACCGATAATATGGAGGACAACATCCTTGCTGGTTACACCTGGCGGAAGCTCTCCATCGACTTGGATGCGCATGTTCTTACTTCTGCGCGTAATGATGGTCTGCGTGGCCAGTACGTGTTCGACTTCACTGGTGCCAATACCAAAGGCGAGGGAACCAAAGGCACCGTGTGTTGAGGTGTGACTGTCGCCACATACGACAGTTGTTCCGGGAAGAGTGAATCCCTGTTCAGGCCCGATAATGTGGACAATGCCCTGCCGTTTATCATCCATTCCAAAGTATGTGAGGCCGAAATCTTTGACGTTCTGTTCGAGGGTGCTGCATTGGAGGCGAGAATCACTTTCTTCGATAAACTCTTCGACGTTCTTGAAGTTTTTCCGCGAAGTGGTTGGGATATTCTGTTGGTCGAATTAGATCGACATGTCTAAAGACTGCAAAAAGAAATAAAAAAGCACCTACATGATCGACAGTGGCCAAAGTGCAATCCGGCCGGCGGACCTTTCGGTTGGCATTCTTGAGCCCCTCGAAAGCTTGCTGTGCAACAGTTAGGCGGAAATCAAATGATAAAACGAAATTATGGAGGATTCGGTCAGCATCATGCAGCATTGGCTACATACAGGTGAAGTCACTTCGTGGACCAAATGTCTATCTGTAAAGAGAAGTTAGGGCTTCGTTTTGGATAATAACAAGGCTGGGACAGCTGCACTAACCAATATAAATAAGGCCTGTACCATCTTCTTGCTCATTTACAATGTGGGCATCAAACACCTTGTCATACAAGGTCCTGGGTTTCTTATCTGCGGAAGGCATGAGGGGACAACGGATGGACTTTTAGCGGAAGAAGAGAATGAGGAAGGCGAGGATTCCAGCCACAAACTAGGTCTGACTGTGTCTGCAGAGGTTAGGATAGTCAAGAGGGTAGGATCTGGGGAATATCAAGGGAGAAGAAGCGTTGCAATGCTTTTAATAAACCTCCGATGAGACCGCGATGTCGCTCGACTGCCGGCGAGGGGCGTGCCCGATCTCGGCTGGTCAGCGCCCAATATCCCACGTCTGATTGGTACACTCGGTGCACCGGCGGGGCTCCCATACCGATATCGGTTGCAACCGCGCTTAACGGCGGAGCAGATCATGGGGGCTGACTAATGATTCGACAATGATTGATCAATTGTATTTTAAACTATCATTTCTACTCCATACAAAGGACGCTTTCGACCGTGTTGGAGGGGTCAGGCCCTGATACAGTAGGTAGTCCTAGCAAGGACGCTTTATGCATGTAGAATGCCCATAAGAGCAGTGCGTGGTACAGTTTTCAAGTTCTCACAGAAAAGAGAGAGGAAGCAAGGGGTTCCATGATGTAATCCGTAGTATTGTTAATTAAGTTGGCCGCCTACTCCGTCGATTGCAAAGGTTCTATGTACAGGGAGGATTAATTGAAAAATCACGCACTTTAGGGAGGGCTAATAGCCTTGGGCGCCGACACAAATGCAAGAGAGGCGTTTGCCGCCAATAATCCGCTCGCCTTGCCCACTACCTTAGGGTCGGGGCCAATGAAGTTACTCGGGAAGCCAAGATCTAAGGGCCGGACACCTTCGAGGTATTCGATTTATACTGGCGTTAATTTGATCTTCAATGCCTGAATATTGTCCTTCAGGTACTCCACTTTTCTGCCACCCACCAGGGGGAACACGTTGGGGGCTTTGGCCATGACATAGGCCAGAGCCACAGCGGTCACGGACTCGATGCCGTGCTCCGATGTTACTTGAGCCAGGGCTTCATTCATCTTGATCTCCTCTTCTGTTTGCTCTCCGTTACCAAACATGCTCCGCAGTGTTTCTCCCTTTTGTTTCCGCTCCATCATGGCTTTCATAGTCTGGAACTTGCCGCTACCGAGAACATCGAATGGAGCCAGGGCCATACCGAAGTGGCGCGCCATAGGAATGATTTCCCGTTCGAAATCACGCACCATCACGTTCCAACGGCCCTGGTAAACACTGAAGGGAGTCTTGCCGTGAGACCGAGCATAAGTGTTGGCTGCACTCACAACCCACGCGGGGGTGTCCGAAACTCCCAAGTAGAGAACCTGTTCCTGCTCCACCAAGATATGAAGACTGTCCATTACCTCCTCGATGGACGTCGTCTGATCCCACCAGTGGAGGTAGAGGATATCAATCCAATCCGTTTGCAACTTCCGCAGCGAGTCACGCACACTCACGTACAGAGAGCGACGGTGGTTGCCGGCGTGGTTGGGGGCGTGGCCTTTGCCGAGAGCGTAACTCTTGTAGTCAGAGGTGAATTTGGTCACAATAACCATTTGGTCACGGTTCTTCCGAGCTGCCATCCATTCTCCCAGCCAGGCTTCAGATTGCTCGTCTTGGTAGTTGTTGGAGGCGCCACGACGAAGGCGTCCAGGAGTTTAAAAGAGGACTCTTTGTCCATGGAGCCCATAAAGGAAGACCATGAATCCCCAATGGACATGGCACCCAATTGAAGCGGCGATACACGGATTCCCGCGGTAGACGAGAGAATTCGATAGCGACCGAGCTCGGCCAATGGCTCAGGCGCAGGCGAGAAAAGCTCCGACATGGTGAGTGTAATGTAAAAAAGCGGTTTCCACACTGGATAGGAGACAGAAGTAATGGAAGACTGGGAATGTGAATTTGTTGGCTGTTTGCTTGTCTTCGAGGCCCCATCACTGCAGTTATACTTAGTTCCCTTTCATCAGCATCCAAGTCTCAGTCGAATGATGACATTAATTCAAACAGCATCACAGTAGCGTATCTCCGAAAGAGCTGGCCAAATGGCTGACCTCGTGAAGAAAATTCATTGTGCAGGTAGGCGTGGAGAATTGTTAATTCCGATTAAACCCACAGGTGATGGCTCCCTTCGGAACACCGGATATTAGGATACTAAGAACCTGCGTGGCTGATCAAGGATCGAATAACGGTAGGCTGTGGAAGGAAGAGTTAGTTGGATTCGTAGTGGAGTAAAGGCCCGGGGTTAAAGATGATGACAGCCCAAAGATTAGATAATCACTGGAGATGCATGAACTACAGTTGTTTTGGGCACAAAATAGAGTACTTTCTTCGTACCAAGATGCCATTCAATGGGGGGATGTTCCTGGAAAATCGGGAGCCTTCATTCATCATGCCGCATCCACTGATCTACTCCCATGAATGCTTGAAAGTCGCGAAAGAAAAATACTAGTGCACATCCTCATGCCCCATACATATTTCGAACCATCTAATCCCTATACTTGGTACCGAAATGCTCGATTATCCTCTCGAAAAACTAGCAATGCCAGGCGATGTCGCACAAACAAGCCAAAAAGGCCGCAGGTAAGTTGGACAACGGCCATGCTCAGTGCCAATCGATCCTCTCTCATCGGTCCCCACCAAATCAACCACAGGTTAAGAATGGTTAAGTTTGTTGATTCAACAATCTGCCCTTGTTCATTTTTGGTGACGCGTGCCAGTCGTAACCCATGCAAGAGATCCAAGGCGGCCGCCACTAACGGTGAAGGTGGCACAGTCCATTCAGTCACAGAAGCGTCCAGTAGACCGGTTATGTTATTGAATCTGGGCAACCGGTGTCGGGGGCAGGGAATCAATTTGAAGAGCTGAGGGGTTGAATACAAGAAGTTAAAGATCTGTGGAATAAACAGAAGCAAAAGCGTTTTACTGAAGTGGCCCAAGATGCCGACAACAGCAAACACCATCCCAGCAAAGTAACAATATGTGTCTCCAACAAAGACCTTCGAGGGGTACCAGTTATGTAGCAAAAGAGCCGCCGATACCCCAACGAAGGGGAGCAGAAAATATAGAGAGAAGAGGTGTGAATCGGTCGCGGGGTGGGGAAATGGAGTAATGGGTGCGACATATAATATATCATTCGCGATCAATAAGAGTGCAATCACGAGAGACTGCGCTACCTCCACCCCGTTGATCCCGGCTAGCATGTTGATTGAATTTGGACAAAATATGGACACGGCAGCCATATATACATAATAGAGCCACCCGAGGTCGACGAAAGAACCCAAATAAGGCTGCAATGGTACCGGAACAACAACCTGTGTTACGCCAAAGTCCACAAAGTAAACTATAAGCATTGGGATTGCTCCGAATGCAGGAATGAGTACTTTATGCCTCCATCTAATGTCAAGGAGGTCATCACCTATACCGAGGATGACAATACACTGCAGTGATAGAAGCCCAGAGAGATAGGAAGCAAGCTAGATTCCCCAAGTAAGTATAAGATCGATGTGAAAAATTGGATGACAAAAATCTTACTTTTCCATGAGGAAACCGGTGTAGCATCCGTCCAGTTTCAACATGCTCTACTTCGAGAACAACATCTCGGTTGCCTCCACCAGAAGTAGCAGACACAATATCCTTGTAGAAGGCAAAGGGAATGAAGAAAATAAGTGCGAGAAGGTAGACTATGGCGCAGACTGCCCCCATAGTCTCCGGACTAGATTGTAGACCAATTAGTTATGACCGTGAAGAGAGCGAAGGTGAGGATTCCAAACATACATCTCAGGTTTTCTCGGTTTTGCCATGTCTCTACCCTTTAGACCTGCTTTCATAAACACCGGTCCAAGCCATCGAATGAAACTGTACGTAATCGCAAAGACAATCCCACTGAATGCAACTGATGCTACCAAGGGCGCACCTTCACCTTGAAATGCATTAAAAATAATACCAAGGCAGATCCCAACAAGGATCAAGAGGCGCCAGGTCTCGCGCAGGGAGAGGGAGCTGGACATGGTAGGGTTCAGTACAGGCAAATGAATGCCAGCATGCCTGCCTTGTACCTCACATCCAAGTCTTCCACAGAGAGAATCATAGGACTGAGCAATATGCAATGTGGCATGAATAATAGAGCAGGAACCGAACGGATTCTGCCGGATAATCCCGACCGCCATATAAGGCGGTAGAATTATGCAGCAGTGATAGTTAACTAAAGTTAGTTAGTGTAGCCTTCAGTTACGTAACGAACACCATCCAAGCAATGTTCCCGTACTTCACATGCACGTCCTACTGGATTCCATACATGGGAATCGTCACCATCTTGCCGAGTTTGATAATACGTGCTTGTATGCCTCACTGTGGTGGCTGAGGCTGGCTGCTAGGTTATTTGCTCGGTTATACCGAACCGGCCCGAGATGTCGTCTGGATTCGCCGATTTCGACGCGGGTCATCGCGACCTGGTATCAGTCACCAAGTTCAACTTTTATGGTAACCGCATTGTCACGGCCTCTTCTGACCATCGTATGAAGGTTTGGGATCAGAAAGATGGCGAGTGGCAGTTGACTGATACTTGGCGTGCGCATAATGCCGAGATCCGGGATGTAAGCTTCCAGACACCACTTTTCACTCCCTGTACCCTGCATATGGCCATTGATCGTTTGCTGACCCCTGCACAGGCAACTTGGAACGGGCCATTTACTGGTCAGCATATCGGAAGTGTAGGGGAAGATATGAAATGCAAGATTTGGCAAGAAGATGTCACCCAGCCTCCCAATTCTGGTCGACGTTTCAGGTCTATCTTTCGTATGACGGCACCGCAGCGACATCCATTTGTCTCAATTGATTTCCGCAACGTAGATCTCGAGTCCTGGCTTGCTGTTATAACACGGGATGGCTATTTAATGGTCATGGAGCCCGTGAGTCCAGACTCACTCGCAGATTGGCAACCCTTGGACCAATTCCGAGTGTGCGCGGCACCCCAAAGAGGGGAAGAGACCAGCTTCAAGGTGCAGTTCCATCATGATCCTGCTGACATCACGCACTCGGTTCTACCGTCATGGGACCGCAAAAGTCTTTCGCTGGTGGTGGCAGCTATGGATAGTGTGAAAGTATATCGCACTGATGCTAATCGTCGCTTCTACCATGCCATTGAACTAAACGGCCATGGAGGACTTGTACGAGATATATCCTGGGCGAATGGCTCAGTCAGAGGCCACGATCTTATTGCTAGCGGTTGTAAGGACGGTTTTGTTCGAATTTTTGAAGTGTATACTTCGGTGTCCAACAATGGGTCTCAAAATGCAAACGGAAGTCACGCCGGCCCTATTACCCAACCATCATCAAATCGCACAACAACGCAGTCAGGGATAGGCTCTGCTCTTGCAAATCGTGCACCTGCCTCGATGGCAAGTCGCTCAGCGACCGACGACAATCAGTTCAAGCATTCGTACAAAGAAGTTGCATGCCTCGACAGCAAGCATCTTGATGTGTGGCAAGTAGGATTCTCATATGCTGGTCAGTAATGCTCTTACAACTCCGACATACTACCTTTCATTTGAACAATTATCTCATTTTACATAGGAGACTGTCTTATTTCATCCGGTGATGACGGTATTGTACGATTCTGGAAGAAATCACTGTCTAATGAATGGCTTGAATACGCAGAGACTGATATGACGTATCAAGAGTGACTGCCCTCCTATTGTTTTCTTTTTTTTATTTTTATATTTTTTTTTGTCATCTCTCCCACTCCATTGTGGTGATAAGCCCATCATACTAAACCCTCTCTATGTTATTGTCATGTTTAGTAGACAGTGATACCCATACATTTCTCTGGATTCCTTACTAACTCTAATAGATTTTTATCCTCTTTTTATTGAATGGGTGTTTGTTCCTTCCTGCTTTATTTGTATGTACGGAAGACGGAAGTTGTAGCATTGTACGAGGCAGTTGCCGTCGAGGATTCTTTAGAAGCTGGGCTCCTAATATATTTTAAGCAGGAGGGGCACATTTCCCTTACCGACATGCGCTTCTTATTCCAGGGGACTTTGCTATCAGCAATGTATTCCCAACAGCGCATATACCTGTTCGATATTGTTAATCCCATCATCAATACTTGGCCATAATGGCGGTCGGGCCTACTCTCGGAACTGGGTTGTTTATTGGTTCTGGGCAAGCCCTCGCTGTCGGCGGCCCTGCCTCGTTGCTCTGCTCTTATGTATTCATATCAGTTTTGATATATTGTTTAACCACAGCGACCGCCGAGATTGCAGCTCATATGCCCGCCCACAATGGCACGATGCTGAGTCACACGTATCGCTTCGCTTCGACGCATTTGGGATTTTCCCTCGGGTACCTTCGCTGGTACTCTATGGCTCTACTGGTTCCTTTCGAGATCACCAATGCGATGGCCGCCTTGAGTTTGTGGGAACCTGGTGCTCTGGTCGCAGTACGGGTTGGCATCGTCGCAGCGATAATCCTCGGTTTCAATATGCTCCCAGAAACTATATTCAAGCGAATGGAAACTTTTTTCACCGGAGTCAAATTAGTGACAGCGATTGGGCTTATCCTTCTTTCGACTATCTTGGCAGCCCGAGGTATCCCTGGCACTCCAGTGAGAGGGTTTTATTACTGGCGTCATCCCGGTGCCATGAATCAATATCTTACCCCCGGGCACCTAGGACGGTTTTTAGGTTTAGTGCAGTGTGTTCTGTATAGCACAATTTCGTTCATCTTCAGTCCGGAATTGACCGTCGTGCGAGCTGAAAAGGCAGATGGTGAGACAGGATCCAGCGTCCTGAAGGTGGCACAAATTGACAACATACACCTCTGTGCGCTCTATATCCTCAGTGCATTGGCCATGGGTGTAGTGAGTCCCTCGGACGAGCCCTTGCTAACGAATTATGGAACTGGCGCCGGATTGTCACCCTATGTTGTGGGCATAAGAAGAGCACGAATTCCTGTACTGCCTGTCTTTGCAACCACGTTGATATTTCTCTCATCCATGGCCTCCGCACGTTCGTTCCTCTTCGTCTCGTCGCGCACTCTATGCTCACTAGCCGAAGCTGGGCATGCTCCCGCGCTATTCAAGGATCGCAACAGATGGGGTGTCCCATATGTATCAGTAATTGTGTCATCGTTTTTCACGGGCCTTGCATACTTATGCTTGAGATTGTCCGTATCTGTCGTCTTCAATTTCCTAATGTATTTCATTACAACCTCCGGATATATCTCTTGGCTGTGTTCATGCATTCTCTACCTCCGTTTCCGACGGACGACCAAAGCACAGGGGTTTGTGCGCGTGCATCAAACATTCGTTCAGCCATACGGCGCGTACTTTGCTATTCTCGTCTGTACTGTGTTGTTCCTTGCCAACTTACTCATGACCGTGATCCCATCCAAAGATGCCCTCCGGGACCCCATTGCTGTGTATCTGGGAATCCTCACATTTCTTCTGCTGTATATCGGACATTCGGCAAAATACCCCTTTTCACGGATTGCCGATAGCGAGGCAGGCGAGCAGTGCAGTGAGACGATCGAAATCCCGCACCCCCGAGTACCACCACTTTGATTTAAAAGCTTGATGGATAAGAAAATGAGACCCTTCATCACTTCTGTAAACCTCACAAGGAGCCACCATATGGCTGGCTGGTCGCTGATTGTACAGTACGTACCTAGTACGGACCGGGTGGCTCCAGTGGCGGATGCTGAATGTTTCCAGGTCGAGCGGATGAACGTTGAATAAGGTGTGGACACACATGTGTGCAATTTATCTGGTTGAGTCCTGGTGGTCAATAATAGGTATCGCAGGCAATGGGTTGGAAGCATACAATTATTATTATGTAGGGACAATAGAGGTTGGTTATTATGTGCCTCAGGCACATAAGTATTCCAGGTATCCAGGCACCCACCGATCACGCTCTCTCCCTTTTTTTTTTTTTTTTTTTTTTTTTTTACTCTCTCGCCACGCACGGAGTTTAGTAGTCGGGCAGCCCCTAACATGAACCGGGTTTTGAGGCCTGGCCGATAGCTGGAGTATTGATTGGTATTGTTATTCTTAGGCAGTTCTCAGTGGTACCAGAACAAATAATAGCGACAATCTAAGGGCGCTAGTCGGCCACAAGGCCAGTCAGTCAGTAGTTATTATTATTCCTCGATTTTCTTTGCCATCGTCAACCGCTTTGTACTAAATAGTCCCTTCATTTAATTAGTTCCCCATCCACCCCTCTGATTCTCTTCTTTCCCCCTCCTCTCGGGAAGATCATGTTATCTTCTACGCGGCCCCTCCCCGTCACCAGAATTCCTAGTTCAGATGACTTTCTTCGCCCCATTCTTCTCCCCTCCTTTGAACGTCGCCCTACTACTACTGATTAGCCCACTATGGAGAAAAGAGTGACTTGAGTCCCCGTCATCATTGTCCGTCTATAACCACAATTATTCTTTCAGCCTCCCTATTTGATTTCTCTAGGCTTCCCTCTCTTCCCCTTGTTTACACCACCTTCGATTGCTCATGACCTGCGTCCTCATGTACAAGGTGAGGAACCAAAGGGTCAGACCTCCTTCCCTTCTTGACGTATGTCATGTCATATTCTCTGTAGAAGAGAGAATGGATTCTTGACTCTGGCTCTCCACCACAATTTCATTTTCATTCCTTCCTCTCTCATTTCTACATTTCATTTCTCTAAGCTGATGGAGTCATCATTGTCGACGACTCCTTTGTGTGGCTTTTCCTATGAAATACAAGTTCCTGTTCATCTAATATGCCCCATTGTTGGCTGGACAGAACATCTGCTCATACACAGATTTGCTCTCTTACACTAATGATGCTCTCTTACTAATGATGCTCTCTTACACTAATGATGATGGCAGTGCTAACCTTTTTTTATCCCTTTTTCTTATTCCTTTCTATTCCTTTGCATTGGTCTTTCTTTTGCACCTGACAGGCCAGGGAACTAGATGCCTGGGTACCACTCCATAACTACTAGGTAACTAGTCTCCCGGGCTACATGCATGATTCTGTCAGTGGTACCTTCTGCCTTATCTACCAACCTATCGACTGATAATGTTGTCCTATCCAAACAAATATTGCTGGTTTAAGTGCTGGATACTGCTGGCTTGTTCCCCTTTACTTCCTCCAATATTTATTTTTCTTTTCCTTGTCTACAAGCTCACCTTACTTCACATGACAATATCCAGTTGCCAAGGAGTTCAATCTTCCCATCTATGCCTAAAATGGGTATTGCTACTGCTAGTGCCCCTTTGGGATTAGCGGTATCATCAGCTACTGAAAACAGACAAGCGGCTTTCTCCTCCCGTGCTCAGGCGCAAACTTTCGGACAGCCTGACTTCTCAGGCCATCCAAGAATAGTTCCGGTCCTCGATCGGCGAAACTTGTCTTGCTGGTCTTGTCAGGTCAGGTCTGGTCACTTTGTTGCTTTGTTGCTCGCTGCCCCCTCCCTTTCGACCAGACGTGCAATTCGTCCCTTGAGACGGGTCGATGCTCCCGTCGGCTTCCCACTAACTAACCCCTCCGAGTAATTACGCTTGCTATCCGTCTATCTATCTAATCCATACTCTTCGCTACGGTCGCTTTCGCTGTTCCTTCTGATTCTTCTCGTTTATGCTATTTTCTATTCTTTCGTTTCTAGGGGAACTTCGAAAAGATCCAAACGAAAATCCCTTCCCCAAACCCCCCGGGGTCATTTGCCTGCTTCCCCCGGAGTGCGGGTTGGAAGAAGAGAAGGGGGAAAAAAAAAAAAAATTCGACGCTTTCCCTCTTTGACTCTGTCTGGGTCTTGGACGCGCCGCTTGAATGGCCCATCCGTGGCTTTAGCCTCTCTCACGGCTCTCCCTCCCTCCTCTCACCCTCTTCCTCGCCCTCGCCCTCATCCCTCTTCTCGCTTGCTCTTGACCTTCGTTCACTTCTTTCCTGATCGTCCCTAGTCTCTACCCGAGCTGTCTTCGTCTCTTTGCCTCCTCTTCTCCTCTTCCACACTCCCCTCTTGTTCACAGATTGCTTTCCTCTCCTCCTCCCTCCCCTTTGTCTTTTGTCCATCATTTCCTCGATCTTCACTACCTAGAGCCGTCCTCTTCAACTTCATTCACCTGAGTCATCATTGATCGTTCTCGTCTCCGTGCTTCATTGATATTTTCTCCATGCGACTCGTGGCCCGTCCGACTCTCTACGTTCATCGGTTCCCGATTCACGACGCCTTCCTTCTTACCCACGGTCGCACGCGCCACAGAGGTCGACGACTCGATTAAGGTCTCAGCTTTCGACTGTTAGTTCCACTGCCTATAATTCAACTTCGCCCCTCGAGCATCGTCCTTCCTCGATTATCAACAGGTTCTGTGGGCCTGGGCCCTTGTGCCAATTGTCGTCATCCATCAAACGGACCACATTTTCATATCCACTATACAGAGGCGCGATTGCTCGACCGGATTAAGCGGTTTGTCTAGTGGATCGTCCTAAATACCGGGCATAATTCCACTGATTTACCGCGAAGTATTAGATCTGAAGACAACTGTCGTAAGTGACAAAGTGACATGCGTGCTGGTCTTTGACGGGTTACACGCAAGCCGTCCGTCCGCACCAAACGTACCAAACCGCGCGATTTTCCTTTGTGCTTTGCCTGAGAGGGGGTATTCTGTCAGATTATGACAGATACCTCCCCAGTCGCCACCACGCAGTCAACCACGGAGCCTAATCCGGTCACCGTCCCTCTGAACTCACCGGCTATCAACGGCGCCGTTTCCGACTCCGCCGCTCCTGAGGAGGAGGAACCGTACACCATCAAATGCATCTGTGCTTTCGAAGATGACGATGGAAATACGGTCTTCTGTGAGGGATGCGAGACGTGGCAACATATTGAATGTTACTACCACGGCCAGGATGTACCGGATGTCCACAACTGCGTGGATTGTGAGCCCCGTCCGCTGGATGGCCGGCGCGCCACGGAACGGCAAAGGCGTCTTAGGGAGCAGAGTGATGGCGGTGACCGTAAGGCAAAACGTTCCGGTACAAAGACTCAGAAAAAGAGGGCCAAGGAGCAAGGTGACCAGGTGAATGGCTTTCATCCCCGATCAGACTCAGGCGCTCGGGATCCCCCGCCTGCAAAGAAGGCCAAGCCCAATCATCGCGCTTCGGGTTCCATCAGCTCCTTACCTGGCGTTCCGTCTCTCCAGGCGGATATGCGCAAACGCTCTGCGACTTCGATGAGTCCGACCAAGCCGTCAGGGCCTTCGATCCCTCTGTATTCGCAAGAATTTCTCCGTCTTTATGATCATGACCAAGGACATGCCAATATGGATAGCAACCTCTTTATTAATCTACCGCTGGCCGCGGATCTGGCTTCATGGGTGACGGAGCCAGCTGCACTTGCCCGTGTTGCCAACGGGCGATCGGCACAGGATATCTTCACCTGGTCGGGAGCTGCCATTGACCGATCTCGGTGGCCCTCATTATCCACCGAATCCCTCACTGATCGAAGCGTCGACGTCGATGGGAAGCACCCTACGTGGAAGATTCTCAAGACACATGATCGCGTAGCCAAGGACGAAATTGTTGGAGAAATTACTGGGAAAATTGGGCTCCTTCGAGATTACTGCCTTAATCCTAGTAACCGCTGGCAGGAGCTCCGGCATCCCGAGCCATTTGTCTTCTTCCATCCCCAACTCCCAATCTATATCGACAGTCGGCATGAAGGAAGTACTCTTCGCTACGTTCGGCGCTCCTGTCGACCAAATGTTACGATGAAAACCTATATCACCAATGAGGTGGAGTATCATTTCTGCTTTGTGGCCAAGGAAGATATTGCTGCCGATTCGGAGATTACCGCCATGTGGTACTTGGATCCTCAGTTGTTCGAGTCGACTAATGGCCTCGTTAAGCAGGAATCCAATGACAATGCACAGGACTTGGCCGCCATTTGTATTAGCAATGTACTCGCTCATTTTGGCGGATGCGCCTGCAACCCGCCTTCCAACTGTCTCCTGGCCAGCGTGGATCGTCGGCGACACCCAAAAGGGTCGGATACCAGTGCCAAACAAACCACTGCCAAACGGAAGAAGACGAAAAGCAAGCAGAACATATCTCCACCTGCAACGAATAGTCGCGCCGGCAGTGAGGCCACAAAGAATATGGAGGAGGATGATCAGGCAGACAGCCTTTCGGCCTCCGGTTCTGCACGCGGACAGACCCGCAGTCGCGATCTTACGCCTACTTTGCACACTCCAACCGAAGGAAATGCGTTTGGTGATACTGAGCTGTCGGCCCGTGACAGGCGGAAAATCGCAGCGGCCGAGAAGAAGTTTCAACAGCTAGAACAGGATCAGCAGGCATCCCAGAAAAGAAAAAAGCGTGGCAGTGGTCAATCCACCCAGACAATGGCTGCTGCAGGAGGTGGACCGGGTCAGGCGGGTTATTTTGCATACTCGGGGGTTCGCGACCAACACTCCCACTCACCTCCTCTAGCCGTCTCCGTAGCACGCCACAGCTCTCCACGAAAGACGTTCGGTAAGAGTACTTCCCCTGTATCATCATCTCGTGGTCGCAAGCCGTACGTGGATTCCGCTAGCCAAACGGATCCTGATATCAGCGACGGGCTGTCATATTCTCTACCATCGTCTCGACGGCCCAGCTTCGTTTCTCTTACACAGCGACTTTTGAAGCGCTGCTATGCGGATCGTGTGCGTCTTGAACAGATCAGTCATCAGGCACCCGTGTCACCTTCTCAGCGTGACCTTGCTTCACATCTTGCGTCGCCGTCATCGAGTCTCCATGGAGGGTCCGCCACGGTCACAACCCCAAATTCTTCTGCGGAGAAGGAGGACGTGGAAATGAAAGATGCGGATTCGCCATTATCTCCTGCGCAACAACAGACTCGCAATTTGGAATCGTCGCCACTATCAAGCCGAGGTTCCGTCAAACCCTCGTTCCCGCCTCCTTGGCCGTCTACAGCAGCCCACAACGCTCGAATACCAGGGAGTAGAGATTACAGTCGATCTGAGCTCCACGTCCCTCTTCCCCCAGCAACCGCCCCCTCTTTACCGTCCGCCACGAGCCCAAGTTCCACCGCGCCATCAGTTCTATCCTCGCCTCCTACATTAGATCCACCTCAGCACAACCCAGTCACCACCCCCGGCTCGGGTGTGGCTGCACCCAGTCCCGCGAAAAAGAAGCTTAGTCTCGGGGATTACCTTATCCGGAGAGGCACTCTTACCACACCGACATCCGAGAAATCCCAAGCGCAAGCTAACGCAATGCTCCCGCCAAAATCGCCGCCCAGTCAACCACCGGTGAATCGTGAGACTCCTCGGGAAGCCTCACGCTCAGGGGGCAAAGGTATGGCGGAAGGTGAAGCAGCAAAATCTGACACTGGTCCCACTGATGTTAAGATGAAAGACGTTTCCGGATCGGCACGTCCTTCACAACTTTCTTCCCTATCCTGATAAACGGCTGCACCTGATCCCTTGGGTGGCTATTTAATGATCATCTCCATTCTACTTCTTTCACCTCTGTTTTCAGTTCCATTCCTGAAAAATCATGCTGCGGCTCTCTTTCTCTTTTCTCTTTTTTTTTTTCCGCACTTTTCTACTTCATACAATGTATGTAAATGATGAGGTTTGGCGTTTGCCATCGGCTAAGGGTTTTTTTTTCATTTTTGATTTCTTTTTTCTTGGATTGCAAAAGGCGTACCAGGCGCTCAGGAAGGAACCAGGCTACGGATATACTCTGGGATGTGAATGGGTAAGGAATCTGGGTTCAGATGGACCTTTTTTTATTGGTGATTCATGTGCAGCATCTGCTTCACGATTTGTCTTTACTAGTCTCTTTTTTTTCACTATTGTCTTCTTTTTACTACTAAGTTATTTCCGACGACACTTCCTCGGATATCGGGGACTTAACGGCCCACATGGAACTGAGTCGAGCAAAACGATGGGAAATAAAACTTTGATGCTCAAAACTGCCTCCTTTTGTCCGTAGGGATCATACACGGACCTGTTGCCGCTGTTTCTTGCCCCTTGTAGGACACTCCGTTGATAATACATATGGCCGGCAGCTTGAGAGGCACCAAGCAGATCGATTGACTGACCTGAGTCCAAATACCCTTCAGTATATCGCGAAATTGATGAAGACAGAATTAGGAAGAGACGAGAGAGATGACAAGAAACGTCGCTTTCCTCTTTTGTGACACTCGGCGGGGTAATTAATTAATTAACTTATAAATCCATTGTCGCAGATTCTCTCTTTCTCTATTGATGACTCACTCTCTCGACTCTCCGTCACGATCATAATCCACCATGTCTTCCTCCCGTGAATTGTCCAATGTCCATCCTGGACCCTCTACGTCGACGGTCTCTTCCCATGATCAGCTCGACACCCCGGAACTCGAGCAGACGCTTCTACCTCCCGCAGATCAAGGCAGGGCTGCTTGGCTGATGTTGATCTCTTGCTGTATCATCCAATTGCCGGTTTGGGGTGAGTCCCAGTTGTTCCACGGGAGAAGAAAGCATTGTAGAAGAAAGTTGTACGAGCTTCCGATGGATTAGGGTTTTCCCTGGTGTTTGGGATCTTCCAGGAATACTTCTCCTCGCACCATAACCTCCAAGGAAACAATGGTGACTTGGCAGTGGTAGGAACCACATCGACGGTAATAAGACCTCCCCACGGATATCGTTAACTCCAGAACATGGATGGATGGGGTACATACTGAATTGCGCTCGCTCCAGGGAGTTCTGTATCTGCTCTCGCCGGTGTCGTTCACGCTGCTCACCCGGTATCCCCATCTTCAGAAGTTTTGCGCTCCGGTCGGTCTGCTACTCAGTGTCTGCGGCTCTCTGCTTTCATCCTTCTCGGTAGCCGTGTGGCATCTGATCGTCACGCAAGGGGTGATCTGTGCTGTGGGGAATGGGTTGGTCTTCAGCCCAACCACCCTGTATCTGGACCAATGGTTCATCCGTCGAAAGGGCCTAGCATACGGAATCATGTGGGCTGCGAAAAGTGTCTGCGGAGTGGCACTTCCATTTGTAGCTAAGGGCTGCCTCGAGCGGTTTGGAGCGAGAACTACGTTGCGCGCGTGGACCGTGGTGACCGTGAGTAACTGCTTGTCTACAGCTGCATAGACTAACCGACGAAACCTATGCACATTCCAGCTGCTCACTACCCTCGCGGCCTTACCATTCGTAAGACCACGCATCCCCCTTGCGCCATCTACATCGGTACGGCCTCTGGACCTCACCTTTTTGAAGTTGGTGACTTTCTGGATGCTGCAACTAGGCAATATCATCCAGGGGTTTGGATATTTCCTCCCTACGACCTACTTGCCGTCCTACTCAACCACGGTCGCTGGCCTGTCGGACACCACCGGCACTCTTCTCGTAGCTCTCTTCAATGCAGCGTCCGTGGTAGGTGGGGTTGTGCTAGGTGTGCTTTGCGATCGTTTCGCGGTCACCAACGTCATGCTTCTCTCTTCCGTAGGCTCCGCCTTGGCGGTGTTTCTGTTCTGGGGGCTGTGCACCTCATCGTCCTCAGCCTCCTATCCCCAGGTGGGTATTGCACTTCTAACCCTCTTCTCCATCACCTACGGGTTCTTCGCGGGCGGCTTTAGTTCGACTTGGTCGGGAATCCTAACCGAGGTGAAGCGGGAGGTGCCATCGCTGGAAACAGGCTTAGTATTTGGACTGCTAGCAGGAGGCCGAGGGATTGGAAATGTGATCAGTGGGCCACTCAGTACGGCCCTGATCAAGCGGGGCTCAGTTGTGGGGGATGAGAGGGGAAAGATCGGGTATACGACGGAATATGGCGCGTTGATTTTGTTTACCGGCGTAACGGCCATCCTGGGGAGCTGGAGTTGGATGTGGAATCATCTCCGGGGGTGTGCCCGCTGAGATGAGGTGCGCACAGCACTGATGTTGAATGCGAGTTGTTCTGTATCTGTCGGGATCACGTGGGGCTGCACCGTCTTCCTTCTCGCTTTCCCTCTCTCCACGCCGCTAGCTCTCATCTTTCCACCAAGACCACTCACTGCCTCTCCCTGCTCCTTCTCGGCTGGGGTGATAATCTCTGTTTTCCTCTGTCCGTCCTGCTATTACGATGGCCAGTGATATATCTCTACAAGATCCCCTGCTTGCCCTTCGTCGGGCGATCGCCGCGGGTAGCCTTCCCACGCCGACCACCTCCGACGAGCTCTCAGATCAGAATGCCACGGACGACTTGGCCAAAGCTACTCACCTCTATTTCTCCAATGTACTACCACAGGCTATTCCGCTGACCACGCCGACGCGCTTCGTTTCAAGCTCCTCTGACTCCGCCGTCGACCTTCGCAGTATCTTTTTTGCTTGGCAGAAGAAAGATGTCGCAATTCCCGAGTACATTGCCTCGGCGCAGGAACTAAACGAATTGCTGAAGCAGAAGGAGCGCAAGGAGGGTGAGGCTGAGGAGAAGGTGCGAAATCTGGTGTTCGTGGAGCGCTTGGATCTCATCACCTGGCTCGAAGGCGCCTCCGACGAGAGCGAATATATTAAGCCCTTGGAGGGCGCCACCGCGGTCGCTGCCTCGGTAGCATCCCAGGCTCAGGTATCTGCGAATATCGCGTCTGGTGCTGCTGGCGGAGTCTCTGCTGTCACCCGTGGTGCAGCTGGAGCCGGCGCACCCACCGCTGGGGCTCAGCAAGGAAAAGCCGCAAAAGTCATCGATCCGCGGTTACAGGAGATTTACAATGGAGAACGAAAATTCGGCGATCGCAACAGCGTTCTACGTGGGATAAAGCCAACGGTAGGTTGGAGCGCAGAATCGTGCGTGGTTGGGTAGATACTGACTGGTGTTCCTTCTTCCAGGACTTCTCCCATGTCCGCAAAACCGCAGAGGCCTTCCTCGGTCGCAACCGCTCACGAACCGGACAATACCCTTCCGGCACCAAGCCAGGAAGCAAGCCACAGTCCATGGCGCCTGCCCCGTCTGCCGGTCTCTCCCAGCCTCGAAAAGGCAGCTCCAAGACGCAGGACCCAATCATCCTTCTTTCCCCATCGGCATCATCCCTCATTCGCATGTCCAATGTATGGTCATTCTTACAGGACGGTGTCTTTGTGCCTCCCGATCATCCGACTCTCTCCATGCCCGGCTCCAACATTCTGTACGTCTCGCGCCCACTGCAGATGAATGCAGATCCGTCCAGCTCCTCCTCTCGCTCCGTCGGCTCCCACGGCTCGTCAAGAAAGCCGACGCGTTTCATCATGGTCGACAGTACCGCTAACTTCCGACCGGATTACTGGAACCGACTCGTGGCAGTCTTCACGACCGGCCAAACCTGGCAATTTAAGTCGTACAAATGGGCCTCGCCTCCGGAGCTGTTTAAACATGCCACTGGCATCTACGTGGGGTGGCGTGGCGAGGACATTCCGCGGGATGTCCGCGGCTGGGGTCGGGGTGTCCACAGCTTTTCAGTTGAACGATGGGATGAGAAAGGCGGCGTCCACGGTGCCGGACGATGGCGAGATCGTGAAATCGTCGAAGGCATCTGGACGGCGATCGAAGAAGGAATGAGATTACGAGGGTGGGGATCTAAATAATTCTCGGTTAAATTTTTTTTATGGCTCGAGGGGAATCGACATTATTGATGCTGTCAGCCATCCATCTATCTTACAAAAATGCCTGTTGGCGGACAACAACCAACGCATCACATACGAAGGGCATTTGGAACAGTGGAAAGGGACCGAGTCCTATCTTCCTCCTCTGTGTTGCGGTGTATTATGCCACTGCCGTGAACCCAGCACGCCCATTCTTCTGAGACTTTTTTTATTTTCTTTTTTTTTCTTTGCAATTCAGAGAGCATTCTTCCTATTTTCCTGTGATCTAGCCTACTTACTGGTCATGGTCACATAGAATGGCGTTCGTTCATCTATCTATCAGCCTGAGCCGCCAGGCTATATCCTAACAAACGACACTTGAAGAACCAAGAGATCGATCTAAGGTTCTCTTATATCTCTTAAATTTACTTCATTTTTGTCTCAGTCTTACTGTTGACCTTTAGATGCACACGGCGCAATGGGATTTGAAACTTTTTATTCTTTTGATTTCCGTTCCAAACAAGCGAATAACAAATGGGATCTCTCTCAATATGATTTATTTTATTTTTAGTGTCTTTTGGATATTATGAACGTAGTAAATTACACCTCTAATCTTGATTTGATTGATCCCATCTCTGTACTGCAGAAAAGAACTCGTCCTTGATACATAGCTGCAAACAAGATAGCAAGCAAAAAGCACTGCCTATGTACATCATGTTCAGGTCTGGATATCACTTTTCTAGTCAGCCAGCCAGCCATTTATTTGTTGTCTGCCTCCAGTAGTTCGGAGTGTTTATTTGCCAGGTAACAAAAATGCCAAGGGTGTGTTAAAAAATGAATGAATGAATGAATGAAAATGAAAATGAAAATGAAAAAGAAAACTCGTAACACGTGGACGCCATGTGCTCGATCCAATAACACAACAACCGACCTCGGCTCATATACGTGCAGATTTAGTACTAGTGGATGCTCCATAGCACAGATGGATAGGTAGGTAGATAAATCGATGGATGGACAGATGAGATACATAGATACTCCGTAGAATAGACGTAGACTAAAGAGGTAAAGGAATGATATATCTGATTTCAAATCTGAAGTAAATTTATTGTGTGGCTATATCTCCCAACCACATCAGAATGGTGGATTGGTGGATGTGTATGTGTGACAAAAGAAAAGAAGATATAATAAAAAGAAGATATGTGAAAAGGAGAAATGACGTCCGATGGTCATTCGCTTAAACCCTTGAAAATGCAAAATCAATTATATAAAAAAATGAAGCGGAAAAGAAATAAAAAAAATATTGCTCAATGCAGCGGCGTATGAGAGCATATACATAAACTCTTGGAAGTATAGAATGTTAAAATGCATGGGACAAGGGAACTAAGAAAGAGTAGAACATAAGGTGACAAGAAGAGTCTTTGGAATCATGCACGCATGCAAATCAATGGAAAATGAGGGAGAAATATATATAAAAAAAAAAAAAAAAACGCCTCTCTAATGCTGGAAAACTTGCGTCTCAGCCTCCTCTCGCCGATTGCGATGGGAAAATAAGGGGAAAAGAAATATAGGGGAAATAAGAGGAAATAAAATATAAAATAGTCCTCAATATCGGTCATCTCTATCGCATGATCCATAGATCGTAATACCTTTCGTTTGTCGTGATACCTGGATTACAAAAGAAACAGAGCAAGCTGCCCGTTGCCTGGCAACTCCGTCGCGTATATAGACGAACGTGGATTGTGTAGAAACTTGGGATGGGAAACATGAGTGGCGAAAACGTCATGAATGTGTATCGGCAATTTTCGTCGGGTAACTGTCGGTGTGCTCTCTGGGCCAGAGTAACAATAGGAATGACCTATCCTGCTTCTCAAGTAGGTTGTCTAGGGGCGTAGTCGTATAACCCCCTTCATGTGATTGTCACACCGTAAGGATAATCCACGTAACCAAGCCCAGAAATATTCTGGCAGAGGCGGTGGCATACAACATATGAATTCCCCGGTGATACACTCGGCGTTCCTTCCCGTCATGATCGTGCCGAGCGACTCATCGAGCGCTCCGGGATTGGAGCTGGGGTTGGTGAGTAAGATCTTGCGGCACCCATCAAGTCCACATCGTGTTCCTGGAGGACAACGGCATACTTTGGATCACGCAAAAACTTTGGAATGGAATCCTGCAGCAAGTTAGTAAACAGAAGCCAGAGTTGTCGATCTCCGTATGAGCTACTTACACTTGACATCAGCTTAAAGACGGAGGTTTGCGCCATCTCGAACAGATGAACCACCTCCTGAAGACTCTTGAGCATAGATTCATCATCACCCACAGCTTTGGTCATACGGCTTGCCAGGCTATTGCGAAGGGCATGATCAATGTTGAGTTCACAGGGCGAACCGGGAGCTAGGAAAGCATTGTAAAGGCCTTTTCAATAGTTAGCAACCCCACAGTGCCATGTAAATTGGAGCGAAAAGAAGACTTACCATACGCTGCTGCAAGCGTTTCACGAACAGCATCAGGCTTCTTGAAGGTGCCCACTTTGTCTGCCTTGTGGTAGGTAGCAGTAAATTCGGAAACGTCCAGGTAAAACGACAAGTTCTCTTCGCACAGCGAGAAACGTAGGAATTCACGGAAAAGTAGCCGCAAGGCAGGGTCACGAAGTATGTGGTTCAACCGTGCGTTATTCGAGTCTCTGGGAATACCCCGGTTATCGTAGGCTGTAGTTTCGCGATTTTTGTCCCGTGCGATCCACCCACAGACTCGCTGGCCATGCTCCGTTACCCCGTAGATCGCATTCTTAGAAGGCTGAAAAGCGACGATGGAATTATCCGGCAAGGGAACCAATCTGTCCTCTTGATGCATCGTGATCAATCCATACTTGACGAAAAGCTCAGCGATGAGGACGGTTTCACGGCGCTCAATAGTGGTAGAACAATCCATAAGCCAATCGATAGCGGCCTTGCCAGTAAATGTATTAAGGACGATCTTTTCGTTCACCTTACGCTCCTTGGCCATCTTGACTCCAACCAAACCGTTCGTATAGTCACTTAGCGAGTCTGAATCTGAGGTGGAAATGCTGCTCTTGACATTTGGCCCATCTTGGCCAGCGAACCTACGGAAGATAACTTCAATCGTAGCCCGATCGTGCGACAATTTGTCGGTCTCAGAATCACGTTCCAAATTGACCAGTTGCATTGTATTCCGAGGCGACTCCAACACATCTATCACATGACGTGCAGTGATACCATTCCTCTGGCAGAATCTCTGAAGTATATTAATACCTTTTGGGGTAAGTTGATACAACGCGCCCTTCAACGGGAAGATATGAACGGTCTTTCCATCTACAGATTCGATGAAACGAGCGTCGACAAAACGTTGGCACACCGAGCGAGCCATTTCCTTGGCCATGGAAAAGGTCGTGGTTGTAGTGGTGGTAACGATCCGAGAAGGGTCCTTGGGGTCGGGCATACGGTTGGACTGGGAAAACTTGAGGGAACCGAGATTATTGATGGCTTCTTCAGAGGTGAAGGTGTGGTCATATTTCGTAAATCGTATGCGATGAGAATCCAACTTCAAGCTAACCATCAAAGTCGAGAACAGATCCATAAAATCCTAGAGTTCGCACTGTCAAAACACTTCCCTTCCAGGATGGGCGACTTTACACCAAAAAAATTATAGTACTATATATATAAGCATTCTGAGATCACTTACTTTTGTAAAAGGGCGGTCATCTTCCGTCATACGCAACAGCCTCGAAGAGGTTTGATGCATTTTGGATGGGGGTACGACAGGCCCGGCTTGCGACAGCTGTGGCACTGAAGATGGAACGTGTTGAAGGGTCTGGCGGCGCCTTTCGACTTGTCTGGCGGCGGAAAAAGGGCGGGCTGAGGATTCGATTGGTGTTGGGCTTGAGTGGTCACTACCGGCGCTTCCGTCGGATAGTGGTGGCGTCAGAGGAAAGAGGCCCGTTGCTTCGCTGATGCTGACCTGGGAGGGCTTTCGAGTGTGCTTGGACAGGCTTCCGGAAGAGGCAGAAGGGCGAAGGGGAGAATTGGCGGTGCCTCCGATTGCTGAGAGATTTGCAATAGCACTGGAAGTCTTTTCACGGGCTAGGGCAGCAAAAGAGCGGCGATTGCGGCGCGAAATTGAGCCAATTACAGAACCAGTGAAGCCGGAATTGCTTGCGCTGAAGGAAGGAGCGGCGGTAGTGAAAGCTGGATAAGCAGCGGAGGGAGCGACAACAGCGGGGGTTGCGGTAGAAGGGTGAGGGGAGTCGACCGGGGGGTTAGAGGCCGGTACAGGTACAGCAGATGGTTGAGGAAGGGAAGATTGGTGATAATAGTGAAGATGAGAAGAGGGAGGAGATCCTTGATCGATGGGAGTAGAAGATATGGTTGGCATTGAATGGTGCGAACCGGACAGTGGGAGCAAGAGGGGTTTGTAAGTATGTAAGGTTGTATGGCAAAAAAAAAAAAAAAGGGAGGAGGGAATTAAAAAAAAAAAATTAAAAAAAAAAAAAAAAAAAAAAAAAAAAAGGGCAAAAATGGGAACGGGACGACGTGTGGAGGGTGTGGGTGTACTCCGGAGTATGGATAAGAGAAATTGTAATTTTTTTTTTTCTAAGAAAAAAAAAAAAAAAACAGCAATAGAAAATAATAATCATGAATGGAATAGTAATCAAATAATTTAAACAAGAGAAAGAAGGGGTTAAGGGTTAAAAAAAAAAAAGGCGGGGATTTCTTTCTTTTTTCTTTTTTTCTATTCTTTGGGTTAAGGAGTTTAGTAAGTAATTTTAGCCCGCTGAGTAACCACTACTACAACTAGTTTTCCACTCGTACGGACATCCGCTTACTTATAGTAGCTGTATGGAATATGTAACTAGAGTATTTCAATCAGAGTCCTAATGGAATAGGAAGAATGGATAGGAAAGGTACGAGAGAATAGGTAATCGTAGAAATTAAATAAAATAAATTATTTAAAAAAAATAAAAGCCAGGTGGAAGTGAGCAAGCACGAAAGACAAGTCTCCAGGGGTGTGAAGAATTCGGCCTGTCATTCTTGACCCACTGCGCACGCGGACGGTTTCATGCAACCAGACAACGTGGGCCAAGGACAAAGGTCGACGGATCGTCCTTTGGGGCGATCAGTAAAAGGCCTTCCTTCCCTGCAGAGTTGGACTAGAATGGAATGTCTGAGTCCGGTATGGTCGGGTGCCTAGGTGGGAGTAACAACCTTAGGTAAGGTACAGGACAGCAGGTATCTAATTGATACATAACTGACGTACAGGCTGTTGTCAATTACCAACACAGCCGCCCATCTCACTACGAAATTGTCCAGAATGATCCTGTAGTTTAATTTCCCACTGTCTTTATCTTCCCTCGTATGCGTTGCCTTCCCTACGTATACCTCGAAACTCAAACAAGGATACCCCCTAAATGGCTACTGAAGTCGTAGATAGGTACGTACCTGTATACTGTTTACTCTGACTCCGTACCAGGGCGGTAAAGGACCCGGGATAAAGAATACAGCCAAATTACACCTGATACTAGAGGTTCCAACTTCCAACTTTCAGAAAGTGGGACTGTTTCCAACACTGCAAGCGTCGGATGATCAGCGGAATCTACACCTGGAGAGAGTTTCGGCCAGATCGCCCTCTCTCATCTTCCCATACCAAAAGGGGGATGGGGGAAGAACAAAGAAGATGAAAAGAGGGGGATGGAAAACCACAAGCAATTTAATTACAGATGTCTTGACAGGTGAAGCTAAATCCTAGGGATATTGGTTTGTAGGTTTATTTATTGACAGAGGGCCAAGGCAAGGGGAGAAATCAAGATTAGGGGGAAAGAGGGGGAGAGAGAGGAAGGGGTAGCCAAAAAAAAAGCCAAGGATTATTATTCACACTAAACTGGCTGCTGCAGAAGAGGCATTCTGATTTGGAAAACCATTGGACTATCAGCTACTCGTCCTATGCATTCTCTATCGTTTTTCCTAATTAGGGGATCTCTTAAACTTTCCACGATGTCTCCTATCATATGACGATAAGACGAAGATTTCGCTGATGAGTATTTTATCGGGGTTAAGAAGGAGAGAAGTACAGAAGTAATACTGCCTACCCGAGTCCCCCAGGAACCGACAGTAAGATTTCGTAAGAAGAATACAATTGCGATCGGTCCCAGTCTCTTGGAACGATGCTGAAGAGACATAAAACGTGGCTCCGACCGGACACACTCTTCGGTTCGCTCTCGGCGAGTCCGGAGGCAAAAAAGGGAACTGAGGAATCGCCAAGCCTATCACGTTACAGAATCACCTTCTATCTTAAGTAAGTCCATAAATTTAGATACCCACCTGATCCAGTAAAGATCACCGGTCATTGACTCATTGACGGGAAACCCCCAAATGTCCGTCACCCAATCAGCGTGTCTCACCATGAACACTTGCAGCAAGGTCTTACTATAATCGGATTGGTGTCGCCACTAGTCCCTCTCCGGAGTCCCGCAATTGAGGTCTCCTTCGGCGCCTCGCAGTAACAATTGCGAACACCGGCATTGCAAAGTCCATCAATGACCGAGGGGTTCCACCCCCAGCAAAGCGGCCCATATTTCATAGAGGTATGTTTGACTATGATGCTGCGATGGTTTGAGCACTTAAGTTGCCTTCCTTCTGGTTGATCCAACCATTGTTGGCATTGCCGTCCACCAACTGCCTAAAGTGAAAATCACCATGTAAATGTCTCTAAGTCTTAACACCCTCCCACGTGGTAAATCATAACCCCCCCCCGACAAAACCCACGCATGTGTTGTAATTTGGGCCAAGTAAATCAGATCAAGCATTTCCCAGGTGCAGATCAGCGTATTCTGAATGGAGCCTGAGGCATGTTTTTGGATGATACATCAACTCACCACATGGCGAAAAGTTTCTGCTAGTTTCTCCGTAGCGTTGGTGACTATGTACTGTCTTGCATATGAGCTGAGTTCAATTTCGATCTGACTGATCAAGCCAGCCACAATTATTCTCTTTTCTCGTCATGTTCGCCACAATTATGATTGAATGAGTCTAATAGGAACACCATCTTTGGAAGAGAAGAAGAGGTGGGGGAAAAAGGAAGGACCAACAAGGTGGGCCAATCCTTAATCCTTTGCCGTGTGGCTGAGCATATAGATCGTATTTCTACCGAGTTGCCTGTTTATTATTGGATTCACGGAGCCATCCCACTCTTCCATAACGCTTCCAAGTATCTTCTTTTGTGTTTCGCTAACCGAGATCCATGTTGTTCCACGTGGACACACGTGGAGAAGCAAGGCGGTCGCTCGGGCTTGGCTTGTATCGGCCGTTTTGGCTCGCCTGGTCTGTCTCACGACTACATCAGAGTTTGGGGTCTAAGGAAGGCGCGAAACAAATAAAATTATTGAGGGTTTTTTTTTTTTTAGCCTACCATTTTTATTTCTGTCTTATTCCTTCAAGTCAACACCTCCTTGCAACTGGTAGATAGGAGGTCATGTCTACGATGACATACAGGAGAGGCGGGAAACGAAGTACCTAATATGTCCTGTACACTGCCAGTCTACCCCTGTAGCCTGAATACAAGCTTAACTCATTTAAACACAGCGCATTTTTGAAGCCGGTGATAGGTTTCATAACTTCCTGTTCTGATTGCCCCTGATGGGGATCGTGTGGTTTTAGAAACGCCTCATATTTTCGACCGTGCTTCTACCCAGGGCAAAGGAACTAGGTACCAGGCCAAAGGAGCATGAATATTGCCGCGTACACCGCGGCTGCCCATAAATACGCAGGAATTCCAATTTCAACGAATGATGTATCACCGGCACGGCTCCTCCCCTCTCTCACTGCGAGCTCTATCAACAAAGAATCTCGCTAGAACGCATCAGTGTGGAATCCTTTCCCTGGGTTGCAGTAGCCAAGCATTCAAAACGAACTCACCCCTTATTCCCGCCCCCCTGATCCTCCTCTGGAGGTCCGATCGCTGGACTCTGACATGAGCCCCAAGGAACGAAGCGAGGCTCAAATCTAAATAGGTACCGTACATACAAAGTCAAACAGGGTTCTCAGCTCTATTATCCGGCAGCACTAGTCCAGGAATAGCTATCAAAGGATGGGGCCCCTACGTAACCATCGTAGATTTATAATACTGTATACGAGGCTCAATGGCGGGTGCTGACCACTGACCGACAAATTGGATGAAGCACGCCACCAACTAACAAACGCCCGTATAATGAGGCGGGAAAACTAGAGGCTGGGAACGAGTAGTATAAAAATGGAAAATACGCACCAGAGAGAGGGGGAAAAAAAAAATTTGAAAAGAAAAGAAAAGAAAAACATAAGTTTCACGAAGATCAGATCATGTCTGGAGGTCGATCATGGACGAGTGTCTGCAAATACCCTATCAGCGACTGAGACTGGTATCCACCAAAGTATCAATACGAAGCGGTGAGGAGCCTGGTGTAATTCCACCTCCGAACATCTTTTTGTCATCTTGGAATTGTGTTCATTGATTTGTATTTATTAGCCTCCGTCGTAGGGGATTTCCAGAATAGCGGTAAGACACCCGGGGTGTCTTTGGCACGGACTCTGTTGACGTGGAAGTGGAAGATATGGGAGGATTTCGAAGCAGCCGCACTTTTATTGATCACGGGTATACCGCACAGATGGCAAAGACACCGAAGGATTCCATTGTTCTCTATATGTTTAGTTGATACGGTGTAGTCTACGCGAGGTCTTTGACAATGGATGAATCTGTTGGAGGGGAAGCTTTGCTTCCGACCGATAGGGAGTCCAAGGATGGGGTAGAACCATGGCTTATGCCACACGACATATTCTATACTACTTGGATTCTCCATAATAACTCCACTAGATAAAGTATGCGCAAGATTTCAGAGAACCCAGCCTAACTGAGCAGACTAGCACCTATAACACACAAAGTATAATGAAGATCCCTGACCGCCACGTGAGACAGCAAGACATATATACAGGGATGATCCCATATTGACAGTGGCAAGGCTGAGTTCTAGAATGCCAACTGGATGAGTCCGGTCGTACTAGTTAAGGCAGATGCCCAATTTATCGGCATACTGGATGCCACTCTGGAGCCAACAGAGTCAGATGTTGAAATATGTGGCTTGCGACCGAGTCAGACCATGTTTGGGCTGGGCTGGATCCCATCCATCATCATACATTGCTATTGCCGGATATTTCATCGATTTCGGTGGCTGAACTGATAGCGTCAACCTGTCTCAGGAGTCGGATACCTGTAGACATATTCCGTACTTACGACAGGCTAATCTTGGTTCTGGGCCATGTATGATTAATCCCCTGGAACGAAGCCCGAGTTATTTTATTTGTTGGTTTGTTCTACAATGTAGCGGTACTACAGTGAGTACCCCTGGA